ACATCTTTATACAGAGTATCATGTTCAGCTACATAATTATTACGAAACATAAATTGACAATAAACAATATTTTGTATAGAAATGACAGGGGTAACGAAGGCTAACACACGCACATACGCACACGCACACGCACACGCACACACACACGTTCTCACATCAGGGCCTTTGTGGGGCACCTGATTGTGGGGTATTTCTGTGCGTTCCAGATATACCTTGTGGTCCCCTACTAGTGGGGTATGTACAACCTGGCGATAACAACCCGGCGGTGTGCTTACGATGTTACCATAAAAAAGTGTGCAAGTTTTAGCACACGCTCACAAAATGTCATTTATGGGGTACCACTTCTAATGCCCCGCAGGGCATAGGACACCGAATATACAGTCATTTGAAAGACTTTACTCTGTGGGGTCCTGAAAAAATACCCCACAAAGTAAAAATGCCTCACAAGGGTATGTGAAGCGCACATAAAACCCCACAAGAATGCTGAGGTGAGAGCACACAAACACACACAATTACTCACACACACATCATCATCACACTCACGCTTACTTCACATGCACTCAGGTATAGCTACTCTACCTGTTTACCTCCTGTTTACAAAATACAAGTTTTCCAAGTATATCCACTTACAATATATGCTGCTCGCTTATGTATAGCATGTTTAATATTTTGTAGTTTGATTTGGATGAAGATGACCAGACGGTTGATCAACATTAAATATATACTTATTTCTTCTAATTAAACCAAGTTTTTGTTTCATGACTTTTGCAATAGGAGTAACATGACATTTGAGTGCTAGAGTATCATCAATCGTCACACCCAGACACTTATATTCAGATACACATTCTAATAAAGTACCATTAATTATAACATATATTTTTTTTTATCCTGTAAGGTATTCTATCGTTGTCGAGAACCAAGAAGCATCACTTTCGTTTTTTTATCATAATACCAATCTATTCTTAGATGTCCACTTCTAAACTTCATTCATTGCAAAATTTAGTTGACTTTCAACCGATTCTAGATTACTACCACTAACATACATAGTTGCATCGTCAGCAAACATGACAACTTTTCCTGACTTTATACTAGAAACCAAATCGTTGATATATTGTAAACAACAGGGGCCCTAAAACCGAGCCTTGTGGTACCCCAGAGATGGTTGACCTTGTATTAGGTAATTTACCCCCTATTTTTGTTAATTGATCCCTAAAGTAAAAGTAAGAGTTAAACCATGCTAATGTATTCTCAGAGCATCCTATTATAAATGTATGTTAAGCAATGCATCATAATTAACAGAATCAAAGGCTTTACGCATATCAATAAACGCTACCCCACACAATTTACTCCTATCAACTTCAGTTGCCCAGTCATCAACCATACACAATAAAGCACTTTCACATGAATGCTTTGGTCTAAAACCAAATTGACTTATATGATATATTCGAAATGCTTTATCAATTTCTCTACAGATTGTAAACAAAATAATGCTCAACATTTTTCCAAGAACGGGACACGTAAAGTGTTATTTGACAGGGGCAGCTATACTTTTATATTTGTACGCACCAAACATTTTGGTATATTTCATATTTCTTCTTCAGAGGTGGTAATTAATGCAATTTAAACTGTCTGGAATAACTCATTCACAATGGTTGTATATGTAAAGTACTGTAGGACTTTTGTGTTTATTAGCTTTTGGAATAATCAAAATTGGAACAATCCGACGATATCTCCCCTGAATGAAAATCACTGGACACAGATTCGGTACATGAGAAGTCTCATTGAGACTTCACAAGATAGTATTTATACAATGTTACAAACTATTCTTTAATAAGATGATGATAGCATTGCAAAAGAAATCTTTTCCATTGTGCATTATTACCATTATATCTGTAAAGCGCTTTGAGAGGGCCTTCGGTCCTGAAAAGCGCTATAGAACTAGCTATTATTATTATGTAGAAAGAATGAAAAAGCCCTCTACTCGAATTCAAACTTCTTCATAGTTTCTATGTTAGCATGTGCATCAGTGGTGTTTTGCTAATTACAAAACAAATTATTTTATATGCCTAAAAAATATGACTTCATAAAGACTCGTAAACTTAGACATATTCAGAGGCGCAAGGGACCATGGCCCTCTTTTATCCGCTAACATACACCCGCATAATCCTCTATACGATCCGATTTCCGAGGAAATGATAATCATGATTAAAAACGGAAATCTAAACAAATATCCTGTTCGTAATTCACATTATAAAATGTGATGAGAGTACTAAGAATCGGATTTTTAGTGCATTTAAGCATTCTTTTCGGAATAAAAGCCGAATCGGATTCATGATCGTAGACAATCAAACTACTAGTCTGACGTCACTGCGGTTCTGAGCCGATTTGGCATATCTTCCTCCAAGGAAGCTTGGAATTCCGTGCAATTTTTAATTTATAAGTCATGTGACTATTGAGATCTTCAATCGATAAGACATTAAAAGTTTGAATGTTCACATCCGATGCTATTGCAAATTCATCCAAACTCGGATCCTATTCAGACCCCCCCCCCCTCCCTATTTAACAAGGCTGGTCATGCCAGTGCTCGCGGTATACAACATGTTGCGTGAATTCCCTATTTTGATAAAGCCATACAAGTCTACGTCATCATTTAGCTTGGAAGCCTACATCACTAGAAAAAACATTACTTTTACATTCTTATTTCCCTCGCAATGGGAAGGTCATCGCTAACCTGCGGTGACATTTTCTAGGGCGAAGAATTTGATATCCGCCCCAACACTTCGACATCTTACGCATGAGGTGGATGACGAAGAGACAAAATCAGTGAAGTTGAAATTAGAAATAACTAAGCTGCGGTGTCACGAACTGGCTGAGAAGGGGTCAAGAGGACCCATCGGCAGGGACGACTGCTGGAATAATGTCCAACTCGATCGGGCAGTCTCATTGTGGGGCGTTTACCAGTGGCATGAAGAGTGCATGAAATGGGGAGGGGGGGGTCGATCGCAATCAGACGCCAAGACTTTTCGTGCAAACGCACAGACGAGCACACAAAATTAAAAAAAAAAAAACACATGTACACATTTTGTTTTCTTTAAAAAAAAATCAGATTCACTTTAGAACGGTCTGAACCTATTTTCAGTAATTCAATATATCATTTTAAAGGGAATTTTGCACTAGTGTAGGAATAATTTCTATCGATTGTCGAAATTTTCAACAACTCTTTGCTTTCCTTGAAAAGTGGAAGGAGGGGTAAATTTGTACAGACCACTCCCCTCCCTGAAACCATGGGTGTGTATGCCATGGCTTTATACCCCCACGCTGGGATCATTGCCCGTAGCGGTCACGTTCGGTGCGGGAGGAGCATTTATAAAGATATAGCGTGGACGATTATGATGGCAAACCGGAATAACACTTCCTATGTTTTTGTCTTTTCTGAACACCGTGCCATTTTTCAATGTTGTGTAACCAAATATAAACAAGGCGAAGGCCTATATGATTTCATTATTCTATTGGTGACCTTTCCTTCGATGATGCGTGCTGTTTAACTGACACAGTTACAGTAGGGATCACTTTCTTTATTACATTCATCGTATACTTGGAGGGGTTCGTTTTTTAAAATATTATAATTCATTACCAAACTAACGAAGAGAACGACATAAATAGAATATAGTATCGGTATAGTGCTCTTGCTTGATTAGTGTTTTACTGGGTTTTAAAAAGTATTGCTTTATTGATATCTCAGAATTAGCAGGAAAATTAAGTCTGAAACAAATCCTCTGCCTAACAGTAAGGAACTCTAATGGTGGCATGGATTTTAAAGGGACTATAATAACCCAGCTATATCTTCCAATTTGATCAAAATTATTTGTATATACGTATCTCTCTTTTTCAGTGTAGTACTATAAATTATGTAATTTGTTTTTAAGTTTATATTTTATGTATAGTCTTTTACAACATTCTTTAAAACAAATAACTTTATTTCGTATTTTCCTTCGTGTTCGGGGGGGGGGGGGGGGGGGGGGGGGGGGGGGGGGGGGTTTTTTTTTTTTTTTTTGGGGGGGGTCTCGAAATTTGAAAAATTGACATTTGGCTCCGTTGGGGGGGGTAGGGCAGTGGCGGATCCAGGGGGGGCCCGGGGGGCCCGGGCCCCCCCCCCCCTTGAGAAAAAAATCATGTAAAATCACGTGATTTTTACGATTTTTGGGGGTTGGGCCCCCCCCCTGGCGCTCAAGAGGGGGGGGGGTGCAAATTGAAATTTTTTTGAGGATCAAAAAAAAAAAAAATGTGCTCACTACCCCCCCCCCCCCCCCCCCCCCCCCCCCCCCCCCCCCCCCCCCCCCACTGAGCGAATTTTTGGCCGGCGCGTTATTCAAATTTTCGGGAGCAAAAAAAAAAAAAAAAAAAAAAAAAAAAAAAAATTGTGCTCTGTACCCCCCCCCCCCCCCACTGAGCGACTTTTCGGCCGGCGCGAATTTTCGGCCGGCGCGAATTTCAAATTTTCGGGAGCAAAAAAAAAAAAAAAGTTGGGCCCCCTCCCCTAAGAAATCCTGGATCCGCGCCTGGGGTAGGGTCACCTTTTTAGGTCGGCCATGGGAATATTTTTTTTATATTTTTTGTTTAATAATTTTTTTTTTAATCCAAAGGGGGGGGGGGGTTAGTGGGGTGATGGGGAGGGGGGGGGGTAACCCCCCCCCCTGTGTACGCGCCTGGGTTTGACTGTATAAAGTTTGTTTTAAGTTGGTTAAACAAAAAAACATATTGTAAAGAAATATCAAAGGATTCTAACCATGACATGAATATGATAAAATATGCTGAAGAATGCCGACATATTTTCACATCATTCAACAGGCGCGAACGCGTAAATGTGCTGACGACTTTGATGAGTGGTTGACTATGAGGGACCATTCCAGGATAAAAAGGGTGCACAATTTAATGACACTTACAAATTTTGTAAGCCTCCTCCCCCAATCCGCCACAACTTGAACAGGATTATTATGGAAGCCCTCTATCGGTTGACACCGAGGCAGGGATCAAGGGACGGAAAAGATAAGCAGATGTCAACGAAATAATTGTAAATGTAAGCACTCTTGCTTTGTAAATGAAATTTAATATTACTATGAATGGCAATGGAATGAGTGTGTAATTTATGGTTCTATGATGCAAATGAATGGTCTTGATTGAACCAATTTTTATTATATATCGAGGTTGTGATCTCAAGCTACATGCTACAGCTGCTTTACAGCGCAACTCCACTATCGTGTGGCCCGAACCTTGCGGGGGCCTTCTTTCTAGCGCCCCGTTAGCCATGTCTTTTACGTTACATTTCGTACTCTTCTTGGTCTTGATCTTGTGCATGTGCCCCTTGCCGCGGCATGGGCATGTGTCGAGTTAAAACGATTAGGCCTAGATCTAAATATCATCGTTAATAATATTTTAATAAAGTCACTTTATCTATTGCACCGGGAATTATGATTTAACATTCCTCGCTTTATTGATTTTTAATGTTATTGTTAGATCTAGAGTCTACCTTCTGTTTTAATTTAATAACTTGACAACAGTAGATTTCTAGATCTAGTCACTGGTACAAACAAGTTGCATGCAAGCAGGCCAACGGCATAATTGGTGGATGGATGGCCATATTTGGAGACTCTCTCTCCCACTTGTTGAGAGAGTCTGTCTCCCATATTGGAGATTTGGCTTACGTTAGGACAAAAGAAACAACTTAATTTCCACCAAATTGTTACCCCTCTGAGGTAGGCAGCCCATTTCTTTTGCGGGTGGATTACAAATAACAAAAAGTTATAAAAAAGAAAGTAGGGGTCTAGACATTAATTTAAGTTACAGGAGATGGTTAAATAGTGTAATTCATCACATTTTCATAATGAGCTGAGGTTATCCCTTTGCAGGACATGTAAGTAAAGGAATAAATATACTACCAAAAATCTTGAAAAAAGTCGGTCAACAGAGACTAGTCTTTAAAATTATAGGGAAGAAATATCCAATTTTGTTTGTCAGTGCACCTCTACTGCTCAATACAGAATACTAATAGTTCAATTTTATTCTCTGCTTTCATTTTTATTTTTCTTTCAGACTATAAACTACAGAAAAAAATAGCAGAAGACCTATCAAGATTAAGAATGATTTCAGAATTATCAACCAGACAAAAAGTGGCCCTGGCCATTGCGTTGCCTGCTTCTATGGTTCTCATCTATCTCTTGTTCAAGAAGAGGGATGATTGTAAGTACGAGAGAAAGCTGTATTGTCTTCAGATACGATCTTGTTGAAGTTTTAAAAAATCAGACACTTGCTGTTTAATTATGCTTTGCAGTCTGCTTGTCTCCCCATACTACCCTATTGTGAAGAATAATATTATGTTATCATTTATTTTTTAGCTGTTCTAATAAAAAATCACAGCTAATTATGGTCCAATCTCTTGTCAATGTTATACCAAAGTGCAAGCAAATTGAATAATTGAATGAATACATGTTGCTCTTATGCTGTGTTCTGTACCATTTTGTACTTGTTTATTTGGTAGAATATCATTCCCCTGTCTATGTTATGTGAACAACTTGAAGGAAATGGGATTGGTAAAATTCTAACAAATTGTAAAATCATTGATATTTTCTATTTTAATATAAACATTAAGTCATTACAAAATTGATGAAAGATCCAAGTAAGAAAGAGTAAGATTAGAGCATTCTGCTTTTACACTTCATAAAATACATCCAACTGTACTTATTTACAATTGAACATGATGATTAATTCAATGTGTGTGATTTGTGGTACAAACATACTTCACTTTTGCTCTTTTTAGATGATGCACCTGCTCCATCCAAGCACGTGGCCACTGTGCAAAGACAGACTCTTGAGATGAGCATCCCACACAACAAGGTTGGACCTCTCATTGGGAGAGAAGGCATCAACATCAAGAGGGTCAGTATTCACCTCTAGCATTTGATAATTGCTTTACTATAAGTCATACTGATATGGTGCATGAATTGTTTTCTGATTAAACTTAATACATTCTTCTAAAATATCAATTAGCCAACCTGCCTCTGGCATCCCATAATTGTAAGTACTAGTAAATAAACTACTGAGTTACTCAATGGGATAGAAATTTGGTTTAATTTTGTGAGCGTCGATTTTGGATTGGTGATCTGTCAAGAACAGTAGGAACAAAGGAAGCTGAGCAAGTGTAGTCATTCCAGAGAGTTATGCAAATGGGGTAAAGCAGTTATTTCCTATATTGATTTTATCCATGCAATATATGCTATACTGACATTAAAAAGGAAGCCTTAAACTTTTGTTATTGAAGACCCCCATACATTTATTTATATTTTGTGTATTCTCTTTTTCCAATGAAGGGAAATCAAAGAAAACAAATAGCATTTATTTAGGTTCGATACATTGCAACACCAGTAGGGTGTAATACATAAGGTCCTCCTCATTTCACTTTAGAGTCCCTCATACTTTCTAATTCTTGACAGGGAACCACAATGTCCCCCTAAAGTATGATACCCTGGGTATATCATTTGTGTTGAGCTCTTTTGGGGAAACGGTTTAAAGATAAAGACCAGTTTTGGAAACGCCCCCCTCTCAAAAAATGAAATGGGAGCTCTTATTACCAATCATGTGAAAGAATATGTTTTGTCTAATATGTGACCATACATCTATTTGGACCTGATAGATATAACACACGTGTCGCGCACATGACGCGCAGTCCCATATACATCTTTCTGTGTACAGTGCTTGTAACTTTACCAAAACTGAGCCAAATTTCTTATCATTTTGATGATTCCAGAACCTTGCAGTACACACCAATACTTATATGCTAGATGATCCACCTTTTCTGATCGATTCCACAGCGTTTCTTTCACAATGCAATCGCATGACCATAACTGGTCTTTATCTTTAAAGGATATGTGATTTCCAGCATGTCAAACAAAAATGGACAATCATCCTTTAAGTCATGTTGAAATAATTACAGATCCAGTCTGAGAGTGGAGCTAATGTCAGGTTCTCTGATGAAACCAAGAGAGAGGATAAGTCCGACAGACTCCTCCGTATCCAAGGTAACCGGGATAGCATCTTCCTGGCTGAGAGACTCATCCTGGATTTCTTGTCAGAGCAACCTGAAATCATCACAAAGACTCTCATGCTTCCTCAGCAAGCTGTAGGAAGAATCATTGGTGAGTAAGAGGCTGCAGAAAGAGTTAGAATCAAAATGGAGAAATGCAATATTTAAAGGAAACTGTCTGCAATATTGGACAAAGAGACATACTGAAGCTCTTTGTTTTGCACTCATCAGATTGAACCACCCAAAAAAGGCCGAAAACCAAAGTCAGACAATATAAACAGGAACAAAAAGGACCAAAGCATGCAGAAAATGAAATGAGTTCTGTTCTGCTTTCATAGCTATGTTTTTTTAATTTCATTTTTGATATTGTTGCTCGATCTCAGTATTCGGTTCATTCTTGTAGCAACGTGTCTCTATTCTCTAAGCAGTACTTTGTGTTTAAATCTTTGAACGTTTGTCACTTTATGTCTGCTTGCAGGACGTCAGGGAACAAACATCAGAATGATACAGAACACTAGTATGGCCAGAGTGAAGATTGATAGGGATATAGTGGATGGGGATGATACCAAAAGACTTTGCACCATCAGAGGATCTATCCAACAAGTGGACACCGCTGAGGTGAGTTGGAATTTCTACAGTCATTTTGTTAAATTTTGTATTTCAACTAGTGGTATGCTACTTCTCAAAATATGCTGTTACTGCCATTACCCTCCATTCTGCCTAAATATGACATTTCCAGGGACATATTAACTTTATTTTGTTCACGTATTATACTGTATCCAGGGCTTGATACTAATAGGAGCCAGGTGCACATTGCCCCCCCCCCCCCCCCCCCGCCCACTTCCCAACAATATATATATACACAAATAATAGATAGTAGATAATATTTTTGTTCTTTTTAATTAACTCTGACCCTAAAAATATCAATTTTCATTGATGTACACTCACTTTGTCAGGCATAACCGTGACAATTTTAACATTCTTAGTCCATGTTGGTAACCCCAGACGCCTGAGCGCTATATCAAGAAAATAACACACTTTTAAGATAACTAATATTCCTCTTAAATACATATCGTCTCATTACACTGCAAAAAAAGTGTAACATGCATTTCATCAGGATATCAGCGTACTTCAGACTTTATGAGGTTTCTTGTAGTCAGGCCGAGAGAATGCTAAGAATTTATGTTGGACGGTTTTAATTTATGATGATGACTGTAGGATGACCTTGTTTTGAATACTCGATTGATGATGTCACATTACCTTTTTGATCTTTTACCCAGAACATGATAATAGACGAAATAAATGAAATGGAGGATTACAATCAAAGATTAGCTGAGGCAGCTGCTAATAGGAAAGAGAGACCTACAGGGAAATCAGCCAGGAGTGTATCACCCCAACCAAAGCTTACTCTCAACCCTGCTCCAGGTAGATATACAAAAAGAAATTGAATTGGAGAGTGAGACTGAAATTAAAAATACAGATGAATTTCCAAAAATGATGTATTGAAGCTCTGTGATAAAAGGGCTATGATAAAGTGTGTTTGCTTTTCTTTGCATTTCCTTAAAAAAATTGGAGTACCTCAACCTGCATACTGGTACTATTCATAAGCATTGAGCTTGAATACCATCTGAATTGTGTTATAGTTAAATTTGAATGATTTTTGTGTTTGATTGCTGTGGAATTTGATTGCAATTTCAGTTGTATGTGATACCCATTCTTGAAAATTAATCAATTACAATAAGTTGTTCCAAGTTTTCTTGTAGTATTGGTGCTCTTTGCTCTCTGTGTCAGTATGACTCCATAAGAATTTACCCTTTAAACACTGCAACTTAGTTTGTTCACTTTTATTCAAATTGACAAGAATAACTACAAGTAAATTTGAAGCATGAGAAAGAAAAACCTACATAATTTAACATGATAACCCACGGAGTGCCAACAGTTTATCTTGTATCTTTGGGGTAGATTTTGTGATATAAACTTTGTGTTAATATGGTTCAAATTTACCAACCATAACCATTATCAATCATCAATCTGCTAGAAGACTTTTGATATGTTTTAGATACATTATCGTCTAGCAGACAGACAGGTTAGTATATCTTTGACTATGAGGTGTTATTGTATATACAACTTGTGTAATTTATACTAATACTCACGAGAGTATTAAAGTCACCTGTTGACAACAAGAAGGGCTCTTTACACTCTTAACAGTATAGGAGTAGTAAGCCTTCTGGCTCTCAGCAGCTGATATCATCTTTCATTTGGTAATGCTTTCATATTTTATGTTTTACTTAAGACATTTGACGTTGTTTGTGTATATTGCATTGTTACAGAAGAAGAAGGAGAATGGCAGATAGAGTCCATGTCCACTGCAGAGCCACCAAGAAACAGAGATTTCTTCACGGTCTATGTGTCAGCTGTAGAACACCCAGGTCACTTCTGGTTACAGATAGTCAACAGTAAGGCGCAGGATCTAGACCTGATGCTGATGAACATGTCAGAGTTCTACAACAACCCAGATAATCAAAAGGTAAATGGAAGAGAAGGAGGATTTAAGGGTAATCTTGCATTCTGGTGATGATCTCACAGATTCAAACTAAACTGACCCTGAACATTTAAATATTCTGTGGAAATAAAATATATTTGCCAAACAACTATGGTAAAAATGTGTTATAATTGACAAATGAGGAAAGAAGTTGGTGGTGTACCTGCACATTTCAATCAGTTATAATGAGAACAGAGGCCATAGTGTCACAATGATTAAGTTCACTTTGTCCCTCCCAAGCACAGGTGATGCCAAAACATGAATAATAATTGCTTGTTCTAACCACGCCTGATCTATGAACAATTCTCTTTTGACAGGCTTACGAGCCTGACAGTTTGCAGATAGGTGAGATCGTGGCTGCTCCCTTCTCTCATGATCAGATGTGGTATCGTACTCGCATCCTTGGTTTCCTTGACGATGACATGTTGGATCTTTACTTTGTTGACTATGGAGATTCTGAAGCAACTCCAAAGTCTTCTGTTTGCACCTTGAGGTACTGTTTGATAGAGCGGTCACTAGATGTGGAAAGTCGCTATCACATTCTCTACTTCTTCCGTACAGAGCCAGAAGGATGTTAAGTCCTTGTAAATTGGTGTTAATCAATGCCCTTCTGAATCTGCATTGATGAGTTTAAATGTTTACATTGGATCATTCACAAGTAATACTCCTACTTAGTATGAGAGACTTCGGAAATAGATACCAACCTGGGTAGTAAAGATATATCAATGCATCATTTCAAGAGATTAGATGCCCCGAGTCCTCCCAAAACAAAGCCCCAAGGACATTCCCCCAGTCTACTCAAATCATGTAAAGGCAAGAAAAGGAAATATCCACCTAGAACACTCATAATGAGGGTATGCAGAAGCATTCCCATTTGAAAAGATCAAAGTGATAAATTACTTTTCATCAAAAGCAGAAAGTGCTCTGAATTTTTAAAGCTGTTTGACATGAAATTAGGGATTATTCACAGATAAGTAATACTTCTTCTATGAGTTCCTAACTAATTTCATGTAAATGAGTATGTTGTCCATTTTAATTACTTCATAAGTTTCTTTAGTTTTATTTCTCAAGAAGGTTGTGTCATTATTTCTTAAGCATCTCTAAATGTTGATGTGTGCGCTTTATAAATATTGTCAATATTGTTATCACTCAAACCTTGTAATATGTTTTCTTCTTCTTCTTGTTGGCAGAGATGATTTTCTCGTTCTACCTTTCCAAGCTGTGGAATTCTCACTTGCTAATTCATTTCCAGCTGGTAAGTACTAAGTATGTAGTGTCATATGTTCCAGAGTGAACTGAATCCTGCAAATATGTATATCTTATAGAGAAGGAGATTATGTCATAAAGGCTTTCCAGTGAAATTCAAGCATTCTTGAAAGGAATTCAAACTTGCTAATACATTTTCACTGTATAGGTTCCAAGTGTGATCGAGTGAACGTTTAAAAGACTGACAAAAATAAATAGTACAATCAGGGAAGTGCAGAAGTATGGAAAGTTTGAATCTACACTGTACTGTTAAAATTACAAATGTACTATGTGCTGAGTATTGCAAAAATGTATGTATGGGTTGGTGAATTCACTCTGAATATGATTGCCTCTCCTGATCTATGTTTCCTTGATGGGCTGCATTGTTACACATTTGCTCAAAAAAGTATTAAATTATTCATATTTTGATGTTTGCACTTGCTAAATGCAGACCCCAAAGTCAGGATAATTGGTATATTTCAAAAGCAGTTTCAAAAGTAGAAATTTTCAGTTACTTCATTTACTCTCTTCATGAGTCTTTGTTTATTGTTTCTTTCATGTCATTTCTGTTTGAATAGTTGGTGATCAATGGACTGAGGAGGCTATAGATTACTTTGAGCAGTTAACTCATGTTGCCAAATGGAAACCCCTACAGGCCAAAATAATGGACTATCAGAGTACAGATATTGGTACGATACCATGCATCGAACTCTTTGATACTACTGGAAGCACGGTAAGTTTACCTCATTCGCATTGGATAATATTCAGTATTCCTTATTTTTCTTTCTTTCTTTTTGGGGTGGTAATATGTAAGATATTCTCTATTCTTAAGTTGTTACATATTTGATTTTCATATTTGCAACATTACCAGCAAAATGACTAATTGTACGGCAAGTCCAAGCTATTTTTTCCCCATGTGTTGTGAACCACATCTCAGATTTTTGTATATCTGGTTATTGCATTCAGTAAATAGAGTATGAAGTAAAATGATATATTTGATATCTATTTATGTTCAAAACTTTGCAGAACTTAGTAACATATGGGGCATCAAGTGAAAAACATATTGGACTAGCCCTGTGACAAACAATGATTTTAGGCAAAGTGAAATTTAAGAGCGTTAAGATTATATGGATAGAAATATCCTATTTATTCACTTTGCAATAAACAATATATCTTTTGTGCATACAGTTATCAAAACTCATCAACTTACTGTCTATTGGTTGTAAAATCATAGATGTATATTGTTTGGTTAGTAATTTTCGAGAATTCTTGTGTTTTCCTTTAAAACACATGAAAATTGTTTGTGAATCTTTTCATCACTATGCAGGGTTAGTTCAAATTGACAATTTTCTACTTTTTGTTAAATACAGATAGCTTTCTTATATACTCACTTATGATAATGTTTCCTTTTACCCCTTCCTCCAAAAATAAAAGGATACAAATATTGGAAAGCAGCTGAGACTTTACGGGTTTGCCAAATCAAAGAAAGACAAAGAGAGGGAGACGCCCAAAGTAACAACTGACACAGAGGCTTCGTCTGCTATGCCCAGTGCTATGCCCAGTGCTGCAGCAACATCAGAGGGAGATGGTCCACCAGAGTCAGGCAACTATGCAAGGTCATGATGTAGATGAAATGTCTGAACAAAGTTAGCCACTACTCTGCTCTTTCTACTGTTATTTCGACTATGATAGAACAAACCAAAGCTTATGCTGGGAAACAGATAACACTTACATGTTCCACCGATGACAGATATATGTATTTTAGTTTTTAGTTTCGGAAGTAGTTACAGTTCTATCACTTAAATGATTTTTCAATTCAATTATTATGTTATGTAGATGGGCTGAACTTAAACTTGTAGTAAAACTGTAAATCCATTTTGGATAAATAGGTTGTACTTTTCATTATTCACTTATTCATTATGGTATCGTGAAGGGATTAATGAGAAAATTAAACTTGTTTAATTTGTTAGATTCATGATGTAACTTTTAACAAAGATTACCACTCAAGGACTACTTTTAAACCCCAGTCGGAAGTCAATAAGTGATCAGTTACAATTTATGAGTAACATTTATCACATTTGAAATTCAATTGAGAAAACTAGGTAGTTTTCTTTGACTACCGGTATGAGCCGTCTTGAAAGTTGAACCTCTGGAAAATTTGCTGTGAATGGATTGCATATAAAGGTCTTTTTCATTCACCTGCTGATAGAATTGAATCTGGACCATGGTCTTGACTTTTCTGATATACTTTTATAAATTAATGATTTCTTTATAGCACCTTACTTTCTGTTCCTATCAATCTGCCCTCATCCTTACCCTCCTGAGTTGGACTTATGTTGTGGTGACTTTACTGGTAATTAAGATTTCTTTCATGCATGCAATTCATATGACATTTATATATAGAGAATTTCTATGTAGTAAAGACTAAAATGAACAACACATTATGTGCCAAACTCATAAAGCTCATGTATAGTATTGGTAAGCTACCAAAACAAATTTTTAAGATTTCTTTGATTTTAGTTCAGTAATAGGAAGGTACGACCACTTCAAATCTGTTATGAAGTTTTCAAATTAGAATTGAAACATGATTAAGATCCTGGCTAAAATCTAAATTCCCATCTATGTGTGAGCATAGAAACTATGTGTACAACCAATAGACAGCTATGTGTGTGTGAACTTGAACAAATCTCTGTTGTCTTGCTGGGCTATGAGCTCAGGCGTTGATGGAGTGGAGCAATGGCAATGATGTGGGCTTTTAGAAAAATACAAATAAAGTCATGGACAGATCATCAAAATATGTGGTACATGTGACTTTTGATACATACAAGTGTGGAGCAACATGAGCAGGAACTAAGTGGTTCCTGTGGAAAGCCTTTAGGAATGAGAGATTCCAGTCTTTCCAGTATTATATCAATGTTATTCATGCATTCAGAACCAGAGCATTATCTTTAATAACTAACAGGTAAACTAATTTGCTGTCTACCAAAGATGAGCACCGGTAGCTTTTTTTCCTGTATTTATCTTTCATTCATTTTATCAGCATGTTTTGACTCTTGCGTTTTAAAAACATTGCTGTGTCGTTCAGGTGCTGCATGAGGAATGAAACATTTGAAATCATTGTGCTATCAGGAATTGATCAAGAAACCAATGATAATGATTACTAAAATTTGAATTGTTATATCTATGTAATTTTAAGGCCTTAAGGCTCGTTCAGATATGAGCAGCAAAACTGTAGCATTTTTGTAGTGATGATGTAAAGTGTAATATGTTTCACATTTCTGTATCTTATAACACAGAGCTCAGTGAATATCTGCAAGTCCTTTGTTGCACCAAGTTGCCATTCGTTATAAGGATTTTTTTTTGTTCACTAAAACCATAACTCATTTCATAGAAGCAATGTATTATTTGTTCATGTTCATATGTCTGCTGGTTATTTCTTACCATCTGTCAACAAGATTCTTTGATAAATGTATGATTTTTGGTTGTGTCTTAGATGTATATATGCATAAGACTTGAAAGTGTGCAATACAAAGATGCCAAAACGGTAAAAACATTGGGATTTCATCATCTATGTATAAGATTATATTTTTCTTCATTTTTTCTGAGTATGATGATAAATAAATTGTTGCAATACAGATTGTATCTCACATGGATATGTTATGTGTCACTCAAACTGTCACAGCTCGAGTCAAGTTGGACAGAATATGTGCTACTTACCGGTATTCTAAAGGCATAGCTCTTGTATACTTTGGCCAAAACCACGAAGGTTTTTACTTTTTTCACATAATTATACTGACTACCGAGGTTTGTTTGTCTAAAGCATGCTCTTTGAAAACGTATTGCACTCCATATTTTGTTTAATCTTGAAACACACAGTGAAATTGTGTAGGACCTTTGTTGCATACAGGTACTTTTTTCATCCTTGCATGCCAATCATTTAGTACACAACAGCACACACACACACACACACACAAACACACAAAGTCTCAGTTCACCACTGCATGTGTGATCAAGCCTTTAGGAAGTTTAATCTATTGAACCCATGGTCTAAACCATCCTTTTCACCTCAAATGTGAACTTAAGTAACATATATAAGCATGTATAATTGTGTTAGCGCCTGCCCATTAGACATTAGGACATGGATGTAATATGCTAATGGGGGTTTAAAGCATGGTTAGTTGTAAAACACATTAATGAATTGGGCCATTAGGATAGGCATAGCACTTGCACACATAGGTATAGAACCTTCCATTCTTAGGCAGAGTGTAGAAAGTATAGTACTGGTTGTAGTTGTTTTAATATTTAGAGAATTTATTTTTGAAAATGTCATCAAAGACACCATCTCAGGAGAAATCATGTTTGTTACGTTAAGATCAGTGAAATAATATTATGTCTGTTAACTATTCAAAGTTGAAAAAAGAAAAAGACAGGGTTATTTGACAAGACAGTAAGTACCTTGTTGTTCCTCTTCCACTAGCTATGATCCAAGGCATATACATCTATGTTCAATATGCAAGTTATGAACCTTCATGTAGTCTATAAATAAAATAATAATCTCTCAAACTGCCAGCAGTATCTGTAGTTATACAGAAGCTGAAAAGTCAATTTTCTTTCCATACTTTGTAATTGGTAAAGATCGGAAGGATGTTGAAATGATTTACAAACAAGAAGAGTTGTTCATTATTTGACATTGTACTTTACTATTTGTAATGTACTTTTCTCCTTATTTGTATTACTAATTCCATTTATTAAACTCCACTAATTTAATTTCACATTATATAAGCCATTTGTTGTCATATAAGCTACATACATATGATTGATATATACATTTTAAAGTGATATTGTAACTAACTTGCCAGCAAATCATTTTACAGTATCTTGATAATTCTGACAAATACATTTGTATATATGTCTTTTATATCTACTAACAAATCATTGAGGTTCTGATTGAAGAAAGAGGAGAGAACAAATTTCAATAAATACAACATACAGGTTTCTAGGTGAATATAGAGAGGGTTGTAGAAAAAAGTTTAAACTAATTTACAAGAGTAACAATATTCTAACAATTGGTGATAATAGTTTTAGTTTCATTACAAGGCCATTTAAGCACTGTAACTAACTACTTTTCATGTCTGTTCAGTAATCAATAAGAATGTACTACTATGTATGTTTTTCACTATACATGTATTTGTTACTTTTCTATGGTACCAAGTAATGTTTAATGCTATGCCAGTATCACTGTTATGCATGAGGCTTGCTGTTCACTACACTCAACAGCAGTGTTTTTTGTTTTTTTTATGAATAATAAAGTTTAAGGTTATGATCCTTCAAAAGGAAGATTGTATTTTGTGTCATTATTATTTTTTCTCTTGCTGGCTTTCCTTTTTTCTTCTCTAAATTCTAATCCCTCTAAGATCTTGATACAGGCGGAAAAGAAGACTTTAAGCCAAATATTAATTTATTAGCTTTACTTATTCTGAGAGATTTATTATATTCTTGCCCATTAATCATCTCCTACTCCTCCTCCTCCTACTCCTCCTCCTCCTCCTTCTCCTTCTTCTCATTCTTCTTCTTCTTCTTCTTCTTCTTCTTCTTCTTCTTCTTCTTCTTCTTCTTCTTCTTCTTCTTCTTCTTCTTCTTCTTCTTCTTCTCCACCTTCCTGATGAATCCTCTTTATGATAGATCACAGTATTCCCATTCATGGTACCCCGAACAAATTGTGCCCCAGCAAAAATTTGAGACCCCCCCCCCCAACAAAAAATGGGGGACGGGGCAGGTGCCTTGTTAGAGAATTCAGACTCCCACCCCTTGTCAAAAATCCTGGGTCTGCTGCTGATGTTATTTAGCAGCAAACACAGAAATTTTTCCAGTCCTCTTTCAGAGCAGGGCATAGGCAGTTCCTCACCAAACAGACGGTAACAATTGTCCAGGATACGATGAGCATGGTGCAGTAAAACACCGTTGGATCCCAGTATTTTGAAGGTTCTTTTGTCTTGACAGGCGGCTCGGGTATACTCTGAGGAGTTAAAAGAAATATTAAGGCATCATCATCATCAACCATTATCAGTATCATCATAATCTATTACTACTACTAATAATAATGATAATGATAATATTAATGATAATAATAATGATAACAATAATAACAACAACAACAATAATAATAACACTAATAACAACGACAACAGTAAACCAAACTTTAATTCCAATCACATGATTTACTTAAACCATCAGGACACTCAAAATGCTACATGTTCATTTAAAATATCAAGGGTACGTGTTGCATTCAAAATGATATTGTAATTTTGTCCCTTGTAAAAGCCGTGGTAGCAATAGATTTCCTTGATGGACACAGTATGATATTTTTAGATTTGAAAAACGGTGTGATACATAATTTCTTATTTCAAGAGGAACTTCGAAAAACAAAGTCATCGAGTGGAAGAAAAAAAAGTTCCAAGAATATGGTTATCATCAGCCAAATTATGAAATGTCAATGATTCTTAAAATCACCATTGTCCTTCTTTTAGCAGGAGATGTTGATTCTATTCCAGTTTGATAAAAGGAAAGAAAAATTATAAGTTGCCTCGACCTATAGGTATATAACACTTCTTTAAAAAGGAAAAATGGGCTATTAAAATGGCATGAAGAAACAAAAAATAGAGAAATAATTGACCAATTTTCTTCAGTAAATTGGGGAAATATCGCCCATAGTAAGCATATAAAGTAGAAGGAAAATGAGGGCAGCCGGGACTATGAACAATGAAAAACGAGAAGGGATAAGTGGAAGAAGTGGGCATTCAATTGATGTTAAGGCCAACCATCGCCGCTTTAGGACCTAAATTATCTATTAAATTAAAAAGAAAACATCCCTTCTTAGATAGAGAGCGAGTCCTCTCTTTAAAAAGGAAAGCCGGGGGGCAATCACCACCGCCCCCCCCCCCCTACACAAAAAAATAAGGAATGATGAAAACAAAAAGGGGAGGGGAAAAGGGAAGGAGATGAGAATAGACTTTTTAATATTTCTACCAAGGTCCAACATCACTTTGGGTCACACTTTGTACAATTGTAATTCAAAGGAAAGATCTCCCTTCTTACATAAATAGCAAGAGACCCTGCCTGGGCGTGGTGATTTGGAATCGCAATGTCATCACTCGTCTCCCTGCTGCTAATTCCATGTTTCGTCCATGTCTTGTTGGCAATTACAGGAACACTCGTGGTTCTATTACTCGATGGGGCTTCTATTTGTTCTTCCATATTCAGCGAAGATGGAGATGTTGTAGAGCCTTCGGGGATGCGTGCTGGTGACTTCGAATCGGTGACATGGCCTTCTATCAGGAGAACTGAAACGGGACATCAAGTCATGCATGAATGAAAAAAATTTAAAAAATGAGAGGTGAATTGGATACTTCTACTTCTACGACGATACTCAGCAGGATCCATAAGTCAGGATGTAGTGCTGAGGAATAAACTATCTAGTTCTTGGATATGGATGATATAACTCAAAGCCATACCTCCAGTTAAAATTCCCTAGTGGAATGTTCCGGAGGAATCCAATCCAAGATCCAAGATAACCATAGAATTTATAATTCGTTAACGTACCGAGTATAGAAATCTAAATTGAAAATATTCTTTTGGTTGAAGCACTTGTATGATATTGATTTTTTTTCTTTAGCTGTTTCTGAATTTCGTTACTAGATTTTTTTTTTAAGAGAGATATTTTTTTATCTTTGCCCCATCAGAGGATAAATGGTTTTAAAAAGATAGAGTCTATTTAAAAAAATATTTTCTTGTTCTTATACTTTTCTTCTAAGAGGTTAAAATTTAATATATTACACTTCAGGCCGACGTCAGTATAATCTTCCTTAGTTATCCTCTGTTTTTGTTTCTCCTGTTTAATCAATTATGTCAAATCTTTATCACAGACTAGACAATTTCAAAGAAAATTGCTTTAGAGCTAGAGAATTAGTCTGTTCGTAGATAATTATATAGGATCACTGTCTATTCTTTATACTTTTACCTTACCTTCTTTAAAACCAAATCTTACAGATTTCACCTACAAGAATACTTGTGTTCGATGCCATTACTTTATTCGGCGATTTTTACTTACCGGTGCCCATCTCTTCTGATAAAAGAAACAAAACGTAGAAATAACCTAGCGGCATTGCAGACATAATTTTGATATTTTGACAAACCAATAACAGCCACATGTACTTTATGAAGGAAATGGTTTATTCAGAGGGAGCGCGTCAAAGAGATGCGCGAATTGTGCTCTACCTTAACGCAGTACGCATCGCATCTTATGAGCCGCGCCAGACTAGAATTTGATTAAAGAACGGGCCAAATTCGGGATTTTGGAGGAGCGGTTCAGTTAAGTTATATCCATTGTATATCAAAAAGATTGCGAAGATGTTTTTTCCCTCCTTAATCCCCCAATGTTTTCATTGCAATTTGCTGTTAAGTTAATCTAAAATTCGATTTGAAGTAGGCCTTCCATTTTTTTTTGTCGCACATTTACAAGATTTGTGCAGATAGAAATATATTTTCGTACCGCCACACAATCCTCTCGAAATCATATCTGTTTCTATATCATTTCCCCTCCTCTCTCCCTTACAGAGTTTCCCCTCCCGATTCATCTCTCTCCTCCTCCCCCCCCCCCCCATCTTTAAATCCATTTTTCACTCTCCTGTCAATTTCTCTACCCGTCTCTCCCTCCCTATCCTCTCTCCGCTTTATCTTGCCCCTGCCTCCCCCTCCCTCTCAGCAACCCCAATTCCTTCCTTTTCTCTTCTCTCATTCCTCTCCCTTTCTCCCTCCCCATGCATCCGTCTGCAACCCCTGATCACACCTCCCATCTTTCCCTCCTTCCTCCCCCCCCCCCCTCTCTCTCTCTCTTTTCTCCCTCCCCATCCCTCTCTGTCTGCATCCCCTATTCTCACCTCCAGTCTTTCCCTCCTTCCTCCTCTCTCATTCTCCTCCCTTTCTTTCTTTCTCAACTATAGTGACCATCTAAAATGCATTTCACAAAAAATGACACTCACAATTTTAAATCCATGGTATTCTACATACATGTACATGTACTTTACTTTAATATCATACAAAATGCGCATTTGAGTGTCCAACCGACGACGCTTGACAATTCCATTCCTTAAATAATTTCAGCAACAAAATTATATAGTCATAATATAATGCTATTACAGTAGCGCTCCAGTCCCATAAAGATCTGTGACTATCTGTGGCTATAGCATATTGAGAAAAATAGTTGTGACACAAGTACTCATACATGGTGATTCAAATGGTCCCCTGCTATGTTGGCATGTCTTCCAGTGATGCAACTATCTCTACTCTCCTAGCTATGTGTGATCCCACTTCAGTATTGTAACCAAGGCTGGTCATGGAACTATCTAAGAACGATCATGAAACAGATTACAAGATGAGCTGCAACCAATTTTGTGACTTAAAAGTGACAGGTTGTAAATTTGCCATGACCAACTGATAGACCAAGGGCACACAGTGTACCGATTTTAGAGATGGAACAACACTGTCACTGGGCAACTCGTGACTAGTTGCATCTCTCACATTATCATATTATTGGTACAATCTGATAAAAGAGATCTCTGCAACAGACAAATCAGCTACAGGGCATCACACATCCTAATGGGACTGAGGCTTACACTTTACAGAAAACAAAGGGCTTCTTGCAAGAAAAGTTGTAATTTGTTGCAACTACAAAATTAAATGGATCGTATTCTCAATCAATCAGGGTCGCATATTTGGGATCCTGATTAAATATTTGAGAGTTGTGTTTGAAAGCAACTTTCATGCAAGAGACTTCCGATGACATAGTATTAAAACACACTTTAATGAATGGCAAAATAATGAACGGCGGCAACAGAAAGAAATATACCATCCAAGTTCCCCTGAAAAATAAAAACTGAAATATGAAAGTTGGTATTTTAGGTAACTCATCTTTTGCAAATCATTCTGATTTGTTGAATATTTTGCACCATCTATAACATGGAAGGTTTAACTGATTTTGATTAACACATACAAGTATATGAAACCAGAAAAGTATTGAACAAGGCTCTCTCTAGTATCAAATAAATAGCTTTTCATATATCTACAAAAAGTGTTTAAAAAAGAATCCTCATGTCACAAACATTGTGTGACATTATGAATGCAGGCCTTTCCTCACCCCATAATCTTCACACTCCAAACTGTGTTGTATAATACCTTAGTCACACTGACAAGACTGACACCAGACCAAACGAAAATATTACATTACGTTTATGGCCAAGAATTGGTCGGTTTGGAGTCGGTCTAAAATCACTTTGTGTGACTGAGGTATAAAGTCTCAATATATATAAAAATTGGATGCAATATTGTTCCATCCAAAAGCAATGCCAGTGAACTGACTACGGTATATACCTATTTCAGGAGAATTACAAGGACAAATTTCCCTATATATTAAACTACTATATATTTTGTTATATTATGAAACTGGAAAATTACTCAATCCATTGTACATAATGATTAAGAGAAATCTTTGATTACAGATACATTTTGTGAAGCATGACAGGCAAGCATCAGATGAGCAAACAAAACCCTGTTAGACTAATAAACAAGGACCCATCATACAATATTCTATAGTTACCTCAAACTGTAGCTCAAATTTATCATTATTTGGCATTCAATTTACGACAGTTACATTAATGAGGGTTGTCCATTTTGTAATGTATATTAACACATATTGTTATTATGCTTAGTGCAATTTGGGAAACACAAAAATATTCAGACAGAATTATTACATAAAGCAGAAGTTGATTTTAAAACAGATATTTAAATTCAGAATCATAAATTTCAGTACAAATGTGATATAAACATACACCAAATCCTGTACAATATGCTCAGATTCACTTGACAGATTTGGTATCTCTCTCTCTCTCTCTCTCTCTCTCTCTCGTTCTCTCTCTCTCTCTCTCTCTAGTAGTATTACTCTACACAGACTGTCATAATAGATGAGGATTACAAGCACTAAAAGCTTACCACTCCTCGTACATGTTTTCATGATATACACTAGCACAATCGAGACATGCCACTTGACCAACAGACCAAGTAACCAAGTAACCAAACAGCCCATATGACCAACAATGTTGGTCTCACCCTAAGAAAAAGAGGGCCACAACAATGTTGGTCTCATGGGTTGTTGATCTAGTGGGCTGTCCAGCTCGGCCTTGATCTTATGGGCGACCGGTCTTGATGGCCATTGCTGATCGGTCTTGTGAGCTATCGGTCCCATGGGTCTTGTGGGCCACACTCATGGGCAATATGCCCCAACTAGAGGCTTCCATTTTGGATAACTACATCTCATGCTTTTAATTTTGTAATGATGTTTGGCACACATAGAACTAGAAGACAGGAAAATTGAAATATCTTGTGTGCCCGGCAGAAAGGCATTGGCTGGTCATTGGCTGGTCATTCCCTAGTGGTTACCAGAGTATGGAATTTACCTTACAATCCCAAGGTGCTATACACAACTGTTCCAAGATTTCGAACATTCCCTCCTAGTATTAAAAAAAATTGTTATGCTACCCATATTTCAAAATGTTATAAAGGATTCTCGGTAAAAGATCCCTATTTACTGCATTTCACTGATGATTTTGGTACAAACTTCAGAAAGTATCATATGTACATGAATCTTAAGTCAGCAAACAACATAGTTTGTTCTCTGAAATACCCCAATGTTTGTTTTGCAGATATCAAAAGGTCCTTCAATTTGTTTATCGCTTTTAAAAAAATATGGAGAATTTCATCCAAAGCCACTTTCTCCGCAAAATCTAGTCACATACACGTCCTGATGGTTAGTAAATGACTCGGGCTGCTAATGTCCTTCTGCTGGGCACACAGTAAAAAGATGGCAGGAATGCATTAGTGGCATTGATGAGGTTACAGGATAGACTACAATACACATGAATGTAATACTTTTAATGCTCCCTCTGCTGAGAGCCAGAAGGGCGTTAACTCTCAGTTAAACTATATCAGCTAACTTCCTTTTGGCTCGAAGCAGAAAACTTGCTACATAGTATAAAGTGAAGTCTCCATGTACTAAACAGAAAAATACATGTAGCAGATCAAAGAGAAAATGTCAACCAGGATATTAACATCATTCTTACACACTAGTGGATTAAAAGGGGCCTTACAATAATAAATAGATAAATTGACAAAGGAATATTAAATAATTGGTTTGACCTTTTTTGATTTAAAATTAAAAAGAAACAAAACAGCCGGATGGAATCTTATTAATTTACAGTACTCAATAAAACATAAGTTGTAAGGGGTGCACCACGCTTCCACACCAAAGCCAAATTACCTTTGTCTATAAAGGCAAGATCCCCCCTAATATTTCTGATATTTTGGCAACTCAAAAGAAGAAGAAAAATGAATAATGATATTAAAACTTCTGATTTAAGATCTACTTTGAGTGTTTCTGAACAGTATTGCAATTCTTAAAATATCATTGTATTGCCTTCCAAAATTTGCTCCAAAAATGATGGAAGAACACCTGTAGTGAATAATGCCAGGCACAGGTGCATTCTTCTACAACACACAATGCAGAAAAGAGAACAAATATAATTGAAAACTAGCCTTCAAAGTAATGTCATTTACTGTTAAATCTGATATTGTAAATAACACATCCTTTATCATAAACTAGCAAACAGAAAAAATGTATCAACAAATTGTTTCCCATGTAAAATTTACAATGAACAAAAATATCCAGAAGTGTTTCAGTTTTCAGCTCTAGCACCAAGCGAGTCATTTTCAATTTAAAATTGATGAGCAAAATGACATGGGTAATCATTTATGAAGAAAGAAAGAGAGAATAAGGGAACAGCTGTTATGGTTAGTACACAGACTCCATAGAGACTGTCCCAACCAAAACATTACCACCAACAGGCAACAGCCTATCAATGCTGCAAACAAACGAATACAATATACCATGTATCACAGCTTGATTGAAATGTCTGTTGAGGGCCAGACAGGCGTTGAATTTCATGGAAATTATTATGAGTTAACACCCTTCTGGCTCTCAACAGATATAATTATCATACTTATATTTGTCCATGAGAACACAGGTAATTTAATATATAATTAGATTGTTAGAGGCTAAGAATATTCCTTTTCAATAAATAATCGGAGACCTCCCGATGATTTCTCAAGAGAGCATAATCGTGCGCGATAGATGATTACACCAATTAATTTGTTGTTTTTTTCCATTTGGAGGTTTATGTAAAATCACTTTCACAAAGACTATAAAGAAATAAAATCAAGGACAACCTCATCATATTGCCTATAAACAAAATAGAATTAACTGTCTGATTATGTGATAGGTCACTGTAATGTTGGCACGTTTCAATAAGTGAAGCACAAGGCTATGAAACAATCTGACTCTATTTTTCATCTTTTGTTTTTCTAGCACGATTTAGGATCGAGAAATATCTGTCCTGTGTTATGTAACATTGTACATTTTGAAACAATAGCTCTGCTTATGGTAGCACGTAACTTCACAAAACCTAACGGAAAAGGATTACCCTGATATGAATGTGTTCTTCAAGCATTCAAGCCTGCATAAAATTGAAGAGGAAATTAAAAAGGAATCTAGAGATTAGACTATCAAAATGGAAGGCCAAATAACAGGACGCACTGCACATCCACGGTAATGAACTCTGGCATATTATATGCCATAAAAAGAATTCATGAAATAATGATGTTACCTCAAAGTGCCTATGAAAGTGTTAACATACAACGCACCCATGCTGTTCTTATCTTTAGCCAAATGTGAATGTAAAAAGTGACCAATCACCCGGGAGGTAATTAATGATGGGTGTAATCATTACTGGATGCATTCAATTCCACATCTACCTGTCCTAAATCAATAATTTTGTAAAATCATATGGAAACACTGTTTTAAAAAGCCATTCAAGAAAGAGATTTTTAGTTCAAGTAAAAGGATTTGCATAATCGCTTCAAAATAGAAGTGTCATTTTGTCATCTGATCATATTTGCTTCGGTTGGGATAAGTGATGTAAGATAAGATGCTGGAGGGGAGAGATGCACCTTGCGTCACTGGAATATTCTTTCACTGTTGCATATCTGAAGTCCAATTGGCATAGATAGGCATTAAAACATCCGCTGATATTGTACATGTTTGGCAATCTATTACTGAAGAGTACTTATTGATCATTCCATGGGTCAGGGTGTCGCCAGTAATGCATGGCCTCCTTGCCTTGGAGTAATCTTCAGCTATCCTCGCAGAATACATCATTTGGTAGTGAGCAATATCACAAGTCCCCACCATCACCTGGCAGCTTCTTAAGTTGTCTTTCACTTCCATGATCCCACGCACCTGTTGGATTCAATCCACTGGAAGTCCTTTCCTTACATCACCGCAAACAAAGCTCCATACATCCATCTTCTCCTGTATCTACATATCCAAAAAATGAACACGATCCTATTCACAGGGAGTAAATACCACAGCGTCACAAAAGTCTATGTCACATTGAGTGTCTATTTCGCATGGGTATGCTTTCAATTCTGCTTGAGTCTCTTCCGAGGTAGCCCCATGAAAGGAGGACTTTGTGAGGTGGCCAGCGCCCGGAAAGCATCGGCCACCAGCCCCGGATGACTGTGCACCATTGTTTTCCATCCATTGGTATCCATCACTTCCGTTGCATGGCTGCATGGAGAAAGGGACAGAGGAAGCAAAGATGGAAGAAAGGAGAAGCAGAGAGTTAGGAGATAGATGAGAGAAAGAGGGAGAGAGGCAGAAAGGAGAGGAAGAAAATGGAATGAAAGAAAAACAGAAAAGAGCGGAAGACAGACAGAGAAACAGACAGAGGGGGAGAAAGAGATAGAGGCAAGAGTAGAAAGATGAAAAAATTGTTGAGTTTTACAATTGTTGTCTTTGGTTATCATTATCATCATTTGTTATTCTTCCATCTGGCTAAGAAGACCATTATACTTCAGAAGTTTTTAGAAAAAAGGTACAAAACCAGACAATATGAAATATCATCAAATCTCTTAAATATATGCTGACTCCATCATCCACAGCTATTAATATATCAGAGCTCATAAGTGTGACTCATTAATGTTATACATGAATAACCCACTGGAGACAAATTTAAGATATTCTGGCGTCTGGTACTGAAATTACCCCTATCGACCACAAAATCTTTGGGGATATTCTGAAGATTCTCAAGATCCGCCTAGAATTGTATTCTGAAGATCCTTCCTTCCTCATCACCCCCCCCCCCCCCCCAATAAAGGTGGCATATGGCAGGTTTTGCTTCATTACATATTGACTGCTGAGAGCTAGAAGAGAAATGTAAACTCTTATCCAAAATGCTATGATACCCTGCTGGTTCTCAACTGACATTAAACACTTCATGCAATAAGTCACTTGTACAGACACAAACAAAACAAACCTATTAGTATAGTCGATGGCGACTGCTTTAAGCTGATCTGCACTGTGAAGATCTGCTAACACCAGGATATCTGCAACATTGTCTATCGTTAGGTTGGTACATAATGCCTCTTCACACATCACCTTCAGCCGATCTAATGCATACTGTACATACAAAAGCCACAGGAGGTACAAAGTAAGGTTCATGGTCAATTTCAGGGCATGGGAAAGTTTATCATGAGCAAATTCCTGGGAAAATTATGTTATTGAAATTGTAAAAGACAATATAGCTATTACATAAAACCAGATTTTGAGGTCTCTAACAATTAATTCATATATTGTGATTTGTGCATGATATCACTATCATACACATGAGTGAAACCACTTAGTCTTTAAAGTACCACAACCTTCAAAAAAGATTTGATGCAGGTAGCACACATACATTTGATACCCTCACCTCATATAAAAATGACCTATCTACATGATGATTATAACACAAACTTTTGGAATTGTATTTTTCTTAGCATCATACAATCTTATAAAGACTAGAACAATGTAATAAATGGATATTCTTTTATATAAACCTTTTGAAATTACTCTAATTTACAACCTTGAAATAATTAACTTGAAAGGAGCCAAAATTAATACTTTCCTTTTGCCTTTTATTTTGTGTTTTAATCAGTGCCTATACAAGCATGCAACCTAAGGGATCAAAACAACCAATAAACTGCAGCAATTCCTTTATATTTTATGACCTAGATAGGGCTCTTGTAGTTTACTCTAGTAGAAACCATTGAAATATGTTATACCAAGATCTAATCACATGTACAGTGTATGCACCATTGTCATTTTTAGGACTTATTCGGTTACATCTTAGCTGTCATGATGTCCTTCTTTTTACCTTGTCTGCTGCTGCCAGTAATTCATCAGCCATTTTATCAAGGTTAGGAGCCTTGCCAGTGTAGATAAACCTTAAGATCTCTTTCATAACCATGTGATCAACATCAGTGATTTCTACTCGCCCATGTCTCTTCTCCTCCATCTCATGTTCAAACATGGCGTTGAAGACTGGAGATCTCGCTGCATTCAGGAAGGAAAGAAGTAAAGAAAACATTTAGTAATTGATGTATTATGCATCTTAAGCTGCAGTCACAAAGATTCGTATGAACGATGTGTTCGTACGAATCTCCCAGTTTTCCATTGTCTTTCTGAATTTCCATTGTCTGAAAATAGTTTGTACAGTGTTCGTAGCAGTTCGTAATGGCATTTGTGACCAAGGCCTTACATAAAGTCGTACCCTAAAACAATGAGATGCTGAAATGGTTACCGGTAAGTAGGAAAAAGCGCATATGAACGAGCATAGGGGAAACAAAAAAATTTCACAGTGAAGTGGGTAAAGAGTTAACCTATGTGCAGGTATGTATGCATAAGGATCCAGAAACTACATGCAGTCTACACACTATTTGCTTTTACCTTTACTTGCAATGTCTCTTGGCAGAAATAAGATTTAATACCGATAGTTTTGATTTTTAGTTCCGGCAAGGAACACCAAACATACAGAACAAAAGATTGTAATTTCAAGATTGAATATGCATGTAAGAGGAGCTACACAAACTTAGAGCTTATAGAAAAAGGAAAAACAGGAATAATAGCGAGATAAATATAATTGATAAATGAATGCCAGTTCTGAAACTAGTGTCATATCTAATTTGAGAACATAAATCGGATCATTGATTGCCCTAAGTGATATTTCCTGCATACTGTGAACTTTACCAGAAGACAGTTAGCACAGACATGGGAAACCATGATGAAATATATGTAACTCAATCACTGTCAGACTCCTGCAAACTACAGTTGAGTGAAGAACCATTAGATATGAAAGTTTCAGTATCTATGCTATTCAAGCAATAGATTGGAGGCTCATTGAGGCCCAGATAAAAAGACACAATGGCATTCATCAAAGTGCTTTAAATTAAATAATAATCCTGCCCTGAATCTATAAACAGTATTTATATAATCTGGGAAATAAAATTACATGCCTGGGAAGGAACGCAACAACTGATATCCTTCACTGCAGACAAACAGACAGTCAAGGTTTAAATCCAGAATTAAGTGGGCGCGTTTTGTCCACTCATTTAAAGAATTCTAATTACTAGCATTCTGCAATGAAATGGAAGGAACAAAAAGGGGGGGGGGGAAGAGTTTTTACTCAGTGTAGCTAGATTTAATTTGCCTACTTGAATAAATACAGGCTATTGGTATTTAATCCAACTCTAGATATGAAAGAAAATGATTAATGCCCTTCTGTTGATAATCAGACAAACAAAACTCATATTCAAAAGAGCATGTCATTTACAAACTATCCCACCTGCAAGGATTGCTGTGTGAGCTTTGAACTCTTGACCGTTGACACACAGGGTGACATCACTGAATGCTGCCCTCTCTAGTAACGCACTGAGGTCGTCCGCTAATCTGCATTCTGGAACCTTGAGCTGTGATTGGTTAGACTGTCCATAGACGTTTACTGTGTCTGCGACAACACTCACCTGCAGAGTAATGAAATCAGTTGGAAGATGAATGATCAATTGGGCATCAAAAACCTGTTTTTTAGTCATCCGTGCAAACTAATTTTATTGCTAAAGATAAATCGCAAATTGTATAAGTACATAGGTGGTTGCTGTTCTGGGGTGAATGTTTAGCATAAATTAAATAGATTTTTCAACTGCTATATCTTCTTCTTTTTTTTTGGGGGGGGGGGCGGATAAATTACATGTAGATGTAATTCCCTCCTATTACATATTTCTCAGCTACGATTTTCCGTCATTGAAAAGTATACCGGTAGGTTTTGTTACTGAATTAAAATGGCTCTCCAACTAGAGCTTGGTGCATAATACATGTAGAAGTTTGCCTGGTACATCACATCATCAAGAAAATGGCTGTGCCCATGTCATGCTAAAAACATTACAGGTACATCATGCCAAGAATATCTTGAATTATATGTCTCATGTACCTTTTCTTACAGAATACTGCAGATCAATAGGCAGGAATAAAATTCATCTTTCAGCAAACCTAAACTTTTCCATTGAGTAAGGTTTTGACAATTCATATCAACTCTATGTCTACATGTACATGTACATCTGTGGCCAGAAACCTATCCATATTAAGTAATAATGCAGGTTTGAATATTAAAGTTTGAAGTTACCCTGCAGAAGGTTATCATCTTGAGAAGGAGTATTAACATGGAAATCAAATTGCAGCTTTGTAGGCAAAAGACCATATTACAGAACTGGCTAATAACAGGTTAAATTTCAAAATTTGAAATTTACCTCGCAGAAGAGTGTAAGTTTATCATCTGGAAGCAATCCATTGGCCTCGTCCATCAAGAAATCTCTCCTGATGAATTTCTTGAAGCCCCAATCCTTGCCCTGTACAAACTTGTACGCTCGTTGGCTCTCTGAATTCACACAAAAATTATTGCATAAACACTGAATGCTCACAGATATTAAAGTAAATGATCATTATTTAATCAAAACAATTCTTTCTTTGTTCGATTGGAGTGGTAAATAACTCTATAAAACAGTCAAACCTGCCTATAGCGACTGCCCAAGAGAAATACAAAAAGTTGTCTTTGTAGACAGGTTCCTTTAGTACATTTTTCAATGAGAAATAATTTTCAAGGGGAAAAAAGAATGTGGTCTTTGTAGACAGGTGGTCACTAAAGCAGGTTTGACTGTAATAGTATAGGCTGTTTTTGTCTTAAATAAAAAATGTTTTGTATTTACAACTAATACTTTTTATATTATCTTTTTATGTACAATTTACATGGTCAATAGTTTCAGAAGAATTTTGTTTTTCATTTCTAGAATGATGATTTATTTGTACATTGTTTCATTTTTATATAATTACCGGTACCGGTATGTTATTTGCACAAGGTTTCATGTGCACAATCATGACACATTTCTACAAAATGTTTCCCTTTTGCAATTTATATTTCATTTGTACAAAAAAATTTTCATTGTACAATAATTCGTTATGAATTTGCAAAACAGTGAAAAATATTTCATTTGTAGGATAGTAGTTAATTTGTACAATAATGTTTCATTTATACTAAGCATCTATGTATTAGGTGGAAAGCACATACAATCTCATAGATTTAACCTTTTTTATGAATCTCCATATCAATGTCAATTGCACTCAAGTAGTTTTTCCAGTTCAGACACTGCCTGACAATGGCTAGACATCAAACACTTTGTCTATTACCGTCAAAACACAATTTGTCAAAAGTCCACTTAGACCCAACCAGCACAATGAGCTGTGCCACTCATGTAGAGCCGCATCAAGACATTTCTTAGGGACAATTAGTTATACATGAACTGCTTTATAGTTCTTACTATGATAGATGTTTAAAATGTAATATGAAATCAATAGGCTTTCAAATATTTGAACAAGCAATGCCTAGACAGTAGTGTTGAAAACAGCAAATATAAATACAATTAGTTAAACAAATGTTTACATTTTGTTAAGAGGTATACCGGGCAAACATGCAAGCTTTTCAATAGCTGATAAATAAATGTATAATTTTGACCTGGGACATCTCTCATAAAGAGTTGCAATTGATTCCAAGCCATCACAATTTAACATGAGTTTGGTATAAATAGCAACTCTGTACACATGCAGGCTTCTCAGCAGAATTTTTTTTTTTACTGTTATTGCTATGCCTATGAGGCATCCCAAAGGAGTGGTTTTTGGAGGAACAATGCAATTTAGCAGGTATGAAGTGTGCATTTACATATCAATCACCATTATAGGCTTAGTACTAGCACCACAGGTGATTTGCACTGGCAAAAACCATGCATGAGAAATTGATTGGAGAACTACTTTTCTTTAAATTGATTATTAAAACCCCCAAAATAGAATAAATCACAACCTCTTTTGTTTTATAAGACAGGATTCTGGCCTACATTAGAAGCATAGATAGAAATTAATCTTGATATTATGCATACTAATGTTATGATCATACAACTCACCCATGGCTTTTGTTTCTTCTCTCTTGGCATTGAGTATTGAAAACTTAAACTTGGCCCTGACTTCAGCTTTATTGCAGGACACAAGGAGAAGATAGAGGGAGAGGTAGTCCTTGCTCTCTTCATCAAGGCCCTTAGGATTCACCCGCAAACACCTTCAGAGAGAGAAAAAGAGACAAGGGTGACAGATGAAGAAAGCAAAAGAGAGAGAGAGAGAGAGAGGAAGAGGGGAATGGAGGGAGAGAGGAGAGAGAGGGAGAAAAAGAAGGGCAGAAGAAAGAGATAAAGAGAGAGGGAGTGAGAAGAGGTGAGAGAAAAAATGTGAGTGATATAGAGCGGAAGACAATGGGAGGATAAGAGAAATAAAGGAAAAGGGGGGAAAAGGGGGGAAAGAGGGGGAAAGAGGTAGGAAGAAAGAGAAAGAGAGAGAGAGAGAGAGAGAGATACATGTACATGTTGTGAATGATAAAGCAAAACAAAAAACAAAAACAAAGGAGCAGCTCTCAAAGTAGGAGAGAAAGGAGACAGTCAATGGATAAAATGAGTTTTCAATAAACAGTCTCGTCTCTCAAAAATCTGAAAGATGCAGAGTTTCTTCAGAGGTGTGTTCATGTACAGCACTGCTCAAAATAAATTACCGGTAGACACCCTCATGCCATGTCACGCCGTAATCTATGTAATAATGTATGCAGTCATGTGCGATGTAAATTGCACAACATTTTCTTGACTAAACAGGATGTACATAAATTTACTATTTTGGGAATTGATTAATGTGATCAATCTTTGTAAAAGACATAAAATGTAAATCATAGCAATTAAAAAACTGCTTTATAGCATGTCAAATGTCATTGTTCAAATACATGAAGCAAACACATTTACCAATGCTTCTTCTACATGTTTCAATGATTTTTTTTTTTTTTTCACCTACAGGTATGATAATACTTGGAGGAGATACTTGAGGTTCACAGTGAGTCAGTTAACTTTTTCCCTCCCAGGCAGAAGTGATGCCAAATAATAAGAACGATGATGATGATGATGATGATAATAATAGTAAAAAGAAAGATAATTCTATTTGTTTAGATTACCATTTCAGCTTATCATTAGCACCTGATGAAAACGTGGAACTCTTAAGCACTTCTCCCATCTCTTCTCGGCAGAAGCTGAAATTGTTGATTGTCCACATGTACGAGAACTTAACAACTTTCACCTGTAAAAAAAAAAAAAAGTGGGGGGTATTGGTTCTTTGTTATTGAAAGCTGCATTTACACCAAAATTCACATTTCGAACACAATGAAAAATTTAAATCTAAAAATCTACCTCAGGAGTGTGGTTTTTAATAATCAGGAAATCTAGTTTAAAAACACACCTGCATACACAATGTACATGTACATACAGTACATTTACGAAATGAAAACTGTGAATTCAAAAATAGGTGTGAAACCTCTTGACGCACCATCCAAGTAGGTCTACATGTGTATGTATGACAGAATTACAATCAATTTTGACAAATTAAACCTTTAACAATGTACCATTATTGCTCCTCATAAACATCAAGTTTTTGTTTCAAGATTAACAACATATAAATGCATGTACATATGTGTACAATAAACGAAAATGTTTGTAGGCATACCTATTTCTGCAAATGAATTTTAAAAGAAAATAAAGGTTTACACACAAAATGTCAACAATGAACATGTACAATGTAGTACGTGTAAAAATACATGTACATGTACATGTAAATGAAGTGAGGATTATAAATCTATGAAGTGGCAGTTGCTTGGCATTTATGGGAATGTGTTCTATAAACTTCTATACTTCCAATGAAAATCAGTATAACAGAGTCTGGTACGACATCTACATGTAGCTCTGAGCAGCAGGCAATGTCAATGTCCCATAACATTCCCAGACACTGAGGTCTGGTGTGGTTTATTATTGAATTCCCCTTTCAAGATCAGATTCCTCTATTCCAACCAGACGATGTTTTGATTGTCTACTCTGCACATACATGTATGCAAAGCCCTTTGGTAGATCTATGTAAGGTATACTCAGAAGACTGTACATCCCTTGAGTGACTTTTTATGCGAAGAAAACAAAATTAAACACTGCACAAAATAATAAAATAATTCCCTAAATATCACCAAAAAATTCCATATTCCATGTACAATATTACACATGATCAATATTACACATGATGGAGGCACACACTGTCATTAAAAAAAATGCTTACAAAAAAAATGATACAATAATGGTCAGCATTTTGTCCTTTCCCTGTTACATGTACATGCATATATTCAATTAAAGCAAGTACGGGTAACAACATTTGACTGAAATATGAATGATTTCTTGGAGAGAGTCGATCTGACACACATGATGATTATATAGCCCTTTAACTGTACAATATTATCACATCTGCCAGTGTAGGTATCTATATAAGTAATACGCTAAGGCTCCGCGGGGGGCGCGACGTCTCGGCGAGCCTTTGTATTCTATTGTTTTTTAATGAGATCGCCGACCCAAGTTGGTGCGGCTATCTCCTCCTGAACCCTCCCCTCGGGGTACCCGTGACCGGTGCCATCGTCCGCGGGAGAGTCTACTCTAGCGAATTGGCTATACTCCGCCCGAGGTCCTCCTCCGTGTCGACGTCCAGGGCGAAAACAGACGCGACATGCATAATGCAGGATATGCGTGACGACAGAGATACCTCATGGATATTCAACATGACATCCGTAGACACACGACCGATGACTATCCACTCACATTAAGTTGCGTATTAAATGCTCTATGCAAAGGGCGGGATTACCGAGAGTAAAGCATCTTTCTATAGGATGTGCTTTGTTGTAGCTAGGATGTGCTTTGCATGGATTTGCATGTAGTAGCTGCACAAGAGATACACGGAGCTTCCCGTCGACGTCCAAACTTAGAGACCTATTTCCATCATGATTGCCGCGATTTTTATATAGTTTTCGTGAATGGAGGTATGAAATCAAAGCTTATTTTGTGATTATTACGGCCATGTGTACTCAATTTTGATCATCATTTTCTAAAGGGAAAGTTTTGACAAGAAAACCATTGGACTGACAAATCAGTCGCAAGCTAACTTCAGTCACCACACATCACAGTGCAGTAACTCGAGGAATCTCCAACACCGGCACCGGGCACCGCAGGCGTCCGAGGCCTGCGGCGCCTGTGTTTGAGCTTCGTGGAGTTACGCTGGAGTGTTATGTGTGTGAGTAGAGCTGAGCTGAGCTCGAGTCGAAGAGATTTGACACTTTGAAATTGTTATCTGTTGGTTTGCATCATTATTGCCGCGATTTCAATATAGTTTCGTGAATAGATTTACGAAACCTGAGCTTAGAATTAGTAAAAGTATTACTAATGTCTACGTTTTTAAACGACTGTCTGATTTTCTTGTGAAAATTTTACTTTGAAAAATAATTATCGAAATTTATGGTCAGAAATAATCACAATCTAGGGTCTATTATGTTACAGTTCTTGCATCAAATCAATGCATGAAAACTTAGTTATTGAACTAGAAAAATGTTTTTTTTTTAAAATAGGCAATTATGAAGAAGGAAACCTGAAACCCTGAGTTGAGTGTATATTTGTTTCAAGGGGCCATAAACCCCCAAAAGCTCGGGGGTTACGTTCTTCAAAGTTGGGGGGGGGGGAGAGATCAGATCGCAGCGAGTTGAGTGTATATACAATATAGGCGTGGGGTCCACGGGTTTCAAGGGGCCATAAACCCCCGAAAGCTCGGGGGTTTTAGGCGTTTAATTAGGGTCAGATGAGCATATTTTTAATACTTTATTTGTGACACTTGCGGGTCACTAATTGGCGTGGGGTCAATACGTAGAGTTGCGTAGTGTTGCGTACCAACTACGCTGGCCTACGTTACTATATGCTGAGGGACAGAAAGGGGTACGCAAGATGAACGAAAACAAGTCAACATGTTTAATTTTTTTCGCGTACTTTCAGCGTAGAAACTTGACGCAGAAAGTACGCCTTTTTACGCAACACTATGCTACCCTACGCCAGATCGTCAAAGCAGTAAAAGCTTTCCACACAGTAAGCAACCATATAAGCAAACCTGTACGCCAGCCTACGCATAACCTACGCAGGGACTATTTTCCCATTAATACGCAGCCTAATTTCTGCATAGTCGGTACGCCACACTACGGAACTCTACGCAGTTCCAGTGGCTTAAAGAATAACTACCGGTACAGTTGGATCGTTTTTTTAATTTTTTTTATATAAGGCCAAATTTAAAAAAAACATGTTTAGCGTCCTGTTTTTTCTGAAAAATGGGAAGGAGGATCGAGGCCCTTTTTTTTTTTTTTTTTTTTTTCTTTCAAATGGCTGCTCCGTACATTTTCCCTGACATTCAGGCTATTTTTCAAGATGGCAGCCGACAATTTTTTTCTTTTCTTTTTAAGATCAGAAATACATTTTAGCAGTGCTTTTCATGTTTTTTTTCTTTAAAAAAAAAAAAAATCAAAAAAAAAAAAATAGGAGAGGCGGCCCCCAGAAAGGAAGCGGGTGGGGACGCTGTTTTTTTTCTATAAAAAAATTAAAAAAAATAAAAAAAATTCAAAAAAATTTCAACAAAAAAAAAAATAGGAGGCGGCCCCCAAAAAGGAAACGGGCGGGGAAGCTGTTTAAAAAAAAAAAAAATATAGGAGGTGGCCCCCAAAAAGGAAGCGGGCGGGGACGCTAAACATGTATATTTTTTTAATGGCCTGAATGGCAAATAAAGTTCTTGGTGGTTTTAATTTAGACAGTCTCTATATATCTATTTACACCCCCGCCCCCCTCTAGAATCCCGCGGATTTCCGCGGGTCCTGCTAGTATAGTATAATTACATTTCATTCCATACAACTAACCCAAGTATGTCATTGGCCTCACTACAGTGTATTTGCACCGCATCTCCATGGGACCCAAGTAATCTTGAACACTCTGCCCTGTGTGAATTATTCTGTGCTCCTTTAATCACAACTTGAGGTTTGTCTCTGCTGGCTGGACAGAGCATACATGTACCTGCATAGCCAGCAGACTCAACGTGATCGTCAGACACATGGCAAAGCATGCTAATAAGGAGCAATTACTGTAGTTAAGCACTTCCAACAATTTCCAAGCCAATTCAAATCAATTGCTCATTTAATTTTTTGTGATGGATTTTCCACGCATGTGATGAATAATAATCCATACAGAACCTGTAACTCAGTAGACGATTTGAAATGAGTTTGATCAAATCTTACATTTTTGTATTGGAGTTTATGAGACTGATTTGGCTCATACACTTCCACGTCATGTTGATCGTACAATATATAATTAATCATTTTCATTTCACAGTGAAGCCCATACATTGTACATACTGTACATGTATGCATTTTTTATGAGAAAAAAAAGAGTTTTCTGATTTGGTTCCTGAATTTTACTGTTGAGATGACAGTGTTACGGCTCCAGTAGCTCTGGTCTGGGCAGTATCAGATTTATTCACAATTCGGCATTCCATTCAGATTGATTGATTGGAATCAAGAACAAAACAATGAAACAATTTAAACAACATGTACATTGTAAATAGCACCTGGAAGATTGACTGTAAATCCAAGCTGCTAATTTTTCAATGCTGTTATTTAGAGTTTATAAGGATTGCTTTTCTTTTACATTGTACATGTACATACATGTATATGCATTAACAGCTTATGATGCACTTGAAATTAAAGGAAAGTGGCTTTCTGTCATATCTTTACCTGAAAAATAAATATACCATAAATCTCTGTGTATAAGGCGCACTTTTATGCCGCCGAAAAAAATTGAAAGTCAGGGGTGCGTCTTATACACGGGTACAGAAAAAAAAAGTTATTTTTTAATTTATTTTTTTTAAGTTTTGATTTATGGCGCTATGCCAGGCAATGTCTCCCAGCTCAGTAATCAGTGTGTTGACTCACCACTCGGAAACTACAACAACACTCAAATTTGTCTGTCATCTTGGTTTGAAAGTAATCTTTCTAATAGATATAGTTTATAATAATAATTCCTCAAATTTTTTTCTATAACAAATATATTACTACAAGGTCCTATCCTAGGTATTGTATTGTAATTTACATTAATGATCTTACATATTCTTCTAAAAACGACATTGTTACTATTATTTGTGACAAGTTCACAGGCATAAATCAGCGCCTTCAACTGCACCTCGATGTTAATGAAGGTCCTTGCCCGCGTGGGTTTTCGGCAACAAACCAACAACAAACAAACAAACAAACAAACAATTTTTTTTTTTTTTTTTTTTTTTTTGCACCCAAAATAGGGGTGCGCCTTATACACAGAGATTTACTGTACAAGTACACTGTACCTGAACAGCAGTTTCAATAATATTAACCAAATACCCAAGGTTCAAACTACCAAACCTCATCCTATGGCTATACAAGAATAGTACAAAGCTGTACCATAAAACAATAATAAAATATCAAAGTTAACATTAATATAGTGGTTAACATGTTTATCGTTTTTAAGAACTTTACATGAAAAGATAATTATTAAAGAAAAACTTGAACAATAGATATAATTATGCAAGAATACAAGTTTCATATAAATTTGGTACAAAGACATGTTAAAATTACTTGAAATGAAACCTACATGTAAATATAATATAGATATTTCAATTCAATAGAGCAAACAGGCATCCCCCTGGAAAACAAGCAAACGTTAATGAGGAGCGTGAGAAAAATTGCAAATTGCAGGGACCTCCTTGCAAGCAGGAGGGGTGCTGAATATGGATTACATTAGAAACTGTTTGCTTTTCTCTATGTACATACATGTACATGATTCTCCTTACAAGTGTGCTCTTAAATTTCCCATTCCAATTTGAGAATGATTATTTCTTTGTGTAGCTGAAGTAAATTTGATGTACATGTAAGTGACATGTATATGATACTGGAACTTGAATATGAAAATTGAAAGCACATGGAAATTAAACATTTTATGCTTTAAAAAAACTGTATGTTACAAACACACCAGCTATAATTTAAACCAAGGCACAGAAAAGGTAACATAAATGTATATTTAGCTCTTTTATTGTTTGTTCTGTATCTGTGTTACAATGTACAAATAAAAATTAAAAAAATACAAAGTTTAACAAAGAAAAACAAATACATTCAGTACCAATGCACGAGGTATTCAAATAAGTGGCAAATATCTTGCCAACATGTAATCATTTTTAACTTTAAAATGTGTTTTTTCATGAATTTTAAGAATTGAAGTACATGTAGAACAAACATTATTTTAGGACTACAAGCGATCTTACCTAAAAATCGAAAGGCTAAACGGTTAAACGGTACACTCTGAATTATTCTGCAGGGGAAATGTGTCTTACCTGGGTGTAACACCAGTTCTCTGCTACAGGGCACGACATGACGTCTAACGGAGGGGGACTTGGGACCCGTGACGTCGCCAGTTTGGAGTACGATTCTCTGAGTGCAGATGCTTCCAAAATCAGGTGAGACTGAGTGATTTCACATCAATGCCAGAATCTGAAGAGAAAAAAAAAGATAAGATATTAAACAATGAGAAAAAAGGGTCTACACGGGTACGGTATATGTATGTACATGTAAAAGTATAGGCCTACAGTTGCCTGAGAATTTTATTTTTGGAGTCTCAATTTAAAGGGGGAAAGGTACAGGTTTACCAGAGCAGACAGATTCCTATGACTCTGATTTACACATGTACATTTGCCTTTAGAAAGCAAAATACCAAATGTAATTCAGAAAACGTGTCAGGTCATCATTATGAGTGTTACATCCAGTCAGAGATGGCCTACAGTAGGCATTACATCATATTGGAATTTCCCACATGTACTTTTCCAAGTAAATAACATGCATGTGCAGTGCCAGTGAGTGACTGTTCAAACGTACCTCCACTAAGGCTGTGCATAACCGTGTAATGATCCACCAACTCACAGTAAAGCATTTATCTTCAGATTTAAATCAAATTAATTTATATTGTAATGCATGAAAACATAGTGCATGGATTGCAGTACACCGTCTGATACAATTAGCATGTTACTCCCTGAACGGTACCTTGAGCATAATAAAAAATACAGGTAGGCAATTAGCCCTATTGATAGCTAAAAAGCACAGAATGCGCATATTAAATGATATAAAAGAATAACTAATTCTGCAAATATGGTTGCAGATAAACAAAATTGGTTGCCCATGGTACCTGAAAGTAACATGACACCCTGAACGCCAACACCTATATTATTATGTTGTGTATTCACATTCTTGTTCTTTTAACATTTCCTGTTTGGTGTGTCTACAATTTCTCTATTATTGTAATATTCCTCAGTCTGAGAAGAGGCTATAAGAAATACAATCGTCTGTGTACCGCAGGGAGTGTTTTTCTGATGTCTTTGTGCCTGTTGACCTGTGCATATAATTCACTTTTTCTCTACACAACTTCCCATGGCATAAAAGGTGTACAGTATAGATTGCCTACAGAAGGCATTAAGACTGATTAACATTAGCTTCACAGATTTGAGTGCTGTCATTGTATGTCCACATACATGTACATGTACATGGAGACGTTAACAGATGACAAGTAACAAAATATAATTGTATATAAAAATGAGCAATTATACTCTGGAAAGTTAAAATAGGAATACATTTTGTTTTCCAAATTACCGGTAATCATAAAATCACTGTGAGGGAATCATAGTTTTGTTGTTTTCATACATGTAGCAACTTGAAGTATGATAGCAACTGCAAGTATGGTATAGCCTGATGTTTTTGTGGAGAATTTTTAATTTTCAAGATAAATGAATGCAGGCCACACACAAAAGTGTAAACATGTTTGCAAGAGCAATGCCAGCTCTATTAACCATTCATCAATTCTTGAAAATGAAAGCCCTATAAAAATAATGGCTGAGCTCATGTGATCCAAAACCAAGTTCAACCAAATTACCAAAATAATTACACACTGAATTACATATCCACACTGTACAAGTATACAATGATGTAGTGCTGTAGCCGAACCGCCGAACCGAATAGAAGTTCGCCGAACATGGCACTTCCGAACCGAACCGAACCGAACCGAACGCAAAGGCCTAGTTCGGATGATCGGCAGAAAAATGTAAACGCTAATAAACTTGTCATTTTGTACCTAATTTTCATGTCATGATTGCTCATTTTATATTTACTTTTTTCCCATTTTCCACCTTTGTGATTTATGCCTATCCAATGGTGGGCGTGACTTCACTGGCGCCATTTAAATCCCAAATCCTGAACACTGCTACGTCGCGATCGCAAGCCATAAACAAGAATACATGTGCGTGCTCAAAACAAGTTCAGCTCAAACCCATTCAACAACAAAAATAATATTTTAATTGTAACAATATCGGACAAATTTTACAATAAAAATAATGAAATCAATATATGTTATAGTATAGTATTTATTTATTCAGGAAAAATAGGGATTTTATATTTTTCCTATTGAAAATAAACACTTATAAAAAAAACAATGATCGACGAGCCTGAATCACTATTCAAGATGGCAGCTTTCATGACTCTAACATTAGACAACAACCGTCTCGGAAAATCTTTAAAAAATATCATTTATTGACAAATTGAAAACATGATTCTTTTATAATTGCAAATAAAACACGATTCAAGACGGAAATACGAATGTAAGTAGTACTTTTCTTTACAAATAATTATGTTTAGAGCAGCTTTTTAATGTGAAATTCGTGCTCGTCGGAAGCAATGTTTTTCATCAGGAGTGGGCAGAAGTCCTCCGTGCTGGTCGGGCCTGCCCAGTGCCGACTGCCGTGGCTATAACGCTGCTTGCTATTGTATTACCAAACCCCGAACCGAACATAGTTCGGGTGAAAAATCGCCGAACTCTGCCAAACCGAACCAAACCGAACACGAACATAGCGTCTGACTTACAGCACTACAATGATGTATAATCATTGTTTTTTATCCACTTTTTGAAATGCAAAAAAACAAACAATATTATTACAATGACATGTATATGAATTCACACAATCATTCAAGTAGAGAACATTCAGCATAAATTTAATTTGTATCATTTATGTAGGAGACATTATATCTTTAAGTACAAGTTGAAGTGTTCATATTCAAGCACAGTAAAATACCGAAAAGGACTTTAAATAGAGAAGTTTGCTGACCCTGTTGCAAGACTGAGCCATCAAATTTACAGTATATGTTTATGGATTTTGTTTTATTTGTGAGAATCTATGTAATGAGGTCAAAAATCTGGAATATTTCCTTAAAGTGCGGGGGCTCTCCAAGTTTCAGAACAATGTTGTTTTTGTAACCCTCAAAAGTACAGTAAATTAGCAGGGCAAAACAAAAGCTACATGTACAAGGGGGGGGGGGGGACATTGTGAAAACCCCAAACTACTGGTTGAACACTGATAACACACAAAGAAGGAAGGGAAGTAAGAAAAAGAAAACACTGCTACAATAAATGTCAATATGTTATTTGTTTGATACACAATGTACTGATTTCAATCATGCAAATTTTTGTTGGGTGCCTTTGATCGCATTGTAAATCACAATGTATACCCTAATCATTCTTCCTTTTATTAGCTCAAATCGTTTTAATTTTGATGTCTCAGTTTTTAAGCGTACAAAGGGGTTTAAAAAAAATGTTGTATTGCCCTTGGCGACCGACCCTAAAATCTACATTTGGCTTTTTAATAAAGTTTTATTTTTACTTTACCATTACAAAAAAAAAAGTTTAATGAATTGAACAACAAAAAAGCGTATTTAGTTTGTTTAAATGGAATATAAATGGATATTGCATAAGATCATCAAATTATTCTCAAATTCCCACTCGTCTTCGGCCCTAGTTTCAAAATCCTGTTAGCTTTTAACAAGTAGACCCTGGAATCGTGTACATGTAAGCACTGCACCAGCTAGAAACCAGCGAGATTCGGAGCGATGTTCCTGGTTTTAAGTTTTTATGGGGACGGTCGCTTTCCTGAGGGGAATTTTTTATTTTTTTTAATCCGACCGACCAACGCACTAGTTCTGGCACCTTAAGGGCAATCAACATCTTTTTTTCTTTTGAATAGTAAACAAAAGGAAGAGCGGGCAAAAAGAAAGCGGGCGGGGAAGAGAAACTTGTAAGTTTTGTTACATGGCCTAAGACTAAGAGCATGCTTTTTAAGGCTGTGCACAACCGTGTAATGAGGTACCCGAGTACAATCCCAGGCTTACAAGCGAATACACGTATATTATTTTTTATTATTTTTTTTGGCACCACCATGCCACGGGAGCAGTATCCCAGGTCCGTGTCCGAAAACTCATGCAGTTTTACTTCGAGTTGCAGTTGAAGGCGCCGATTTAATAATAATAATAACAGTAAACAATGCAGTTTTAAAACTGATATTCTAAGCAAATAAATGTCCCTTAATTTGGTACCTACGGCAAGCATATGTTATTTATAATTTGTAGTATATCACAAAAAAATTCTGGCTACTCGAAATCCTAATTGAAATGTCGAAAATATCCGCCTCTCTTTGCATAGAAAATCAGTCACGGCGCTGGTCTACAATATTATGAAATCACGTCCGGGAAAGAATATTCACGTACCCAGATGTCCAATAGAAAGCATGTGCAGAGAGATACGATTTTCTGCTTATTTTTGTTTCAAAAGCAGAAAAGTCTCATAAATCACAATTCTATGTACAATTCTTTACCTTCCCCTCATATTTCATAGTATTAATATCATTTCCCCTTTTAAAAATTATGACATATACATGCCAACGATGTGCTATTAGTCGATATTTTCATCATGTAATTTTTGTTTTGGTGTTGAAATCGGCCCAGGCACAGAGTGAACAGTAGCTGTCTGGTAAGTGGACCGTACCCATGCACAGTTCATTACCATACAGCGATATCCCGATGGTTTCTCTTTCCTTTTTCCCACGTCTTTCGCCTTCCTTGGCCCTAAAGATCCTTCATCTTCTTCCATGCTGTGCATTAATTGTGCGATCTACTAATTCTGACACTGGTAGTCAGGAGCAAGTCTTTGTTAGTTGTTTTTCTTAGCTGGTAACGTTGCTTTCATTTTCTTGCAATTGCTGATAAACATATAACTAGTGCACGTACGTTCCATCACAATCAAGCCGCGCCTAGAGCAGCGGCCTGGTCTTACCTCCTGATTCTGCTCGCTTCACGAACGTTCGGGCAAGAGCCACATCACTCGCGGATGAATACTGTTCGATCACTAAACATTGTCAAAATATTATAGAGGAAGTGCGCTTGCATGATCTCGTTCAAGTTTGATATTTTACAACATAAAATGTTTAACTGGTACTGTATCCTTTTTTGAGGCAGTCACACACATCTATGATAAGTACTTTCATAGTTCTAGGCCTATTCGTTATTCAAAACTGCTCCTGAACCTTATCTGATGACAAGATAATGTATCCGCCTATTCATAAGTGCATGATTTAACCTTGTTTCCCAAGCAGTAAACTCGTCTTAAATCTCTACCAATCAGGTGAATATGAGGATATAAAAAGAAATCAGCGACTGGAAATGTTGCTTCGTTATTCTTCATTCAAATGAAAACAGAAAATCTATCAAATATACTCATTAACAACAACAAATCTAAGCTCAGACAGGATAGCATTTACGTAGGGATATCACTGCCATTCACTCTCACTGAGCCAACGAGTCCCGTTCGTGACGTCACGAATAGATAGAGGCCCGACTCTACATGCACTTCCGGGTTTCAGACTAGGATAGTTTGGTAGAGTTTACTTGCATAAATTCACCATTCTAAACTTGTTTTTGTCAGTTGGACACCATTTAGTGTTATTCTGGGGGTTAAAAGCTTTATATTGATGTAATTATCTCAATATTTGGGATTGTCTTTGGGAATATCAACTTTAACAACCAAAGATGGCAGAATAATCCATTTTTACCGACGGTACCATGCCAGCGCCAGGCGCTCTCCCTGGCACGGGTAAACGTCGGCCTGGACAGTGTCAGGTGACCGGGATTTTTTTTGGTTTTTTTGCGGCCGAATTTTCGAGTACGAAAAATCGTACTCGAGTAGTTGTCAACAGTGCGAGCATTCGACTTCTCGTCGCAGCCCTAATGCTTTTTTAATAGCGTAAATATTTTGGTGCAAATATTCATAATTGAATGATACACGCCTAAAAACTAAAACATCAACAACAGCTACAATTACAAAGTCTGAATGGTTCCATTGTTTTGAGGATCCTCGCTAAATGCTGCAGATTTACCAATTCAAAGTTAGGGGACTTTCATGCTCTTAAATTCATGGGTATTTTATTTGTACAGTATGTCACTATTTTTTCAAGACATTTCATTGCAAAAGATTTCTTTAGAACAAAGAAATAGGGTTTAGTGACCAGTAATATTATTACTACCTGTACATGTACTTGTAGTCTAATCACTCTAATCATCTAATGTAATAGGTTAACGCATCATACCAGTAGACGTTGAACTGTAGATAGATCTAGATCAGGGACCCCTATTATAAAGAGTTGATATTAATTGCAACTTATTTGTGGACCAGAAGATCTAAACCAAAGGCCAAGGACCTGTATCCTGGGCATATCGCCAACCCGAGCTTGAGGCCACCTACATGTACAGTATCATCATTCGAGCCCAGATCTACTGCAAAGTCTTCTTGACCCAAGTCAGGCTTGTCAGGATCGGGAAGGCAGCTGATGATTGCTGCCGTCTGTGTCGAACAGAGCGAGAGGATGATGAGCACCTTGTTGCAACTTGCCCAGCCCTATCATCTGTGCGTCAAGACTTTATTAATCGTATTAAGGAAAACCTTAACAAAAAACAGCTTGCACAATACAGTACTATGAATCTGTCCCTGCGCTGTTCTCGGGGCCGGTGATCTTTCTCCCTCCTGGACCATCAGCAATAGTGCCAAAACACATTGAATTGATACCGCAACACATCCAGCGTATCTTCAATGTTGCAGGAGCTTGGATGGACATCACTCCAACAGGGACAAGAACACCTTCCCCCTGTGACGTTCTACAAGATTCACAACCAGCTAGTTCCATTCAACTCAGAGGCACACATCGCCAAATCCATCAGACCAACAAGAGCTGTTTACACACAAGGATATCTCCGACCTCAATCTAGGAATCAGCAACACCAGAACACCTTCTCCCCCAGAACTGTGAGGACATGGAGCATCCTGTCAGCCAATGTCATGACAGCCCCATCTGTTGAAGGCTTTCGTCTCCAATTGACGAGAGGCTAGAGCAGCTATATCCACTAGCGAGGCGGAAAAATTAGCTGATTGTACTGAGTGAGGAGGGAAGATTCACCAGCAATTCGCTCGAAAAATGACGCGATAGCTCAGTCGGTTGAGCAGTTGCTCGTAATCCCGGGATCCGGGTTCGAAACCAAATTGATGCGCGTGCCCTTTGCCTCATTACCAGGTCCGTAGGCCGTCTGGTTGCTTACTTACAGTACAAGCATTTATGCTTTCTTAGCAGTCAGGTAAAGTAACCACCACCACTATGTCTAAAAATGCTGCTTTTACTTGCACCTTGTTAACTATTGGCAGTTTTGGCACATGCACCCTATCCTTGTAGCACACACAACACTACAGCAGACTACAGCAAAGAAGAGAAGAAGAAAACACAGCTGCAAACACTTTATCCTATTTTTATAAGCAATCTTCACACAACCCGTCAAAAATCTACTTTACATCAGTTACGCACCCCAACGACCTACGATGTATACTATAGAAAGCCATTTATGGAACTTTGGCAGACTCACAGTGCCAACGATGTCTGATCTTGGCAGAAGAAGGATACAAGAGAGATTGGAGGACTTTGCGATCAATTTGGATTTTGGACCAATCGCTACTCTGACTAATCATGTAGTAATAGTACTAGTAGTAGTACTCTTGGTATTTTACATAAGACTGGGACCTGAATTCAGTAGGGGCTGATGGATCATGCGCATAAACAAGGATCATCTTCCTACATGTAAATGTGGACAGACGCATCAGCAAATATAGGGATAGTCCACATTTACGATTCTGATTTCCGATCAGCGCGTTGGCGATTCGAAATGATTCCATGATGATTTTCTTGATGTATTTCACATTGACTTTGTAATTGTATCGACTTCACATTATGAGCGATAATCTTTGGGAAGACGGACAACCCATAAAAGTAGACGGTAAAGGGGGGTATTTTATTGTGCGGAATCCGTTTTTTCGCATTGTCAGTGCGCAGACGGGAACCGAAACCTGCAGAGCACCGAAGAAAAATATCCCCTTATTTTGTAGGACACATTTTGTCTGCGTTTACGAGGATATCCTTGTTCATGATGCGGATGATCCTCATTCTCGGACCAGCACCACGCGCCCAAGATTTAGATCTACTCACCACTGCACTGGCACTGGCACCGGATCCCTAGATCTCGGAGTAGATCTAGAGTCTACTCTATTTCTCTACGTCTAAAGTCTACATTTGTTTTATTTTTAATAAAACAGTTCTACCGGTAACTGTTCAATTTTTAAAAGGTAGAATCCCAGTATAGCTTCAAGTTCAAGAGTTAATTGCAAAAGGGATTAAGGCGTTCGATACCATTGACCATAAAATACTTCTTAGTAAACTGTCTCACTACGGTGTCAGAGGGAAGCCCCTTGAGTGGTTTAGTAGTTGTACCTTTCAGACAGAACTCAATACACCTCTGTAAATAATTCCAGTCATCAATTAAAAATATTACCTGTGGGGTGCCTCAAGGCTCTCTTCTTGGCCCTCTTCTTTTCATACTACATGTATATAAATGATTTCAAACGGTCATCTAATATTTTATCTTTCACATTATTTGCTGATGACTCTAATATTTTTCTCTCATGTCATGACCCCCAAAGTCTCCTAAATACAATTAACTCGGAATTAGTTTTGGTTCAAAGTTGGATACAAGCCAACAAACTATCATTGAATATTAAAAAGACAAATTATATGATATTTAGCAACACTATTGATTATCTTCCTGGTCCTATTCAAATAAATGGTATCGAACTAGAATGTGTTCAAAGTACAAAATTCCTTGGAATTTATGTTGATCGCAAATTGACATGGAAAGTGCATATTAATTATTTATGTAAATTATTATCAAGAAACATTGGTGTCATAAATCATGTTAAAAATACATTTCCTTTACCGGTTTTATTATCACTGTACACAACCCTTATTTTGCCTTACCTCAATTATGGGATTTTAGCATGGGGAAATCCTTCTAAGACCCTAACTGACCGAATATTAATTTTACAGAAGCGTGCATTAAGAATAATTCATAATGTCTACTTTCGTTCCCACACTAACCACTTATTTTTACAAGACAAAATTCTTAAAATTAAAGACTCGTATTCTTGGTACCTCGGTATCTTTATGTTCCAGCTGATTAATAACGAGTTACCTCTCCCGATTTCCTCCATTTTCCAAAAAAATAACAAGATACATTCATACCCCACAGGCCACAAGACAGTCAAACCACTTCCACACTCCTCGAATGAGAACAGCTTTCGCACAAAAGACAATTATTTACACCGGTCCAGTATTTTGGAATAACATAGATCCATCTCTTAAACAAAGTAGTAGTCTATGCATTCTTAAAAAAAGTTAAAAACCAAACTTTTAGACACATATAGATGTACATGATAGAATCTCGGTTTGTTTGACTCTCGACTCAATCTCTTTCTCAATCTCCCTTTTCTAGAGCTTTTGTTTTTGTCTTCTACTATTTTCGTCCATTCATTATTTTTCTTTTCTTTTCTTTTTCTTCCTCATTTTTTTTTTCCTTCTTTCTAGCTCCATATTGTCTATTTATTGATCTATAAGCATACTTTGTTCATGTTTTATCGTAAAATTTGCATCTGAGGAACTAACACTTCAACAAGCTCTGCTTCTAAGTTCTAGACTCTAGTTAGACTAAGTTAGTTCCTCTTTTCTCGTGCTATTTCCACTAGACCTTGGCCTATATTTATCGTTTCATTACATATTTGTTATGATATAATTATTTTTGTATTATGTTTTGCATGAGAAATAAAAATCAATCAATAAATGCTTCAAAGTTCACGGTAAAACTCTTAAAATCTACTCTCGGTATACCATTTCTGCACCATTCTTGCCCAGCGGTTTGCGCCGGGACGCCCGCCGGGTCCGGCTGCCGGTCAGTCGTCGTTTCCACTATTTCACATCACTCACACACAGAGTCAAACACTTAGTAACAGACTACACGACGACTTGACGTGTAATACCTTGTTTTTTACGTTATGATAAGCATTGTTATGAACTCACTCAGTTAGTTTTGTCTCCAACACCAAAGAAAAGTATCGAGAAGTGTTTAGTTCATTTTTCACATTCCTTTTGAAACCTATTTCCAATCAAAATAACGGGAAATTTCTCAGCTTTTCCATGATCCCGCGGCGAGCGACGTTCGATACACATAATTGGCAAAGAGCGTAATCCCGGAGAGAGCTTAATCAGCACCAGAACTAGTAGTAGTACTAATAAGTATAGTATACGCAAGATATGAGTAGTAACCTAAGATAAAACGGGTGCCCTCGTTTGTTTGCTTCAAAGACAAAAACTTTGACAAGTTTATGTGAGCTCTTTTAGACTTTTTGAGCTTCCATACAACCTTCCTACAGTCAAATCTGCACTTTTAAAAACAAATACTGGGGAAATTTATAATCAGTTTACAGACCCTCTTTTGATTTCTTATGACAGCTCTATGAAAGAGTAGGCATATATAGGCTCTAGCTAAGTAATAGTCTAGATAGTCCCTGGGAAAGTCTGGCAACATCTCTTGAATATAAACAATTGTATTTTTGTATTTCCATCGTGCAAAATACCATAGTTGAAAAGAAGGAATTATGGTATGAAATGCATTGCAAGAAATATAAGAAATAATGTTTCAGATTCAATTTCTTCATATCGGGTATTCTACGCAAGTGCTGGAGTAACGTATCTCCGAAGAATGAAAAGCTCTCTAGCTCCGCGCGCTCCATATCCGGGTTACTGAACAAAGGTCATGCTCGCCAAGGCCAAGCTTAGACCCCCCCCCCCCCCCCCCCTTGTATCTCAAAATTGGGCACTATTGACATTTTAAAATATATTCCTTACTGCGTTGGGGACTTATAATATTCAACCACAAACTTTCCTATTTAGTTTACCATTGTCTTGTAGGACACCAATATACCACATTATTTTGAGTCACCTCTTGTATGCCTCTTGTCCATAGTTTTAGAACCTCTCGAGAAATTATAATACTGTTTACTGTATACATTCGAAGGTCGTTGAAGACAGAGGTAATGCCCGTTGTATATTTAAAAAAAAGCATCGTTTTGTCAACAGCAAGCGACCATACAGTGGCAGGATGGTCAAATCTGACTTATTAGCCTATAATTCTGCATGGGAGATAAGAGGAGCGGTGGTGCTATATAATAGCAGTATAAGAGCAAAAAGATGGGGATGAGGGAGGCGGGGGTGGCTTCATCAATTTGAGTATGTTTATTAGCTCATTCATCCCTCTCCACCATCTCTCTCTCTCTCTCTCTCTCTCTCTCTCTCTCAGTCTCTCTCTCTCTCAGTCTCTCTCTCTCTCTCTCTCTCTCTCTTTCTCTCTCTCTTTTCCCCTTTTCTATGTTTAGAAATATTTATCCGATACGGGTAGCCGGGGGCGTCATTTTTTTCTGCGGCACAGATTGGGGCTTTAAAAAAAAAAGAGGTTTTGATTTAACCCTAACCCTAACACTAAACTTTTTCATAGCCTCAACACGCACCTGAACCCCAATCTGTGCCGCAAAAGGATGCACATAAGGGCGCCGGAAGTGGGGGGGGGGGGGGGGCAAAACGCATTTTTGCCCCCCGAAAACGCCCCCCCCCCCCAAAAAAAATAAAATAAATAAATAAACAATAAAAGCAGTATTAAAGGTACTATGTCCCTTTTGCAGCCAACCTCAAATGCTCTAGAACTTTGCAGGAATTATGAATATGTCATGTATGTCCTATCTGTGAAATTTAAACGTTAGCAGTGCCCTCATATTCAAATTATGCAAGGAAACCCGTTTACTTGCTAGACTTCACTGTCAGACACTTGAGTGAGTGACTGGCTTTTTTTTCTTCTTTGGTAATAACATACATGAAAAGAGTTGTAAAGAGTACATGAGCATTTGTCTACATCAATAACCCACTTCTTGTGATGGCCAAGATTAAACTGATTGAAGTTTGCGCAGCATAAAACGTATGACCATTCGGTACAATTGTCTGTAAATCAAGACTATTACTTTTGGGCTCTATAGCCCTAAAGTCGATTTGACAACTAATAGTCATTATTTTCCCGCTTGAAGACATTTTCAAGCCCACCTTTTTTAGGGAAGTTCTAGATTAGTATTATCTTTCAAATGCAGTTGGAATTTAACTTTTTCATTTTTGGGCCTGCAAATGGGACATAGTACCTTTAAGGAGTTTAGATGGTTTGTATTTTAACCCCAAAGAACATAACAATAATAAAAACCTGAATTAAATCACATATAAAATTCCATTCAGAGAAAAGGAAAGTTAACGAGAATTGTATTTCGTAAACATTCCGCATGCCACATATTCATCAGTGGAGGTTTTTTATCATAGCGATATGCGCATATCGTGGAAATATTGTGAGAGAATGGGAAAGCGTGCATGTGTTTTTTGTTATAGGGCTGAGAAGACATGAGCCCCTGAACGCTGGCGTACTGATGGGGGGGGTATTTCTTATTCGATACCAGTGATTTACAAATGTTGCTGAAATGACATGATTTTCCGGTATACTTTCTCAAGTCATACCTTTTTATGCGTTCGTTGGAAACTTAGAAATTCCCAAATTTACAGTCGGGCGAAAAATATGCTTATTTAGAAGACTTCATGTCAGGGCCTGCAGAACGGTATACTTTCTCAAGTCATACCTTTTTATGCGTTTGTTGGAAACTTAGAAATTCCCAAATTTACAGTCGGGCGAAAAATATGCTTATTTAGAAGACTTAATGTCAGGGCCTGCAGAACGGCTGGGCTCGGGGGCTCGAGCCCCCCCCCCCCCCCCCCCCCACTTTTTGAAAAAAGTATGTGATAGAGAAAAGAAAGAAAGAGAGAGAAAAACATAAAAAATATGCTCATCTGACCGTAATTAAAATGTCTAAAACCCCAGAGCTTCCGGGGGTTCTGCCCCCTAGACCGCGGGCTTTGCCCCCCGGACTCCCCCCCCCCCCTCCCCCACAATTAGTGACCTGCCAGTGTCACAAATAAGGTATATACATATGCTTATCGGACCGTAATTTAATGCCTGAAAACCCTGAGCTTCCGGGGGGGGGGCTCAGGCCCTGGACCCCACGCCAATTTAGGCTTGCCACGCTCTACCTGATCGTATAGGCCTATACTCCACTTTGAAAAACGTTCCGCGGGGCCTGCATGTAACGTGTAACGAGTGGTGGTGGTGCTTCTGCCCCCCCCCCTTCCAAACCTTTTTGCTCATTACGCCACTGCCCCTGGAAGGTGAGCCCCCTGGAATGTTTGCCCCCCCCCCCCCATCCCAAACTGCTTCCGGCGCGCCTGGGGATGCGGGTACGTGAGGGCAGTGGAACAGCGCGACTGATTCCAGTACCAGAAATGTACGCTTTTGACTTCGTCGTAATGATCGAGTATAGCATTTTTTGGAGATATTGTGCTGTGAACTAAAAAGAGCAATTACACGTTCTAATTGACATGTTCAAGTGGAGGGATACTCGATACATTAATGTACAATATCTTTGATCAAAGTAGGCACGGATCCAGGATTTATTAGAGGGGGGAGGGGGGGTCCAATTTTTTTGTTTTGCTCCCGCAAATTTGAAAATCGCGCCGGCCGAAAGTTCGCTCAGCTATAGTGGGGGGAGGTAGCGAGCACTACTATTTTTTTTTTGCTGGGGGGGAGGGGGGGGGGGTAGTGAGCACTTATTTTTTTGGAGGGCCGGGGGGCACATGCCCCCTGTGCCCCCTAGATCCGCCACTGCAAAGATCGACGGTGGTTGGTAGGCCTTTTTATTGGGGAAAGGGGGTTAATTGGGTTAAAAAATGGCCATCATAGCCGCTTGGGTACAGAATCGATTTTAATATGGGGGCTTTGAGCTATCTCATTGATTTCATCAAATTTTTAGCCATTAATTCAGTTGTAAGACAATCAGATTATGATCAATCTATCTCAGAGGTCGAATATTAATCATCAACCATTACAATTTTTCTATCCGCCCCTGATAAGTTTCCATTTGAGCTAATGATGGTTTTTAATTGACCAACAAAATTGTCGTGGTCGAGTGGTTTAAGGCGCTTGACTGGAAATCGAATCCCGACAGGGCACCTTTGGCAAGATATTAACCTAGCACTTGCTACTCACCAACCCATGTGTTAAATGGGCACCCGATATGATGCGACCGTCTTTGTTGGTCGAACAGTTTTTGAGCGGCAAGTAACGCCTGGCTGGAATGCTTCCTGAGGGAGTGGAGATTGTGCACACAGTGTTTGCGGGCAAGCACAGAATCCAATGACCGGGGTAGTTAAGTATATTGTAAAGCGCTAAGAGACATTTGTATTAAGCGCTATATTAAAGCTAAATATTATTATTATTATTAAATATTATTGTCAATCAGAAACCATTGGACCATCATCCTCAGATGGACCCCAAAAAACAACAATACGGGCCCTATATATACCCAACTACTTCAATAAAGAACAACCTGCACTAGGCGGCCCTCCCGGGGGCAGGGGGCACAGTATCCCAAAAATGCCTCTTTTACTTTTACAAGTGCCCCTATTAATTTGTAAAAGTGCCCTTCCCCTTTCCACCTCTGATATATTAAGTGCCCCTTTTGATTTGACATCATCTGACAAACTTGCCTTACACCATGATGAACAAATTTCATTTAATGAATTGGTTCAAATTAATATCTATCACTAACCAATAATATTAATATTTTAAAAGTATTCCATGGTAGCAAATCTTCACGGGACGGTGTACCATATTGTAATTAGATGATGTGTTATTCTCACCTTGGTTCTTTAAACAGACTGCACTCTATAGAAAAATATTCCAATATCCATCATAGTAATGATATTATATGAGACATTGAGTAGTTATTCTATTTGAATTTATTTATTGGTTCCTGCCGCTCCATTAAAAAGAAATGCTAGTTGCGAATGGTCCAATGGAATTTTATTCTGTTGGTTTATTTAATGGTTAAACAGAAATGTTCTAATTGATTCTAATGGTCTAATCATTTTTTTTATAATGGTTACAATTTCATGTTCCACTTTCCATTTCGAAACATTTAGGCCTACAGCTCCAGCAATACTGGATGCGAATTCATATTTTTCCATAGACCTATAAATATGGGCTTACTAATTTCCTTTTTTTGCACACGATATTGCAAATATCTAATTAGAATTGCCATTCCCAATCCTAATTTTCCATGATTTAAAAAAAAAAATGTCTCATCATTTCAGCATAGTCACTCCAAGGTAAAACAAGATAAAAAGAAAATAACTCTGAGTAACGGTACTCTTGAATTTAATTCTACAGTCAATTAAATAAGGATAATTGGATGAAATATGAAGGGGATGTCACTTTGTGAAGAACATTTTAGGGCGATCGAAGATCAAAGTGTAATTCTCAGTTTAAGGGCAGATGATTGAACCTGTATGCATTAATTAAGACTAGTCGAGATCTTTATCCCTCCGATAGATATGGGGTATATTGTTGGGCATAGGTCGGTCTATAATGGCGGTAAAAAAGTTTGGGCATATAATTAAATACCGATCCATTCCTTGTCCTCGTGGGTCAAAGTTGGGCGGTAGGGATTACATTATCCCCCCCCCCCCCCGGCCCTCTCATTCTCCGTCCTCGTACCCGCTTATATTTCCCATTATATGTTATTTGTTTCTTATGTTTGCCATGTTTATTGTTGTGATACGAGGATTTTTTTCAAGGGGGGGGGGGGTTAACATTTTGAAATCGGGCCAAAAATTTCGCAACGTCTCAGCCAGCCGCTGAATAAGCGGGGGGGGGGGGGGGGGGTAAGAGGACATAATATATATTATTTTTTTGGTCCCGAAATTTGTAAAATTGACCGCTCGACATTCCATTCCGTTGGTCATCTTTTTGAGGTCATCCATTAGGAATATTTTTATTTTTTATTATTAAATACGTACACGCCTGCTACCACCGAACCCCTGCACCCATCACCCCCACTCCACTGTCCTAAATCCGGGTCTTGCATAATCCTAAGTTAGATCATTCTCATTCTTGTCTCAGCGCATCATATCAGCGAGAGCTGTCTACTTGACTGTGTAGCCAATGATCCCCGTTCCGCGGCCCCGCTCCATCGATCGCGAGGCCGGGTTCGTTACGTACTAGTCACAGGATTTGTGTATGCAGTCGACTAATTCGCGAACGTGATGAACTTGTTTTAATTTGTGTCATTTTCAGTATGAGCTTAACAACAAAGAAAAGAATGGATGAAATCAAACGACAGATGTCAATCCATCGTCAGAATCTGCTTTGTGTTAGCCGGTAAGAACCTCAATTTTTATAGAGAGCCGAGTTCAACTGTTCAATACAAATTGCAATGTGTGTTGACTTTTTAATGTTTTGATCCTGTTGCATGTATAAAATGAATACAATAGGTTGAATAGGGTATGTAGACTAGTACTAGTACAGTACGAGGCTGGTTTATGAAATTGTTGTTGTTGTTTTAGTTTTAAGGGCGTGTGTCATTCAATTATGAATATTTACGCCGTGATTGTCATACTTTAGCCTTTGTCCAGCCAGTAGCAATTTTAGGCCATATAACGAATAACATTGCCATTGGCTCAGGGATTTATTTGGAAATTACGCTGATCGACAGAAATCTAACTCTAACTCTAGTCAATTTAAAGGGCTGGACACCCAATGGCAATTAGATGTTTGGTTGTATTTTTTGTAAATGTTAAAAGACAATCCATCCAACCATTGTAATAAGTTCATTTGAATGGGAATAGAGAAGTTTTGGATGTTTGAAATTAGTTGGACCGATTATTTAGTAAAATATGAAAGCTATGAAAATGTTTAAAATGTGAGATCACTTCAGCTACAAAATTAAATGAATCTCAAATTGGCAATTTTGTCAGTGGATTGTGATGTGGTGACGGATATAACTCCTGTTTGTCGTGAACACAAATATTAATTATTTTTGTTTTTCTCCCAAGTCCCTTCATCTTCGCTCCAGACAACCTTTGCTCTTATATTAGGCATTACAATTTCCATTTTGTTTCTTTAACTGTATATTCTTAAGACATTAAAACCTTTAAAGGGCAATCCAACCCTTCTAATAAGTTCATTTGAATGAAATCATAACAATCGGAGAAACAGAATGGCGAAAGTTTGAAATAAATCGGACCAATATTAAGAAAGTTATAAGTGTTTGAAATATGAGATCATTACAGCTGTGCGAATCTCAGATTGGCAATTTTGTCAGTGGATTGTGACGTAGTGACGGATTACTTTCCCGTTTGTCGTGTAGAAAAATATCACTTATTTCTGTTTTTCACCCATGTGCCTTCAACCTCGGGGCACTACTCAAAATATATCATGGAGAGTAGAAGAGTCTACATTATTACAGGTCCTCTAAAAAGAACAGACCATCTTGAGTTATACATTTATGAAAAGTTGTAATTTAAGTCCATTTGTGTATTGGAGCAAATGGGAAAGTTGACCACCTCTACACTTGATCACATAGACATTATCAAATCAGCCAATTTATAGACCCCATACCTATAGTAATTGCAACTTTCAAAAATTTGTAACTTTCTAATTTTTTGTCCGATTTCATTCAAACTTTCATCAGTTTGCTTCTCTGATTTTTCAGCTTTATTCTAAACAAGTTTGCTATCAAGGTTGGATTTCCCTTTAAGTGAAGATAAAAAACTCTGGGCAGCAAGGTCTTATGCGCAATAAACAGAAAGGACTTCTCTTTTATTTGATCTGATTATTTATTGTTCTTCTTTTATTTACATGTAGGCTCTCAATAAAAGCACTGATTGCCCAGTCACAATACCAGGCAATAGATGACTCCTGTTCCGAGTTCAAGAATTTTGCTACTATCATGGAGCACATACTCAGTCACAGGCTTAAAGGTAAGAACCTTCCCTGAATTTTGTAATTATTTAGTGTAAATGTAAAAATAACTACTGATTCCAATAGTGCTTAGCTATCATAATCATAGCTTTTTAAACTTTTAATTTCAATGGGTGTATGGGAAAGGAATTATTCCTTTGATCTGTTGGAAGTATTTTGTGCATTAGCATTTTTTTTACAGATGTGAGAACAGGTAAACATGCACATTTGTTTAACATCTTTTGAAACTAATTGCCATTGATTTTCTCTAAAAAAATTAGATGAAGTTAACTCTGAGTAATTTGATAATTATTCACAAACTTAACCTGAAAAAAGATGAATTATTGCATTACTAAGAAAGGATGAATGAGAACACCCTTATGTAGCAGTTCAACAATATCATACTTCAGACAATGGCTGAGGGGAAGGAATGTTGACAAAGGGGCAAGAGGGAAGATGTTTTAAAGAGCACAAGTTAAAAATTGAGTCAATAAGCTTTCTGTTGTGTTTTACACCGCATCCTGAATTTCCATGCCATGTTTTAGACTGATTTATGTTTTCTTGCTCATAGGTCAGCTGACATGGTTTGGACTAGAGGAGTCGCGTGACTTTTGGCACTTCATCCGAGTTGTCTGTGGTAATACACACGATGGCTGCATCAATAATGTAGCTCATATGGAGTCTGTACGTTCATCAAAGGCAAAGGTATGATGCACGGTACTATTGAGGATGTTAGGAACATTGATGGAAGTGTAAGCTTTTTGTTTGATAATCACGATGACAGAAGTATGACAACAATGGCAATGCATGGTTAATTTTATTAGCCAATATAAAGTCAAATTGAAAATGTAATTCAAATTCATTTTTTCTCTTTTTCAGTTAATTCACATTTTGAGCAATTATGACCCCCCAAAGCTTGAATTATGATGACATTCAACAGTTCTACTTCAGTCGCACCGACAAGACTAACACCAAACTTGTCGAAGGGCTGTACGTGACACGTACATTACAATTAATAGCGAAGCATTGTTGAGTATGGGGTCAGTTTGGTGGTGTAACTGACTCAGAGGTATTCTCTGGGTAATTGTACTCCTTCTTCTTTTCTTATGGATTCCAATTCAAAACTTATGTTTTCTATGATATTCTTGATTTGTGACTGAATAGTTTAAGAGTTTCCTTTCTTGTCTTGTCTTTGTTCCACTCCAGGGAAGAGCATGGTTGCGGATAGCATTAATGGAGAAGAAGCTTGGAGATCACCTTGCAACAGCTCTGCAAAATGACAAAGCTCTGAGGTATGAGATAAAAATGTTGCTGTTAATACAGTAGCACAAAATTTGCATCACCAAAGTGGATAAACTTGACATTGTAGCATGTTATACATAAACTCTTCAAATTCTTTTTTATATGACTTGTGTGGTAAGAAGTTTTGTTTTATATTCACTCTGTTTCATGTATTTATATCAGGTTTCTGCAAAGGATTAATGCTGGAAAACACATGTAACATACATGTTTTGTTACAAAATGTATTGAGTAAAGTGATTTAGATGAATATCATTTATGTCAGGCAGCATACTTTATCACGCTCCATTTGAAGTGAAAGTTATTTCTTTTTATTAAAATCATCTTGTCATTTGTACACTCAAATATGACTGTATCTTTCTACCATGTTTTCTGTCTGACATGCAGGGCTTTCTATGGAGAAGGAGCATTCTTAAGAAGTGAAGAGGCTCTGATTTTGGTTCAATCTCTCCAGATCCTGAATTCATTGGACTTCAGGTAAATTATTTCACCATTTTTCTAATGATCAAATTATTTGTGAAGGTCAAGAAGTTGCTAGGAAGTAGAGAAAATATTTGACAAAGGACAGGAGTAATATTTTCTACAATTTAAGTCATGGCTCAGCCATTATAAAAGTGTCTACATATCCTTGTATTTTTTTTTTTTTTTTTTTTTTTGGGGGGGGGGTGGGGGGGGGGGGTAGGTTCCTTATGCCTGAAGAGAAATTTGGTAAAGCAAGTATGTCACTGGATTTTGTTGTTGTAATGGTTTAAAACCTGTAAATTGCACTACTTGTTCTTCTTTTCTGTTTTTATTTTGGGAGTGTGAGTTGATGACTGTTTACCTTTCCTCAGTGATTAGGTGTTACATTATTTTATGATAGAGGGGTGATATCTCTTTATTTAAGTAGCAGTTACCTCTCCTCCAAGCTACAAAAGGATGTACATATATCATCACCTCCCCTGTGTTAATTGGCCCATTGTGAGTCCACCCATTCACGTGGTTGCACAAGACCAGCCTTAATCCCCTGTGTACTCTGGCTAACTAACAATGGGGTATTGTGAATTGTGATGTTATGGTAAAAAGTGTCACCACTTGAAGAAAAGTAAGAATGAGTATCAGCTAGGTGACTTCTGCCAGTAAGCTCTCTACATGTATTTTCATTAGATATGGAATAATTTTGTTGGGGGATAAAATAAGCAACATGTATTTGAAGGTATGATCATAATTGTCGAGATCTATACCCATCATATTCCATACTCTGAGAGTATCTTTTGCCCACTTAAAAACGCATTTTGTTTACTTTTTATGCTCTTGAAGAAAAAAGAATCAAAATTGTGATGTTGATATGACAATCAAAGACTAAATCAGTTTTTGGATGACCCACAGTCAAACTTTTCATAGCTACCACCTCTCTATAAATGCCACCTGTCTATCCATAGTGGTACCGGTAAGTTTTCCTGTTTCCCTTGGATGGCCCTAATGAATCGGTATTTCTATTTCATTCCTGTTCTCATCTTCTTATTGCAGCTGCTGTGTGAAAGAGGAGAAGCTGGAAACAGGAGTAGCCAGTGTGATTGACTATGCCCAGTTCCTCAAGTTCCAGTTAAGGTATAATAATCATTAATAAAATTCATCATCAATAACATTCATTATCAAAACTGTGGCAATGACAATACAATGAGGTTGTTTGCCTTCCTTAATGCTTCCTGTATTATGGTTGAAAGGTTGAAAGGTGACTTCATTAAAAAGAGGAAGTGCCCTGTGTACAAAGTAGATTCTTTTAGTTTTTGAAAGGAAATATAAAGGAAGTGGTACATTTTATTAGGAAAAGAGGCAGGAACCATTAATTATTATGACAATGTTTAAAGTATAATAGACATATACATACAGAATGTAGTAATTGCTTCTGTACATTAAATACCATTGTTAGATGCTACTGTAAACCAAAATCTTTCACATGCATGAAAGGTTCACCATTTTTTTAGAGTTGTTTTAAATTAGCTAAAGTTTCATATTCGAAAGAATTGAATAAAAACTTGACACAACACACATTTTTGCAAATTTATGAAAGTTTTTTGCTCTTAATATCTTTCTTATTTTCAGATCATGAAAGTTTCATGTCGTAAAAGTTCTATGTTTATAAATCTTTTATTAAAGCTTGAATCGAAACATATTTATTGAAAACTTCTGAACAATATTAGATGAATGTTTACCATGAATTTATGATGACATCTATCTAACTTCTTTCATGTTTGATTCTTGTATTGCTGCTAGTGATGATGATCACCAAGAAGCACTGATGAAGGACCAGCAGCTCTTTGCCCCCTCCCGCTCACCCAGGGGAGATGGGTCATCCATGGATGAGAAACTTTCACAACTCCAGAACCAATACAGAGTGGCCTCTGCTCAAAAGGTAGACTTCTTGTTGCCATTAGGTACTGGATGTACATAGTTAAAACCTTTGTTTCACTAAGTCTCTTATGCCATTTTTAGTATTTTGTGTGCCAAGATTATCTACTGAGAATAGCTTGTTTTTGACCACTTTTCGTCCTTGCAATGATTCCACCAGGTCTGTTGAATCCATGGAAGACTAAATATTAACAAACTACAGAATTCCACCTCGATTCAATCATGTTTAGTCATTTGTGATGAATTTTTTATTATGAAAATGTCAGTACTTTCTCAAATATTTTGTGGATTAGTTAATGGTGTGAAACCTGAATTTTCTTGTACAGAATTACATGGAGGAGACTGCCAACCAGAAAGAGCAGCATCTGATTGAGAGTAGAAAGAAGATACAAACCTTGGAGAACATGGTCATACAGCTACAAGAACAAGTGTGAGTAGAAAGATTGAATTTAATTGAGTTGAATTGGTTTATTTTATTAAAAACACATGCCATGCAGGTCAATGCTTATATGGACTATTTTACAAGGCAATCAGGTATTAACATTACAATATAAACATCAAAATACAAAAGCAATATAACAAAATAAGAATGGTAACATCACACAGCAATATTATACAAGGTTTATGAAAATTGTATCAAAGACGTGGATAAGTAGTTATCAAAACAACTAAGGCAATGTCATTAAACCTTCAAAGATAAATTCAATAGAGCATGTTCAGGAATATTAGAATGTTCAGATATATCATGGGTCATTGCAAAAATCGTAATGCATTTTACATAATCTGAAAAATTGTCCTGGGTAACTCAAATGTCATATGGAATGTTGAGAGCCAGAAGGACAATTTACTCTCTGTAAAGTATAATATACCTAATGATATTAAAAAAGATGCCCATTCTATCACCTTTTAATGAAATATTTAACTCTATACTCAATTATCATGTAATCGGATGCTACAAGATAACATCATTTGTCCCACTTACGGATTGTAGGTACACACGTTATATTGACCGTATGCCTTCCTGTTGTGGTGTTTTGAAAAAGCCAATATTTATTGATGCATGTTACAACACTTTTCAAATTTGAATTGTATCAAAAGAATGACGCAACCATTATTTGCCTCTCTGTGCATCTTGGAAGAATTGGAATTGATAGTGGCAATCAATTTGTTATATTTACCCTCTTTTTGTTTCAGGGCAAGTTTGAAAGAAGCTCAGCTGATGTCACGGCGTGAATTAGAAGAACATTTGATCGCTGGTCATTGGCCTCTGCAGGAGAGGATAAGACCAAGTGCTGAGCGAACTGACCAAGATGAGATTGCACTGGACAGCATCTCAAGCCAACTATCCCCAGGCCTCTCACCTCTAGATCAGTAAGTTTATGGGTGATCGGTTTGTGTTGAAAGATAAAGGGGTGTTTTGTCTTTGAGAAGTGGTGTACAAACGTTATTTACTATTCCTGAAAGTTTAGCTCAATTTTGAACACTTATCACTTAGGAATCTGTAATCGTGTACAAAAGATAAGGTATATGATAGATTAATTTTTGAGGGAAATTGGGATTGGTGATGATTAGAAGAAGAAAAAAAAGCATTTAAAAGAATGTGAGAAAGAGTGTGAATGAGATAAAGATAGAGAAAGAGAGAGAAAGAGAGAGAGAGAAAGAGAGAGAGAGAGAGGGAGGGGGAGTTTGGGAGAGGTAGGTAGACAAAAGTTAGACAAATAGACAGAGATAAAGATCATATTGATTTGATAGTTGACTAGCACTGTAGTGCTGCGATTTGAATTGCAGAACAACTGGGCATCGTTATTTGGCTCTGCCCTTTTAGAATTCTATTGAGGTAGATATACAAAGTATACATTCCAATGCAATGGAAATAATATGTTACATGCCTAATGATGTTTTATGAAAGAACCAGTAAATCAGCATTTGATTATTGCTCCACCTTCTTGAAAACTAGATCCAGTATTCAGAGTTTTGACCCTTCCTCCGTCCATCAGAGGTCAATCAGCCCAGTATCGTCCAGCTCAGGTATATCAACAGCAGAAGGTGCAGTAGATCCACGCACTGTCCCCTACACGATACCCAGGTTTGCCCGCAAAGAGAAAGAAGAGACACCTTCACTAATAGCCTTGGCAGGGTCATTCACCTCACAGGTAATTTCATTGTACTTTTATATCAGTTTGATGTCAATGTATTAGATCAGTAGGAAATGCGTACCCGTATGTGAGATTTCTTGCAATCAGGCATTCTCTCAATTAGTTGATATTTAAAAGTTAAAGGGTAACCTTATTGTATAAGAGAACCTGGGGGTTATTTCACAAAGACTAAGATCAACTTTTAGTTGGACTTAAATATGGCAGGCCATTCATGCCACTGTTTGCTCTCACCCTTACTGGATTTGGTCTCTCAAAGGACGTACAAATCATGGTCACAAATCTTCAGAATTTATATTTTTTGATAATTCATTATTGAAGGAAAAAATATTATCTAAAGATCATAATGGTGAAAGCAAACAGTGAACAGTGGCATGAATGGCCTGCCATAGTTAAGTCCAACTTAAAGTTGATCTTAGTCTTTGTGAAACACTTCCCAGGGGGCATTACCATGTTGAACAAAGTATATAGTCAGTAAGGTTGAGACCTAGGTCATGAGAGCTTGAGTAATGTTAAAGATTTTAAAGAATATAGTTATTTCAGAGTAGTAGGAATTATTTTCATTAATAATCCTACACCAGAATGCTGTTTTAGTGATTCTAATGTTGGTGTAACAATGCTTTTACCAGCAATTTCATTATTATTTTTTGTTTGTAGAAAAGCTCACATTCTTTGCTGTCTGTCTTTTTAAGATTGGCTTTAAATTAGGACACAATCCTTCCTGTCAGCTGCATTACTCTATTATATATGATTCTATGCCCATTGTATGTATTTTCTTCAAAGTAAGTTTTTACATTTTTTACATGGTAAAAAAAAATACAAGAGAGAGCTCAGTATTGAAGAGTTGAACTATCAATTTATCCTGATTCTATGAGAGATGTTAAGACATTTAATCAAATCAATTGTATCATTTTCTTTTCTCTTTATTTACAGTTAAGTGCCATGAGTGTGAGATCAAATGAAACAAATAGCTCTGGAATCTCAGAAAATCAACCTGTTATACTAGCAAGGGTAAGCTACATCTCTATGGATTAGTACTACTTTAAATTTATAATCATTATAATTAACTGTAAACCAAGCATCATATCTTTATAGATATTGAAAAAGTAAAGCTTTTATTATGATGAGGTTATTGTCAGGTGCATAGTCTCATAGTAATATTAAACTTGTGGTGCACTGGATGGACTATGAAACGGAGATAATGGAATGGAGCAGACTGTATAGCTTAGGGGAGTACAATCAGAAGTAGTTTAGAAGCATCATTGATGGAGTTTGATGACAAACTAAAATTTTCTTTGATAATATTTTTTTGTTTTGTAGTAGGTTCAATTCCAAAAGAAATATCTCCATTGTCTTTAATGTCTTAATTCTTTCCTTTCCAGTAAAACTTCTAGACCTGCTTTTAAATTGTTCATTTTGATAATGAAAAGAAAATGACTTGTGTTGTTTGGGGAAGATGTGGAAATGAAAAACTTTGTAAGCCTCTGCAAATTTCAAGAAAATGTTATTCTAATTTGTATGTCCTTTGTCTTTTTTCTTTGCAGAACCTGTCTCCAGATTCTCTCAGTGCAGTCTCATTCACATCAGCATCAGAAGCAAGCCCCATGCTGACATAGTAATAAAGCTTATTTAATTAAATTTATTTGTAGAGTACTAATCAATATTTTATGTCATATTTTCTAATATGATTTGACAAACATTCTGTGACCATTCAATCAATTCTCAGTATAAAACATGATAGAAAATGCCTGGTAAAAATGCCTTGTTTGGTTATTGCATTGCCAGATCTTGGTATTAGGACCAGATTCCAGACATAATTTGACATTTAAAACATATCAAACTTTACGTCTTGTGTACATTTTGATAATCTGCAAAACTTACAAGTTTAAGGATAGTAAAAATTGATAAGTGAATACAAATCTGAATGAATTAATCACACAATACATGGTACATAAGTAGTAGCATGTTACATTGTAGATTTTACCAAAGTCTGCAGACTTCCTTTCGTCTATGTGCATGCACACAATTACACACACACACACAAACCTTTTTTGTTTTTCTGTAATTTTTCTGTAATTCTTTTTCAATATCGAAACAATACGAATAATTCTTTAAAATACAATTCTTTTTCATCATAGTAACATTATTTCATTAACTTAATACATGTACAATTCATATACATGTAGTACGATATACAAAAATCAGAATAAAATCATTTATTGTATGAAAATTGTAACTCCCCTCCATTACTGCCTAACCCCAAACTAAACCCACCACCTACCCCCCCCCTCCCCCAATATTTATTTGCTCTGCCCCTAACCATTACGAGCCAGAAAAAATATCACTGAGTTCCTATAGGAAATATATTTATTCAGATGGTTATATCTCAGCCAATACTTAACATATTCCATTGGTTTTCAACATTTGGACATTATTTTTGATTATTTCGGAAAATGAAGAAAAAAATTGAGAATTTCTAAAAATAGATTTTATGATGTCACAGCTTAGGTACTCTGTATGGTAGTTAAATCCGAAGTTGAATGTGTGCATTGTCATGGTGGAGTAACTGTTCTATTATACAATGACTCGTCTGCATCAAGAGTCACTTCAAAGTGATGTATTGTTGATGGTTTGCCTTAGAAGCTTATTACTTTCTCTGCCATAGAATGCAGTGTGTTCTTTAACCTTTTCCACTGATGTATGATAAGCTACTGTGCACAAGAATTAATCCTTCAGCAACTCTTCCAAAACGATTGCGTCCTCTCAGTTAGCCCTGGATGAAATCTTAAATCGTTCACTTTCCCTATAACCAATTCGGAGTGATTACTGATGGCTTCATGTCTCTGAGATCTGTCATCATGGGCCACAAATCAGGAAATAGCGCCTTTCCTGGTTTGCTTGGTTGCTTGCAAATTGGTTTAATTTTGAGGATTAAGGTCCACAAACATGCCCCATGATAAAGTGCTACCTAAGTAACGCTGGGATGAATGGTGTCATACACAGAGGGGTAATGGTCCGTAAACTCAGTGGCCCACATGTCCAAAAAAGTGTTTAAAAAAGGAATTTAGTCTGAGGTGTATTGTAGGTATTCATTAGCTATTACTTTCATACTTCATATGAACAAACATTATACTCTACATTATAATTCAATAAACCACATAGCATAAAGAGGCCTTTCTTATTCAGGATACTGAGAATTGATTGCATGTTTTACTGGATTATGCTGGATTTAAGGGCAATCCAATGGTGTAACATGTGTAGAGTTTTGTGAGAGCAGCAAAATACAAGAAGCAGATTGATCAATTTTTAAACTAAAACAGACAAATACTGTACATGTAATGAGAAATTTAGAAGCTGAGATCCCTAAATCAGTGTGAATCTCAAATAACTGAATTGGTCAGTCGACTGTGATGTATTGAGAGACAACACAACCATATGTTGTACACACTTTTATGAATGTTAATCTTTGATAAAGTTTCCTGTAGGCTGTCAAGAAAGAGTATGAACGTCATGTTTTTTGTTAATTTCTTCAAATAATGAAACTCCTAAACTATATCTAATATATTGAAAATTATTTGTAGTCATATTATATATAGGTGCAAAAAGGAATGGTTGTACATTACAGTGACATTACAAATTCATCAATTCGATATCCCTATTTTTTCTACTGGATCCCACCTTAAAAATAATATATCTGAACTTCCTTGTTGTGTTTGTGATTTCCTTTACCAATCTGATTTTCTGTTACATATAGAGTAGTTTGGTATGAAGGTTTGATTCTGTTTAACCCTGTCTGTGCCGTTGGGGGCAAATCCTGCCAAAGAATGTGTGTTGAACTGTTAATTTGGATAAAAAAAATCGATATATCTTTGTCCGAAAACAGAAACGGTAGGCTCAGTATAACATTTAGTCTTATGGAATATATTGCAAGCTCATTGGAACAATGAAACTAACATGATAAGTCTAAATTTCAACCCCGGAAAGTTCATTTACTGTATGACAATTTGTTTAAAACAAAATTTGTTACACAGAAGGGGGAATGGTAATTAGTATAATTTTATTGACCATTTTTAATAAAAAATATAGTAAGGCAAGATAACTAATATTAGCTTCCACATCCTGATTTTTTTTCTCTGTATTTTACCTTGAATTTTGTACATTAAACCAAAATTGAAAGCAAGCAAAGTGAATAGATGGGAAGCTTTAATGTGATCAGTACTGTTTTCTGATACATTTGAGATGTTTTGTTGTTAATTTGATCTTGGCTAAGGCCTAAAAAAATGTTGAATTGCCCTTTAGGTGCCAAAACATGGGTCGGTTGGTCAGAAACTTTTTTTTTAAATAATTTGTTTTGGTTGTTTTACTTTCTCTTGGGGCTGATATTTCTCAGTTTTGAATGCTTTAATACATTTTTTTTCTAAAAACTGTTTACTGAAATTTTTTTTTTTTTTTTTTAAAGTCAACCGTAGATTTCAAGATTTTTGAGTCGGGGGCAATACAACACCTTTTTTTTTTAGGCCTCCTACAGAAACATGCTATGTACCAATATATTTATTGAAATTATTTAATATACCTCATTGATGGTTTACGGTAAGGCATTTTCTTATTAAAGAGGAAAATAGTGTGTACCGTTATGTCTATTTTAGGATACAATGTTTATTACATGTAGGTTAGGTCATTCTTTCTGTTGAAGCATTACAAACAATGATCTGTATTTGGCTGTTGGTTAATTACTACAGTGAGTGATTCATATACTGTAGGGCATCACATGTATTTATGTCCTACCTCCACAATCATGAAGTGTCTTTCTAAATCACACTAATTCTTCCTTCCTTGTTCAGTCAAATTTTCTATAAAAACAACAGCTGTTTGTTTTAGTGTGTACCGTAAACTAACTTATGCTCTATCCTGCATTTATACAGTATACACTATATGTGGATTTAGATAGCAGTTTAGGTTTGTACACTTTATACAGACATTCATAGTACCGGTACATGTTTTCAAAACGTTCATGTTACCGTAGTGGTTGCAGTTTCCATGCTGCTTTTCCTGTTTTCCACATATGATATCCTGATGGTGCACTGCGTGATTTTTTTTTCCCCAGTTGTGTGGATTCTATTTCACTTTGTTTTATGTTGCTTTTTTTTAAGTGACTAATTTAGCTTCAAATGTCCTACCCACTTACTGTAATCAGTAACTCTTCATTACATGCTGGTAATGAAATATTTTGGAAATCACAATTTTTTTCCTTCAGTTTTTATGTTGGACCAAATCTGGAGTAATGTTTGAAATGTAAATGCATGACCCAGCTTATATCAGGGTTGTTGGTGGACTGTTCTGCATGCTCTGATTAAGTGTCTTATTCTGTAGTTAAGTGTTTGGAAAATGTAAAATGGTTTTCATTATTGTCAGAGAGTAAAATAATTTTGGTTTATCTGTGATATGTCTAAATTGCCTGGCTTACCGGTATGTTCTCTTAACATGTTTACATGTATGTAATGATGGTGCAATGCGTGCAATGTATGTCTTGTTATTTGTGAATGATTAAGTGCAAACTAAATGTAGGGGCGATACCAAGTATTAACAAAAAAGACTAACAAACAATTGTAAAGATCTGTGCTATCTGTGTTACTGCTACAACTGAGTTTATATTACAGTGCATTGTGTCTTTCTGTGGCATTAAATTGACTTGTAAATTTATACTGTTGATTGTAAATATACAATTAATTGGAACTTGGAAGAGATGCAATCAAAATCAATTTTGTTTTATTTTAATTTTTTTTTATTTTAATTTTAATTTTTTTTTTGGGGGGGAGGGTAATAAATTGTAACACAGTACCGGTATGTTGTATGGGTTATTACTTACAGTAATTCTAACAAATCAAATACATGTAGCAAGTGGTATTGCTTGAGGTTATTGAAGAATGATCACTTGTATCTATTGTTTGGATTCCTAGTCAAGTTCTTACTTTTTATCTCGCCCAAATATCAGAAAGTTGTGATAAACCTAGTGATAAGAATGAGCTTCTCTGCTTCATTTGCAGTATATTAATTTCTTGTATGCAATTTTTATGCTTTGTCACATAATTTTTTGGAACAGATTTTATTTGAACAATGAAATATGCATATTTCCTAATAAATAGAGAGTATCTTTACTATGATTCTATAAGATGTCTAGCTTGTCAAAATTTATTGTGTACAACAATTTTTGTTTAAATGATAATATTGTTACATGTATAAAGTGCATTGAATAAGTCAGTCTGCTTTATAAATCGTTATCCCATGTCAATTTATTTCACGAACACACAAAAGTGTGAACCTTCTTCACTCCACTCATTTAATGCATTTGTGAAATGTGTGCTACTTTAGAAATACCGGTAGAACTTTTCATGAATTTAGTGAAACAATCGAATGAGAATTTCACTTTTTTATAATATGCCTCACAGCAGCCATGAACAATTTTCTAAATTTAAAATATCTCCATCCCAATTGAATAAAGTTAGTATTTTAACTTTTTTTTTAGTCACACTTTGTGTATAGCATACATGGCTCAATTACACGCCACATGGAAAGTCTGGTTTATATAGTTTATACAACAAAGGCCGAGGCTCCAAATCATATTCACATCATCTTTAAGAAATTAGCTACCAAGAACCAATATATTCCTTAACCATTGTAATCTCCCCTGCTCTTTCTAACCCTGTACTGTTTATACATGATGTCCATGATGCAGATCTTTATTTTTAGATCATGCAAGCTGTGGTTCCATGTCCTGCTGCATGTTACATCATAAGTCAGAACAGAAAGGAAACACATGCTTTCAATTTATTGTAGTCCATGAATGCCTTTACAAACATGCAGCTAACCACCCAACACAAGTATTGCATACTTTGCAGACAACTCGCACATCACTAAAGCTTACTCAAACATTCTTTTATGTAGATCATTTTATTTAATTTAAGTATAAAAATCATGAATTTCAGTCTTTCTTGTATAAATATACACATCACAAAATATACATTTCTTATTAAAAGCATGAATAATATTTTCATCACTCTAAAGGCTTGTTCAGATATGATGGCAAAACCATGGCAAGTTTTTATGACTTGAATTTAAATGCGCCTTATATTTCTGTATCTTAACATAGAGTTCATTAAATACATGCCAGTTCTTCGTTACACGCAGTTGCCATTTGTTTACTGGTACATGTAAAAACACAGCAGCAGGTTTTTTTGCAGCGGTTTACCGTGTTATGTCTGAACAAGCTTTTATGACTGATAAAATTGTCTTTTCAGAGCCAGAAAGGCGTTAACTTTGGTATGTGAGTTAACATCCTTCTTGCTCCAAACGGGTGACATAAGGATATATTTCAAAGGAAATGTAACTATAAGTGAGTCTTAAATGAATGTAAGAAATCAACCAATCTACAGTCATTCGCTTACAGGAAGTGGAACTCTTAAAAATTCAGTTTACAACAATTCCAAAGATTATAGTGTGGCTCATTAAATCTACACCCACCAACCTTGCTGAGTGTACAATGTAATCTTAATTCTTTTGGAAGTTCTTCTATAATTTCAATATCTTTCTTCTCACAACCAATAACAGTATTTTGTTGGCCCTAAATGATCAAAGTCCCAAAGTATTTATCTTTTAAGTTGTATCTTTATCTTCATGTCCTAGCCCAAATTGTACCTTTTTTTCCTTGTGACACGGGACTTAGTGATTGCCTTAAAAAAATGTGCACTCTGCATGATATATTTGTAATGATTTTTTTTTCTTTTTGCCCTATTCATAATTCGAACAGAAATATGACGCCAAATAAATGCTATGAATCATCGTCGTCTTGAACGTTGATGACATACAATTAAATCAAGATATATTAAATGATTTATTTATATCTCTATCCTGAAAAAAGCTAATGTTTGTATTCCCTAATCATATATTTTAAAATTGTAAAAATCAATCCATGTTGGTCAAACTCTTTGGTTAAAAATATACATCAGAAATATTTCAGTAATAACAAGTCAAAAAACGATACTCAATGTGTACAAATTTGAAAGTACAATATTGAAATTATAATAGTTTTACTAATTTCTTTAATGTCCTCTGAAGACTACAACTTTTTTCTTGCTGTATTTACTCTTAGCAGTTTATATTTCTTTTCCATTTATACCAATACTATACCTACTAGGACTAAAGCCATCAATGCAACGTCATATGTTTAGTACTATTTTTATCCTAGAGTTATGTGTAATGTAGTATTTGAAAGAAATTTAACAAAGATCGGTCTTTCAAACTTTCAAAATATTAGATCATTCTAGATCATTCTATAACAAAAGCGTTCCTTGGTGTAATGAAACAATGTTAAAAGGGCTCAAGCATTCACAGAATTTCTTCTTACCAGTTATTAGCTTCACCTAATTGTACATTAATGTCCTGATTCATAAAAAGAAAAGATTAGTTCAAAGATTGTTTCATTAATAATGCCATCCAAGGTTCATATCATGTCACGTTCATTATCAAACTAACATGATCGCAAAGGCTTTCAATAAATCAACTCAAGGGTAATTTCAATGCTCTATTGTACTGCCAGTGGAAATCATGTTCCAATTACAAAATTGTTATCAGGTTCCTTGATATCAAAAGGTGAAGGACAATGATATTAAAATTGCTTTAGGAAGATTTTTCATAAGTCTTTGCGATTGTCTTAATAATAGTACTTTAATACACAAGACCACGCAATCATCGGGAATGATCACTGTTTGACATAAGTGGTTGTGGTAGTGGCTCCCATTGGAGGGGCGGTAGGTTGACCGTAGCCTGTGCTGTTGTAGTTCGGTTGAGCTGGGTAGGTGTTGTACACGTAGGTGGTCCTGGTAGTTGAATTAGCCGGGTAGGCAACAGGGGTTTCATTGGACACCACCACATAGCGGTTGTGACGTCTTCGACTGGCCAGCCAACAGCATGGGCAGCAGGCACAGACAATCAGGATGAAGAAAAAAGATATGAAGAAGCATGTTGTCACGATCGCACCAATCGCCCATGTCCTGCCAGTGGAGAAAAGGGTAATGATATCATCTAAACAGAATTGCTTTCATAGAGGTTTACTTTCAACAAACTTTTCTCATGTACTCCTCATTCATTTCATGGATGATACTACAAATGGCCTGCCATTGGAGAAAACATTTTTAGAATGGCTTTAAGAGACATTTACTTTCACAAACCTACATGTATCACTATGTCAGGTATTCCACTGAAATATATTTATCTATGAATAAAATTACAAATAGCCTGTTATTAAAGAATACAATATTGTTATTGGAAAAATAAATATCAAAATGTGTTTACTTTCACAAACATTTTTTTTTGCATTCCCCTTCAAATCCCCATTCAATCAGATTTGTAGAATTATTTATAAATAATGATGACAGTGGGTGCATCCAGAACATGTTATGGCAAACTTTGTTTTAGGTTTGATTTTGACACAGATATAGGGTTACAGTTGCAATTGGGTTTTGGGTTAGGTTCAGATCGAGTAAGGGTTGGATATCTTCTGTGGTGCAGTTGGCGCCAGAGCTTGTTTATTTTATTTACAATCTGATATTGAAATATAAGAAACAAATCCTTGTAAGCCCAGGTTTTATATTGATTTCATTGTGCCTCACCTTTCTTGCTGTTTACAGTATCTTTTGAGAAAGCTAGGTGCACCATTGAGATTGTCAAATGAATAATTCTTCTTAAAATTGTAATTTGGATACAAATTCCTTGTTGTTACTTGTCAGGTTTTGTTTTTTTTTTTTTGGGGGGGGAGGGGTCTTTGTTTGTTTTGTTTTCTTCTTCTTCTTCCTTTTGCCATGATGTGTAAATGTGAAATGCTATGAGGGCATCCTTTTAATACCAAAACTGTTGTACAGTTAAAAAGAAAAGAGAATATATATAACAAAATGATTTATTGAAGAAAAAAAGTTGACTGGGCCTTACGCAAGAATAGTTGGATTACAACATTGCTGAATCCCGTTGATACTACAACAGGTCGTCCAATCGTATGAGTCGTATGGCCTTGGGCAAGAAAACCCATAGTCAGATGGGCACATGTCTCCATAAGCACCTGTCAAAGAAGGAATATACAGTTTTCATTTTGTTTTTTTATGACCAGGTCAAGAATTTTATAGGTAAAGGTACACAAAGCTTTAAGCACCGTTTTTATTATTATTATTATTATCACAAAGTCCAAAATATCCTGTGCAAGCAAAATTATGGCTCTCAAATATCACCAAGAAAGGAAGAGTATGACTCCTGTCTTAATAGAGGCCCACTGGCTTCCATGGTAATACATGGTGGTGGTGGGGGGAGGGGGTTATATGCCCCCCTCATCCCACTGTACCTGTACTGTAGTTAGAGGAGATAATGATAGACTAGTGTAGCAGGCAGGTGCATGCTATGCATGGACATAATTAAATCCAGAGTGGTGGTGGTGGGGGTGGGGGGGGGGGGGCAGGCAGACAAAGATTTCTTCCATAAATTTTGTTTTTTTATTTATATGGAAACAAAGAGCAGAATACTCAAAATCGAATTGACATGTTCTAGTAATGCTCAAAGTTCAAAATGAAACTATTATTTTACCTAGATTAAAAAAGGCCCCTTCCAAATATATCAGAGCAATTTTTGCCCAAGGGTGAAAATTCTTGAGATATTATGACTTAGCTACATCAATATTAAAAGATAGTGAAACTGAAAGAAAGGGACTTTGTCCAATTAAGTTGGGTGTTTAAGGCCAAAATACAGAAATGATATGGACATCAGGCAAAGTAGGACTGAAATTCATTCATAGCATTTACAGAATGATGTACAAACAACCATTGGAATGAGACAGATGAGATGTCACTGGCTAAATAATATCATTGTACATAGCTAGAGACATGTAAACAAATAATCTACAGTGAAAAAACTTCTCCCTACCAATATACCATGTCATTCATCGTCTTGGCGAGTATCATTGAGTAATACTAGCCTGTACCAGTGCTGTACTGAAGGTTATTGAATGTAGTTATAAATAACGAAAATAAGAAAATACATCAAAAATTGTTCAATCTCATGTTCACGTGATCGTGACAGATCAAAGTTCAAATCACAATATAGATATAAGGGAACTAATTTGTGCGCATCAGTACACTGTGAATCATGAGAATTAAACGCACTAATTAATACACAATATTGTTTATAAAGATATAATTCATCCACTCCCAGAAAAGAGCTCGACAACTTACCATCAATTAAGGTGAATACTGCGACGGCAAGACATAGTGAAATCGTTCTTGATATAACAGACATTTTGGAACTATATCTTCTTCTCTTCAGGTCGTTTACGGATATCAGCAAAATTGCGCAATGTAAATGTGAATCAAATCATGTGTTCAGTTTATTCACGTACGTGCTGCAAAATATCATCGTTGCATAGGTTGTTTATCTTTGGTAATTACCCCTTGACGTATGATATATTGATGGGAGCAAAGTCCAATGATCAAAGTGTTTTCCTCTCAGTTTCAGGCCCGTACATGGGTGTCGATCCCGGGGGGGGGGGGGGGGGGGAATGGGGGGATATATCCCCCCAATATTTCAGGTGGGGGATGGCCTGTACAATCATCCCCCATATAATTCACCATAAAAAAAAAAAATTGTTAAATCAATAGCATCATAGAAATGCAGTGCGCCAAATGCAAAGACGCAGCGTTAAAAAGCAATGAGACAACCGTATATGAGAAACGAATAAATTGAATTCTCGCTAGCTCATACGGCTTCATCCAAATTATTGATGAATTTATTCAATTTGTTGAAGTGTCCCCCCAGGCGCGGATCCAGGATTTCTTAGGGGGGGGCCCAAATTTGAAATTATGCGAGCCAAATATTGGTACGTAATGGTGACCAACAGTGACGTGATGCGGGGGGGGGGGGGTCGGTGCAGGGAGGGGCGAATTTCCCCCTCCCTCCTCCGCGAAACGCGGAAGCTTTGACGTTTCATTTAATTATTAGAAAAAGAAGACGGTTCGTTGTACCGTTCTCGAAAATAAATCTCGTCTGAGTTTAGATTTTGCCCCCTCGCGCGAAGCGCGGAAAATTTTAGGATTTATTAAATTATTAGAGAAAGAAAACGATTCGTTGTAGAGTTCTCAACTCTAAATTCTCGTCTGAATTCATGTTCCCCCCCCCCTATCGCGCGAAGCGCGGAAGCTTTTAAGTTTCCTTAAATTATTAGAGAAAGAAAACGATTCGTTGTACCGTTTTCGAAAATAATCCTCGTCTGAATTTAGATTCTCCCCCCCCCCTCCCGCGCGAAGCGCGGAAGCTTTTACGTTTCATTAAATCATTAGAGAAACAAAACGATTCGTTGTACAGTTCTCGAAAATAATTCTCGTCTGAATTTAGTTTTTCCCCTCTCGCGCGACGCGCGGAAAATTTTAGGATTTATTAAATTATTAGAGAAAGAAAACGATTCGTTGTACAGTTTTCGAAAATAATTCTCGTCTGAATTAAGTTTTTTCCCTCTCGCGCGACGCGCGGAAAATTTTAGGATTTATTAAATTATTAGAGAAAGAAGACGATTCGTTGTAGAGTTCTCGACTCTAAATTCTCGTCTGAATTCAGGTTCCCCCCCCCCTTTTAAGTTTCCTTAAATCATTAGAGAAAAAAAACGATTCGTTGAACCGTTTTCGAAAATAATCCTCGTCTGAATTAAGATTCTCCCCCCCCTCCCGCGCGAAGCGCGGAAGCTTTTAAGTTTCCTTAAATCATTAGAGAAAAAAAGACAATTCGTTGTACCGTTTTCGAAAATAATCCTCGTCTGAATTTAGATTCTCCCCCCCCCCTCCCGCGCGAAGCGCGGAAGCTTTTACGATTCATTAAATCATTAGAGAAAGAAGACGATTCGTTGTACCCTTCTCGACTCTTAATCCTTGTCTAGATTCAGTTCCTCCCTCCCTCTCCCCCTCCTGCGCGAAGCGCGGAAGCTTTGACGTTTCATTAAACTATATGAAAGAAGGCAATTCGTTGTACCGTTCTCGAATCTTAATCCTCGTCTGAATTCAGTTCCCTCCCCCCCCCCCCTCCGCGCGAAGCGCGGAAGCTTTTACGTTTCATTAAATTATTAGAGAAAGAAGACGATTCGCTGTACAGTTCTCGACTCTTAATCCTCGTCTGAATTCAGGTCCCCCCCCCCCCCTCTCGCGCGAAGCGCGGAAGCTTTTAAGTTTCATAAGATTATGAGAGAAAGAAGACGATTGGCTGAACAGTTCTCGACTCTTAATCCTCGTCTGAATTTCGATTCTCCCCCCTCCCGCGCAAAGCGCGGAAGCTTTTATGTTTCATTAAATCATTAGAGAAACAAGACGATTCGTTGTACAGTTCTCGACTCTTAATCCTCGTCTGAATTCAGGTCCCCCCCCCCCCTCTCGCGCGAAGCGCGGAAGCTTTTAAGTTTCATAAGATTATGAGAGAAAGAAGACGATTGGCTGAACAGTTCTCGACTCTTAATCCTCGTCTGAATTTCGATTCTCCCCCCTCCCGCGCAAAGCGCGGAAGCTTTTATGTTTCATTAAATCATTAGAGAAACAAGACGATTCGTTGTACAGTTCTCGACTCTTAATCCTCGTCTGAATTTAGTTTACCCCCTCCCCCTCCTGCGCGATTCGCGGAAGCTTTGACGTTTCATTAAACTATTGAAGAAAGAAGGCGATTCGTTGTACCGTTCTCGACTCTTAATCCTCGTCTGAATTCAGGTCCCCTCCCCCCCCCCCCCTCCCGCGCGAAGCGCTCAAGCTTTAAAGTTTCATAAGATTATGAGAGAAAAAAGACGATTTGCTGTTCAGTTCTCGACTCTTAATCCTCGTCTGAATTCAGGTTTCCCCCTCCCGCGCGAAGCGCGGAAGCTTTTAATTTTCATTAAATCATTAGAGAAAGAAGACGATTCGTTGTACCGCTCTCGAAAATAATCCTCGTCGGAATTAAGTTCCCCCCCCCCCCCTCCATCCCGCGCGAAGCGCGGAAGCTTTTACGTTTTATTAAATCATAAAAGATTGGTATAACCGTTCTCGCCTCTGAATCCTTGTCTGAATTTAGGTTCCCCTCCCGCGCAAAGCGCGGAAGCTTCACGTTTCATAAGATTATGAGAGAAAAAAGACGATTCGCTGTACCGTTCTCGATTGTTAATCCTTGTCTGGGGCGGCGGCGAAGCCGGCCCCGGAAGCTCAGAGGTTTTAGGCGTTTAATTAAGGTCATATGAGCATATTTTTTTTTGTATACCTTATTATTTCGTGACACTGGCAGGTAACTATTTGGCGTTGGGTCCAGGGGGCGGAGCCCCCCAAAATCAGGGGCTTTAGGAATTAAATTACCGTCAGATGAGCATCTAAGGGCCCGCCGTAGGGCCCTTGGTGGGATCCAGGGGGCAGAGCCCACGGAAGCTTAGGGGTTTTAGGCATTTAATCACGGTCAGATGAGCATATTTTGATGCCTCATTATTTGTTAACACTGGCAGTTAACTATTCTTTCTTTCTTGCTCTCATTCTATTTTATTTCTCTTTAATATACTTTTTCAAACAAAGTGTGGGGGGGGGGAGAGCTCGAGGCTCCCGATCCCCACCGTACCTCGGGCCCTGACATGTAGGAATCTCAAGAATCATATTTCTTGCCTGGCTGCAAATTTAGGAATTGGTCATTTTCCAACAAACACATACAAACGTATAATTTACTAAAAAGTGAGGAAAGATCTCGGAAATGATGTAATTTCAGCATTATTTGTAATCCACCGTTGTGGAATTAGAAATAAACCACATTTGAATTTGATTTCCACTACCCCCCCCCCCCTCCCTTTCAGTACGCCAGTATCTCCTTTTTTCCTTTCCCTTTCCTTCCTTCTCTCTTATTTGTTTTATGGGGGGGGGGGGGGGGTCAACAGCCTGGGAGGCAAAGCCCTTTCGACCCCCCGATCTCCTTCTTCCCCCTTTTCTTTTCTTCTTCCTCTTCTTTCTTTCCCTTTCTCTCCTCTTTCCCTTTCGCTTCTTTTCCTTTTTTCTCTTTTTTTTTTTTTTTTTTTTTTGCGGGGGGGGGGGGGGGGCAAGGCCCGCTCGGCCCCCCCCCCTGGATCCGCGCCTGTGTCCCCCCCCCCCCCATTTTTCTGCTTGAAAATCAAGTTATAGGTACAATTCAGTTGCACACTGGAACGGTTTCACTAATAACAATTGTGTACTACCTATATAAAATTCGCATTGTTGTATTGTTTCCTTTACCTAGACCAGACTGAGCGTCCTCCTCCATGGATGTATAAGAGGAGCTATTAAAGGGTAGGTGCGTGGGTGCGTGCGCCCCCCCCCCCCCCTTGTAGTTAAGAGCCTGCAATTTTCATGTGATTTGATAGAATCGTTAGTACAGGCCATTTCCTTTCTGACTTTCTAATGAAACTTATTCATAACAGGTTAATGAAATTATTTGTAACGAGGCACTTTATAAAGATATTACAGTAAATTTGATTACATTATGAACATGGTCTATTGACAATAAAGCAGCTTGTTCGACGTCAAATAAGTTTTTACTATTTCCGAATATAACTTTCCAAATCAAGAAAGGGACCTTGTAATGAAAGGCTATCATAAACAATTACGATCGCTTCCATACAGCATAACGCTTTTTATATAGAGTATCACTAAGGGCTAAAAAAGAGAGAATATATGATTATGTTTCAGTTCTCTTCAAACATTCAAATTTGTGTAAAAGGGACAAAAGGAGTTTGTTTTGGCCATAAGCTTAATTGGCGCGATAGTACCATCCGCCAAGTCCATAATATCTCTTGTAAAGCCCTTCACAAAAATCGGATCATAATCTAACCTTTAAAGCCGTCAGATTGCGTTGCTATATTTTGTCGATTCTACCATGGACCTCTACCCTTTGTCAAACGGAAACAGATGATTTTCGACAAAATACAATAAATTGGCAAAAGTCCTGTCTGGAACCTTTTTTTTTTAGGTCAGATTTTTTTCTCAACCCTGTGATCTCGGAACAAACTTTGTCAAAAGAAACGAATATGTCTCATCACAAAATATTTAAACATAAAGAGTCCCATTTGGGAAGTTGTTTCATTTTATAGTCCGAAAAGAAAACAGAAAGTTTCCCTAATTCGACTCAAATTTTCAAAAAACCACCACCCCCCCCCCCCCCCAATAAAAAAAAAACCCTCGGTGGTGTGAAGAAAATTCTTTCGGTCCGTTTCAACTTTGTTAAATCAATATATTGCTTCATGGTCTCCCTGTAACAAAAATGTTATCTGACTTCAAAACTCATAGGAGTCGGGCGGGGGGAGGCTAAGATAGACCCCCCCCCCTGCTGCCTTAGCATGTCCGTCATCTACATCTGCTATTTTCAGGGGCCCCCCCCCCCCAAAAAAAAAAAATAAATAAATAAATAAATAAATAAATAAAAAAAATAAAAATGAAACGACTTAATTCCAACGGCATTTGAAAGGTAGTACTAATTAAGAACTTCCCTTAAAACAAAAGGGCTTGAATATATCTTTTTGTGTGAAAATAACGACCGTTAGTTGACGGATCGAATTTAGTGATCGCGGTCGTTTAATTAATTAGTCTGATTTTCAGACCCTTGTAGGCCTACCGAATGGTCGTGCGTTTTGTACTGCGCAAAGAATCAATCAGTTTCATTTAGGCCTTTACCAAAAATGGACTATTGATGCAGACAAATGCTCATGTATACCCTTTACAGCTCATGTTATGTATGTTATTACCAAAGAAACTATAAGAAGTCAGTCAGTCACTCAATAGTGTCTGACAGTGTTCAAATCTAGAAGGTATACGGGTTTCCTCATATAATACTAGGACGCATGCTAATGTTTAAATTTCACAAATAGGACATACGTAACATTTACAATTTCTGCAAAGTTCTACAGAATTTGATGTTGGATGCAAAAGGGATACCCTACGTTAAGAAGAAAAAAAACCCAGATAATGAATGACTTTTATTCAAAATTTCGAACATGAAGTCATTATATAGGCATTAATTTGGTCTTAAGTTGATTTTTGAAAGTATTTGCGATCGTGTTAAAAGTAATAACACTTATAAACATGCGTGAAACATGCAATAGATGTCAACATATCTATTTCTTGAAGATGATTAAAAGGCATTCACATAATCTACATTTTTTACATCACTGCAAAGAAGGCCTACTCTAGGCCTATGTGGTCAGCATGATGACGTGTAGATCGAGAGAAGACGAAAATAAACTTTAATGAATCATGTGACCGACTTGCGTTTTTACAGCGTTTACTTTATTCATGGTAGAACAATCCAAATTGCTTGACGATCTATCTGTGACCTTTTCTCTTTCCTTTTCAAAACAAGTCTGCAGGTTACTTTAGATTTATTTAATTATAAAGTGGAAAGAAACCATTTGATTTTACCATAAGCGATGATACCAGACAGAGTCACGAGCCTACGGTTGAAGGAACCACCATGCTTGATAATTAGGCCGAACTTTGATTGATATTGTATGGTACAAATAAAAATGGTGTCCGGGGTTAATCCCCACTCTTCCCTTATACACATTAACAAAAATCTCATTGTTATTATCATTATCATTATTATTAAATTTCTCCTCTCGGGGGAGCACTGTGCTTGCATGTCTGATGTCGACGACGACGACGACGATGATGATGATGATGATGTCTTGTTGTCAGTATAGCCAGCCTTAATATAGCACCGGTATCATCGTTCCGCCTCTGCTAGGTGCTTATGGCGATTGCTCTACAATGTCAATGTCTTGGCCACTGTGCCAAATTGCATGAGATTATATTCCAAAAAACGGTGACGGTCTTACATTTGTTAGCATTCAATTCTTAATTGCGATAATATCGTAGCTGGGAACAGGTAAGTCTTGAAACCGTTGACGGTCACGAACATTGATATAGTTATAGAATGAACTTGTTCAAGTTCAAGTTCAACTTTAATTATCTTTCTTTCATAACACACATTACAACATGTCATGAATATAACAAATTGACGGAATATGGCGTTACAACAGAAAGATGAGGTGACCTAATTGGTTGAAATAAATGCTTGTGGAATTAAAGGTAATACAAAGTTTTGGTATGGGGTCATGAATTTGGTTCAATTGAACATATTGGTAGCATATGCGATCTTACAATATTCAGTGATCGTTGTCGCGGTTGAAATCGAGTATAAAGTGATGAAATTGTAAATTATAAACTCTTTATGTTGTATAGCGCCCTCTAAAGGTCAAGATAGTAATTAAGCTCTAAAAGCTGATTCAGCCGAGGACGCAGGTTCGAAACTGAGTCACGTCTTTCGGATGGTGACGTTTAAAGGTCGGTCCCAGACGTAAATAATCATATCTGATTGATACACGTCTGTAAAAACCCAATACACACACACACACACACTCTAAAACAATGTTTCTTGACTACAATCGACCAATTTGCTATTACCTTTTGGAATTATATCACAACTGCATATTCTGAGATTTTCATGGTCGCAGCTACCATCGTATGGCCGTAGGCGCTATTTGAAATTTATCAAAATTTACCGGGAGCACCGGTGATTGTTTATATTCAATTTTTCTCGAAAGCAGAAGTGTTTCAGGGGCCAATTTTTTTAGTGCTTATAATACATCCATAGGGGCATCAAAATATATCAACATTGTAAAGAATCACTATCCACCCAATTTTCAAAAATTACCAAAACTTTGTAATACCTTTAAGGTCCCTCATGAGTAGCTTATGCATAATGCCTAAACCGGTCCTAAATTAACAAACTCGTCAGATAAGAATACTGCATACATTAAAATTGCATACAAACTAAATATAACTAAAGAACTGAGAAAAATATAAATATAAATAAGTATAATAAAATATACTGACTATGATGGCTATAAAACGGAGAAGCAGGAAAGAAGCACGGGAAGAGCGAAGGACATATATAAAGTTTAAAGAGAGCAATGTAGAAAACACTGCAGTGTCAGAGATAATGTTAAAAAAGTATGCTCCAGTGAAAGCGCCACACCCATTTCTGCCACGCCCACTGCATCAGCATCGTACACGTCTTCCGCGAGATGAAGGATCTAAGCTGGCTTAACAATGACAATAGTTTAATTGCTCGTCTTTAAAAGAATCTTACATTTTTCATCTTCTACAACATACTCAAAGAAGACAACTTCATATTATCCGATGCAATTTTTCAGAGAATATTGAGGATCATGCATGCGGCATGCATCACTAGTAAATCTTTTCTGGGATCGCGTCGGATGGCTCCTCCGCTCATCCACTTTTAGCTTTTTCACATTCCATATCTTTATTGCTACCGATTGACCAATTTATTTATTTACCCATTCGTCTATATTTATTTATCTATTCATCTATCTGTAGGCATATTTGGCATATCAAAAGTCTTCCCTAATAGGTAAGAGTTGAGGCCTGTCACGAGACTATGAGCTATAGCTAGCCGATGTGAATTTTGGTGTAGTCTTTATTCAATGCATTGGATTTCAGACGGAAAGCTGTGAGCGAGTGGTTCATTCTGTTGCGCTCCGGAAATGAATGTTTCTTTCGTTATTATTTTCAATTATTAGCCTCGAATGCAATGGAGAGCTTCTTTGTTTACCTTTGCATCATTCTTCTGTGCTGCATATTAAGTGAAAGTCATGTTTGTGTGCACAAACCTCCGCAGAATAAACAGGTAAGATCAAAACAATAATGCTCGTGCCCACGTATTGAAATATTTGTGTGTGGAAATTGCGTTTTCGACATTGCGCGAACTTCATTCATATTTTCAGCATTATTTATATTGGGTGTGTTTTATTGTGTTGTGAACAACTTGACGTATTTATTTTCTTCGATGTATGGTGTTTCATTTATTTTATTGTGTGCATTTTTGGGGTCAGAGTACTAGCTGGTGAGGACTCTTATCTCTGACTCTCTGAGACTGAGTAAAAAATTGCCAATCGACTAGGTCTAGTTGGAAAAATAAATCGGCCATCCAAAAATTTGGTTTAGACCTAGAATCTATATCACAAACACAAAAAAGTCATGATTTTTAGTGTGCGCTACATAGGTGCACGATGTGGACCAAATTCTTTGCTTATTTTAATTAGCCAAGTTGATTACCAGAAATACAGAGACTAGATCTGTCGCTTGGAAAAAAACAAGCGAAGGCTAAAACTTTTCAGTGCAGATTTCTTCCTTTTTGGACACGATTAATTTTGACTTTGGAATTGGATTATAACAGGAAATATCAGAAATTCTTCCTGTCGCCCATTAGAGGTAATATTCTGATTTTTTAGAGTTAAATTTATAATTAAGTATTTATTTATTAAATTATATTCACCCCTCTTTATTTTATTCTACACACAATATAGATCTATACCTTTTCCCGATGCAATGTGAGCTCCTAGTGGTGATTTTTATATTTTGACCACTAGTTTTAAATGGTGTAGTTACAGCAGGCTCAGAGTTCTCTTGATTGAATCCTATTTGCAGGTAAAATATGGAGTTCCGCTATCTTCATCGAGTCACCGCAATGAAAGGAGTACAGCTCACAAGCTCAGTGTTCATGTGGAATATGATGTTTCAATTAATGCTCTTTCTATCAGAGAATCATCACTAATTAAGGTATGTTCAGGGTTTCCTTCTCTTTCTAGGTGCATCTAATCTAAAATAGCTACAGTATACAAGGTAATGGGAGCTGTTTAGCCATGGTAATTGGAAAAAGAGCTTTGGTGAACTGGAAAAAGGTTACTGTGAGAAAATTTCACAAAGCACAACGCCAAATTCTAAAAGATCTCTCGTGAACAGAAAAGTATTTGTTTACACTTTTTCACAAGTAGTATTAGAATGTTTGACTATTGGTCAGTTCAAGATTTTTTTATATATATATATATATATATATATATTTTTTTTTTTGGGGGGGGGGGGGAGTGGGTCTTAAAGGTACTATGTCCCATTTGCAGGCCAAAAAAAAAAAAAAAAAGTTAAATTCCAACTGCATTTGAAAGATAATACTAATCTAGAACTTCCCTAAAAAAGGTGGGGCTTGAAAATGTCTTCAAGTGGGAAAATAACGACTATTAGTTGTCAAATCGACTTTAGGGCTATAGAGCCCAAAAGTAATCGTCTTGATTTTCAGACAATTGTACCGAATGGTAATACGTTTTTATGCTGCGCAAAGATTCAATCACTTTAATCTTGGCCATCACAAGAAGTGGGTTATTGATGTAGACAAATGTTCATGTACCCTTTACAACTCTAGTCTAGCAAGTAAACAGGTTTCCTTGCATAATTTGAATATGAGGACACTGCTAATGTTTAAATTTCACAGATAGGACATACATGACATATTCATAATTCCTGCAAAGTTCTACAGAATTTGAGGTTGTCTGCAAAAGGGAAATAGTACCTTTAAGACCAAAATAATAATCAATTTCCTTCTATTAACATGAAAAGCTATAAAAGGTCATTTGTCCAGCCAGAAAAAACAGTGTTTTCTTTTTGAGAATTTCCACTTTTCTGTATGCTTTTTATTTTTTTTGTAACATATAAGATATTCACAAATTGAATTAATCAAAAAATTGTTTTTAATTGATGTTGGAATTTGGAAATAAATCATTTGAATTGAAGAAGAAAAAAGTGAAGAAAAAAAACCAGCCATAAATCAAGATATAATTTTTGTTACGGTGACAGACTTAAATAAAAAAACTAAAAGTGTAGACTTTTCAAGTTGCATTTTAGGGAATTATTGTACCTCATAGATTTTTCTGTTTTTAAATTAAATTTCATCTCATCAGTTGAAAAGCATAATTTCAATCTTTTCATTTATACTAAACTTGTTTTCAAAAGATTTGTTGTTGTTACTTAGATCATGGAAGTAATGTCTTTTTTTGTGCCATGTTTTTATCTGCCAGGGACTCATGCCCGAAGCCCTTGATTTTGTGTCCGAACTGCTAAGTGTAAAACAAAGTCTTTCAACAGTTCTACTTAACAGGTACGTACGAATGTCCATCATTGAACTTGGTTTCTACAGGGTTAGCAGTCGTAATTCTGTCTCACTTTGATACCAAATCCCTCCCTCTTGTTTAGTAAAGTTAAGTGATGTTTTTTCTTGTGGGCTGTCACAAAACTTAGCTGTATGTCTAGAGGAAAATGTTACAACATTGGAAAGTGGGAGAAGGAAAAAACAGTTGCAATGCAATTTAAAAAAAAAAAATATATTACCCAGTCACTATTGGTGAACCTAGAACGCAGTAGGTATAATATTACAGACATCAATCATAATAAATGTGGATTAGCACATCATGCCTTTTAGGAAACTGTCGATTGGGAAGGTACACCCTCTCCCAGTCTAAGATCAACATCTTCCTCAGATCCCAAGAACAAGAGTCACCTGTGGCGAAAGGGCTTTCACTGCCACAGCACCCTTTCTATTGAACAACTTGAAGTTAAAATCTACAACAGAGAGTTTCAAGTTCAAAGTTGAAATCCTACCCGTCCTAATATCGGGAACTAGAGTATGGCTCTTATTCAATTTTCAATTCAATTTCAATTCAATTTATTTATTCAACCATAAAAAAAATACATATATACAATAATAATTCACGATAATATAAAAACATGGGGTTAGGGGCCCCTGAAGAAGTTTGAAAACAAACTTGTGATTGGGGCACCAACCATGACACATATATCGAGAAAATTTACAAAAACAACATTAACCGGAAAACAAATATATACAAGAAAAAAGATTATAAAGACCTATATGTATATGAGGATAAGACATTTACAGCAAAGCACCAGCAAAGGACGCAGAAAGGACACGACGTCAAGCGACACTGCGTCACTATATGCGCCCCTGGCTGGTGCTTTGCAGTATTACAAAACATTTATATACAAAATATAAAAAAATATTAAAAAAAGAACAAGTGGAGCAAGTTATTCATTATTTAATTGAGCGTGGTTTTTGTACTGCAAGAACATTTCATTTTTCAAGAGTTTTTTAAATTTATCAAGAGTTTTACTTAGTTTAATATTATTCCATAACTTAATTCCATTTCAACGTAAGGAATTTTGACTAGATCTAATTGTAGTTTTGGGAAGAAATTGATGAAGATCTGCGTGTTGACGGGTGAAATATGAGTGATAGGAGGCATTAGTGCTAAAAAGATCATTAAAAATATCTGGCAAGGCATTCGTATGATAATGATACATAAAGATATAAGTATACATAAGTACAAGGTCAGGGACCTTTAATGTTTTACATTCAACAAATAAATTGCTTGTATGGTTATTAAATGGTACTTTACAAACTGTTCTTATTGCTTTTTTCTGAGTAATAAAAAGTCTATTCAAGTGTGTTTTAAATGTGTTATATAATGAAATCATGATATGTCTAGGTAAAGTAAATTTAAGTCTGCGGAGGACACCAGTAGTTCTACATAGGCGAGTGCATAGATCATCAATATGTGGTTTCCAAGATAAGAATTCGTTTATTTTGATACCTAAAAATGTAATATTTGATACTTGGGTAATAATATTGCCATCCATAGTGACTTGTGGGATATCATTACTAGCTTTTTTATTTTTTGTTTTAAAGAGAACATATTTACTTTTTTCAAAATTTAAAGACAATTATTCAGACTCTTATTTTCTATCTATTTTTCCTTTTGCACCCCAGAATAGGAGTCCAAGGAAGATGGTGCAATACAAATGCCTACTATTAATTATTATTACTATTATTAAAGTCAGAATAAAATATGTTTATAATTTTATCTGTGGTTGCAGACAATGTGCTGGAGAACACTATGCAAAGAAGCCTGATGGTCATGAATACTGTATAGGAGGATGTGATGATAACACAATGTGTGGTCCTGTAACAATACCTCAACATCATTTACAGGTAAATGTTTATTTCTATCACACCTGTTTATAAGTCAATATATGTTTTTCTTTATTTCTTTTTTAATAGAAGAGAGAGGTAAACCCAAGGCTGTACACTATTACAGGAAGTGCTTAGGCTCATTAGTGCCCAAAATCTTTAAATGTACCAAAAGAAACGTTCAAAAGTTTGATAAGGAGCTCTTGAATATATATCGTAATAATATTAATCTAGTTCCCCTACCGAAAAGGATTGGATGCAGCCTTGGGTACCAGTAAACATGTTTTTGAAATTCTTTTAATTATCTGTATTTATCATATTTATTTGTTCCTGTCATTTCTTCTTTTTCATTTTTTGCAGTGAAGGGAGAGGTGATCTTGTTGATCTTTTTATGCAGTTAAAATATCAGCTATCAACGCTGACTTTAATACTGTTACTCCATTCTGCTTAAATTGTGTTAGACAGATAAAGGACAGAACCTACAGGAGACCTACAGAGTGTCATTCCTGGTTATGAATACTTTTGTGTTCTATGAAATTTTATCTTCAATCTCATAATTTGACTTGCTCATTACTTTTAATCTTATCTTGTTTAATGTACCTGTTTTAGATCTGTTATGCATGCAATGCAGACCAGACAGTATGTGGTCCAGTTAGTAACAGCAGCTCGGCAGGCGCAGGAATCAGTAATACAGACTTCATACTGTATGTGAGTGCAGTGGCCACACATGACTGTGGAGGAGCAGATATGAGTGCTCATGCTTCCTACTGTCAGCTAGAGGCTCAATTGGACAGGTAAGATGACGTTTTTGATTGGGTAACTATTTCTGTGATTGGGGAGACTCTTCATGTTAATCATGTTAATATTGAATGTTTCCACTCATTCTGTAGTTCATGTTACTATCTGTTACATGAATGAACTGCTATTGTCCAGTTACTTTGTAATTCACATTTGTAGTGTCTTCAAAGAGAAAGAATGATGCAATTATCGGTGGAGAATCAGGTACATTATGACTCTAACATATTTAAAAATAAATGTATTCCAACATAAAGTAAGTCATGTGAACTAGATGTCCTTGTCACTTGGCTATTGAGCTGTCTGAACCTTTTAGTAACTTGATCAGAGTTTCTTGCCATACAGACCTATAACAGGTCTTATCTACTTCCCCACAAAGCTGTCTAAACACTATAATGCATTAACTAGTCTCTCATATATCTGTCTATACAGACCTATTGCAGGTTATATCAATCTTTGTCCTCATCACTTGGCTACAGAGCTGTCTAAACACTACACTCTACTTACTACTATTCAGCATGAAATTATCCACGCCTTGGTAAGTTACCATCTCTTCAAATAAATCATGAATTAACTTTTTAAAATCCAAGCAATCTCTCTAGTACAGAGAAATTGTGCATTGTTTTCAATAAATTACTAAATCTGTTTTTTGTTTTGTGTTTCATTTTGTTTTGCATTACTAGGGTAAAAAAGAAGGTCTGTTGACAAGGATATTAGGGCATCCTTCCAAGATTTGCTATAGTTTACTTATTTGTAGTGTATGCACATTGACAATTCTGTCTCCTTCACCTACATGTATGTGTTAGAAATCATAAAGTGTTAAAAAGAATAAAAACAATGCTACTTAGAAGACTTGCAAATCTAATGACCAAACAGTGTTGTTCTCTCATATAATGCATATTACTCATACCTTTTTTCCAGGGTTTCTCTGCTGCCCTCTATGCGTTTTATAGAGATGGGAATGGTCAACCTTTGACACCTCGTCTATCATCAGGCCTCCCAGAATTCAATGCAACGTGAGTTGAGTGGTGCCTTAAATATCTCTTTTATTCTTCTATCATTAATATTTTTCCGTTGCTCCTTCCTTTTCGATGCTAGCAATGTTCTAAGCATTTGGATAGTGTTCTCAAAATGAACTCATAATACTTGATGTTGAAACTGGGACTTCTTGAATTTAAAAAATTTGATCATGTGCACCCCCTCCTAAAAAAAAAACAAGTTCTAAAGATATATGATTATGTGAATCTTATTGGTTGAAAGTAAAAGATGAGATGGTGTTTTGATTTTGTTAATTACAATTTTATCCTGTAGAGAACACAGTTTTACAGAAATTTGTTTTCATCTACTTGCCTCGACAATTAGAAAGGATACATTGCATTATGACAGATTGTTAAAAATTAAATTATATAATTGACAATGGATTTCAGATTCCTTGAAAGAATGGTTTACTAACTCAGTCCTTTCATTTCACGAATGTTGTATATATTGCATTCCACCAGGCTTGGTCTGTATCAGTGGAGTGAGAATGTGATCCGGTCGGTGACTAGAACAGATTGGGACGTCAGCCAAGGACAGATAGATTACACTGTCAAGATGCTTGTCACCAGGAAAGTTGTGGTGAGTTAAATGTCACTCTTGATATCATTACATGTAATAGAAATGACATGTATAAGCCCCAGTCTGCAAGGTTGTTAATAAAATGGATTTAAAAGCTAGGTCAAGTTCTTGTAAAGGTCAGAAATCTTTTGGGAATTTTTTCATTCTTCTTACCGTATTTCCATGTGGAAGAATATTATAGAAGCTAATCGACAGGAAGAGGGTTGCTCTTGAAAAGCTCTCGTATTTTTGGAAAAATGACTCAAAATATTTCCAACTTTGGGCAGATTCCAATGCAACATGTTTATATAGTCCTACGTGTATATACCAATATCATTATGATTTCGACAAGATTTAGACAAAGTCCTACACTTTCTTTCCCAATAAAACTGCATGACTAGAACTCAATGTTTTCTTTAAACTATTCAATACTGTGGGCAGTTGGAGCAGCCTTAATTAAAGAGATTGTATTCACATGCAAGAATAGATTTTTTCTTATCTTGAGATTGATTTATTTATTTATTTGATATTATTTCTACAAAGCAGCCTCATCGGTACTTGAAATACTGTTCGGATTATACAGGAGACATACATGTACAGTTAACTAAATTATTCTTACCTTACAGTATATATAATATTGATTCATCTTGATATTTCTTGAGAATATGACATATTTAAGCTTACATCTAAAAGTATTTAACAAAGACCCTAATTCAATCACTCCACCTTTTCATGCTCGAGTTACGAAATCAACGAAAACTATCAAATTTACAAAGGGTGTGAATAATTTAGTTGTTAACCGTACATAAAATATAATTTATGTGTTGAAATCAGGCTGGTTTTTCCAGAAAATTTAAACAAAATATAAAACAAATGGGGACAGGTATTATGAAATTATTAAATACTAATTAATGTATGTATTAATATGAACTTTGAATACAGGCACTTGGACTGAAAATTTGTTTAACAAAATTTTATGTGTGATATATGTTATGTAAAACTAAGTTGGTAGCTATGAAGGGGTAATTAATACACTCAGTACTTAAAGACCAAGTGCTGAATAATGTGTTCATTATGATTCATTCTTTAAAGGTAAAGACCAGTATTGGAAACGCCCCAATTTCAAAAAATTGAAATGGAAGCTCTTATTACCAATCATGTGAAAGAATATGTTTGGACTAATACATGATGATAAAAAATTGCCGGGAAACCGCCTACAAATCGATATATTTGGTAAATTAGTTTATCCGATGGTCTGTGAGAGATAAACGCACGTGTCGCGCACGTGTGGGTATAGTCCCATATACATCTTTCTGTGTACAGTGCTTGTAACTTTACGAAGACTGGGCCAAGTTTCTTATCATTTTGATGATTCCAGAACCTTGCAGCACACACCAATACTTATATGCTAGATGATCAACCTTTTCTGATCCATTCCACAACGTTTCTTTCACAATGCAATCGCATGACCATAACTGGTCTTTAGCTTTAAAGTATTACATTTTGAGAAGAAAAAGAAGAAAAAAAATTATATTTTTTATTACCATTTCACCATATTACTTTAATCCAGCTACAGTGAAAAAATATACTTTCAATCATACTGGATTAACATTAAAGAGTTGTATGTATTTGTTTTGATTAAACTCAGTTTTGTAAATTTTAGTGATGGTTTCACTTTCCACACTAACATGAATAATACTTTTTGTATAGTGTAATTCTACATGAACAATTTCACACAAATAATAATGAATTTAGTTATAAAAAGGGAACAATAATAATGAAAAACAATCTTCTGATATTTTGTAGGAGGAAGCTCGAGCTCACTTTCAGTGTCCCTCATTAGAGGGTATGGAGGTTGAGAATCATGGAGGTACAGGAACCGAGATCACACACTTTGAGAAGAGATTACTAGCAGTAAGTACATACCAAAGACATGGCTATGGATACAGCTTCATTACATTTTGTATGATCTGAGATATTTTTAGCATCTTAGAGTGAGGCTTGTATATCATGAGTGATGATTTAGTAATGAAACTACAATTAAAGAATCAATTATAGGGGGCTTGAATCATTTAAGACCATTCTAGAATCAGGAGTTACATGATTAACAAGATTAAGATAAATATCTGGTATTTTGGTTTCATTTTATATCTTAAATATCATCTTTGATATTGCAGTACTTGTGGTTGATCTTTAAGTGAATGGGAGTGGCAGCAATCTTTTTTTAGTTTATCTGCAGCCTATGTTAAAATTTGTCTTTAAAGTAACATTTACCGGTAGTCAAATTATTTTATTCATGGTACAACCTCTGACATACATGTATCTATAACAACAGACACCACAAAAAAAATATTGCAGATAATAGTCTATAAATAAAATGATTTGTCTTTTGTGTTGATTAATATCAGAATGAAGCTATGACTGGAACACACACCCACGAGAGGATCTTCTCCCGTCTAACCTTAGCCGTGATGGAGGATACAGGTTGGTATGTACCCAACTATGACAGGGCAGATCCACTGCACTGGGGACAGAACCAAGGATGTCAGTTTGCCAAGAAGAGCTGCAAATACTGGATGGATACAAGAGAAAACAGGTATTGCTGCCATCTTTCTTTCCTATCTTCCTTTCCTTTCTTCTCTTCCTCTTTATCATTCTTTTCCATCTCCCTTTTTCTCTCTTTTTCAAATAGCAAGTTCTTTATATATCACATTCTTAACAAGAAAATCAATTTGATCAATAGATGTTTTAATGTACAGCACCTTTAAAATGTGTGTATTTTCATGCAAATACACCCCTCCCCCCCCCCCTCCTCCCCCTCTCGCCTCAATAAAGCAATAAAAAAGAAAGTGAAAATGGGGGCCTTTTATAGGTACACGTAGGTGGTCTAAATACAGGTGGCCATGAAGGCTTGATTGGCTGTATGGCATTCTTCCTTTGATCATGTATTTTCAGAAGGCAGAAGCTTTATGTTATTGATTTTTTTTTCTAATGACATGAAGATATGTAAATTGTCTCCAAGGGGGCCACAGAGACATTCACTTACACCATTTTATACAGAATCCTAACCCTTTGGCCTGTATTGTGAAGTCTGGTTTAACTTTAAACCTAGGCTTAAATAAACCAGAATTCAAAATATGGGCGGTTAAGTTTACATATTTTGATATAATATATCTCTTAAATTGGCTGTAATGGCCCAAACCATTTAGTCTGACATATTTTGTTAAAGGGCAAGTCCACTTCAAAATAACTTACATGCAATAGAAGCAGAAAAATCAGACAAACCTATCAATAAGAGTTTGAGCAAAATCTGATATTAATTAATATAATATAATACTATTATTATATCTTTCATCTGCAGTGGTGAATCTATCAAGCCCTACTGTAAAATGATAACCCAAGAACCATTCAACCTAACATGTGATGTAGGCAGAGCTGCTGTAGCCCTGTGCAATCTTCATCAATATTCTAGTGATTTACCAATAGAATACCAAGTAAGTTTGGCTTTTACTTGATAATATCAGCTATTTGGAGCCAGAAGGGCATTACCTCATATATTCTTACACAGAGTTAAGTCCTGTCTTGCTCCAAACAGACGATATATATTTCTAGTTACTCAAGAGAACTTTGTTTATACAGTGATTCCTAAGGAGATTATGAATACAGTTAGAATTGTATGGAGATATGGTTCAGGGGAGAAAAGGGGTCTTTATAGACAGGTCTGTATGTTTAGATGGTCAATAAATTAGGTTTCACTCTATTAGGTGTAGATGTGTCGTGGACGAGTGGATATGTCACCGGACTGTGGATCACAAGGTTCGCGGTTCAAGTCCCACCGCGGCACTAATGTCCTTTGGCAAGACATTGATCTACATTTGCCACTCTCCACCCAGGTGTTAAATGGGTACCCGGTAGAATGCCAAAGCTAATGTGGTTAGATTAGCACGTGTGCGCTTGTAAAAAAGACGCCTGGCTGGAATGCTCCCCAGGGAGTGGAGAATGTGCATACATTGTATGCGGGTAAGCCTGAATCCTATGACCGGGGTAATAATATATATATATCTGTAAAGCGCTTTGAGAGGGCCTTCGGTCCTGAAAAGCGCTATATAAGAACTAGCTATTATTATTATTATTATTACTAGTGCAAAGAATAACTTTGTATTAGACAAACAGAATATTTCATCTTGCATTCATTACAGTGAAATGGAAAAACAAAAAGTAGTGAACTTTGCGAAGTTACTGCTGTTCAAGTAGTGTCTAAAATAAGCTACATGAAATAGTCACTATATGAAAAAGTATAGATGTCATTGTGTATGCAAATTCATTTCACTTAGACCTAAGACTAAATTCCTTTGTTAAAATTGAGTTTGAACAAAAGCCTAAACCCAGCATCAGTGTCAAATTTTAGTAGAATAAAGGCTAAAAAAAAATTGTAAGACTCTTCAAAATTTACAGACGTTTTCATCTATTTCTTGTAGATACATGAATGAAGTTTCTAGATGTTTTTAGTACTTATTAGTATGATTGAATACCTTTGGTATCTCTGGTAATACTGGAGAATTTATTTCCTTAATCCTTTTAATTTATTCCATTCTCTTCTTTCAGTACTTTACTTCTCTACCCGGTGTTAATGAGTCTAGTCTGAGTAGATATGGAGGGTCATCAGTATGATTGCAATACCTGTGGTATCTCTGGTAATACTGGAGAATTTATTTCCTTAATCCTTTTAATTTATTCCATTCTCTTCTTTCAGTACTTTACTTCTCTACCTGGTGTTAATGCGTCTAGCCTGAGTAGATATGGAGGATCATCAGTCTTTGCAGATTTCTGTCCGTTTCATCAGGTAGGACAGAGTTTATAATATGCTTCATATAAATCCATGTAACTTGTAAAGTATTTTGTTTCAGTGTTGTAGGAACATTGCATCATATCAACATATTTACATGTATATCTGGGTTCAGAGATGTTGTATAAACAAGTCTTAAAAAATTGAGCCATTAAGGCATTAGTTTCCAACAGCACTTGCCTTTATATAGATAGATTACATGAATCAAAGTAAATTTTTTAATTTTTAGATAGGATCAAAGAGTTTCGATTTTTCCTGTCATGGACATACTGTAGTACCAAAGAGTTATAGCTATCCACAGATATCAATTATATACTGAAATGTTGTGGAAAAGTCTTTTCAAAGTAACTTTATTGTTACCATATGAATACAAATTCAAACAAATTATTTTGTTCTATATTATAATTTTCTTTGTTTGCTTGTTTCCCCCCCCCCCCCCAATTTCAGCAATTTACCTATCAGATGGGAGATGGATCTTCAAACAAAGGCACGGTCTGTAGAGACCCTTTAAACCATCCAGGTAATGTATTAGGGGTCACTAAAAAGAAGCACAATTACCCATGTATTTTCATGAGGTTTGAGGTTTGACAGATAATATGTATTATCACTATGTATTTGAGAAAATTGAAAATATTTACAAAGTTCTGCTGAAGTTGTAAGTGTTGTCATAAGCTACTTTGTAGGTTTTAATGTTCAAGTAGCTATCCCAAGTCACAAGAAATACATGCAACACTACATGTCACGTGTATCTGGTGTATAGGCATATGTGTTGGGGTTGGGGTTGGTCAACCAAAAATTTAATTGATTGTGGCTTTCTCACTGTTACAAATGTCTGTACATGAACAATACCGTGTAAATAAAAAAAATAGAGAGACATGATATTCAAAGGTAAGTCACCTTGTGTTTTTGATACTGTTGAAATTGAAATGTGTTGAATGAGAGGAAATAATATGAAATGAAATATGAGATTATAACTTTTCTTGACCTTTCAGGTATGACAGCCAATCTTGCAGCTGAGGGTTATGGTGAAGGAGCATTGTGCATAGACTCAGTGTCAGCATGGAAGCAACAACAATGTCAGATGACACAGACACAAAAATCAACTGGTGCTGGGTGCTATCAGGTAAATGATGTTCAATGGAGTATAAGGTTATCATTTCCCACAGCCAAATAGCTTTCTCTGCCATGTGGTCTATAATAATATGTTGTAGAAAGGTCAATACCAACTCTACCCAAAGAATTCAAATTTTTTTTGGAATGTAATTTGGTAAAACAAAACAAAAGAAGGAAGTTATTTATTTTCATTTTTCAGAGAGTATTGTGCTCTACAGAGACAAATTGGCAACTACTTTAGAGATGCTGTTGTAATGGGTTCACTGCTTACCGTAATTAACGGTGTATAAACCACACCTTTTTGCTGCCGAAAAAAATTGAAAGTCGGGGGTGCAGTTTATACACGGTACACCAAAAAAAAAAGATTTTTTTTTTTTTTAAATTTTTTTTATTTATGCCCCTCCATCTGGCACTATACCTGGCAATGTCTCCCAGCTCGGTAATCGGTGTGTTGACTCACCACTCGGAAACTAGAACAACACTCAAATTTGTCTGTCATCTTGGTTTGAAAGTAATCTTTCTGATAGATCTCAATATGTAGTTTATAATAATAATTCCTCCAATTTTTCTTCTATTACATGGTGTACCACAAGGTTCTATCCTAGGACCCTACTGTTTTTTAATTTACATTACCGTAATGATCTTACACAAAACAAAACAAAATGTCGGCAAAAAAAAAAAAAAATAAATAAATAAATTTAAGGGCGAAAAAGAGGGGTGCGGTTAATACACGAGGGCGGTTTATACAACGTTAATTACGGTATGTTTTATTTGTTATGTTTGTGTATCCGCAATATAAATTTTTCTTCCGAGGTCATGTGTCATGCCTTTTTCAAAGTATGCTAAGGGTGACATGTGATTTCATGATTATGTCTCTGTAAAATGGGCCTTGTCATGAAGATGAAAAAAAGAAAACATTTTGGATAAGTTTGTTTACAAAATGAAAATGATAACACCTCTCTTCTTCTGAACAAAATGCAAAATCTTTCTCCAAAAGTTTTTAATAGATTGTGATCTTTATGTCATTGAAAACTAATTAGCTTGCAAGTTTGCCTCAACTCCCCTAAAGTATATTTGAACAGTTTCAGTATATTTTTGTTTTTTTGTTGGAGGGGGAGGTTGGGTTGATAGTGGGTCTGGACTTTCGGGACTGTGATTGAAGAGCATGGCATTATCACAAAATAAACATGAAAATTTGGTCTTCATATTGGTTCATACTTTTTTCTTATATATTTTTATATTGTTTTTTAGGTAGTCTGTGATAGTAGAGGATTGACCATCATCGTGGAGGGTATGAACTTCATCTGTACCTCTCCAGGACAGATCTTGAATGTTGGGGTAGCATCCAATCTCTATCTACACACGGGGCAGCTGATATGTCCTGCATGTGAAGAAGTATGTGGGACTGACTGCCCATCTTCACCAGTCATTAATGAACCAACACAAGGTCAGATTAGCAAGAATTTCACTATTGCTTGTTTAAGTTACCTCTTAATTAATTTAAGTTATGCATTGATAGCTTGAGTGAAGATAGATAGACAAACAGATAGCTTAGAGTATAATAAAAATGATATTCATTAATAGATAGACAAACAGATAGCTTAGAGTATAATCAAAATTCATTAATATAATCTTTTTGAGTGTGTAGGCGTGTGCACTATTTATCCTCTTTTACTCTCAAACATGTTTATCTTTAGTGTCAAGTGTTAGGGGAAAAGAAGAGGCAAAGTAGAACACCATTTGATGTAAATGAGCTGCTTTTAAATACCTAGCAAGACTATAGTATAAGATGTTGAAAATTGTATGTTCTACAAATGGAAAGATGAGCAACTTTATGATCATCCTAGCACAAGTGTGGACATAGTACACATCTGTTAGATATTGATTTTACTTTGTTTGTAATGAATTAATAAAAGGGATAGTTGAGTTCTGTTGCAGAGGGCGCTACACAAAATACTTTTTTGTGAGATAATGAAAAACTGAGTGTTAGATTTGAAAGAACATAATATTTAAATGACAAAATCATCTTTGTTTGATCAAAATCGGTTCAGAGACGGCTGAAATATAACGATTTCTAATACTTGTGTACCACCACAAATATTAGGTATTTTGCCAAATTTGAAAAAAACGTTGAAAAAACAAAATAACGCCTTTTACATCGTATTTCAGGCAATGCCGATGTTGGCTGTTTTGTTGGCATTTTAGTGTTGCTTATATTACGCACAACCAGCCGGCCCATGTATTGTTATTTTTAATTAACAGTCACCATGTTTTTTTGAAAGTGGAGCTGAATTGGTATGCTCGTATTGGCTAAATTTCACACATTTTGGGGTCTAAAATTACCTTTATAGCAAATTTATGTTCTAAAAGGGCACTGCAAATGTCATAGATAAGAATAAGAACAATAACCATGCACTTTGAAGGCATTTGCGGTCTGAAAACAGAACTTAACTATCCATTTAATTTGATTCATTTCCCATTACAAAGCTTAACTTTAAAGGGGACAAGTGATCAGACATCAAAATCACCAGAAGCAAATCAAACAAGCTAGCATATTTTTATTCTAGTGATTTTTTTCTGTTTGTAAGAGCTTTGTGAGCAAGTTTTTTTTTTGACACTAGATGAAATTTATGTGTGTTTTCTACTTGGTTTACAGGTATACCAGGAGATGTTGGAGAATGCCCCAGATTACAACCAGATGTTGTAGGACATTGTGCATTATACTGCACGTCTGATACAGACTGTGAGAGAGGGGAGAAATGTTGCTCTAACGGGTGTGGGCGTGTCTGTCGAAAGGTCATCTTAAACTATCAAACAGGTCAGTATACCTATGACTGGCATATTCTTGAATTTTTAAAAGAGGATTCAGTTTTAAAAATGCATAATGGAAACAAGATTACTTATGATTTAAAAGTTTTTAAGTTATTGACTTAAAGATATATTATATCACATAATTTTTGAAAACATATAAAATGTAGGACTGTTAGTATGATGTACTGCCTTTAGAGACTAGAGAGAAATTACACTCTTTCATTTCATTTTTTAATTTTTCTATTTGCACCTTTAGCTCCAGAGATACCATGCAGTGGCGGCAGCAAACCAGTAGTGGCTCCCCTGATAGTCTTGTACCTCATACCCTTGCTCATCACACAGATGATGGATCTAGTCTACTTATAACAGCCTCACCTTAGAGTCCGAAGCATTCCTGTTGTTAAACAACCTTTTGACACACATATCCTCTGTTTGGAACCAGAAAGGCTTTAATGCTTTGTTGAAATACAGTGGTGTTACTTTGTTTGTTCAAAACAACTCAAATCTTGAATTGTCAAATGATTTTGTATTTTTTGTTAAAACTTTGAGTGAAGGTTTGTCACCATGATCTTTCTTATAATGTACATTTAAGCCTTGTTCAGACACGACCCAATAAACTACTTAGATAATGATATGCCACTGCAAAATAAAACAATTTGATGTAAATGAAGGGGAAAAAAGGGAAGACAAAGAAGTAGTTGCAGACCACATAGGCTCATATTAAGCATGCTCACTTTGTCTCTGTGTTATAAGATACAGATAAAGTGAGGTGAACTTTACCGATGCCATTTATTTTTGCCATGGTGGGTTTCTAGGGCAGTTTAATAGCAGCGTGTATGAACGAGATTTATGACGATTTAAACAAAAAAAATTACATTAAAATGAAATTTTGTTCCATACAATTAATTAAAATGTAATATTTTCCAAGCACACCCTAAGATTGGACAGAATATCAACATCTTTTACTTCATCAAACATAAATGAGATGAAAATAAATACTTCAGAGCCTCAGTTTTGATTACTAGATACATGTACCTCAGGCACACTGCTGGACTGACTATTATCCGACCCTAAACCAACTGCTTCTTGGTCATTAGGAATAGTGTGATTCCTTGTTCGGTTTGTTGTTGGTCTGGTGTTGGTTTTGTTGGTAATTGAAGTATGGGAGCCTCTGTCTTTAATAGTATTGACCCATTCCTTTTCATTGACCGTCAGTCTAGCTTCAAATCAGATAGATCACTTGGAAGATTTTGATCACTTTGATGATTATGCCATTACTTAGACTGAGAAAAGGTGTGATTTTTAGAATGCAAGATAATTTTTATTTCACATGTGAATTTTTAAAAGTTATCAACACAGATTAAATTGTAGTTATTAAGGGGACTTGGTAAAATTGTTCAGATGAGAGAAAATGGTGCTAAGGTAGTGATTTTAATGCTAGGTGTACAATTAAAGATTATCTGAAAGTTTGAGTGAAAACAGACCATTAATAATGATAAAAATTTGGAAAAATTGATCTAATCGATTCCTCAATTCTCCCAACTATATTATTACAATTTAATTTTAATTTAGGTGAATGTAAATCGCCACAAAGCAATGAATTGGCTTTTAATATCATTCCAGACATTTAAGTGTTGAAAGATTTTTAAAAGCCTGTCTCATGTCTTATTTTCATGGAAAAACGGTCGGGAAAATTAAAAAATGGTTGGGAGAATTTTCATTTAGAGGGTGTCGCACAGAGGGTTAGTACAGTAAAACAGAAAAAATATAATTAGTAACATTCATACAAAAATTATGCAGTTTTTTCATCAACCTTCAACAATGTTACCAAGTCACTTTAAAGAAAAGCATGGTGCTTGTAGGAATGAAGTTCAGTTAGATTGAAGAATTCTGCTGCGTAAGATGTTTCTAGATATTAACTTGTACAATTTGTACTATTTTGTTGATATGAAAATGTATATGTGCAATATATCCACAGCAAGGTATTTATTATGTATGATAGAAACGTACTAGAATTTAGGGTACATGTAGAATATACTTTTACTTTGTATTATATGACATGTTTATTTTTTGAGAATGCATGAGATAACAAGAATTATGTAAACTGTGGCCAAAATAAGGATTATATATATATATGGGACAATAGTTAGCACAGTTGTCATGGAACTCCACATCATTTGGCTGTAGGTGACAGCTTTACAACTCATTGTGGTGTAAGATTGTAAGATGTGGGCCAGGCATGAGTATCTGAGGATAAATGTGGAAAAGACCAATCAAATGACTGAAACTATTCTAATGATGCAATATGTATAAGAAAATTGAAAAAGGAACAGCTAGGTACCTGTTTCTTGTGATCTGTTTCAATTGTTTCTAATAATTTAACTCCAAGTAATACTTTGCAACTCAAAATGATGCAATACAGCTCATTGAAAGTAGACACTATGGAAATAAAGTATGATTATTGTATTCTATGCAAGAGGTGGAATAAGTTAATAATTTGAAATGTAAAAATGTTTTATAATTCTTTTTAAACTTGATTTTCTTTTATAAATATCTCTTTTACCACGATCACTGCCAAACCAGAACTTTGTACATAAACATTGAAAAAAATGTATAAGTTATTGATGTTAGTTTATAATGAATTCATTGAAATTCAAAATGTGTAGTGAAGTATTTTTTAATCATGCATACCATATGATGTAGGTCAGGCTGAATTTTTATGCCTCCGCCACCGAAGGTGGTGCCGGAGGCATCATGTTTTCGGGTTGTCCGTCCGTACGTCCGTCCGTCCGTACGTCCGTCCGTCCGTCCGTACGTCCGTCCGTACGTCCGTCCCGTTTGACCGTTATCACAATATCTCAAGAACCATTTAAGATTTAAACTTAAGACTCGGGAATAGTATTTATCACCATAGGAAGACGATCTGATTAGATTTTGGAGTACGTAGGTCAAAGGTCACAGGTCACAGAGGTCAACTTATGAAATTCCTTGTATTGAGTTTGTTAGCGCGATATCTCAAGAACCTTTTGAGATTTAAACTTCAAACTTAAGGATAGTATGTATCACCATAGGAAGACGATCTGATTAGATTTTGGAGCACGTATGTCAAAGGTCAAGGGTCACAGAGGTCAACTTATGAAATTCCATACATTGAGATTGTTATCATGATATCTCAAGAACCACTGGAGATTTAAACTTCAAACTTAGTGATAGTGTGTATCACTATAGGAAAACAATCTGATTAGATTTTGGAGCACGTATGTCAAAGGTCAAGGGTCACAGAGGTCAACTTATGAAATTCCATACATTGAGATTGTTATCATGATATCTCAAGAACCACTGGAGATTTAAACTTCAAACTTAGTGATAGTGTGTATCACTATAGGAAAACAATCTGATTAGATTTTGGAGCACGTAGGTCAAAGGTCAAGGGTCACAGAGGTCAACTTATGAAATTCCATACATTGAGATTGTTATCATGATATCTCAAGAACCACTGGAGATGTAAAAACTTCAAACTTAATGATAGTGTGTATCACCATAGGAAGACAATCTGATTAGATTTTGGAGCACGTAGGTCAAAGGTCAAAGGCCACAGCGCACATTATGAATGCAAAAACAGCTTGTGATCGCGTTATCTCAAGAACCAATTGATGGATTCATGCGAAAATTAGGTCATGTTTGTTACTTGCAGAGCCAATGAACTGTCATGCGCCCATTATGTATGCAAAAATAGCTTGTGAACGCATTCTCATTAGAACTGACAGATGGATTACTATTTAACTCAGAACATCTTGCAGAGCCAATGAACTGAGTAGATTTTATGGTCATGAGGTCAAAGATCAAAGGGTCATATATGTATATGAGAAATTGCTTGTAATCACAATATTCTGAGAACCTGTCAATGGATTACCATTGAACGTGAATTCAATTTTTTTTTTCTGTTTTGGTTTGTAAAATTGCTCTATAACGGAGGCATCATTTTCGACTGCGCACAGTCGAATTCCATCTAGTTGTATCTGCAACTGTTGGGTTTCATCTGAACTTTTCAACTACGTTGGGCTTTATGTCTCCTAACTAGTTATCTGCTTGATTCAGGAATTTATAACTATATACATGTATCCAAAAGATCACCAACATTGATATGTATCATATGCATGAACTGTAATTGGTGGATGTATTTAGTTCATTGTACTATGTCTGCAGCTGTATATTCCAAGTATATATATTCTGTGCTTCGACCTTGTTTTTTATTTGACAGGTATAAATCGGTATCCTTAGCATTACATTTGTATATCGGTTCATAAATGCAGTTATTGAAAAATCAATGAATAAGGTTTTTGACACTGTTTTTACATCATATTGATATATTAAAGTACCAAATCTTCACAACAGGTCGATTCATGTATGTATTCACATGTGCAAACATTGTGAAAATGTGACCCTTCTTGAAATGTCCTGTTCTTTTAAAAACATTTCCCTTTCTCTAATCCACATATATATATTTCCTCAAAATTACCCCATTAAAGGGCTAACTATACACAAAGTCAATATATGAAGTGACACCATCAGGATTACAGCACATTCCATGAATGAAATGGGCCCAGAGTTTTGAAAAATGCTTTGTCCAGTAAGGGTACAACGAAGATGGCTTTAAAATATTAAATTTCATGGAGCACTGCTTTTGACCAAATTATGTATGTAAAGATATTCATGTATACATGCAACATGATTTTCCACTGGTTATGTATCTTTAATTCCATTGTATGTGAATTTTGAACATGTTATGCATATGTATGTGCTTTTTAATTTGTCATGCAAGGTGTAATGCCATAGTTTGTGTGTGTGTATCACTGTCTATTCATGTTCCATCATAACTGTTGCCTCTTTATACCTGCCGTAATGGGAATCTGCTCATTCTATACATGTGTGAAACCCCCAAAAATCATTTAATGTAAATCTGTACTCGTATAATGAATGTACCTTACATATATACTATTTGAAAATGAAGAATACATGTATCCTTCACTGTTCTATTCTAAATGTAGAATGTACTGTACCATGATTTCATTGAGATGTGATCAGTTTGCAAGAAGAGCTACATGCTCATGCAATCATTCAGACAGTGCGAAATTCTGTGTAAATAAAGTTACACAGCAACAGTAAATGAAAACATATTGGGTAGAGCTTCTACATGGATGATACATAGCTACATACAACCGTGCATTCTCATTGATCTGTGTTACAGGATATGGAAATGTAAGGTTTACCATGCTCACATGTACCTCTTCAACAAGAGAGAAGTCAAAGCACTTTACGGACTCCTGTCTGAAGGAGGACTTTTATATACCTGTATGTTCGCCAAGATGTGTGTACTTGTATTGTTTCGCATGTGTGGTGTATAATGCTTAACATGCCAACTTCTATCTCAAGTATATGCATTCTACATGAAATGTCTATATTCAATAAACTTGTTTTGTCCACTATACAATAAAAGAATGTGCCATTTGAATTCTTTGAAATACGTGTCAGAAATTGTTCTTTGGTGGCTGTCGTACATGCACAAATCTATGGTTAAGGTGTCATGAGCACTTGACTGGAAATTCAAAGGTCTAGGATTCAATCCCTGACACGGCACTAATGTCTTATGACAGGCCCGAGGAAGAACAGCCTTTGGCTGAAGTGGGTGCAGTGGGAAAAAAAAGAAAAAGAAAAAAATGAAAATAGGCATCAATCTACATGTGCCACTCCATACCCAAGAATGAAATGGGAGGATGATGAAAGCCTTTGAGATGGTGCACACTGTGTATATGAGCGACTCCAAGGATTGGGGTAATAATAAGACATGCATCTGTAATGGGCTTAGAAACAGTATTTTATATTTAGTGCTATATTTCAGATACATTACCCTGATATTATTATTATGACAAGTCTTAAAATGGAGAGAAATGGTGCAGACCCTATTCACAACCCTTTCTTATTCATGATGAATGAAAGATGAAAAAAGGGGGCCTGCACAAATCCTTGGGAGGGGGGGGGGGGGCAATTGTAGAAAAAACTTCTTGAAAATGTTGTTCCTTTATTTATGGTGTTTATCATCTCGCTCTCTCTCTCCAAGTGCCATATCGTTTGACTTTGGCGATCATGCTGTTCCACAACTCTCGGCTCCTAGCCTCCTGTATTAGTACCACTCCCAGTTCTTTCACTCCTCTCTCTTCCAACAATTTCTGCAGACTTGTCCATCCAAAGTATCCTCCTTCTTCCCACAATATTCCTTGTCAAAGTAAGATTCTCTAGGCCTTCTTTACATGTAATGTGACCCATGACCTTCAACTTCCTAATCAACATCTCACGTATCATTTTCCTTTGCACTCCAACTCATGTAAGAACATCCTCATTACTATGTGTTTATTAAAGTATTTGAAATTTCAAGTTTGTCTCTCTGAATCTAGAAAATGAATCACAAAAACAGTCGCATCTGAAGTTGTATGATAATAGGTATATTTTAACATAAAATACATGCATATCAGCATCGTAACAATATGAAATTCCTTGATTCAATTGTAAGCTACATAATACCCATTATACATGCAGTCAATGTCCACATTGTATTATTATGTGTCTGCAGATAAACTTATCATTTAATATTATGGCTTTATTACATTCTTGAAATACAATATCATAAGATGCCATCTGAGAAAGAAAAAGGATGACCAAAAAAAATGCGATCCTACTATTAAATGTTCCTTTCCAAGTAGAGAGAGACTACAAATAATACTGTTGAGTATTGTGCCTATTGAGAGCATTAAGTGATTTACCACAATTTTAAAAGTATTAATTTCAAATACATGTAATTGTTAAAAAAATGTATCTCTTCAGATATCAACACCAAAATGTGGGCTTAATAAAAGGTTGACCTCTCAGTTATACATAACGGGTCATAAAAATAACTGTTTCACAAAATAGAAAAACAGATTAAATCAGAGGATTTTGACACTTTTTAAATACAAAATTAAAATAGTGGGAAAAGGTGAAATACTTTGTATTTGTATTCTTGTCATAATTTTGAAGATTAAAATAACTCTGATCACGGTTTAAAATTTCATATAAGTATACAATGCATAATAGAGTATTTGTCCCAACAAATTAATGAAACATAATACTGAGACAATTTGGGGTCATGATTATACATTCCTCTAAAATATCAACATCATAAACTCAATTCTTTTTTATTCTACTTCCTAAAGAGCAAAGACTAATGGAAGAATTATGTTTTGAATAAACAATTATGTACTGCATTGTTAATAAAATATGAAAGTGGGGTCAGATAATCAAGAATGATTGATGCACGCACATTAATGACTTGAAGCATACAAATCAATAACAGATGGCATCTTAAATGCCACATACTGTATATGTCAGCTTATTTTATCAATTATCACATAGTTCTCAAAACAATTTAATGTAGATATACATGTATATGAATTAAAGAAGCATTAAGATAACAATCTTGAGAATGCAGTCATAGCTACAGTTAAGTGAGAAGCCAGAATAAAGGCAAAATCTGACTACGATACCAGCCATAAATGAAAATAATAGTCTGCTTCCGTTAAGACCATATCCATGTAACCATAAACTTTCATATAGTTGATTTTGCTAGGGAGAAACATGCTGCCTAACATATCTCCACAAAAGCTTCCTGGACCATTTATCACTGATCCAACAGTTGCTCCAATGACAAATGCCCCAGGCTTGGTTTTATCAGAGATATAGGGTTAGGTGTAGTGTCGGCCAACATGTTGGATCCAGGCTTGAAGGTAGAAGACTGGGTAATGTTTGAAATAGACCACAGAGCAATTGTCACTGAAGCATACATTGTATAACCCATTTATTGTGTTCCTGTTTTCACTCATCCTCATCGTCTGCTTGTGGATCCACCCTTTCGCTTTCCAGCAAACAAATGTTTGGGCATCTTGCAAGGGATGTTACGATCGGCCTCGCCCTTCTTAGCGTTCATGTTCATCTTGCGCTGAGACACCTTGGACAAGGTACGAACCTTCTTACGCGTCTGTGTGTGTTGAACAGAGAGAGAGCGAGAGAGAGAGAGAGAGAGAGATGGAAAGAACAAAAGAAAGAAAAAGAAGAGAGATAAACAGAGGGGGAAATACAGAGGGGGGCAGAAAGAGAGAGGGAGGGGGAGAAGATGGAGAGAGGGAGGAATAGAGAGATTGATCATGGATTCTTAATCATTGAGGAAGCATAAGAAGTTTTCCATTTGAGACCGCAATGACCAACCATAAATTTTAAGGGTAGACAATCAAAAGGCTTGGCACTACAGAAAGATAATATTTCAACTCAACTGATTTCATATAAACTATCAATGTAATCATAACAACTTCTACAGTTATTTTTTTTTAAAGATACTATAAGGTCACCACATTCATGAGAACGAAAATGTGTAGGTTCATAACTTCATACTGCACATCTATACAGATATATTTTACTACACAAAAAAGCAGTATTACTAAGCTGGCTTTAAAAAGACTGTTTTACCAGGTGGTCAAAGCATTACAAAAATCTCAATACACATATGTCAAGAGTCGGAAACTGTAGGCATAATTGTTTCTTTCCAAATGATCGTTGTGACATGTTTACAGATTCACACTATAGACTTTTGATCCATATTATGGCTAAAGATTCAGTACATCATAAATGCCATCATGATTGGATGATATGTAATATTACGAGACAATGTGAGTTCATACCTTTACGTCTCTAAGGCCAGACTCATCCCTTGGTGTTCTCATACTGCTTGTCTCACGTCCAGTGGAGTCTGTACGACGCTTCTTGACCAATGGAGCACGACTGGTACTCCTTCCACGATTCTGGGTAAAGTTATCCTATCAATGAAAAATAAACACAGATTCTTTATTTCTCTATGAATAAATATCAACTAAGCATCAGAATAAATTCATAGATTTCACCCGGAATATAGTTCTAGACCGAGAATCCCTGAACCCACATCCTACCTCTACTCCTATCCAAGACCCATGCACAAGAATCTACAGAGTAGAAGTTAAAGATTTGTTTGTTGATCACAGGACTTGTGTTAGAAACTATGACTTTGCACTGATCCGTTACCACATGGTGAGACTTTTGAAATAAATCCTAAATTAGTAACTAGTTTGTGGAAATGGAATGACAACTTGGAAATGCTTCTTCTGAAACTGTTACAACTTGTGTGCTGGAACGGCTTATGTTCATTTCACAGAAGCAAGGATGTATTCATAACTCCTTTGCATTCCAATATATTTTCAACATGTCAAAACAAGAAAGCTGAACATATGGAGAAGATGAGTTATCAAAATAAATATTACAAGCCATACATAATGGATAATTTAAAATTGATATACATGTACTTACACCTGCAATATCCACACCCAATCCACCCATCTCACTCTCAAAGCGCTTCCTTTTGATCTGTAGAGAAAAGAGAAGAAATCATTGAGTCTGAAGAATTGAACAGCGCAACAACATATTTCATAAATTCCATTAAAAAAGGAAATTGAATGAAAGAGATAAATTCAAGGGGTTTTCAGATGTATTATTTGACTTTCTACTTTGCAGGCTGTTATCTTCAGAGATGAGCCTTGAAAATGTTGTATGAAGAGGACATCCAAAACCTTGTTAGGACAACCACCTCCTCAACTATCAACTATAATTGACATAGTGGGTAGTTATCTGGTCTTGATTGTATCTAGAGCAGTCTCTTGTATACCATGATATAAATATAGGTACATGTATGCACAATAGCAATACTGTATGGGATTGATATGAAAAGCATCGTGAGAAAAATACCACCATCTGAATAAACAAAGAATGGTTTCCTTTCTAATTATGATCATTTTATACATTTGCAACCTCTATTTCAGCAAATCTGTAAATGTTACTGATGTGAATTCTAATCTTACCCCTTCAGTCTTCCTAATAATAGACGGATGTCTGATCCTCTTCTTTTCTCTTGATTCCATCTGTAACAGGATCTTCTTGTCACGGATCCTGAAAATGGTTAATATTGATGCAAAAATTATGGTTACTGATTTATGATAACACCTTCGTATTTGGTAAAGGAATAAGCTAATTCTGTATACTTTTCATATTTAATACAAACATATTTGTTTTTTAAAGAGCAAGAACTGATTGCTGTAACAGTAACAACACCATCATATTTGGTGCAAAAGATAAATAAATTACATATACTTTTCATTAAAAACAATTGTTTTACATAGTGAAAATTGATACCAGATAATATATAAATCGAGTATAAAAAATAATAAATAGAACAGACATATTATTGTTATAAAAATAGGGATTTTCTTTCCAAAAATAAGCCAAAACAAAGCCAAAACAATTTGATGACAAAGATGGTCCTCATTTAAAATCTTGATGACAACTAGCAATTCATTGTACATTCCATGGCAAAAACTCAACAACACCTACAAATAACATAAGCATGTTACATGGTCAGGAAAGGTTAATGTAAGGTACTCACTTCCTTGCTGTTACCCTGATCTCCTTCATCTCTTCATCCTCAGACTAAAAGGAAACAAACAGGAATACAATGAATCACTCAAATGAAGACAAGTTTAAGACAGTTGCGATTCATAACAAATTTGAGAAATAGATACTACCGATGATGATTAATACAAATATTCAAAATTTTAGTTCAACATTAACTGATTTTATGCTCATTTTGACCCAAAGTGCATTGAAATGTATGACCTGCTTCACAATGAAAATATAACTATTTGATGAGAATGCAAACACAAGGTTTATTTACTCTAAAGCAAGGAATGTGACTCACTGATTCTGCATTGTCATAGACACCAGCCGCCTCTCTCATGGCTTCCTCCTCCTCCAGCTCAGCCAGCTTGGCATCAATCTCAGGATCCACATAGTCTGCTATGTTCTTACCCATCCATAGCTCAGGGATGATATCTGTCTTCTCTTCTTCGTTCTTCAGATCCCATTCTCTATGTAGCTCGAGGATGAAGTCATCTCCCATCTCGAGCTCCTCGTCTCGGAGTGACCGTTTCTTGCGGTCCGTCTCCATGGCTTCCTTGCGGGCTAGCACAGCAGCGGGAATGCAGGGCGGTCTTGACTGTAGAGAGCATGATAATATCATCAGCATTTAAGATTTATTAGTGAATGTAATCTACATTTGAACTAAGATGGCATAATAACCCAAGCCGTTTGGTGATTATCAGTCAGTGAGAGGATGGACAAATAACCCTTTTTCTGTATCCTGTTTGAATGCAATGAACCATAAAGTTCTGTACTTATATTTAGAAAAGTGATACCTCAGAATTATTCTTGACAATTACATCCATAAACATTGCAGTTAAGCTACATGTAAACAAGTCATTCATATCTGATTTGATCCATTTATAATTACTTCCCTTTTTACGTGCTTTGTTCCATTAGCTTCCATTCCTACTTTCTACATTGTCCACTGTAGAAATTCACTTTAATTTAACTATAATAAACACACGTTGTAGAATAGTTTAAAATCTTTGACAGACATGTTTTTCTCGAACAATCAAACCCCCCTTACCTTATCATCTCTTGGAGAAGGCATGGCTATGTGGAGGCGATTAAGGACATCATTGACCTTACGACCTTTCATCTTCATGTCTACCCTTTGTAAGAGGAGTCTGTCACATGCCTGCATAACAAACCAGAAAATACAATAACCATTCCATTCAACCCTGAGAAGAGGGATCAAAACAGTTTTAATTACATTCTGATTCATCAAGTATTCGCACATATGGCATTATTCATCAACAGCAAATCTGATATTTGTATTTTTTGGTGCCAAGACACAACTTATATGCAAGAATAGTATATTGGATTTTCAAACCTGAATACACTGCCTGTATGTTTACTTTATCCCTTATATTATCACATTGATACATTAAGAATTAAATAATTTCCAGTAGTTTTACACTCAACAACATGCTGAATAAATTTATGCCAAATATTTTTATTCAATTATTATTTTCAAGAGAATATACATGTATTTCATATAATAATCATCTCCTTCCAAAATTATCTGACCCTTCTGCACACTGGCATTCATTAAGGTTCATTTGAAAATCAGATCATTAGCCAATCAAGATCAATCAGTATTGTTATCTTGATTATGATTGGTTAATATCGAGGCATAGACATTACTTATAAGTCTTTGATGATTTCAACCTTACCTCTGTTTTGACTTGCATGATGCCTTGCTCTGTGACTGTGCTTGTCTGTATCACAGTAACTCCATCTGCTTCAGCTTTCCTGAAGAACTCCTGTCAGGCAAACAAACAAAGTCAGGTTTACTATTTTCTACACAACACTGAAATAAGCTAAATTATGTCATGTGACCATTATTGAAAGGACGGTAAACAAAATTGTCTTTTATGCACCTACCATTAGTGAAACAAAAATGAAAAGAATACAAAATTAAGATTTTAGTGTATCAAGCTGTTTTGTGGAAACTTTTAAACTTTAAAGACCCTTTTCCTCATTTAATCAAGCTGAGTAATATTTCCTCAAAAATTCTAAACTCTAAAATTGCTATGCTGTGTTATATTGATACACTGAGAGGTACTAGTTGATATTCTGCTCTAAACTTATAGTGTATGAATCTAGAATGTATAAAATCAAGGTTCCTCAAAAAAGATATAACCCGCATTCTATGGGTTAACAGTAAAGAAGTACGAAGAAAATAAAAGAATAACATAAAACGGCATGTACTGAACCCAAGTCGGACTTGGCTCCCGTACAAGCCTTATTCTACCGTGAGCACGTATGGGTGCGTTTAGTCACTTTTGTATCTAGTGAGAATGTATTTTAACTTGTAATATTCTTATAGAAGTACTATTTGAAGTTCATATTTTGATAGCACTATAGGCAACCTGAAACCTCCAACATGTAGAGCAAAGTAGTTCCCGGTCATTGGAACAATTGAAATAAAAACAAACTGTGACCGCTCAAGTGCATGACCGAGTGACTGGTTTATAAAAGAGAGGTATCATTGCACACAGGATACAAAGGTATCGCTCTGGGCCTTCATGATTACTCACCTGCTGTTCCTCACTGAGTTCTTTGAGCTCAACTATATCTGTCTTGTTAGCTACAATGATAAGAGGCTTGTTGGCAAACAGGGGGCGTATACTCTCAAATAACTCCATCTGTAGACAGGAAACATAATCATACACATTAGGTTAAATGAAGGAATTCTGATAACATTTCAAAAGCCACTTCCTTTTTAACAAATGTACATATTAATTTTATTTTATCTGGAAATTGAAAATAAGTTGGATGCTAATTTTTCTCCATGGAAATACTTTCTCATACTTACCTTTTGCACAGAGACATATTGTAACTCATGCATCATATCATGTCTATAAGTCTTTTAGACAACAACTCTGGGATTCTAACAAGTGCTCACAATGAAAGGTGTTGAAATCAGCCACCATAGTCATTGCATGAAGCGGTGATCGTCTCAAACATACCAAATAATTACATCTGTTTTTTAATAGAAATTCACAGCTCTTTAAAGTTATCCAGAGGATAGCATCACTCTCTCCTCCTGCCAATCTTTCAATGAATAAAAGACAGATTCAGAAGTCACATCATAGCAAGATTCTTAGGGGAAAATAACAAATCTACCACTTCCTCCTAATGGCAAAATCTTGTTCTTTTTAATATAATTATGTACACAAAACAAATGATATACCTGTTCTTCAACTGAATGTCCACACTGTTCTGATACATCCATGACATAGAGAACTGCTGCCCGGAGATGTGCCAACGCTGTGATGGCTTGCATCTCAATGGTGTTCCTATCTTCAAGGGAATGATCTAGGATACCGGGTGTGTCGACCACCTGCCAACGAAGATACCGGTAGTCCATGTGACCCACAAAGAGAGACTTGGTGGTGAAAGCGTAGGGTTGGACTTCTACATCTGCTCTAGTGACCTGGGATGGGAAATGGAACACCATGTAGTGTGACAGTCATCTTCTCATACAGCCTTTACTGCTTTATCATTATTACATTGGACAAAGCAAGTTAAATCTAAGTGAATCATGATGCAGCTTGGGGGAATGTAGATATTTCACAGGGTGATGTGCACCTGTTACTGTTTTATGCAATAGGCACAGAGAGTTATACTTACAAAAGTGACAAAGACACAATTGGCTATTGAGTTTAATGAATTTGAAATCTCTAAAGAAGACACTTCAAACCCTCCTTTGTCAAAATCTAAACATTTTTGCTTGGGGTCCTACGAAACAGACATTCTCACAACCTGGTTTCAGAACTATGCACAAAGTAATGATTAAAGGTTTCAAGTCAGGAACAAGCTCCAGAGGGATGAAATACAAAAACCCACCTTATTCATGAAGCTTGATTTGCCAACGTTGGGGAACCCACAGAGTAGGAGTGTGCGTGTGTTTGGATCTATAGAGGGCAGCCTTGATAGATGCTGCCTGACCTGCTCCAGGTACTCCAGACTCTGACCTTGCCTCTTCATGATGGTGCACATTCGTCCCATACCAGCCCTCTTCAGCTGCTTGCACCGGTACAACGAATCACCATACTTCATCAGTCGGCAGTAGTCTCTTGCGACACTGGGAAACAAGAGAAGGCAGAATGAGGCATTTAGGAGCGTGAATTATCTACAAAATAATATTAATACAAGCAATGCCCTAGCAATACTTGGTAAACAGCAATCAGTGATCACATTTTATGGTAAATTGTAATTATACTGTTCCATAGCATATTGATGATTAACCATTCAATTGTGAATGGCCTACAGCAAAAGAATGAAATAGAACTTCAGTTTCTTTCAGAATTGGTTCTCTTCCATGAACAAAAAAACTAAAAACATTTCTTTTAAGAACTAGCCCACATGATGTTACTGTAAATCTTCTATGCTAGCCTCTGGACAGCACAGCAATCAGTGGAGGCGTAACGAGGATTTTCATCAAGACATATTTTACTCTTGGATCACTTGCCCTATTAAAATAAAGACGATTGTCTTTACAGATAAACCAATAGGAAAGCCATTACTTTAATACTGAGATGAAGAAAGACATAAATACCAACTGGAATGAATAAACAGAGCACTTACTTGTCAATGAGATGCAGGGCTGTGTTAATCTGACCCAGGGCAAGCTTGTAATGGTCTTTATCATACAATACATTCATCAGATCAGCATAGAATGGATGAACGTCCTGGAAGGGGGGGGGGGGGGGATAAAAGATATTTATACAAACTTTCTCTTCCAAACTATACAAACCTTCCAAGTCTGGTTCACAAAAGACATTAATCACCATCCTATTGCTTCATCCTTTATTTGTGATTGACATGCAAAATGATATTCTTAAGAAAGCATATTTCAATGTAATAAAATCTACATCAGTTTTTTTTTAAAGGATTTGGCCTGTAACCGATCTTGAGCCGATCAGGTGAGATTGGATAATAATTTCCAATTGCCGATCAATAAAAAATGATCGGCAGAATTTTTTTTTTTTTTTTTTTAAGCTGAAAATTCTCAAGTTTTTGGCTTTCAAATGCTTTAAACAAATTCATAGCTGGGATTATTTTGTCATTTGGAGTTGTTGTAGACCATGTTTGTTGATATTTATAATGATTATAATGCATGGATTATAATGCATGCCTACATGACGGCCCGCATGTTTTGCCTATTCTCTTAGACCAATATTTGTAATTTCAAAGTCATGAAAAGGCACTAAATATCAACATACATGGTCTACAACAACTCAAAATGACAAAATAATCCCAGCTATGTATTTCTATCCAATCAAAGCCCCAACTTACAGGGTTAACTAAGATATTGCCATTTACAGGTAGTCAGTCATAAAAACAGGTCTGTTGAAATGTTACCATGCATCTCCTCAATCTTCTCAACATTTCTCATACTCACTTCTAACTTGGGAAAGTCCTGAATGATCTGTTGAAGTTTGTCATGGTAACTCTGCTGTGTAAACTTGATTTTTCTCATGTAGAACTGCCGTATTCGGCTGATCTTATAATGCTTGTGAACAACTGTTGGGGTCTTGCGTTGAGTCTTCGACAGGACAATGTCAATAAAGTCCTAAAATGAGAGATAAAAGCAAAAAACAGATTACAGCAAAGGTGAAAATATTCCCAAGTTTCATTCTCCCATGAGCTTAAAATAAAAAAATAAAAATAGTCTTAGACCAAAATCTTCAGTCTCTCATATCAAAGGTTGTTCCACTGAGACTACGTCTGGCTACAGTGACCGCCGCTATACATAGATTGAAGGAGGCCGTTAGTCATTGTTGGGGGAGGTTTCATAGGTGCAGTGGGAGCGTGATTTCCGGTCTCACTGCGCGGAACAGATTCTTAAACTGAATCTATATTAAGGTCCTATATTACCTGAATGAAGGTCCTTATGTTCGAAGCTCTAGTTGACTTTCAATGTATATGTTACGTTTCTTACCTGTTTTGTGTCAATTTTGTTATCTTAAAAAAGATAAGAAAAACAGGTAAAAAACATGGATTTTTAAATCATGAACATTATTTTTGTGTATGCTTTTATACACTGTAGACTGGTAGCTAGAAGAGACGATATCTGCACGACAGAGTAACAGCACTTACACAGGTCAAAGTTTGGATATGATTCTGAACTAGCGCCGTTTTTTGTAGTATAGAAATTAGGGCCTAATAGAAATAGAGTAAGACCGCCAAACTTCGGACACTTAAGACAAAACGGGGGAAAACATTAAATTCTCGTTTTAATTATTGAAAGATCAAATATATTATTATTGTGCAAATACTGTTTATGTATTTCATGAAAAGAAAATTAGTAAAGGAAATGGAAAACTAGAATTATTTACTTACTCGCCGAACCTTTTTTCATGCCAAGCTTCGGACGCACTTGCCAAGCTTCGGACGTTCATGGGTAGCGCACGTATAACGTACGTATAGCGCATAGCGCACGTACAGCGCACGTATAGCGCGCGCGCGCTAAAGTGCGCATTCATCGGAGGTTTGGAAACCAGATCAAAAATCGTTCAACGGGGGTAAGTTTGACTGCGTTGATTTCATGAATAAAATATTATTTTCTCGTTTTGGGTAGATTTATTTTAGGTAGAACTATCAGAAAGGTGTTTTTCACAACACTCACACAATATTTTGGTGCTAAAATCTTACGAAAGTGCTATTTTTTTCGTAGTCAAAATGACACTCAATGTTGCCTGTCCGAAGTTTGGAAGAGCGCCATCTTCTGGTAGGGGTACCTGTATAGTACCCCTAGGTCCGTGGTAACGGCCGCCATTAGAAAATTTTCGCGATAGAGTAAAAAGTATCTCATAAGCTCCCATAATCTTGGCAGAAACCACCTGAAATATGCCAAGGATTTGTTTTTAATCGATATATTGGAGGCTCTATACCTTAACTCCCCTGTTAAGGAACTGTAAAAATCCAGGTAACCTGAAATCTGTCTCTGAATTCAATGTTTTTTGTGAGTTTTGCAGACGGCAACCTGCCCTAACTTTCTGTACTAACGATGTAGGTTAGTAGTAGTATCAAATGCATGCAAGTTACCCGCCTGAGCTAGGCTAATATTTTGCGTTCGAGCCGTTGAAGTAATTTTTGTCCGAAGTTTGGCAACGTCCGAGGTTTGGCGGTTTTACTCTAGATAGGTTCTAGATCTATATTTCTTTTCAGATTGTAGATCTCTAGGCCCTAGTGGATTCACGATCAAAATTAAAAACAAATGGGAGATAAAATTTTAGCCAAAATTGTGAGTTCCCCCCCCCCCTTCTCTCTCTAGAAAAGGGGTCTACATTTTCATTTTGCTAATCTTACGAATCCTGATGATTGATGTCAAAATATCTAGAACTCTACGGCTGATCACCAGACATTACAAAAAATCAGATCCCTTTGCTACAAATCTGGGCCATCTCATGAAATAGCCGAGTCACAAATGCACCTGTGTGCAAACTGCAAAAATCAATGACAATGTCAATGAATGCCGGGCAAATGAATGTGAAAGACAATTAAAGAAGTCTCTCAGTGCAGTGGTGGACTATTTTACAAGAAGAATGCCAGAATCAGTGAAAAACTATTACACACAGAAACGAAAGTATATTTCTTGGTTCTTTTCGCAGGTGAACCTGCCATAGCTTACTTGCAAACAATAACCAGATAACCATGATAACAGTTCGCTGCTCGAAAATGCAGCCGCTGAATTGACCGCAGACCAGCGGCACGATCTCTAAGCCATTGCGGGAAAGTCTGGCGAGGACCCTTTCCCAATTCTCCTTAGGTCTATTTGGTTCCAGTTCCTGCAAGCTGCATATTCTATTTTCTTGAACAAAATACTGACAATCATGCATTGTAAGATAAATAATATGCCAATAATATTAACAAATGTTTCATACCTTAGACTTCGGCACAACTGTTATCTTCTTGAAGTTATAGAGAGACATTTTTAATTCAAAGAGCTTCTACTTGTAGATCTAAATGGATGGTGTAATCCTGACAACACGTCATTTAATTTCCGATGTGCGAAGTAAAGCGTACATTGTCAGAGAGATTACACGGTGAGGTACTTTCGTAGTACAGTATGTTGGCCTCGATCAAAGCGTGGATCGTGAAAACGACACTCACTTTCCTTCCATCTTTTTCAAGTTCGTGACTTGTTTTACGAGAGCAACCTTGATTATAATTTTAGATATGTACAATTCTAACCGATTTTATAATGAAAACCAATAAGGCGTGGGCAATGATAAACTTAAGAGTTTGACAGGTAGTGGCCCCCCTTGCCAAAAAGGGTTTAAAAAAAGAAAAATGAACCCCCCCCCCTTGGGTGGGGGAGGGGTGGGTGTTGAGAAGGGGGAAAAGGGAGTGTTCACCCCCCCCCCCCGTTGAGCCCCCAAAAAAGCGCTTACCCCTCCCCCCCCCCCCCCCCGGCCCCCACACACACACATTACTCCCGTAAAATCGTGATTTTGCTACTAATTACGAGACGGTACCCCGTACTAAAGTCTGATTTTCCAGTAGAATTAAAAGAAAATTATGTAATAATTTTGTTTGGTACATTATATTTGAAAGTTAGGGATTTTGTTTAATGAATTCTAAAAAAACTTCCAAGAGACACAGCATAGCACGCACGAATCCCCACGCAGTTAGTTGCCACTGAATACAGAAAAGATTATTACTACTTCTCATGTTGCGTGCTAGTGGAACTGACTGAGCCCTCTCCGCAATATAAGCTCTTTGGTGGAACTATTAGTGCATTGGACGATTGGCTGCTTCTTGCACGCACGTGGACTGAACCCACACTGAACCCAATCTATATCACAAATTTACTATGTCTACCATACGTTGAGATTGGGCATACGTTGATAATAAGCCGATTATAATAATAATATAATAACAACAAGATCAATAATGATACAAATAATTTTAATAATAACAATACTAATAATAACCTATAATGATGATGATAATAATAGTATTTAACAATAACTAGGCCTATATAGAAGAGTGAGATACGCTCTGCATCTCATTTCTATTTGTATACTGTCTAGTTTGTTGATCTGAGGCGGCGAACTCGGACACCCCCCCCCCCCCAGGAAATTTTGAAAAAGGGAGAAAAAAAAGGGGGGAAATGCATAATGAGTAAAGTCGGATGTGAAGCGTTTGAGAATGCTACGCTTTTTGGGGGTAGGCAAATATCGCAACCCATGCGCATGCCCATGCAAGCACATTGAAATGCATCACAGTTAATTTGAAAAGAAAATCATACAATAACATATAAGCAACGTCCTATATTAAGTAATGTAATAAGTAATGAAATAATAAAATGTTCCATCGATTAATACTTTAAAGAAAAACAAAATTGAAATTGTTTTTATTACAATCATATAAACCTCATTGAAATATATGTTGTTTTTGTTTTTGTTGAATACAAGATCATTCTCTACTTGCTGACTCAAAATTTAATTTGATATATTATATTGTGCCTTCTCATGCTTCTCTCCTTTCTAATGCGCATTTCTCTTTCCTCATCTTCTTCTCAAACCCCACATGCAGCTCATCATTTTGTATTATTTTCTATACCCCCGATTTCTCACTTCTTTTTTGGCATTGTCTACTCTTTGTATTATGACCGTGTTTTTCTATATCTTTGTCATGTGTGTTGACATCTTTTTTGTAGTTCCTTTTGTAGTTACGGACTTGATTCATTATTTCTATGTATCAATTGAGGTGTCCACACGTCTTGTACAAGCATTGAATGTTTATAGTGGACCCCTCTGATTTCAATATGTATTCCTACATTAATGTTGTTGTTAATATTTATAATTGATTTGTAATGTTTTGTTGGAAACTGAAAACGGAAACTGGAAATTGAAATTACACGAATGCCATAATTTGACATTCACTAATGATTTTTCAAAAGTTTTTTGCAGAGTGCATGCATGTCTCCAATTGAGACAAGTTATGTGCAGAGGCATGCGAGGTTCAAGAGGACCATCTTTCTGGAGGGGCTTCCGAGTTCGAGGGCCTAGTGGGAACTTGGAGATTCTCCCGACTTGCTTAATTTTCTACATGTGCCCCGTTTAAATTCGGAAATGATCAAGAAAACTTCTTTTTTTTTGGGGGGGGGGGGGGTGTAGAGAAACAAGATAGTTGCGTAATGAGAACAAAGTAGTGAGGCCGCTGGGCCAGTGTATTCTTAAAGCCCCTATAGTGTTGGGAGCCCCAAAAATTGGATGGCAAAATTACACCTATCATAATGTGAAATAGGAGTTTCACAACCAATGTGTTTGAAGTCGAATATTGTTAGAAATAATTTTAAAAAAATAGGTTTTCTGCGTACAACAGAAAACCCAAATTATTGCCACTCCTTCCAAATAAGAAGACTTTGCATTTAGCTGTGAGCTTAAAGCTTGCATTCTGACGACATCATGCATTTCGTTGTGTGACGGGTCGCGTAGCAAATAAGAAATGTTTAAAAAAACCTAATTTGGAACCTAGCATTCAATTAGAGCAGATTTTAAAGGCAAATTAGAGTCCTAGCTTAAAATTCGCCCCCCCCCTATCTTCCTTCTGCAGACGGTGAGACCTATATGAATATGAACGTCGAACCAACTTTTAAACATGGGACGACCCATTTAAACATTTTCCATGCAGGAGAGACATCCCCTATCCCCTTGAATCGCCGAGTCCTGCATTTCGTCGTTTAAAGGCCCCGTTTCACCAGGCATCATTAATGACCCCCCCCCCCTTGGATCGCTGCCAGTTTGCCGCCCCAAGCCGGCCCCAACAATTAGCCTACTTGTATTTGCGATGGCGTAATGAGCAAAAACTTTTTTTTTTTTTGGGGGGGGGGCAAAACAAAAATCCGCGTCACCACAAGGTGACATAATGGGCAATTGATATTTAGGGGGTGCGTCTTTTGAAGAAAAGATGTGGGCCTACAAATTACGATTGAGCTATGGCGTACTGTTTTTCGTTGATTTGTTAATTATACTGCAAGAGCGTATGATAAGTTAATATCCCATCCATTATCTAGGGGCGATAGAGCGTCATACAAAGTGAGGGGGCACAACAAAAGGGGCAATTTCTGAAAAAGGGGCACCTACAAAGGGAAACCTCAAAGTTTAAATTTGCCATTTTTAGACATTGGTATAGCCTATATACCCTTACATTGTGATTACATTATCAGGGGTGATTTCAATATTTTTCCTCTCTTTATACATAGTCCACGATGTAGTTGGCTGTGATGGTCTGAATATACAATATTTGCGAGCGCGCAGAGCGAGCGAGCAAAAAATTAAAGATTTGTGAGGTCGCATTGCGAAAAACAACATCGTATTAAATGGGGAAACAAATTCTGATGGTGTTTTAGGCACAATCTAATCATGAAAGACTGAAAAGATATTCAATAAGAAAAATATTTTTATCAACTTTAAATGCAAGCGAACTTTGGGCGAAATTAATGACGATGTTGCTCTTAGTTGCTATAAATTACGACCACTTGTTATGGTGAAAGGAAAAGGGGACACCAATGAGAAAATGACACTTATTACAATAGAACTTAAGGAGCACAGTCATGTCAAATTAAAAAGGGTAATTATCAGAGGGGAAAATGGGGCACTTCTATAGCACCTGAAGGGGGTACTCACCAGAGATAATATTGTTAATGCGCCATGCAACTCCACATGATGACTAATGTGTTCGAGGCGCAATAGAGAAAAAAAACTACAAGTACACGAAAATACACCAACAAAATTAACAACAACAATGTTAAAGTAAATCTAATGGAAAGCCACTTTGAACAAATGAGTTTTGAGGGCATTTTTAAAGCATAGGTAAGATCCAGCGTGTGCAAATAACCTATCCCCCATGATTTTTTTAGTTTTCAGAACAACAAGCAATTTAGAATCGGATGATCTTAAGCTTCTGGGAGGAATACAAGGCATCACAAAATTGATATTGTATTTTGGAGCAGATCTATGTATACAGAGAAAAACAAGCAATATTAATTTAAATACAATATGGGATTCAACAGGTAACCAATGTAGTGAAGACAAAACAAGAGTAATGTGGGTAATAAGGGTAACAATACGGGCTGCTGAATTTTGTAATTTTTGAAACCGTGAAAGTTGAGAATATGGCAGCTGAAACAACAGTGCATTACCAAAGTCAAGTCGAGATGATATGAGGGCATGAACTATTTTTTCTGTGGCCGAGCAGGTTAAATACTTGCGGATAATACCTAAATTACGTAGTTGATACCTAACAGATTTACAAACAATCGGGATCTGAACGGTCATGGACATTGTAGAATCAAATAAAACTTTAAGATTTCTTCATGATTTAGAAGGAGTGATAACAACATCATCAACTTTGATATAGGGAAGGCTGACCTTGTCTAATAGAGTTTTAGAACCGATAAACAACAACTCCAATTTCTCTCAATTTAATTTCAAGGAATTAGAGATGAAAAATGCACTTATGAGAACGGAGAAGGGGCACTTTTCGCAAAGGAGAATAAAAGGCAATTATCAGAAGGAAAATGGCACAAATAAAAAAGGATAAGGGGGGGGGGCAATAACAGGGGCAATTATCAGAGATGGAAAGGTACACTTATTACAAAGTTAAAAGGGGTATTTCTCAATTTGAATAAGGGCACTCACTGGAGATGAAAAGGGGCACTCGTCAACATTTAAGGGACATCTCTCAGAATTAAAAAAAAGAGGCAATTATAAGAGGGGAATGGGCACTTATCAGAGCAGGTAAGGGGCACTTCTTGTACCTGAAAAGGGGTACTCACCTGAGATGAATAGGGGTACTTGTGAGAATAGAAAGGGGCACTTATTACGAAGGAAGATTGACACTTGTCGTATTTATTTTTAGAGGTATTTATCAGAGTTGTGAGTAGGGGCATTTATGAGAAGGGGAGGTGGCTCTTATTTAAAAAATTGACATTTATCAGAAGGAAAAAGGGCACTTATTAGAAAGAAAAAAAGGGGGCAATCATCAAAGCTGAAAAGAGGCACTCATCAAGGATAAAACGGGGCACTTATCTCAGGGCACCTCTCATACTTGATTAGGGTAATTATCAGAGGTAAATGGGGCTTATCAGAGTGAGTGGTAAGAGGCACTAATAAGAATGTGGAACGGGCACCTATTTAACATTTTTAAAGGGGCGCTTAACTTAAGTAAAAGGGGTCACCTTTCCTATTCAAAAATTGGCACTCATTGTAGGGTTAAAAAAGTATAATTTACAAAGAAGTGAGAACAAAAACCCGGAAAATTTTGTCATTTCAGCAACATTTGTAAATCACTTGTATCGAACTAGAAGAAAAAAACCCGTTTGAATTTTATTTGGGGGCAACTGCCGCCCCCCCCCCCCTCTCCCCTTTCAGTACGATAGTATGTCAGTGGTACAAAAGCCCCAATGCATTGGCGCAAGAACTGATTGTTCCCTCATATTGGGTAGAAAACGAAATCCCGCCGGTATTGGCTTTGACAGTATATAGCATCAATGTATGTACTGGAGCTGTGGTCCAGGATCTAGATTGCCTTAACATAACTCAGCCCGCACAAACTCGCTCTACACTATTATTCTATTAATACATGGTAACAGCGGTTGTGATATTATATTTTTTGGAACTACCATCCCTCTCTACTCAGCTCCCCTTTTGAATAAACATAGGTAACACAACGACTCGACATAAACTAATAAATTCGACACCACAATGTAAGCTATCACATCTGTGCAACTCAGTAATATATCTATAGCCTATAGCTATATACGTATCGTCTACCTTGAAAGATTTTTTTTTATAATTAATAAAAAAGCATATGCAGGATATTGAAACAACTCTCATACATCAATATTTTCTAAATGTTTGAGAGCTCGTAGAAAAGAAGGAAATAGTGAAATAACGTTTTGCATTTTACAAGTGAATATAAAATATTTAGCAAAAATAATAACTTGACGAAATATAAGAGTACCCAGGCGCGTACACAGGGGGGGGGGGGTTGAACCCCACCCCCTTTGGTATATTTTTGTGTGTAAACCCCCCTCCCCATAACCCCCTACCCCCCCCCCCCCCTTTGGATTTTTTTAATTTTTTTTTTTATTTACGGAGCAAAATGACAAATTTTCAAATTTCGAGACCAAAAAAAAAAAAAAAAAAAATGTCCTCTTACCCCCCTCCCCCCCCCCCCCCCCACTTATTCAGCGGTCGGCTGAGTCGTTGCGAAATTTTCGGCCCGATTTATAAATGTTAAACTCCCCCCATTGAAAAAATCCTGCGTACGCGCCTGAGAGTACCAACAAAATATTCTTCATCTGTGAACAAATCATTTTGTATATTCTTTTCTTTTAACCATACAAATATAACATTCCAGAGAGATCATACTTTTTCACAGTTTAAATGAGCTAACGTCTCATTTGTTCATGATTTTCTCAAGGGCAATTCCACGGTAACGGAAGGACACTCAGATAAGATTTTTGAACTTCAGGTTCATACTAAAAGAACTGTTTTATTAGTATAAGATGTGAAACAGTACAGATATAATACCTATATAAGTGCCTTTAATTCTCCCCCAAAAATTGTCATTATAGTTAAGTAGTTTTAAGAATGTGCATATTAATTATCTCAGTAACGGAAGGACATAAAAATGGACATGGTTTTTCCAGTTAATTAGTGTTTATCCAAACTTTGTGAAGTTGATGAAGCTTTCCACTTGACTGAAACACATTTTGTTCCCCATAGTTTAATACATACTAATAAAACATTTCTTTTAGTATGAACCTGAAGTTCAAAAATCTTGTCTGAGTGTCCTTCCGTTACCGTGGAATTGCCCTCAAATAACCTTGATGTTTGTGAATGTAACATACCTTTGATACCTGTAATTTTCATTTAAATGGATGGTGTTGAGTTAAATCTGACAGTATGCAACGAGCGAATGCCCCCCCCCCCCTAATAAAACAAATCAGATGACCTGGCCTGGCCCCACCCGGTTCTTCGAATTTTGTGGAAAGAAAGGGACAATTTTTTTGTTTTATTACTTATTTTTTGTTTTCAAGACTTGTACCACCACCTGCCCTAGAATCCTGGATACGCCACTGAACGTTGTTGGTTGCAATGGTTATTCCCCCCCCCCCGGTCGTCCCTGAATGCTGACTTATCTACCAACCATGAAAGCACGAATGTTTTTTACATGCGAAAAAACACATCGGCCGAACTCGAAATATAGTCGAGGTAGTTCGGTGTCAGAATCTTGTACCGTACATGCACTCGACTCTTGCACTGCGCTGCCCATTGATTTCCCGCGAAACTAGAATAGTGCAGTAGTACAGTGCATGGGGATTATGTGTTGAATTTCCGCTCGCAAATCTAGTTGTGCATGCCGACGCGACGTCAGATCAGAAGACCCAACAAGAAACTGTAAACAATATTGATCAAGGTAACATATCAATATTTTTAAATACTGTATTTAACGTTAGACCCCGAGGTTGCTTGAGTAGATTTAGACTCGTCATTATGGTCATCATGCTAGTTGTTTCTTTTGTTTATGTTCAGCTAGTTTTCAGTTTATTTTTTCTGGTCGAAAATCAAGTCTGGTTGTGTAGGCCTAACTTAGAGTCTAACTTTAAAAGTTGTAACAATCAGTCTGAGTGGCTCTATGACTATCTAGGACTATAAGCTGATGAGTAGGACTGTGAGTAGGACTGTGAGTAGACCTATGACTGAGTGAGAGTGAGAGAGTCTGAGCTGAGTCTGAACTGAATGAAAATTCAAATCCATCCATGTTTGTCTTCAGCGTCGCATGTGAGACGGTTCAGAGCATTTTCAAAAACGTTCTTTTCAAAATCATTGTTATGAATAATATGATGTTTCAACTTAAACTTTTAAGTTGTAAATTTGTTTTTTACTGGTTTTTACGTATAAAAATGTCTGTCTCTTTCGTTAATTAGCCTCTGATTTGGGTAGGGTCGAGAGTATCGGGTATCGTATAAATACCTCTCGCACATCGGCAAGTGCGTCATTTGCGAATTCACTGCGATGGAGTGAACACGGAAGAACTCCTCTTCACACACATACTAAATTCATTGCGACGACAGCACACGTAGTTGTTTCGCAATAGACTTCTACATATGGCTATGCATGTTAGCGCATGTTCTAGTATTTGTAGTAACAGAAGTGGAAGTGCAGAAAGTTTGCGACACTGACCAATTTCGAGCCAACTTGGAGATCTTTCCAGGGACCTAAATGTGATTTGATTTTGAGAGTTAAGAAAAGTTGTTCAGCTGCCTGATTTGTGCAAGTTTTGTCGCCAATAAATTATTTTTTAAATTGTTACAGCTGTTGAAACGGCTGTCTGACCGAATACTGGGCGCGCTACCTTAATCGGTTTTGGCATTTTTTGTTTCTTTACTGGAATGGCTATTAAAATCACGACTGCAATTTTGACCAAAGGATTTCTTAAGTGAGGTATAAAAATATGATTAGCACGGCCATATCATGGTTTGGGAAACCACTCGTTCATCTGCACTCACGCAGTGTTGAGCGAATAGTGGTTTCCTATTTCACGATAATGCCAATACTGCCATGCCTTTTTTTGGCATGCACTTGCCTGTGTGAACCATGGTCAATTTCAATTTTCAACATAATCACTCGTTCCCACACATGACGAACCTTGCAAACTACTGTTATGGCATTCGCTGGAGGAGCATTTTTTTACACTTATCAGGCAACACACTTATACTCTTTTCACACTGGTTTTGCTTAACCCTATACTTTGCTTAGCCCTGTACTATCCTTAACCCCAGACTATTTTGGGGGGCTTTTCACACACGCTGTTTTTAGTCCCATTCGGTCACTTAAGGGGAAATAATAATAATAATAATAATAATAGTGTAAACTTATAGAGCGCACACACCGTCCAGGGACGCTCATGGCGCTAGCTCAGCAACAATTCTCTTTGATACAAGTAAAGTAAATAATTTTGCAATATTTTGTTATAACCCATTTCAATCCTCAGCTCTGCCTGAAAATCGCTAATATTTTGAATTCTTACCTCTTTTAATTGGCATTCTAGTTCTACCCATCAAAAGAAAAGAAATTTATTCCTCTAACAGGATTTTATAGTCACTTAAAATATAGACCTAGAATGATGATAAGCAAAATACTTCCAAAAGAAGACGGAGCATTTTTCTGCCCAGAATTCGGTCACACGATTTGTGCGTGGTATCTCCATTGCCAAGGAGCGAAGCGTATTTGCGCAAAGAAAACGACTAAGAAGAAAGAGAAGAAGAAGACTCCTATTCCGGAATAAGAAAATTCACGCTGTTCTCACTGCAATTCGTTAGCCCCGGATATCGTGAATGTTATGATTGGACAGTGGGCTCCTTACTTCGCATCTGGCCTGCTGCGATACGCTCCATTGCGCAGTACCGGACTATTTTTCGTTTCTGTTCTCATTCATTTGCTTGGCACCGCACTTGGGGGTTAGCAGGAGTTAGCACCACAATTGCGGGGTTAGCCCTGCTATTTTGCATGGTTAGTTAACCCCGTACTATAGGTGGGGCTAGCCCACTTTGGTAATTACAAGTCTGAACAGAAAGTGGAATAAGCTAAACCCCGGACTATAGGTGGGGCTAAGACCCCCCTTAACCCCACCTATAGTACAGGGTTAAGCAAAATTTTGCCAGTGTGAAAACAGTATTAGGTAGTCAAATTTGTGGAAATTTATTTATTATTTTTGGATATAATAAACATGGTTCGTACAGGTCAGGGAATTTCTGGAAAGTCAGGGAATTTAAAAATGTTTTTTCCAGAAGCAAAAAGTCAGGGAAAGTCAGGGAATTCATCCATTTCTCCTGGAAAGATGTTTGTTAAAATGGCATTTAATTTGTCTTGTGAACAAAGGAAAAAACATTTTGTAAAATCTGTGGTTCACAGGAACTTTTTCGTAATAAATTACACGCAATATCTTTAGGACCTACTAGTATCGTGTCTATTGTGTCTTTCATACTGTATGCAAGATGTTTGTGTGCATAAATGACTTGCAGTGACAGGTGCGGTGCGTGATGCTGGTGTATGTACATACAGGAATGCTGCATGCACGCTGTACGATTACTTTTTGATCGAGCTTGTACTTTGATTTTGATTAAAAGTTTGAATGAAGGTGTTTTACCCCAGGGTTTTACCACAGAATATTCATAAAACAATAATTTAAATGTAAAAAACTATGCATCAAGAGCCACTCGTGTTTTCTTAAGAACCCCTTTAAAAATCGTGTTGCTCTTTACTCGGAATATCGCAACCCTGAATCACATTTGATTCCACATTTGGCGTCCATTGTGCGAGCGTGTGCTAGCCTAGCCTCGTGGTTGCTGCTTTCCCCAAGGTCCGCAATTAAGGCACACTTTTTTCCGTCAGCAAAATATTGAAAGTCGGGGGTGCGCCTTATATAGTCAGGTACAGGATATTTGAGTCCTCAAATGCTACTTTTTAGTGGTTTTCAAAAATCTCTGTGTCTCAACATGAATTACATAATGCATATAAAGAATAGGATCTACTATTTGAAGTTAAACTACGTTCCTAATTTGAAAGGAAGAGAGTTTTTTTTCAGTATTTTTTTTCAGTCTCAATAAATTATGCCCTGTCACAAGGCACTTTGCCGGCCGAAGCTCTCCCGTGTCTTTAGCTCACTCACCTGTATGATGCAGCTCACTTACACAGGGGATAACGAATCACCACACGAAAACTAGCCTGTCCACATTTCTGTTTGGACTCGGAGGAAACTTCTGTCATCTTTAGTTTTAAAAACAACATTGTTACTGGGTCTAACTTAGTTCACAAGCTCTTCTACTGTGCCTCGTAATAAAATGAAAGTATTTTCGAACACTGTCACTGAAATAAGAGCCGATCTGATGTTAACAAAAAGACCAATGTTGGCTTTTTTTTTGGTGGCTTTTTGTAAACCAGATCAGATCGCGTCTTATTTCAGTGTTCGAAAAATACTTCCACTTTTCATTATACGAGGCACAGTTGAAGTGCTTGTGAACTAAGTTAGACCTAGGTCTAGTAACTAAGACATGTTCATCATTGAAAATGTTCATGGAAATTTACATTATCCTGCTCTGGAAAGTCATGGAAAGTCATGGAAAGTCATGGAATTTTTAAAATGTGTAAGTGTACGAACCCTGAATAAAGCTTTGCTTACTGTGTTCCTATTAAACCGATATATATGCGATTTAGAACTTTACATTAAAAACGTTGACCTAAGACTGGAGTTTGTGATGTTGATCCTGCCAGAATGGCAAATAGCTATTGCAGCGTAAAATATTGATAGTTTCACGTAAAACGGCGCAGGAGGTATCAGTGAGTGACTTTGGCGACACATGCTGAATCCAACTCTTCCAAATTTAGAAGTTTAAGACAGGCAGTCACATGACCTTTCTGATATCAGAAGATGTCAGAATTCTTAGTTTCCTTAACACTGAAATAGAAAGGAGCTTCACATACAATTATTCTCTCCCTCTGCCTCTTTTTCTTTGTTACAATAGATGGGCAAAAAGCAGAGGAAACCTGAAGATGGGCCTGAACCAGAAGGTGAAGAAAATGAAGAAAAGAAAACCGAGGGAGAAAGTGAGGAGGAAGAAGAAGAGGTCTACCAAGTGGAGAAGGTTGTCGATAAGAGGATACACAAAGGAAGAGTAGAATACCTCCTCAAGTGGAAGGGCTATGGAGAGTAAGTACATTACAAAGTAATCTGTCCCATGAAAAGAATATGGTCAGGATAAAGAACATTTACATGACGTATTTAGAAATCCTTATGGAAATAAGTTAACAACAGACATAAAATGGTTTATTTGGGACTACAAAATTTGCACTGTAATAAACAGCAAATGATTATGAATTTATGATCATTATACACAGCTGAATTGATTCTTTTGATTTTTTAATTGACTTGCTTTTGTTCAATGTACAAGTCTGAATACACTTCCCTTTGTATGATCCTCTAAAAATTGTAATAAATAAGACTTCATAATAGTAAAACTTCATAATAGTAAAACTGAATATATTCACAGTCTTGAGAGAGAAAATGGTTGTTATGGTTAGGATAAGGGTTAGGTTTTGTGTTAAAGGTAAAGACCAGTATTGGAAATGCCCCAATTTCAAAAAATGAAATGGAAGCTCTTATTACCAATCATGTGAAAGAATATTTTTTGACTAATACATGATGATAAAAAATTTGCCGGGAAACCGCCTACTAATTGATATATTTGGTAAATTAGTTTATCTATTGGTGTGTAAGAGATAAACGCATGTGTCGCGCACATGTGCGTATAGTCCCATATACATCTTTCTGTGTACAGTGCTTGTAAGTTTACGAAGACTGGGCCAAATTTCTTATCATTTTGATGATTCCAGAACCTTGCAGTACACACCAATACTTATATGCTAGATGATCAACCTTTTCTGATCAATTCCACAACGTTTCTTTCACAATGCAATCGCTTGACCATAACTGGTCTTTATCTTTAAGGTTATTAGTGGAGGTACGAATTTAACTCTGTCCAAAGTTTTATCATCTGAAATTTGACCTGGCAGTATCTGGATTCTGTAATGTGCTCAGGGCTTTATAGTTATGGTACTACAGGTGTATCTCGGTCACTGCAATAGCCCTAGTGGTAAATTTATTTGTTATCTTGGCAATGTTAGACCTGCGACCTTTGAACTACCGGTATACATGTACTTCAGGATCTTGTGTACGTACAGTTTTGAGGCATACTTTATATAGACCTATCTACATGCAAAGGAATACATAAAAGTATGATGAACTTCAGTTATAATCATGATTCTGTAAACAGTTTTTGATTCTTGAAATGTACAGTGTACAGGTATGTGATCATCGTATTCGGATTGTTTTCAAAAGAACTAGAATATAACTAGCCATTGGAGGTTATGTAACATTTGATTAAGTTAATTTGAGGATCTGGTGGGCACTAACTTTTAATTGTTGCTCAACAGAAGTATCATCAATGTTAGTCAGGACCACTCTTTTTCTTGGCATTTCTTTGGTGCCATTTTCTCACGAGTCATCCACTATGCAAGATACTGAAACTTTACTTACAAAAGTGTGTTTCTTATTAATGGATACTTTAAATCTCTATTTTACATGGACAGAATTACGGGATATCAGTTATTACAGATCCAAAGACAACTGTTGTACCTACAATGTATGACTTATTGTAATATACATATGGGGCTGTAAAATATACCTTGAACTTGTTCATTTTTGTTTAATTGCATGAGATTTATTTTAATTTCTATACTATTTTTCTGTGCAGTGATGAATCGACATGGGAACCCCAGGACAATCTAGAGTGCCCTGATTTAATTGAGGCGTATGAAAAGAAGATTCGAGAAAAGGAGGCCTTAAAGAGAAAATCAGCCCAAAATGTTGCTGCTGGAGATGTAGCAGCAAAGAAAAGAAGGAAAGAAGAAGCTGCTGCAACCGAGAAGAGGAAAGACTCATCTGTAAGTTGTTTGAACAAATTGTCTTTTCAAATTGAATAGATTTAATTTAAATAGTATCAAGTTAGATTATATGAATGACAAATTTCTCACTATCACCAAAGCTATGAGTAGATTACCCTGGTTTTATGATACTTACAGTCTGATTTGTAATAGTTTAGGAATTCTTAGGTTTTCATTATTTGATATAGATATGACTTAATCCTAATACATGTAGTTGTGAATTAATTTGTCAAAAATAAGTTTATCTCTGAGATATTCATGAACAGAATATCGTTTCTCTGATGTTCTTCCATACTTGCATTTAATAACAATGAAAACGCTCACAAATTATTTTTCAGAACTCAACCGTCTCTTTAAATTTTGTTTTTTACCGCAAATGAGTAAATCACTATTAATGACTATTATGTAAAAATGATATGATAGCAAGCTTATTTCCATATGTATACTATGCATTCCACAGGGGCCTTCCAAAGATGGCAAGCAGACGAAACAAGATGAGAAAAAGTACAGAGGATTTGACAGAGGGCTGGATCCAGAGAGAATCATTGGTGCCACAGAATCCAACAATGAACTCTTATTCCTCATGAAGTGGTAAGATATTTAAAGTGTACCAATCATGAAACACATTTTGCTTTTGATGTAAGGCATTCCATATCGCTTGTACTACATTCACAAAATGAAATCATAGATTTCTTCTACTAAAGAGTTATTGCAGTGTGAAATATACTCTCAGTTAATATAAAAACTATACTCATTGAGTAGACTAGTCAACACATGTGTACTTGCTTACATATCATAGGGTGCTCATGGAACCCAAGTTTAATTTGGGTTCTGTGCATGACTTTTGATGTTATCCTTTATTTCCTTCATTCTCTTTAATTATTAACTTATAAAATGCCAGATATATATTTTTTAATGTTGATTTTATACATTCTAGCTGTGCTCAAATTATTTTTTCAAGTGATAGTACACATTAAAAAGTATGGATGGGGGGGGGGGGGGGCTTGGGATTATTCTATCCGGATTAAATCAATGGTAATTTAAAATGTTTGATTGCAGCAGGGATTGTCTTGATAGTTTTTTTTTTTAATATCAAGCACTTTTTTCCCAAAGAGATGCTTCTACCCTCCTTTTGGGTACCACAAGGTAGCTTCACATGGAGATCAGTGGATGAAAATACACAATACGTTTCTCATGTAGTCATGAAACTTGCCATTGAATCTCTATTTTGTAAACACAGCCAATGTTTGCAAGACAAAAACCTTGATTTATGTTGGTAGATAGCAAAGCACTGGTTGAAAATCTGTTTAGGATTTTTTTTGTTGCTTGTACAAGAAATATTTCAACAGGGTAGCCCCATCAGTAGTTAAAGTACTGTTATTCTTGGGGGCCCTGCATAACATAAAATACATATATAGACATAGACATAAAGCAAGTAAACAAACAAAAATCCACAAACAAAAAAAATCAAGTCCAATAAAATCAAGTCATCAAGTAAATCATACATAAACAAATTTTGAAGAAGAAAAAACATTATATTGAGGTGACAGTGTGTCTAAAACATAATTATTTGTAATTTGTAGGATATTTATGAGAAATACAGTGATCTGCAATTGGAAAGTTACTAAATATTGAAGTTTGTGATAGTGGCTACTTATTTGCGAGTACTTGGGTTATATTTACATGTTTCTAAAATAACTGGTGCAAAATGACTGCTTAGTTTGTGCATTTCGTAACTCACTGGGGAGGTTGTTCCATGTCATTGCACCCTCAAAGGAAAAGGCCCTTCTACCATTTTCAGTTTTAACTTTGGGGATGACTAATCCACGAGTATCAGCGATTCTAGTGCTATAACGATGTGTTGCTGCAGACTGAGTAAACATATCTTGAAGATTTGAGGGGGAAATACCGTTTACAATATCGAACATAAGTTTACATTTCTGGAATTGCCAACGTTTTTTCTTGTTCATCCATTAGAGTTTTGAGAACATTTCTGAACATGGTGTAAGTTCATTCATTTGGAGAACAATCCTAGCCATCTGTTCATGCAACTTAATCAGTGTATCCCGAAGACCTTGATTACAATTTGACCATGTGGTGCAGCAATAATCAAAATATAGTAATACCAGTGCATTTGCCAATAACTTGGCACTGTCTATCGTTAGATATTTTCTGACACGTCTCAACAGTGCCAACCTTGAAGCAATTTTGCTGGAAGTATGCTTCATGTGTTCATTCCAGTTAAGGTGCTGGTCCAACCACACCCCAAGATATTTCACATGTTCTACCTGTCTAATTTGCAGACCATCTATCTTTATGTCGATTGGTGCCTCAATATGTCGTAGTTTTTGGGGTGTCCCTACAAGTAAGAAGTTGGTCTTGTCCGTATTAAGGGATAGTTTATTATGGCAAAGCCATGATTTAACCCTGTCTAGATCACTATTCATTGTACTCTCTATCTCCTTTGGATTTAAGTCACTGAACATAATTGCCGTATCATCGGCATACAACATCACCTTACTATGTTCAACGCTATTGGGCAGATCATTCATAAAGAGGGTGAACAGCAGGGGTCCGAGTATAGAACCTTGAGGTACTCCAGACTGGAGAACTAGATCAGGGCCCCGTCTTACAAAGAGTTGATATCAATCGTAAGTTATTTGCGATTGATATCAATCGTAACTATGTACATAAGAGATAGGAGACTGCAAACTTGCGATTGATTGGAGGACTTACGATTGATTTGGATCGATCGTAACTCTTTGTAAGACGGGGCCCTGCAGATCTTGCTAACTGATAACGACCTCTGAATTACGATTCAAACCACGATAGTGTATTACCACGTACACCATATGTGTATAACTTCTCGAGCAACTTGCTATGGTCAACGGAATCAAAGGCCTTTCGTATACTGTTAATTTACCACTATCAATATTCCTGTGCAGGTTATCGCTAACATATGTCAATAAGGTATTCGTTGAGTAACCTTTTCGGAAACCTGACTGTTGAGCATTAAGCAAGTCAAACTCTAACAAATGATCATGAAGCTGAAAATGCACAGCCTTTTCCAACACCTTCATGATTGTTGGTAGGATCGATATTGGGCGATAGTTGTTCACATTATCCTTGTCCCTGCCTTTATAACTTTAAACAGGGTTCTTGCTATTTTAACACCCTTAGTTGCAGTACTAATTAGTTTGTATTGTATTTAAGAGGGGGGGGGGGGGAATACCAAGACAATTTCTCCCAGACTTGGAAGCTACGAAGGTAAAACGACCGGAGTGTTGGCTCAGTCAGTAGAGCGTTCGCCTCACAACCGGGAGGTCGTGGGTTTGATCCCCGGCCGCGTCATACCAAAAGACGTTAAAAGATGGGAGTTGCTGCTACCTTGTTTGGCGTTCAACAACTGGTGCTGCTCAGTGGCTGCTGGGCTCACGATCAATTGGGCAAAAAAAAGATTCATTTTGGTTTAATAAAATTTGGAGTGGACTAAAAGATTATTATTATTATTATTAATAGAAATGTCAACATACACAGATGAAACCAAGTTAAAAACATAATCAAAGATTCTCTTTTAATTTGACATCAAACTTTCTTCACTTTTCTTTGAATCCCTCTCCAGGAAAAACAACAACGAAGCAGACCTTGTGCGAGCCAAGGAAGCCAACCACAGGTGCCCTCAGATTGTCATCCAGTTCTACGAAGAGCGTTTGACGTGGCACAGTGAAGATGACGAGGAGGACAAAAGATAAAAGCACAGCTTCTTGGTCGCTCACATCTTTTGTAAACATCTTTTGTACGTCCCTATTTGTTTTCCTCATCTATCATCAAACTCGCTTAGGCACGTGATGCGGATACAGGGAAACCTCAAAGAAACAAGCTTGGATAGATGCGAACCAAACCCCAAGCATTGATTATGCATTCACCTTGGGAGGTGCTTCATTTACACCAAAGATACAGTTAAAGTTGACTTAATTTTTTCTCCCTCCTGAACAAAAAAAAGAAACTTTGTGTACATTGATGTCTATGTGTTTGACAGAGCAGGGATCCTCTGAAAAGTTTTCATGAATGCAACTGCCTGCTTCTTAAAAGCCCCATCTATACTCGATGTGGTATACCAGCTCAACAAAGTGGAACTGCGAAAAAGCATGAATGAGCACCATCCCCTTAGTAATATAACATTTGATAACAAATGTACACAAGCACGTCTTAGGTATTATGTCATTTACTACCCCAGACATTAGCAAGAGTTGAGCAAACTCACCAAAAATTATTATCACAACCATCATTTTCCTTGTTATTTTGGTCTGATCAAAGACCAACTTGAAATATCGGGGACAGCAAAGGATTCATGGATGATGGTAACATTATGAGACAAAATACCCTAGGCTTGCCTACACACAGGGACTTTTCTAGCATGCAGCTACCGTTTTCTTTGTCTTGCTATTCATTTACACCAAAAATGTTTTTAGTTTGCTGTGACAGTTTTTGCTTTTAAAAAAAGGACCTTCGTTAACTCAAGTATTTTTACGTTGAGTTAAACTGCTCTTAGCAGACTATGTTATGTAGGGTAGTAGGTGCCACCGGCTGGCAATCTTTAATGCGAAAACGGATGTAGAGATTTGCTTGTAATGGGGTTTCCCTGTATTATTTGTTAATATGAAAATGTCTTACTCTCCTTCTCCATCTCTCTGTCTCCCCCTCTCTGTCTCTGTCTCCCCCTCTCTGTCTCTGTCTCCCCCTCTCTGTCTCTGTCTGTTGCTCTCACTATGTCAATAAATGGATAACTGGATTGACATGCTATGAAAGGTCTCTTGTGACAAGCATAGCTCAATACTGATTATCACTAGACATAATCCATATGTTGATCTGCATCAAGTGCATGTAGTATTTATGCAAAAATTTTGAGAATATAAAGTCTGTCCAAAAATAGGAAACTCCATTGTCGAGTATTTTTTCATGTTACATGTACAATGGAGATGTTCCCAAATATTTGTGGTGTGTACCTACTTTTCTCCTAAATGACACCGATATTGAAATAGAAACCGCATGTGTAAGCTTTTTTTTCCTAATATCATTCTTTCTATTGTACAGGTTGTTTCTTTCAATGTCTATTTGTTTTTGTAATCATATATAAGGAGTTCTTGTTATTCAATGTATAGATGTGTCATATTTTTTCTACAATCAGCATTGTTTCTTAGTTTCAGTTGAAGAAAGATTTGCCTTATGTATTTTCACTCTTCGTATAGTATGCACCGCTTTAATACTACAAAGAAGCATAAAGTAGACAGACCTCAATACATTCCAAAGAAACACTCGGCTTTCTATGTAGGGTTGTGTGGGCGCTTTGTATTTGTATTTGTAAATGTACTGTGTCATGAAGCATTTAAGTTCAAATTGCTGCATTTATTATGTTTTATAAGAAAATGCCAGATGTATTTAGTCCCCTTCACTCAGTTAATTCGAAACTTTGAGCTAGGTTTCAACATCTTTAAAGTCTCGGATCAAAGAGATGATGAAGTTCCATACTTTTTCAAGGAATTACAAGAGAACAGTGATTGCTACATTGGAACTTCATGATAGCAATCTGACATAAATAATGCTAACTATTGTTCTTTGTATTGCTATCTAATTTTTTTTTTTTTTTTTTTTTTTTGGGGGGGGGGGGGGGGGGGGTGAAATTCCATCATCTTTCCAGGAATTAAAAAGGAAAGTATGGCGACAGTGGTAGATACATTGGAATTGCATTGGAATATGCATTCCTGCATTACTAATGTTCATTGTATTGCTTTCTAATTTCTTTTTTAGGCTGTAACCTAACCTTATCATATGTAGTCTCTGCATGGTGATATTTCAACCTGAATAATCAGTGTAAATTAAAATCTTTGAAAAAATTATGTTTGTAAGTCATAACCTGTTCTCCGGCAAAACACTACCGAAATAGCTTTAAGATCATTTGTAATATGTTTGCAATGATGTTTGAGTGTACATGTACTTATCAGCTGTTGTGTATGACATTTTACACATTTTAATTTCTCCCTTCATACAACCTTACTTGGTTATTGACTAATTACAGTAATTTACACATCCTATAGTACATAGCTGACAATTCGGCCTAGTAAGGCTTTCTGAATATTTGCCTGGCTATTTCATGCATTTGTGAGATTTATTACATTCTTTTTCAAGACAAAAAGTTAATAATGAGGTTAATAAAGGATCGTCTCAGACAAGCGAAGCCCATCTCATAACTTTTATGTTGTGCTCATGGTTAAACAAAAAGGTTGGACCTCAACAAGTGCACTCCTTTTTCTACAAGATCTACCAATGCAACTGCTATATTCTCCTTGGTTTTTAAAAGAATGCTGGTATCCTTAGTCTTCATGGTCCATATTCTACTCAACATAATGCTGGGCTCAAGCTTTTGTCAAAATCTGGTTTAGCAAAGGAAGGTAGTCCGAGGTCCAAGTTTTTTGTCGCTGTACATGATCTTAAAGATAAGTGAATTACATGTAGTAAGATATGAACTTGTGTCTTTGAAACTCATTATGTAGGTCACCATTTATAAAATTTTGTTCCACCTTGCAAGCATACCATAAATTAGTGGATTTGTATATTGTGTAGAATCAGATGTTGTGTTTTTCCCGCCTGAAAGGATTGTGAAGATTGTTGTGCTGAAATTTAAGATTAGATTGTTTTTTAACATTCATCCATTTCTTAGTGGTCTCATTCTTTATATTACGAATCCCCTGTAATGCACTGTATAAGCTGTTATTTTAGTGATGATTTATTTTTTGTGAATTAAATGTTGTTGACAACATGAAAAAATGAGCTGGCAATGCTTATGTGAGAATATGCATTTATGATTGTAAGTAGCCTGCGTTACTCATCACATAAATATTTGTGTCTCTGTTCTCGGTTAAAATATCTCAATGCAAAAATAATATCTTATACATTATACAAATATTACTCATCAGGTGCCAAAAGATGGTAGTTAAGGCTGCACATGTATGCTTAATATATCTAGTATTGTTTAAAAATGTATTCTTGTCCATTGCTTGCAAACATTAAGCTACTAAAAACTGATATGTGAATAGTGTTGATATCCGTTTTGCTGAGGGTTTTTATTCCTGAAAAATGTTTTACCATGTGTAGTTTTAGTAAATGGAATAAAGTAAAGACATAAATCATAACTGCTCTGTATGTATTTTGTGTATACCTTGATATAAAAGTTTACTCTTCTATTCAAAATGTCATATATAGTTGGAAAACTCTCTCATGATGAAAACCCAAAAGATTGTCCAAGACTTCGCACACATATTAGCAACTAACTTCTGAAAGGTGGATATCATTCATAGATACATGTTCTTTCATTCAGGGCAAGTTGGAGAGATTCATCAGAGTTCTGAGTTGAAACACCAACTAACTTGAATACACTAGCAAACTTGGCTGTTGACATGGGTGGGAGGCAGTATTAGGTCTTGAAACATTTCTTTTTGAGCAATCAACAAAATAATTGGCATATTTATTTCTCAAAAACCTGTAATAAAAATCAATATCTGAATATATAATTTTACATAAATACGTACACGTATGTCAGAAATATACAAATCCATGGAAAAGTTTATATTCTTACTGTAGGGCATACTGATCCACGATTTCAAACTATATCTTTAGATTCAAAGTGATTCCCTTTTGTACAAGAGCATTTTAAAGCTTCAATTTTATCCCGACATAATGAATATTACTGTTTAATTCTTCACATAACATCCAATGTGAAATGTCCTTTTTAAAATATTCTTTAAAAATACATTTGTTATTTTAATGGTCGTGGTTAATGCTAGCACTAACATAAAGGCTTGCATTTTCAGTTTCAGTAAATTATTGGGAAAAATCATGAAGAAACTAATGGAAAATACCTTCTTTGACATTATCCTGAATAAAAATACAAAATTGCTAAATGATTAAGCTGACATTGATATGGCCATTAGATATATACAGACAAAAACACTAAATGCAGAAAAAAATACCTTGGCTTGCAAAGAGCTATTCCTCACATACAGATCTAGAGGTCCTTGAGAAGAAAAATAAAAAGAGTTAAACAATTATAATTGTCAAGACCCCCTTTCAAACATGATAAGCTACTTTAAACAACTGCTGTGGCAAAACCATGTTTGAATCAAATGGCAAGAGGCGATATTTTGAGGAGTATAAAATCATGGCTGCTCTTAACAATGGTCCCTATGCAAACTGAGTGGTATAATGATATTAAGTGCACCATGCTATTTGTGGTTCTCTGCATCATGTCTGCAGAAGATTTGAGACATTGATGTATAAGAATGTTGGAATGTAGGATGAACTTAAAGGAACATTGATGAATGTATTACATTTTATATTTACTTCCCTCGTGTTAATTGGATATTTGTCAAACTTTCACTAATTTGTTTCCCTCATTTCCTTGCATTTATTAAAACCAACTTAATATCAGGATGGACTTGCCCTTTAAATATTTATATTACAGACTAATAATCATCAAAGATTATAGTCACAATTTGTAGCTAAAATATTTTGTATTAACCTGAGTGATATTCAGTGGGAGGAGTTTAATTCTTTAAATATCCTGAAATCTGGACTACTGCAAGAACTCTAACATCAGACATTTTTGTAGTGGCAAAATAAAAATGAAAGATCTCCCATTTGAACAAGAAGAGACAGCTCTACATCTGTTCTCTTGTCGGAGGCTTACCACTGCAGATTTCCAATTAACCTCAATGTGTACCGACACACTAAACAGTTACTTGATGTACAAACATATGTTTAATGATTAGAAAAATAGAGTATAAAATACAACTATGGTAATTTTTTGGTACATCTTGAACTTCATTAACTAATTAAATGCAAAATATAATATAAAAATATCAATTTCATACAATTATGTATACATACATGTGTTTGTAAAGTTAAAAGTACACTGTGATCTCTGATTTGTCATATTAGTTTACTGGACTAAACAAACTACCTACAAACAACATATACTTAGCCAGTACAAACCCTTGTCAAGGGTGTGTGTAACTGAGTATGTAAACTAAGAGACTATATAGACTACACAGTCTACTGCACTATATATGAGCTGTATAGCTGTCCCTCACACATAAAGAGAATGAAAGTTGTAGGCTAGCTCAGCTTCAAACTTCATGGATTCATGTTTAAGTGTCAAATTGAAGTCTGTGCCAGCAGTCTACAAACAATGAGTGTTTCCAATATACATATATAGTAGATGGACTACATTTTGATCACACTGTTTTAAACATGGGGGACCTCAGGGCCCTGATTCATCAAACCTGATATCAATAACAAGTTACAATAACTGTTATAACCTATTGGAATCTGTGATATCACTTTATTGGGGTGCTCTGTGGAAGCAGCTCCTTGAGCCTCCAGTAAGTCACCTTGATTCACACCATATAAAAAAAGGATTCCTTGAAAATGAGGCTCCTTCTTCTTAAAAATGCTAAAAGCAGGTTATGTTACAACCAATATTTTACTTGGTTTTCCTGTTTAATTGGAGCTTAAAGGCAGGCAAAGGCTTGAAATGCTTCCCATTTTGTGCAAAATAGAGGTCATTTTAAATCCTATAATAGTCAGGTGGTACACCTATTATAAAGAATGCACATAAGCATAACCTAGACAAATCAAATTATCATTTTGGAATGCTGCAAAACCATTTCATTCAATTTGCAGCACATGCACAAATTCCACCAAAACACCTGCAAATATTGCGTAATATAGCAAAATTTTACTAGTTTGTCTCTAAATAAATTTATATTTCCAGAATGGAAGATTACCTCCAAGATACATATTTAAAAAATGACTTATTGAGGCTATGATGTATAATGTACGAAAAAAGAAAATTCCTATCATAATACATGTATGTTATCTATAGATAGATAGATAGATGATAATAAATGTAAACATTAACTGTTTTTGTAATAAAATGCATTTTCTCATGTAGCATATTTTACTAAGGATTGAAATTGATATATAGAAGGTTTGCTTCCTGTTCTGCTTTGCCAAACCTTAGTCACTAGCTGGAAACAGCCCAATTCTGACTTGGATCATAAACAATATGCCATCATGAGATATGCTTTTGGCACCAGACCAATTTTGCTATTCTTCTCACCAACCCACCAGTTAAAGGAATCAAATTCTTTACTAATAATATGGACTAAGTCTCCTCTCTGGAACTCTAATTCATTATCCTCATTAGGAAAACAGTCCCACATACCCATATAAATGTTCTCATAATCTTCTTCCCATGGCTCTGGTTTGGGAGGCGAGGTTGGGATTGGGGGAGGAGGCACGGTTGGGGGAGGTGGCAAGCTCTCTGTCTTCACAGGGGTCTTCTCTTCACTCGTTCTCCGTGGGGGTGCTGGCTTCTCATCAGACACCCTTCTCGGGAGGTCTGGTTTTGGACGCTGAGATGTAGGAATAGCTGGAAGTTGTATGGAGGGTTGGGACGGGGTGTGTGGTACTTCAGGAAGTGCACCGTGTCGAGGTGGTGGCGGTCTGGGTGCCCCTTCTGGCTCTTTGGTACCACTAGACACATCCTCATAAACTTCATCGGTGTCAATGATCTCTAGCCCGGTGTCATCATAGAGCTCACCCTGGTCACCTGGTGGTGGAGCTTCAGGAGTCTTCTGCATCTTGGTCTTCTGATAAGTGTCTACATCATCGTACGTCTCATCAAAATCTTCCGGTATCGGGGATGGTGGTTTTTCGGTGGTAGGTGTACGTGCCACAGCTTCAGGAATGGACTTCGTCGATGATTCTGTTGTACAGAAGGAAAACATGATACATATGAAAGATGGCTCAAAAGAAAGGGACAAGAACGTAAAACGATGTCAAGATTGTTCAAAATAAATGACATGTATTTTTATGATAGGTAGAGCCTCTTGCATTTCAATAAAAAATTCACACAGGTTGAAATTTGCAAATTGTCAAGAATTCATCAATATTTCAATCTTTATATCTGAATACCTTACAAGAATGTACAGCCAACTGCAAGCCAAAAAAAAATTAATTAAAATCTAGCTTCTTATGGCAGTGGATATTTGTGAAATATCGTTTTTATAGAGGATTCCCTACAAGCTGGCTTCATAATCATCTACTACTACTATGTAGCAATCCTTTATTGGTTGATTAATGCTTTATTCAGCCATTAGAAAATTTGTATGGCCAGTATTCATAAAAGCATACTAACATCAGTTTAGGTGAAGGGAGGGGGGGGGAGCAGATTTCATTCACTATTTATGAAGGAGGCAATTTTTTGACAAACAAGCAAACAGCAAAAAATAAAATAAAATTTGGGGTGTGAGATTTACTGGGTACACACAATAATTGTTATACTTCCACCAAAGCTGGTGTATGTGAACTGTGACGTAATACACATGGTATTGCTGAGAGTATTATCTTTAAGTTTTCACTCTTCATATTTTTTCCTGGAGCTACCTACCTACTGCAGGAATCACAGTGCTGGCTAAAGCTATTGCATCAATCCAGCCCTTCATTTCTTCTGAGCTAGATGCTATGAACTGAACACACCAACAAATGGGAAGACATTAATATATTAATACAGAGGAACATCATTATGAAGAACACTGTTATAATGAGGTAGGTTTGAAAGTCTTATCTCTTTGTATTCTATTTTTTAGCCCTTGATAGAACAGGGTTTCAGAGCAACAAGGTTCTGTTCAAGGCCCCAAGGAGTTTGTTACAAGAAGAATCCTTTTTATCTTATAACATCATCAGGATTAAAGCCCAAGACTACCTGGGGAAATCCCAGCATTTTTTTATATTTAAAAAAAAAACTGTTTCATAGGGAAAATCCCAAAATGAAAATTCTTGCCAAACATTCATGACAGGAAGTACTTCCTGGTGAAATACAAATAACTTTAGCAAACTACATGTTTCTGTACAGATAGATGAATAGTACTGATAGAAGGGGAAAAACAGTGTCTCTACTACAAATAATTTTTCATTTGAGTTCATAATAGAATATTCATCCTTTTTTTTCACACACAACCATGTAAACCACCTCAAAACCACCACACCAAAATGAAATCATTTTCCTTGTTTCAATTTGAATGGCAGATGAGGATAAGAGTACAGATGCACAGAAAGAAGAAGCACACTGAGCTTTGGTTATTTTATTTTACCGCAGCATTTTTTTGAGGGGGCTTATTGCATCGTGTATTATCAAACAAGGCTAAAAACAGGGATACTTTATTTCATATCCATTACAATAATTTCATAATTTGTGAGCCTTTCACACAACTTACTTGATAAGATCTTTTTGCTGGACAGACGACCTCAAATATATAGTCCCTCTTTTTGTGTTTCTTATCAAAGTCTGAGTTAGGCCTTGCCTCGTAGCCATTCAGTACAATCACATTCTTCTGCTGTTTGTCAGTGGAGCTCTTGAAATAGTAGAAGACATTTTCTTTGATGACACAATAGCGTCGCTGCCACAGGGAGATTCCTATTTGCCCCTCTAGATGATACATTTATAGAGCAAAACAAAATCATTCAACCAATTATATAATTTGATTACAATGAAGGAATTCTGGTACACTGTTCATGCTTCTTGCCTAAAATGTTAAAATTACACACAACTTAAAAAATCAAGAACAACTTTACTTTTAATCGACTAGAATCATCAAGTAAGAAATTGCGTGGATTCTTGAACTTTGTGTTAAGTTGGAACTTTTTTGTAAGAGGCCCCAAGAAGAAGAATGCATTAGATGGCTCTCATAGTGTGCACATGAAAAAAGTTAATTTTAGCCTGAATACTAATCATAGAGAACAGGCGGTATGAGGAACCAACATGTCTTTTTTTTTTGTTGTTGATGGCTACAAGCCAAGCTTTACGTACCTTAAAGACCGTCACCACTACTGGGCAAGAAGGAATTAGACCACACAGCGAGCCAGCGAGGTCACTGTGACAGGTGGCTATCTCATTAACTCAGCTCTCATTTAACATAAGAAAAAGAGGATCATGGGGGACCAACAGGCACCGATTGGGGAAGTTTTCTATATAGAGGGAGCAAGTAGCTACAAGTAGGACAGTGCGCCTTTAAAGGCAACCAATTACCAAATATTAACATATTTTGCTCTTTATAATTGGGGTTTTGAGTCAGTAGACTTTACTGTATGCAATATATTAGCTTAAGAAGTTATTTTTGGAAAGTAATATCAATTGCATTGCCAAAATGTATGATGCAAACAATAATATAAACAAAGTTTGAAATACCTTTCCTCCTTTTCTCTAGGAAGCCTTCCTTAAGGGGTTTGTTAAGGTCTGTAACAGCTATCGGACCAATCTTCATGTCACCTGCAATAAACAAGATCAAACCAGATCAAACAAGATCAAACCAGATCAAACCAGATCAAACAAGATCAAACCAGATCAAACCAGATCAAACCAGATCAAACCAGATCAAACAAGATCAATCATGAAGAACATTCACATGTATATCACAATTAAACGAATCTACATGTTATCCATTTTTGAAGTATACCATTTAAAAGCGTGTTTTGTAATACCCGATAGAAATGTGCTGCAAATAAGTAGGCCTACACTTGACATGCTTTTAACTTCAAAGATGAAAAACTATCCAATTGGAGTCTGAAAGGTTCGTTGCCCTTCACATTTCTGAATCTTATAACACAGAGCTCAGTGAAAGTTTGTCATTCATTTTACACATAAAAAAAACCATGGTGGGTTTTTTGTGGCAGTTTACAGCACCATATCTGAACAAGCCTTATAACTACCGGTATTGATGCCACTTGGAAAGGATTTTTTTTGCAAATTAAAGGGAGAGCAGGCTTCTTACTGTACGGTTCTCCATTTTCATCCTTCTCTGATGCCTGAGGTAGTTCTGGTTCCTCCGGCGTTTCATGGTTTGAGCCTTGTGACATGATATTCTTATTGGGAGAGTCTGGGATGGAGGTATCTTCGTACAGCTCATCGTCTTCTTCCACTGGTGGTGCATTGTGGGATTGCTCTATCTCGACATCAGCATATTCTTCTTTAAAAGAAATGCATGTGATAAAGAATGATAAATTATGATAAGTACAGTTTAGGAATTTGAAAGGAAAGAGTGTTGAGAAGATTTAGAGACGAAGGTAAGTTCTGGTTAATTGGATTGTAAAAGAAAAAAAATGTATAAATAACTATGTATTCTGGAATTTCGGGATCATCATAACGATAAGACATCTTGCTGAAAATCACATGCATTCATGTAATATGAATCGTACACACAAATGTAAAGTTATGTGGAATAATACAATGTGGCACAAAAATGAGTCTAGAGTTTTAGTCGCAAAGCTGTTTCTAGTCATACTGGTGATTCAAAGCAAATCATTTTTCATGTGACATTGCCATTTCTGATAAATTCACATGTATATTTGGCTCTTTCTGAGAAAGGATCAATTTCAATTAAAAAAAACATTGAATAATTAATGAAGGAGTCCGCTAATGAATACTTAATTGCTACTGAAGATTTGAATCATGTTTCTACATATCTGAAATTTTCTCTAACTGTCACTATGCCTTATGATCACATGCCACTCACCTTCACCCTCAGAATGCAGCATATAAAAGTAGAGTGAAAGGAAGAGAAAGCAGTAAGTTGGCAGCTAGCGCGGACAGTCAGAAACTTACCCTGTTCCGTTGGCAGGATCTTGTCCACTTTACCAATGACAGAGGTGATCTGTTGGGATAAGTCATCTCTTCTGGATCCAACATCTTTCTTTAGTTTTTCCTTCTTCAAAGTGATTGATAAAAAGTCATGCACCTCTGTAAAAAAGAGGGGGAAAAGGATAGAAACAGAGAATCTCATGATATCAATTCATACAATACAGTAGAGTGAAATACAAGATATCAATATCTATGTGTAAGATTTTTTTTTTCAAGTTCTCCTACCACTTAAGACATTTCAAAGATCATTAACAGTTTTTAACTGAAAAAAAATCCCACTTCAAAATTTAAATCTGATACCATCAGAGCTAATCACTCATCATACCAGTTACAGGGTAAATGTTTCAAAAGCCCATTCATGTGTGATGCTTATGTCTATACGATAGCAAAAAAAATATATATATCAAATAAGAATGACATTTTTTTTCTTGTTTCAGCTTTGTTTTTTCTTTTCCCTTTTCTTATAGGGGATAGGGTACATTCATATTAAAGTATATAAAGAGGGATATCTGAAAAGAAATTCTCCCATGTTGCTTTGAACTGATTTTTTTTTTTTTTTTTTAACAAAAATTTGAATTTGATCAATGAATTTTTATGAAATGTCTGTATGTTAGATTTTTGATTTATGTCATAAATTGTGTTTTTTCAATTTGAATTGCAATTGTATTGTATTTATCTTTGTGAAATGGATCGTTTTTCAGCCATTTCTATCTATCTATCTATCTATGGTGGAACCATTCTATTTTCCATACCGTTAGTGAATTCATAACTGCATCATATTTGTAAATTAGTAGAATACTAATTGAAATGACACTCAAATGGTAAATAACTTTTTAAAAGGCAGATGACTAAAAGAAATATCCATCATTTGAATTTAATAGAAATTATAGAGTTGCCAATTTGTTTTGACTAGTAAAGACCATGTCCATAATCAAAGTAACCTTACTAATTTCTCAAGTTTTCACTCACTTACTTCTCTCCCTATTTGGCTTTAATTCAAACCAAATTAAATCAGGGTTAATTTTTTCTTCAACTACATTAAAATAATCATAACATTTCTTCAACTATCTCAACAAAAGCAGTATTGCTTGATAAAACTATTCTTATGTATGTCTAGCAAATATCAGATGACAAAATCTTCTTTTTCAGGTATAAATAAGTCTTCAAATTTATACATTCACATTTTAGGAAACTAAGATGGTATTTGATTATATAGCCATATCAGAGTAAGACCTCATTCCTTGACAGATGGACACTAATTGTAGACTTCCTTTCCACACTATTACTCAAGATTTTCTGTATAAAAAACAAACACTGATCTCCCATGTAGTAAAAGGAAACATGCTTGATCTGCAATCATTGAAGAGGTCTGAAAGAATCATCATTTAGACTCGTCCTCTTGGACATGATATTTCTTATTAAATTGCATTAATTCATCCTTCCCCCACTTCCAATCTGCAAATTAATTAAAGATACTATTTTTTAATCTAAAACAAATTTACTTGTTGAAATAATCCAGGCTATAGCCTAGTTTTATATTATTGAAAGCAATGGGCTAGGTGAGTGGGCTGGAAGTAGGGCACTTTCCAAGTTCATTATTGGTAATAAAGAAATGTCTCATAGAAGAGGAAAATCACAAAAAGTTGATAAAATATGGGTTTTTAAGTATTTTCTAGTAGTTAAATCTGTATATATATATATGGACCACTCTAGGGAGACAAAACAAGTAGCCTTTATAGGCAGGGTCGTCGTTCACAGTTACTTTAGTATGTGGCAGTGATGAACCTTATTTAAGTGAACAAAATACAGTCTTTACACTTTAAAGACAGATGGTCTTTCTATACAGGTTGCTGCCCAATCAGTTTCACTATAATACAATCAAGAGGCTATGATGTAATTCACTATCTATTCATAACTACATATTTGCATTGAAGCTTCCCATTCTCTTCTAAGAAACTGATTTCCTCTCTCCCCTTCCCAATTTATATTGATGAATATTTTTATAATTATTGCAATTTTACATATAGGCACGTTTTTCCTAGTCATATGATTCTGTTAATTGTCAGAAAAAAGCTTATTTTATATTAGTGCGTACTTGCAGATACATATTGTTACAATCAATATAACTTGGGCAAAAATGAGGAGTTTTTTTTAGAGAGAGAGCTGCAGAGACATGTACAAAGATTTGCTGCAAAAGCTATTTTTAAAACAAACTAGTATTGGAGCCAGAACGCATAAATTCATGTGCCCTTCTGGCTATTAACAGCCAAGATATCAATCTGAAACTATACTGAGCCACATTCAAAAGGCAATCCAATGCTTGTAATTAGTGTACCTGTATGGAAGCAAACAAATAAGAGAAAGAGCGTGGTGAAAGTTTGATTTAATAAGACAAATAATAAGAGAATTATGAATGTTTGAAATATGAGATCACTATAGATAGGCAAATCTCATAATGGCAATTTTGTTTGTAGATTGTGAAATAGAGTCAAGGACAACTCTCCTGTTCGTTATTTCCCCTAACATAACTAGTTTCTGTTATTCTCCCTTGGGGCACTACTCAAAATATATTTTTGGGGGGTTTGATTTCTTTCAAACTTTCGCTAGTCTGCTTCACTGATTTTTTTGCTTTCTTTTAGAGTCACGTACTATTAAGGTTTGAGTTCCCTTTAAGTATTCATCTGATTGGCTGCAAAAATAAATCAATTGGCAAACCAAGTGTAGCCCTATAGATACAATATATTACACATTTGGTAAATCAAAGTGTGTATGAGCTAGCATGAGAGTGAATATGTTCCTACTTGAAATATTTGACACCAGGACATTTACAAGGTTACCAGGAAGGAAGTCAGACACAATTTCAAAACAGCTTTGAATTTCCTGATGGAAGTGAAGTCTTCATATATACATGTAGTTCCTACTCATGAAATTAGGTGACTGCATACCGGCCAGATCAAGGAGAAGACATTTTAAGTTTGTTGTTTTTCTTATTTCATTATCATTCTACTGTGGCAAAGGAAAAGAATATATCATGTGTGGATGTTGCCATCCCTGCAGTGAAGAGGTAAACATAAATGGGATTCTTGGAAATCATTATAATGAAAGTAAAGAAAATGAAAAGTTAATAAATTCTATGTAACAACTGTTGTTTTTCATTTTGACTCCAGTTTGATGTCTCTCTTTTAAAATATTTATAAAATTGATTTCATGTATTTTCATTTTTCTATTTGTTTTGTTTAAACATATAGCCCAAGCGAACTAGCTATGTGACTACAGGGTTAGAAAATACAAATATGTATAACTCAGCAGAACTCCTTCTTAAATGCATAACTTACATGTACACTACATGTTTTTATGAAGCAATATAGTACTACAAGACAGTTATAATTTTTGTTATTGGTTAAATTTGTTGTGCCTTCCGCCGCCCCTCCCCCCCCCCCAAAAAAAAAAAAGTCAACAAAGTAAAAAAAAATAAAAAAATAAATAAATAAAAACACAACAAAACAAAAACAATAACAACAAAAAAAGAATGTAATCAAGTCCTTCTCAAATAACAGTCATCACATTTTCAGTGTGCCTTTATAAATTTGAGGTTTAAATTAGCCACCCAGGCTCATGGTCAAAGTCATACATTTAATAACTCTTACTGCAAGTGTAACTTAACACAATCTAGCCTAAATTCTACTTTCATGACATTGACATTAAACAAAATGCATGTACTAATGTAGAATATTTAGTTTCCAGTTCATAATGCTAGACTACACACCATAAATATGGAAGCTTATAAAGCCAATAGTCCAACAAAATGGTATTAAACACACGTTAAGAAATGAATTACTACATGAAAAGCTGTTATATTCATCTTGACTTCAAATGTTTTAACGTTAGTTTGAAAACTTCAAAACTTATACATGTAGTTCATTCACTTCACACGTTCAGAATCACAACACACAACACGGAAGTAACTGTGCGAGAATTATAATACGCAGCATGTAATACCCGCTCACATAAATGTATCAAACAATTAATTACCTTTAAGAAGGTGCTTAATTTCTTCTAGGAGAAAATCACGAGTATCTGCCATAGTTGATTTCAATTCTCAAACACTGTGTAGACCTCTACTTTCATTATTCTTCAGGGGTTCCCCGATCCCCTGTTCGACGAACTCAATTAGCAGGACGTCAATATTCCAGTCTGTAACTCGCGTCGTGTGTGTTGGGAACTGTGTTGAGATCACAGCGTAGGTTGAAACAAGTTGGTAAGCCAGCTAGGTGCTACGTACAATGCATAGCGCAGAGAGTGCAATGCAGAAAGGGACAGTCCCTACAAAATTACGGGTAGAGAGTAAGGAATCCCTGAAGTAGCCTAGAGGATCCGGGATGCGCTCAATGGGGCTGGGGCATGCATGATCCGAGGAAGGGAGGGAGGGAATTTGTGGATCGTCGTCTCCCGAATATCATATTTCCAGTGCTCTCATCAAAATACTGGGCTCACTATGAAATAATCGCCAATAGCTTTCTCCCCTCAATGCATCTTCTCCAACATCACATACAAACTCGCTCGGCTATGGTCCTAAATACGCAAATCTGATTGGTTAAAAGTTAAGATTTAGATTTTTGAGTTGCCATCCGTACATACTAGGGGTTCGGGGGTTCGCACTTTTTTGTTGTTTTTGTTTTGTTGTTGTGTTGAACACTTTCCCTTTCGTTGACAACAAAACTGATTATGATGAAACAGGCCGAATTGAGAAAAATAAATAAATATAGGGCTTTCCCGCCAATCCTCTTCGCTTGACTTGTCCTTACTCTACCCCTCTTTCTCTGTGGCTCTCAATGCCCCCTCCCCCTCCCACTATTTTTTGGGGCCCTCGAAATTTAAAAAATCACACCCCCGCCTCTTGAGCGCCAGGGCGGGGGGGGGGGCATTTAAAAAAAAACCTGTTAAATTAACGTGTTTTTACCTTTTTACACATTATTTTTCCGCCACTGCTCCACTACACCCCTCCCACACAAGAACATGGATGTCCTATCAGCTCAATAGAAATGTATGCTTAAGTAAAGTAAATTAATGGCTTTGCCTCAACGTCTCTAGCCAAAAGAAGATTGTCCGATTTTCTGAAATGATTACGTATCTTCCTCTCCGTTCAGCTAACTTTCTTCCTTTCCGTTCAGCTAACTTTCTTCCTTCTAGTTTATTCCAATATATTCTTGAAATCTTGAGGGGTAGAGGATTCTTTGTATTTGTGCTGTTTGGTTCAATAATTGTTTTTCACCCATAAGTACACTTTTGGCCCTTCTATTCCAAGATGGACCCCTTTCCAGTCTATGTTCGTAATGTCTAATAAATTACAAAAAAGTGCTACAATCCTTCCATAGTGTTTCTGTTTTTTCACAAAAATAGAATAAGTGTTTGCATGTTTCTTCTACTTTCTGACAAAAAGAACATACCGGTAACTCATTTACAGAAATATTAAACATAAAAAGATGCTTATTTGTATAAACTATAGGTCATGAAGTACAGTTGTGTATCATAAAATTGGAATTCTCTGAGTCTGCTATTCAAGGTTGACTTCCTGTGTCTTAAAACTATTGTTTGAATATATTTTCCTGACGCACCATAAATCGCGCATCGCGTATGAAATTTTCTGTTCTCATTTTCAACAAAGTTTCGTTTTATCATTTTTATGTTAGAACACAAAAAGAATAGATTCCCGGCCATTGATCTGAAACTCTAGGTTCAGTTCAGTTTCTACATTGGTATAATTATTTTTATTTAAAAACACTTTCCAAGGTCAAGGAAGATTTGCAAAATTTTGTTTGGTCGAGACAATACGGTTAATGCGACATTTGAATGGTAGTGCTATTAACCCCCCGAGAAATTATAGAAATAAACTGAGCTGAGTTTACTACTGCCTCCAAGATGAGAATTGTTAACAAAAACAATACAAATTATAGAAGAAATAAAAACACCATAACATGTGGTAGGGTTACATAATAGAAACTGCTATAGTTTGCCGATTAATACGATATACGATCTTGGTGCAATTAGGAGTTTCAATATGGCGGCGATACCGCAAAGAAAAACTAAGTTTATATGGCACCAGTGTCAAACGTGTATACATGTACGTGTATTATGTACATCACGATTGTGTAGCTCGGTGGTGAACAGTTTAGATTGAGCGACAGTGCAGTGCAGTTCGTACGTTCAGAGCCAAGTATGAAGTAGTTGGGCGGAGTCCGATTTGATTCTTGAAATATATTTAATACTCATTTCTTATACTCCAATTTCTTGTCTCCGAAAGAACTGATAATTATCATGAGTTTTGACGAAGGTCACGTTAACCAGGCGGAATTTCCAGAGGCTGCAGCGGCTGTTCAAGAGGCCAGGGAAGAATACAGTGCAGGTATGTATAAGTCCCACTCATTTATTTTCCCGTAGGCCTATCTAAGTTACAATGTACATGCCTGTACATCTGGACAGTTGATTTAAAACATCAATTTGAAGAAGTTTACAAGCACTATTTCACATATATTCTAAAATATAAGTTGGACAATATTATAAAGGACAAATATTCGTGATGTTTACTAGAGTAAAGTACCCGGTAATCGGTCAGCTCCGGTTTTCGGCCAATTGGTTGGATACATGGTAAAATCACTTTAAAATACATCGCATAATAGCATAACACATATCCCACACATACCATACCATGCCAGTGTCACTGAAGAACCACATTTGCAATGAAAAATATATCCTAAAATATCACATTTTAGCGATGTAATCGGCGGTCCCGCTACCCAAATCTGAAAAATCGAGTTTCTTACGCGTGTATGTAAGAAATATGGGTACCATAAAATGAGCTTTATTTCAAGTATTTTTCATATATAGAGCCCGATTTTGTGCTGGTCGCAAGCTCAAAAGTATCTCATCGCATGTATTAAATCAATGCAGCCGCACACCGCGACGCACACACGATATGTCTGTCTAATTCAGATTCCAACTTCCGATCACCGCTGTGCCTGTATTCGGCCAGGCGAGCACCCGGGAGCTCCGGCGTGGGATACCTGCTCCGCCCGCTTGTGCTATACATCAGCGCAGAAACGCACGGCGCGCGCGAGCGCTTCCTATTGACTTTGTACATGCGGCCGTAAACTGAAACGCTCGGCCGATAACCGGCTCCAAAACAGTGAAAATTGAAATGAATATTGTCATGGCAATTCGTGATTTTTTTTTGGGATTCTTTTTGTGTTTAAATAATAATAATATTTGCTTCATGATTTGAACAAGAAATGATAATAAATAGGAAGTAAAGAGTCCAATAAATAGGATTTTGTCTTAAGTGGCCGAAAACCGGGTACTTTACTCTAATACTATTTGATGAATATTTTCTGTTAAATCCAAAGGCAAAAGTCAGAAAAGAGAACTTTATTTTAAAAAGTTTATTAATGTTTGTTCAGTGTCCTGACTCCCAGCCTAGCCTTAGGCTTAAGCCTAGGGCTAGGTAATAATATGAAATATGATATTGATATCACCTACCTGTAGCCTTAATTGGCACCCATACTCCTGCATAAAGAGGCAGGTAAAAAAACCTAAAATGAGTCTACAATTACCAATCACGCCTTCCTGCACCCAACGAACATTGCACACTGGCTTTGGAGTTCGCTATTTTTATGGACTCTATTTTTCTTCTCATACAAAGCACTTTGAAGTCGTACAATAATTTAACGAAAATATGACATTTTGATACCGGAGTTATAGCTTACCTTCGACGTGTTCCTGATGATAATTGGGTACGGTGTAATTTACATTACAAAAACGCTGACCTCTTATGAGAGTTTGTGATGGTTGAAAAAGTGCAAAGACATAAAAGAAAACTGTGTTTGAGTTGCCAATTTGATACTTATCGGTACTTTATGATAATAGCGGTTTGTATGAAAAGGCTCAAGTGCTAAATGCAGCGAACTCTGTGCGTGCGCCTTCATATACTAAACTAATAGCTATTATCGTAAAGTAATTGTAAAGTAAATTGTAAAGTAAATTGGTAACGCAAACATTTTTCCTATTAAAACAGTTGGATTATAGATAATTTCTTTTTCGTTATGAAATCTTTAACTTTAACATTTCAGAAATGCTAAACAGCATGTATCATTTTGTTCATGTTAACATTGAAACAAATGCAAATCAAAGAGAATTGAACATGACAAAAATGATATGTCTACAGAGAGACAATATGGCCCAGTGGCAGACTGGCAGTGCTGAGTGCTCATATAAATGAATCAAAGAAAATTTATCAGCAGAAGTCAAGAACAGACTAGAACATTCCAACCGATTCCTGAAGTGTGAGAAAATGCATCAAGCCCTAAGTTCCCTCCACCTCCATGTAGAAGACAGCAGTGAATATTAAAGAATAAGTTCAGCTGCAGAGCAATAATGATGAATCAAATATTCAGAGCTTTGACCACATGCTTTGTCTACAATGATTAAAATTTAGATGCTGTTTTTCAAATGTCAGTAGGATATTTACAATGTTTTCAATGTGAGCACCTTCAATGATAAAAAGTATTCCAACTCTTGTATGTATATGTTCATGTCTACATCAGACTTAAAAAGTCATAATCATTGGTATATTGTCTCTAACTTGTACAATTTATTTCTCAAGACCATCTGTTATGATTGTTACAATTATTAGCTTAGATCACCACATACATACAAACTTGTATGTACATGTACATGTGTACATGAATGAAGTGAATGGAGACTGCCTAATTCCTCAATAATAGGTAAACAGTCATGTGCTAGTCATTTATGGTCCATGAGGAATTTAACATGTCCAGTAATCAGTGTTTGTTCTTTTCTTTTCCACGATGACGTGGATGGCTCAGTGGTAGAGCAGCTGTCTCGTAACTAGGAGATTCTGGGTTCGAAACCAAGTTGATGTGCTAGTGCCCTTTGGTAAGGCATTAACCTCATTACTGTGTCCCTTGGAAAGGACTTAAAGCTGTTGGTCCCCCTGGTTGATAACTTACAACTAACTTTCAACCATAGACATGATTTCTTAGCAGTTGGGTAAAACAACCCATCAAATCAAACCAAAGATCTACCTACAATACAATCTGACATGAATAGTGGTAGTGACTGATGTACTCTGTATACTGTAGTGACTTCCTTGTCTTGCATTTTAAAATGAAACCAACTTCAGTTGTGAACCTGCTTTCTCCCATTGATAGTGTGTTATAATTGAACCTAGTTACTTTTAAGTAATTATCACCCATTCAAGTATTAATCACACTTTTTTTTTCATTTCTGAAGCTATTTTAGTTATCAATAAAGAGGGAATGGGTGTACAAATTGAATAATCACAAATGGTTAAATGCACTTCCTCAATTTCTTACTACATCCTGAACCTGCCATAATAATTGTGTAATATTCAATCTGCATTCAGCAATGTATGCAGAGTTGCAGACACAACTTGAATGAATGTTTATAACTCACTTTTAAAAGCAATTTTGCTATATCAGTATTCTATATAGCGCCCTCATGCTTTATATCTACACTATGCATGTACATCCTTTTTGTAGTGAATATCAGAATTCCAATTCCTAGCAATGTTGGTGTCTTCTGGACTATCGTAGTTAATGGAGGTTCAGAATTATTCAACATATATTAAGATTTAGTAGATGGAAAGTAAGGAACATTAGTTTGAATAGTGAAAGTAGGTTTACAAGGAAGTGTCTCTGCTCACCTACCTGTTGAACAATGCAGTATGACCATTAAACCTGTTTCACACGCTGCTCAAACAATGAACAATACTGTGATAGTGAAATGCACTTCAATGTTGAGCTGTCAGATGCATCTATGTTCACAATATATAGTACATGTACATGTATTGTAAACTGCAAAGTGACAGTGCATACTCATGCAATAAGCGTGTTAAGCTTTCATTTTTATTTTTGTTGTGGTGGGATCTTGCACTTTTCTAGTCTTGTCTGAAAAATTAGACTTCTTTGATAACATCAGCATAGAACTTGTCTTGTACCTGTAATTATTGTGCTTCACTGCCTTAATTTGTTGTGACAAAATCAGCAGACATTTTCATACTTTTAATTCAGATTGTTCAGATTATATTTAAATATGGTAAATAAAAAATGGATCATTAAATGCATGAATAAACAAGCTGCTATTTTAATTACTTTGGGTACAAGAATCTCATGGATTGCATTTAAAATGATTTCTGATCAAGATGTAAACATTTTGTCCTATTAATTCTACTCCTAAACTTTGTGGAAGTGTTATAGAACAAAGTTACTAAAAAATTAAGTTTTTCTACTACTAGAAGTTAATTAAAAATTGATTTTTCATTCTTAAATTAGAATAAATTTTAAGGGGGTAATAAAGATATTTCAGTTGATTTTTTTTTCTTCTATAAACATAACGAACGTTCTCCCCAGTCTTCTGCTAATTGTCATTATGTTTATTATCTCTGTGGCTAAAGCTTTCTTAGCAGTCAGGTAAAATAACCACCATCATCACCATCACCACCACAAATAGTTCTTGGGGAGGCCGAGGGGGGCTTTAAAGTCAAATTCATGCAAATGTATGTCAATCTAAAGTACTTTCCTTAGACTTTCAGTCTCATTTGAGCAATACCCAGTTCACACATGACTCAAACACCCGCAGAAGTTGAGCATTTGGATATTACTAACTACCCTCTTCCTTTATGAGTGCTGGCAAATCTACTGGCAGTGTTTAGTTCTTGAACGCAGACCTGTTTTTAAAATTCATATATTTCGATCCTTGCTGATGATGTGAATCACTGTAAGACCAAAAACTTTTGCAGAACATTCGCGATTGGGAGCTGATGGCCTATTTCATGGCACAAAACATTTGCAAATGGAAGCTGATGGCCTATTTCATGGCATGGAATGTTTGCGCATATATGACCGTGAACAAATATATTGATGCATATTTTTATATTTATTAAATCACTTTTTCGTGACAATATCAGGAACAATTTCTTTTGATGCCTCTAAAATACAATTTCATAAATTTGGATGTGCATTCGCGTTTGTTGGTCATCTTGTGCTAGATCTATACATAACAAACATGCATCAGTATTTCAGTACGAGTTGATTTTCTTGTACAGGGGACAATATTGTATTTGTAGGGCATTCAATGCATTGTATATTATTGTATATTGGTAATCCCCCAAAATGTCATGGCATTTAACTTTTGTGAATCTGGACTCCTTGAGAAATCCAAAAAGAGTTTAATGCACATCGAATTTTCTGGTTTTTCAGTAACCTGCACAAACATTTAAATGTCTGATATTACACCAGTCAGTTCTCTACGTCAGTGCAAGTGTTTATCAATTTAATTCACTCTCTGGCATCATACCAAGGAGCATGCACTCAGTTTATAGCACTTGTACTTTTATGGTCTGCACGCTTAGACTATCTTTGTCTATCAAATATCTGACTGTTTGATATTTAAAAACTACTCTCACAAGTCCCTTATTCAGTCTGTGTCAGGGGATGTGTGAGGGACTAGAGGACAAAGTTTGTCAAACTCAGTTCACAACTAGTTTGCTTTTATGTTGTGTGAAAAGAATTTTGTTTGAAAAAGAAAAGAACTCATCCTGTCGAGGTATCATCAGTTTGCGATACCAAATGGCTCCTAAGGCTAAGAAGTCTTTGAAGAAGAAGGGTAAGTTTGCAAAAGAGGAATACTTTTTGAAAAGTCTTATTTTAATTTTAATAAAATTGCATTTTTGAGGATCAACATTTGTAGGCTAGTTATCAATATACAGGCTAACAATTTTTCTAATGTATTCTTATCACCAGAGATTTTTAAAAATTTTATTTAAACAAATTTTTGATTAAATATTATGTTTGTCTAAATTTGATTTCAATTAGTTATTAATATATCTAAAAATGTCATTGCCCAAAGAAAATTGACTTTTAACATTAAACAAAAAAACAAAAAATGATGTATTTGTTTGGTATTCAAATGTATTTACTTATCTCTAAGGTTGGACTTAACAATTATGGAAAGCCGTTAGCTTCTTCGAAAATAGTATGTAAAAGTCATTTTAAAAGGCATAAAATGTTGATTCAAATCATTCTTATTTTCTATTATCATGGGAGATTTCATGTTCTTGATGTGGAATTTATGAAAAGTCTGAAATGCTTTTGACTATATTGTTTTCTAAGGCTACAAATGGCTCTTCATAATTTGTAAGTATAACTAAGAGTTAAGTTCAACTTAGAATCTTTGTGGAACACCCCCAGGTAAACTTAAACAGGCGAAATATACATTAAAACTAAGAAAATATCTTCTTGTTTGCTTTTTTTCCCTGTTATACATGTGTAGGAGTAGGAAATCAGTGGGTTGGACCATAACATGTATGTACATGTACATGTATGCTTTATTTCATCCTTGAATTAAACGAGGATCTCTCTATGTGACTATGACTACCGGTAATGGTAGTGGTACAAGGAAGCAACTTTATTCAATGGTCATATCAAGATATTCTTCATTTTTTATGAAATATGTTTGAAAATATTATGCCGTAAGGGACATAGAATCGCCCTCTTGGGATTTTTGGCTTTGATGCTTGTGGACAGGGCATAGCTTGCAGGCCTTAAATTTCAATATTTTTAGGGCAAGGCCACTTTTCTGTAGGGCACATTCCTATATTACAGCACAAAAAATAGGAAGAATTGGAAAGGGCACAAAAAATCTCCAAGGCCAATGAGAGGGGCACTGAGGCCAATCAAAGCGGCATCCACGGCCATGGCCTTGGTGGCCTTGGATTAATTTGAGCCCTGAGCTTGTCTCTGAAGGAGTGGTGCAGGGTCACCCCTTCCTGATCTACCGGTATTACTAGATTACACTATGTTGCCATTGATCACCACTCACACTCGCAGCTCTAGATCTTGATGCATTCCATTGTGTCAAGAACTCAAGATCTGATGGCATGCCATGGCATGGCTCACTTGACTAAACCAAGGAAAAGTTTGAATCTTGGTATCGATGTGAAATATTAAATGCAATCGGGTTCAAATAACTGTTCAGGGCTATTTGCTCTTTCTCCAGACCTCTGACATTATAGGGGGTGTGTTTGGCAATGTATTCCTTTCGAGGTGAAGGGTTCACCCTAGGTCCATGTCTACCTCCCCCTCTCTTCAGAAAAAAAGCATCAATCAATGTCTGTGCTTATTTATGACAGATTGGGTTTCTCAAAATAACTTGTTTTCTGATATTTGATAATTGATATCACTGCTTCAACATTGCTGATTGATAGTTGATATTCAAAGAAATATGAAAGAGAGAACACTGCATCAGTTCAATATTCTAAATGGGGGAAAGTGTTAAATATGGCTTCTATATATGCCAGATATGTTTCATGTTTTGTTTGTGTCCCACTTTTAAATCATATGTACATGTAGATAGTAATTGATGCATGTTCTAATTGGGGGAAAAAGGACAATGTAAATGCCTCATGTAAAGACAAGTTTGATGTTGCATGATCTGTTTATGACCCACTTTTCTACAATGCCTATTGTTCATGAATTACAGTTACCAACTTAATTATTCATACCCCTTGTAAATTTGATTTGTTGTTGTTGGTGCTTTGCGTAATTAAAAAATGGAAGGTGGACTGGTTGAATTAGGGCCTTTGTTGAATATTTTAGATGTGAGCTTTAATAGGTCATGTTCTCGAGAACATAAATCGGGACAAATCAATTTTCACATACTTAAGAAATTACAAAACTTGTAGGGTATGAATAATTTAGTTGTTAACTTTGTATTGTAAAAAGTATTCCAAAGAATACTTCAGACATTGTGTGCAAATGATTCATTGTGAAATACATTGTTATACCATCTTGCTTGAAAACTGTACATCTAATTTGAGATTTTCCATCTAAACAAAATTATGTTACATTGTATGAACACAGAAATGCATTGTTTTCTCAAACAATGATCTGATTAAAATCTATAAAATGCAAAATTCGTTACATCTGTCCTTGAAGCCAACAAGGAAATGAAATTTTGTTTTTCAGACCTCAAAAGAAGCCAATAATTCATTTGCTACTACTAGCAGCTTGCCAAAGTTGTATAATATTAGGCCATTAGAATAACAGAGTCCCTGGGAGTATCACATGTACCTGCAACTTTTTGGCGAAAGCAGTGACATACTTGCATGTATGTATGTACACAGCTGTAGGTATGATGCACAGTAGCTAAAGCTAATTATTTCCAAAGCTCTTTGGAAGTGCATAGGGACGTTTTAATGTGATATGCACTATACAAGAACAGAATGTTATTATCATTGTGAGTCTAACTCTTGTCTCTTGAACAGATGTAATTTTTTTGTGCATGTGCAGTGGATAAATTGGTTCCTGATATTGACATTATGAGAACTTATTTTGTTTAAAAAAGTTATTTGGTATTTACTTTAGACTATGGAATAAGAATTTTCTTTTTCTTTCTCTCTATCTCTCTCAAAAAAGGGGAAAAGATATAAACCTCCACCAAACAAACGATGATTCAAACAAGTACACAAGAGAACAAAAACAGTTGAGACACAACTATGCTTTCACTTTTTCAGGATTACACTTTTTGCCAGTTTATTTCCTTCCTGCAGAAACAATAAGTAGAAATTTACAAAGAAAGACAAATTAATTGTTTGACTTTTTATAGGCCTATATTCCTTCAAGTCAGTACATACAATAGGGCATATATTTATAAGTACTGTACCGACACATAGCATGTATTTTATTTATAAATAACAATTATGATCACCCTTTTTGAGTTACTTAATGGTTTCTTGTATAGAAGAAAATATTTTCTGAACAAATTTTATTTTACAGATACATACCTTGTCATCAATATCATGAACAAACGGATCTAAACATTGATAGACATGTATATGACGGATTTGTCAGTTCATAAAAACGCCTGTGCCATTAAAAAAAAGCATACGGTACCTGTACATGTAATGTACATGTAGGTTACTAAAAGGCCAAACTGTACCCTATTTGGAAATGTTCTGCCCTGTCGTAACCACTGACCCATTTTTTTTCTTCATGTCCTTTGCTACTACCCCTGTCCCCCTTCTCCCCAAGATTGGTTCCTATAGTCAATTACTACTTAATAATTAACCCCTTCCTACGAACATCTTGTGACATGTGATCCAGATCCAAGCCAAACAAGCCCTAGTCCTTAGAGGGAGAGCTGACTTTAATCTTTCAAGTTTTAGTGGCCCTTACTTAAGATAGGTTTACACGAGAGTTTGTTAACTTTAAGTTTAATCCATAGTTTTAAACTTTGAAGTTATCTTGTAGTTAGGGACTCTGATGCTCTAGTCTCATTACAAAACTTTAAGATTACTTGAAGTTACAAACCATGAGCACCCTTAAGGGTAGCTCAGATATCTACGAGCAGCAGGGGGTCCTCACTCGAAGTTGTGTGCTGTGTGAACGCAATTAATTTTGAGGTAACCCTAGCATATACTTAGAAATGACTACCTGGCTTGTAGTTGAATAATTTGAACATTTGTGGTCCTCTGTGAACCCTTGTCATGGTTAGTGGATCGTTGTTTAAAATTCAAAGATATTGCAACTTTATGTTTAAAAATGCAACAGTCCCAAGTGAACATAGTTTTAGATGGTTTAGTATTGACATTGCATTATCCCTACATCCATTCGGCTTAATGTGGTGTCAGAAATGGAAAGTAAACAATCAGGACTTTGCGACCGAGTAGGTGACAATCCTGAGACAGTAGTTGTGCTATCGTAAGATTACAGTATGGTGATCTGACTTTTTCTCAGATAATAATTGCTGTCGGCTTTATTTCCTTAAAGGGGAAGTCCACCCTGAAATTAAGTTAGTTTTAATAGGAGTAGAAAAATGAGAGAAACAAGTCAGTGAAAGTTTGAGCAAATTCCGATTAAAAATAAGGAAGTTACGATTTTTGAAGTTGTGATCAATCAAACACAAATTGGCAACTCTATGACGTATCATGCGAGCTCAACTTCCATTTGCTCAGTACTAAAAAAATCTAAAATTTTCATTTTCCCTCAAGAAAAATTTCAACCATACATGCACCCTAAATATAATAATTGCAAATATGTTTCTATACTCCCCCTGCAAGGAACAAATATATATTCCGTCATCAATAACGAAGAAAACATGATTTTATGGAATATTATGCACAAAGCAAATGAAGGAGAGCTCGTATAATAAGTCACAGAGTTGCCAATTTGTATTTGATTGATCACAACTTCAATAATTCATAACTTTCTTATTTTCATTCAGAATTTGCTCAAACTTTCACTCACCTGATTTTCTTATTATTCTGCCTCTATCGAAACAAACTTATTTTGGGGGTGGACTTTCCCTTTAAAGATATAGGATAAGGGTTATATTAGGAGTAGGAATTTGGGTCGCAATTGAATTTTATGTTAGGGTTAGAGTTAGGTATATTTATTGGTGAAGGGTGAAAGGTAGGAATTTGGTTGGTGGAGGTAATAAACAGCTGTTGTCGCTGGAGAATATTTTGTACAGCTTGCTGTATTGGCTTGTGCAGGGGCTGAAGAGTTATTGGCTGTAGATATTGGCTGTATATATTGGCTGTATATATTTGCACTTGATGTAGCTTGGCCTTCAGGCTTCAGAAGGATCTCCTTCCACTTTCAGTGAAAATATATTGACTTGAGTCTGGTCTAACATTCGCTGTGTACACTCTCACCTTCAGAGGCAGGAAGGTACAGGGTGTAGGGGAAACAGTCTACATATTTCAGACTCGCATTTCCAGCATACTCTATGAAGAAAAATGCATCTGTTGACCAACTAGTATGACACGATCTTTGCATTATCATGTAAACAATGATGATGTGTACTGTTACAAATCATGCAATGAAACTCGTGCAAATTTGCCACCAGTGCCAATTGCCACCCGCACCTAAACATAAACATGATCAAATGATTTGATTGTACTTTACATGACATCATTTAACTCTTGTCTAGATTGTGAACTTTGTCTCACAGCGGTCACTTCCTGCAATTGATAATCTTCTGTCTTGTTCGTAATTACTATGAACTCTGTGGGAAAATTGCTTAACGATAGTATTGTTCTACATAATTGTGTATAAATTGCATTTTAAAAGTAGACGCTGTTCGCTGTATGAACATTATCTATTCATGATAATTCCATTCTGAGTTGAAGGTTGGATGTACATGTAATAAAATCAGCAGTTATAATTGTTTTCATTGCCCATTTTTTCGTACATTTGCACAATCTAAATTTCTGAATCATTTGTACTTTAAAGTGTTCACATACAATTATATTTGTCCATGAAACATTGGACATAACAAATACAGTGTGTAAATAGGAGTTGCAATACTTTCATGTACTTTTTATTCTGTGAAAATAACCTTCTTTTTATAAACTATGGTTTAATTATGAAATTATCTGTTCTTAAAAGGAACATGAACATTCTACATGTATATCTCTTTGGAACTTATGGGTATCATAGGACATACATGTAATTGTAATATTATAATAGATACAGTTGAATGATACATTTTTTAACTGTAAATAGCAATAGATTCCTACCACTTCCCACTTTCCCATTTTATTTGAATATTTTTCTACATTTCAGACACTGGAATTTGGAAGCAATTGATCGATTTGATGTTGTTATGCATCTCCTAAGAAAAAAAGATTGTTTCATCAAAAGGACTATTAAATTCACTATTTAATTGGTAGTTTTCTCGACTGGATTAAAAAAAAACACTTTATTATCAGTATGCAGTGTTATTTCAATATTTCAACAATTTCAATTTAATTTTAGTGACGTTACTCCTTAATTTACTATGATTCTAAGAGCTCTTGGGCATAAATATATTTTTTTTAAAGGATAAATGCATGTATCATGATGTTTTATGAAAAAGAATATCACTGAAATACCTTAGTTTATATAAATTAAATGTTCTGTTTTGTTTTATTTTTCTCTCAGATTCTGACTCATTTGGAGAGAAGGATCCTTTCAAGCTCAAGAAGGAGAAGAAGGATGCTGAGAAGAAGAAGAAAGAGAAAGGCTACAAGACATTTGAGGCGGCTGAGAGCTTCTCAGAAGAAGATGATGAAAGGTAAAACAAAGAAGCACAACAACAACAACATTAATTTGTCTTCTTAGGGTGATTCTGTGCAATCTGTCCCACACATCATGTCCCTTTTCCTTTTTATTTCATGTTAAGATGAAAAATATCTTGATTTGACCTTTTGATAATGTTAATGAACCTATAAAGAACCAAAAGTTGATGACCACATCAAGAGATTTTCATATCTGCTTGAAATAAGTGGATAAATATATGTCGTATGGAACGTATTGCACAGAATCACCTCTCAGTAGAGTTTTAGTTAACAAGATTAATATAAAATATTATTATTGTATCATGTGATCATTGCCTAATGTTTTCTCATACTTCCATTACCTGCACATGATATTGCCTGTTTTTGGAATGTTAATACAATGCTATTTAAGGGTCTTCACACTTTTCATTTCCTTTTTCTTTATTAAGTATATATCTCCTTCTCTACTTCCTGTTTGGATAAACTCACATAGTTCAAGCTTATATCTTTTATTGTAATTGTATGCTCTTTCGCTTATAGTCCAAGGAAAGCAAAACCAAAAGAAAAACATTGTGATATATTTTATTTTTTTAATGGAGAATGTTATGAACTTTTTTCATTTCAGAGGGAAAGGAAAGAAGAGAGGCAGTCTGTTCAGAAATCGCTTTGCTCCTTCTGCAAAAACCAAACCAAAGGATAAAGTCAAGGGAGATGAGAAAGATGGAAAGACAGAAGAGCGAAGACCCAGCAAGGATAAAGCAAAGGAGGATAAGAAGATGAAGAGTAGTGGTGAAGAGAAGAAGATGAAAGCAAGCGCAGAGGAGAAGAAGGTCAAAGGAAGCAGTGAGGAGAAGAAGAGGAGTAAAAGCAAAGAGAGGGAAAAGCTCAAGAAGAAAGCTCACACCATTGATGTGCCCTATGTGAAACCAGGTATGGATTCTGAAGCTGTGTTCACACATAATGTGGTAAACTGTCTCAAAAATCTGCCTTATTATGACAGGCTAATAAGCTAGTACAGTTAGTGGTTCCTTTGTCGGTCGTGAGTACTGGTAGCTAATATTTCTTTCCCCTTACCGGGGTACTTGCCATCACATATGAAATGTTTTTTAATTTTTGAGGCAGTTTATGATGTCATGTGAGAACAAGGGTTTACAAAATCTAGTTCCCCATATAAGCTCTTTATTCAATAGTGGATCAGCTTCCCACTATCTCCATGGCAGGTAGAGATATAGATTAATTTAAAGCAATGAAATGTAGGAACTTCCCATTTGGCAGACTCAGCTTTCCTTTTTGTTTGAGACTATCTCGTCAATACCATAGTCAGGTTAAAAATGTTACAAGTTTAAAGCAAGCCTGCCTATAACTTGATTCTTTTGGAATCTTTGTCAATACAAAGCTACGATTTCCTACAGGACTGTAAGTCTGTATGTGATTTTCTATTCATGAACACAAAACTACTTGGGATATACCTCATCTATAAAGGATCCAAATTAGATGGATGGTTATAAGATTAATTTTAAGTTAAACCCTCAAACATATGAATCACTGAAACACATGAGCTTTCATGATGAAGACAAATTTGTTGCTCAGTAAGGTCAGAAGCTTACTTCAAAACTTGAATGTGTTTCATCAGACATCACAACCACAAGATGTAAACCAAAACTAACCTATTATTGGCCCAGAAAAGTCCTTTCAATTTTCTGAATACTGCTCACCTTTTTGTTAATGACCTACAAAGAAAAATGAGAAAGGGGGAACAAAATTTATCTTGGTGCCTCTGAAGAGTAATTGGGCATTTTTTTTGTACTTGATGGAAATTGAATTATTTATAGATAAGTGGCATGTCTTATTCAGCCAGGCTGTCAAAATTTGTGTTGGTAGAGAGAGCTACAGCTGCTCTATTGTACTTCCCTCGATATGGAATGGTAATTGGCTTATTTCCTTGTGGACCGCAGCTTTTATCAAGTCTTGCTTTTGTTCCTGTCACACACTTCATGACCAGAAACACTTAGCTTGCAAGTCTCATTCACCCCCTGCCCCCCCCCCCTTTAAAAAAAAAGTGGCGAAAGTCTGAAAGGTATTCGAGGTAGTGTCAACAGTTTGAGAAAGACAGAAGAAAATGAAAATCTAATATCCAATGAGAACTGCCAGACATTTTCAATAAAAGTGAGGAGGAGGGATGAGGGGACTGCTTCCAAATTATCTTACAAGAAAGAAAAAAAATTCCCAGAGCATACTAGTTTCCCAGATTTGAAAGATAAAGTTGAGTTTTGTAAATATATAGAAAATACATTCTCACTTAATCAAACAACACTTACATGTTCAAGATTACAAATAAATGATATATGCCAAACAATTATGGTGGAAAATGTATAGTGGCGAGTAATGAACATAGAAAGATAAGGAAATCCGGGTACCGGTAAGTAGACCTGACACCATGTGCTTATTCAAACGGGAGTTGTGGTTTTTATCGAAGATGATGCCCAGTAAATTTGTGTGCGTTTGTTTTTATTTCACTGGTTCAGATAACCAATCTACTGCAGGATAAACAATCATGAATAAATCATAGCAATTTTCTCTCAAAAAAAAATTCCCATACCAGAGCTCAGGATTAGCTTTAAGAATTGCTGACAAGGGTGACAAAAGTATAACATATACACTGTACATGTACAATTTACAAATTTGCTGACTATGTAGACATCCTCCTCCTTCAGCCAAGTACATGTACATTCATAGCTAGGAGTAGGATGGCATGATTAATACACATCTAGTTTTTTAGTCATGGGTTATTACTGGCAAATCATAGAGTGGTGATTACTGCCTTGATATGGATGGTTATTTGAAAATGAAATAAGTTAATTATGAGGTTAATTGCCATAAAACAGGAAATCCAAGGATGTTATATGTTGTAAAAAAATTGCACATTATCCTGCAATGAATCTTAGTGAGGTTATTCAGCCATCGATGGAGATCAAAATATTGTCAAAAGTAAAGAAAAAAAAATGAAAACTACAACAAATATCGAATAATTACAAAAATGGATGATCTTTTATTAATCAGATCATAGATAAGGTAACTGAGGCATGAATTTAATTATTCTGTTAACAGTTATGTTTGCAATATTTAGGTCACATACTGAATTGACTTTTTCTATGTACAATCAACTACATGCACATGGTTGTTCTCATTTGAGAGATATTAATACAGGGGAGCTGCAGGGGTGTGACGGATGGGATTAAACAATGGCTTATCTTAATCTTGACCCTCCCATGCTCCCCTACATAGATATCATATTGCACATTATATTTGTGCCTATGATTCAAAGAATGTGTACAAATATACATGTCTGTAATAGTTACTGTCTCATCGTATCATTGCCAAGTTAAGTGATCTTCCTTGGATCTGTTTACACTATCTGTTTTCAATCCAGCCAAATATACATTCACAGTCTGATGCAGGAAGAATGCGGAATGTACCTATCCTTTTAAAAGGGTATATCCATTATGGTTCATCACAGCAGACTTGCTACGTACAGCTATTGCAATGTTGAACTATATTAATTCCTGAATTAATTTGTTTTTGCCAATGTGAGTTACATGTGGGGTTATTTCTTGCATCTATGGTTAAATTGAAGAAACAAAAATGTTAGTAATTTGTCATTTTACATGAGGAATAATACTGCACATAAATGTGAAAATTGGCAGCTTTAATTTAGATGCATTCTGAAAGTAATGTTTGATGTAGTGAATTTATCTTAGGTACACTGTAATATGTTACATTAAAAGCAATTGAGCTTTTAGGAGAAGGAAAGAGAAAGGTAATAATTTATTTCAAAATGCTCATTGAAATAACAAAGATTTATGCTTCTTCAACAATACTACAGTCTATAGCTAGTCCAAATCTAGTTTTTCATTGATCTATATGATTCAATTTGCAGAGAGTACATATATGCCAAATTCCATGTGAATAATTTGCCCTTCCCTCATTTAGAGTTTTGTACATTCCCTGTCATGATTTCCTTTGTAAGAACAATCCCCAATTGTTTCCAACCCATAATCAGTCATTTCCATTATAATTAGGGTAATCTGTAACATTTGCTACAAATTGATTGAATTGAATTGGTCCCTTGATTTAATCTTTGGTTGAATTGAGCGTACTTTTGTTTTACAATCATTTTTTTTCTTCATTTTTTCTTTTTTCTTTCAGAGCCAATATTTGGGATACTTTTGGAAGATGCTGTTGCCAAATCTAAGCTGTATGATAACATTGAGCTACCTAAGATTGTCCGAGAGTGCATTGACTACGTGGAAGAATTTGGTAAGGAATTTTCGTCATACTGGACTAATCCATTAGGAAGGATAATGATGATTCACAGTTTTTGTCGATTCTGAAAATATCTTGATATACTATTGACTAATGGGTCTCTCTGGTATCAGCAACATTGTTAAATGGTCATATCTAAATACTTTTCTTTTTTTTGTATTTTTTGTTGAAAGAAACAAATTGGAAAAATATGTAAGTCGTTTAGGACATTGGAAAGAAGCACCCGTTGTTTAGGTCATTTCCCCCCTTTTTTAAGGTTTTTTTAAACCTGAGTACCCAAATGATTTGTCATTAACGGGTATAATTAGATGATAGTTTTGTCGAAAGAATTCATTTACGAAACTAATTAAGTTGAATTCTCATCCAACTCACGGATACTTTACTCTATCAGTATTATGGTCTGGTGGTTTTTGATGAAAATAGCTTTGGTTTACTTCCCAACCACAAATATTTACCATAAGCATGGTCTATGAAGCCACTAATGTATTGTGACACCCCCTTCCCGACCACCTAAATCATGATCACTTTTTAAAAATTGGATTCATTTTTTTTTAAAATGAATATTTAACACTTGATATTTTCCCTCCTCATTGCCAGACAAGTGTTCCATATGGTTACACCTATCACCGTAGGTGAAGTGTGTCATACCTGAAAATAGAAATTCACCTTTAATGAAATATTAGTCACAAGAACAAAAGACACCTATTGTTAATAAACTATGGCATATCTGGGGGTACCTCAATCGGGAAGTTAACAACTGTTTGCCTGTTTGTATTATGTTAGAGAACAGTTGCCCTAGAATCTTGGTTCCCTGATGTTCCCACCTCTTTTTTCCTGAAAAAAATATCTGTTCACCTTTTAGTTTCGGGGGGGGGGGGGGGGGATTCTTGATTTCATGCTTTTCTGTTGGATTACGCATTCCCAAAGTGATATTCAAAGTAATGGCAAAATATGGTTTGAACCAGAAAGGTAAAAGAAGAGAGAAATATAGGACAGGCAATACTGGTTGGCATGATAAACCAAGATGTATATGATTTGAGAAAACAAATCAAATCAAATATGTAGACTTGTAGAGTATATTAACAGTGCCCTGAATATTCAGACATGCATGCATTTATGAACATGGTGCTGTATACTGTAGTACACGAACATAAAATAAACAGAAATGCGTACATACATATAAATATGCGCGATTGGTTTATATTTATAATTGTGGATTAAAAGTATTTGTCACCAAAATAAACAGCGTTTTTACACTAATATTAGTAGGAAGGATTGCACCCAGCTGGCAGCTTCAAAAAGTAGGCAGGGCTGTTTTATAGGGATTAAATTCAGTACCCAGGGCACGCGAGATTAATGTAATTAAGCAGTTGAGTCTCATTCTGATCGTGGGCATGGATCCTGTATTTGTAATCAGACTGTATCAGGGGGTTCATCAGTTATCTTCCCCACAGATGTGTTGCGCAGATTCAGTAAAATTGTAAGATTGCAGTAAGCCAAGTTTTTTAGAAGAAAAAAAATGAAATGGTCATTGAACTACTTACTATACAGTAAAATGAAGATAGTGAATAGATCTGAATGACCAGTCAAAGAGCAAGGATTATTTAATGCCTTACCAAAAGACCTTAGCACATCGATTTTGTTTTGAACCCGGGACCTCCTGGTTACAAGACCACAGCTCTACCACAGAGCCATCATGCCTTTATGCCTCGATTTGCAATCATAAATATCTTGATAATCAGACAGGCGATCGGCTTGTAAAAAGGTTTATAATTATGAATGCAGCAGGATTTCGTTTCAGAACCTGAGGCAATGTTACCGAGTCACTTTAAAGCTAAACTTGAGTTCTGGTAAAAAAAGAAAATGAATTCTCACAGAATCTAACGAAACTTACACTGAATGTTCAAGATTACAAATAAATGTCATGTGCCGAACAATTTTGGAAGAAAATGTATACTGGCTGAGTAATGAGCATAGAAAGATAAGGAAATCAGGGTAGTACTAGCCCCGACACCATGTGTGTTGTCCCATATACATCTATCTGTGTAAGTGATTGTTACTTTACCAAGACACTGCCAAATTTATGATGATTTTGATGACTCTAGAACCTTGCATTATACACCATTACTTACATGCTATATGATCAACTTTTCTGATCCATTCCACACCTTTTCTTTCACAATGCAATCGCATTACCAGTACTCAAGTTTATCTTAAGGCTAAATATCAACAGATGTCCTGATGACAAAATGCCAAGATGACCATGTGCAGCCCCCTGTGGGTTATTTCTTGTACATCATAACCCAATGACTGATCACAATATATAGAATGAAAGAATGATCTGCCCTTCCTTTAAATCTAAAAAGTTGCATGAATAGCAAAATCATTCAATTTTGGGCACTTTTATTCTAATCTCTTGACATAGAATTTTATGCAGAAATTGTATTTTCATGCATCATTATCGCAAGTTGACATCATTTAACTTCAAGTTCTACTGTTAAAATATTAAGGTTCTGGTTTACAGTTTTGGGTCTTTATATTCCAAAAATATTTCAACAAATGACATAGATAATCAGAAACAGATTTCAATCTCTGATATTTCAAGAGATATTTTAACTACCTATTGACCTAGCTATACAGGTGTGAACCAAGATGAAACCATTGACAAACTCATCAGAATGAAATCCATAACCTTGTCTGACACAAGGAAGTAACCAGCCAATAAATGATAATCAACACAATATGGACAGACAAAGAGAATGAATGACAGGGAAGAGGGAAGGATGTGTGGTGATAATGGAACAGAAAGCAGGATAGAGAATGGAAAGCAGAGGGGAAGAGTGAGAAAGAGTAAGAGGGGGAGAGAGCAATAGAGGGGGAGGGGTGGGAGAGAGGGAGAGCAGGGGGAGGGAAGGAGGGAGAGAGGAAGGAGGAGAAAAAGAGGATGGGAGTGAGAGAGAGAGAGAGAGAGACGTACTGACAGAGACGGGAGAGGTGGGGGAGACGAGCATATCCGTTGTACCTAAGATTCTACAAATCAATGCTTTCTATATCTAATTTACTTGTGTCTCTTAGAAAAAGGGTAAGCAAGTATAGGTATCGGGGGGGGGGGGGGGGGGGGGTAAAGTTGATGGATAGTCTAATCACCTGTTCCTTTGAAATTTCCAAGATTTCCTGTTCATCCCAAATGCTTGTAGAATTTAAAGGGGAATTCCAAATATAGCATAGACTGGGACATGGCAATTTCAATCAGGTAAACTTTGTTGACTCAAATGTTGAATATTCACAAAAAGACAACTAAATGATTACTAGATGCAAAGGAATGAACTTGGGCCTATATCCTTAAATGAACAAGGTAAATGTAATGTTTTGTGTTGTATACATCATCCACACATGCAATGATTAGAAAAATAATGTAATTATTCTTACATTCATTATATCATTCTCCTTAAATCAAACCAATAATTTTACTCAGAAAGGCATGATCTGGACTTGATTTAAATAATGAGGTGTCGTGATCGAGTGGATACGTCGCCGGACTGTCGATCACAAGGTCCGCGGTTCGAGTCCCGCTGCGGCACTAATGTCCTTTGGCAAGATATTAATCTACATTTGCCACACTCAACCCAGGTGATGTAAATTGGTACCTGGCAGGAATTAATTCCTTGAAATGCTGGAGCGCTGTATACACTATGAACATGACTGACAAAGAAAGCGGACAAAATATACAGTTCCTCAGGTAGACAAAGGAACATCCCTTCACTGCTATTATGTAAAAAGGTGAATATGCATGTGACACCTGTTCTACACATTTTTACATAATAGCAGTGAAGGGATGTTCCTTTGTCTATCCGAGGAACTGTATATTTTGTCCGCTTTCTTTGTCAGTCATGTTCATAGTGATAAATGGCAGCTAGGCTAAAGTCGGGATAATAATAAATGCGCCTCAGAATACACTTATCTAGATAGACGGCGCTATAGAAATACCTATTCTTATTATTATTATATACATGTATATGAATTGAATTTGATATATATATAAATGTATATATTTTCAAACTTAGATAATTGATTTCATCTGTTCTCTGTGACTGTGCTAGAACTACTATGTCTTGGGGCTACTCTTTAACAAATCATAGAAGAAAAAAAATATAGTAATGCAGAACTTTTCCAAGACCCTACCATCTTTTACGCCCCCCCCCCTCTTTCTCTCTGTTTCTGTGTCCGTCTGTGTGTCACTCTTTTTTTCTTCTCCTCTCTTCTCTCACGTTTCCTTTTATTCCCCCTCTTCTTTCCCCTTTTCTCTTGTTTACATTTATTCTCACTGCCCCCCTCCCTCCCTCTTCCTCCCTCCCTTCCTCCCTCCATCCCTCTCTCCCTCCCTCCCTCCCTCCCTCGCTCCCTCCCTCCCTCCCTCCCTCCCTCCCTCCCTCCCTCCCTCCTTCCCTACATTTTCCCCTCTCTTTTTGTCCTTGTCCTCTCTCTGCCTCATCCTCCTCTCTCTCTCTGCCTCCTTCGCATCTATCCCCTTCTCTCTCTCCTCTCTCCTCCCCTCTTCTTTTCTCACTCCCTCTCTCACACTATCTCATTGCTTCTTTCCTTCAGTGATATGGTCCGACTTAATTAAACTCAGATCTGTGGCAAATTTCCAGATCCGAAGCTGTACTTTATATGTCTGACTCAGCAGCATACGACCCGAGGCTGGGATTTTAGTGTTTCCTACAAGTTACACATGTTTCACTGAGGTCAATTATTACTCAAAATGAATTCAAGGTTAAATTGGGGATGTTATTGATAATATTTGTTTGGAATCCAACAGCTTATTAATACTTCATTTTGTTTAGTTTTTTTTATAATTATGATAAGTAAACAGAACTGAATAAAAACATGGCCAGAGTATTCAATATGTATTTTTTTTTTAAATTCACGGTCTTCAGTAGATGTGAGGAATTTAAATATTATTTTTGAGAATTTACTTCATTTTGTATTGTTTTACTTGAATAGTGCTTTAAATGATGGTTATGAAAGTTTTTACACTTCAACATTATTTCCCAATACCATTGTATGATTTCAATTTCTCTTAATAAAAAAATTCAATTAAAAGTTTCAATTTCAGTTTTATAGAAGAACCATCTGTGAGTTCTATTCATTTCTGAAAAATAGATTTTAGTGCAACCTTAAGATGTTTAAAAATGACTGTCTTTTGGGCATGGATATCCTCAAACATTTGAAAATCACAATTCAATGATAATCAACATCATACATGTACATGTTAATATGGAGATAATGTGCTTTTCCTTACAGCACCTGTTTTACTCAAGAAAAATGGTGGCAGTCAGAATTTGAAGCGAAGCAAATTATCTATCTTCCTATAAGAAATGCCTGAGGTTCCAAATGATTAACAACTTCCTTTGCAATTGTACAGACTTGTCAGCTGCTGTGTTATGTCAGTTGTTGGTAGTGCAGTAGATATTGGATTTAAAGTTGTATTTTTTCTCCGGAGCCCAAATATTTTGATAAAGATATCTAGACCAAGAATGACGTGTGAGACAAGTATAAGGTGATGAGGGAATGAGAGTATAGTGATGGGAAATGGGAAGGGAGTATCAGTATATGAGTGAAAGAAAAATATTGCAGCTGATACTGCAATTCCAGTCACATCACAAAACTGAGTGGTTATCAACAAAACCTTTGGCATTTAGGCTTATGTAATACTGTAATTTGAAAATTTTACTTATGAATATCATAGTTTTAATTAAAATGTACATTGTTTATTTGATGAAGTTCCTCAACTGAAAGGTTTTTAGTAATGAGCTTTAGATCTTCCAGTCACACCAATCCATATTCATAACACTATCATTTTATAATAACACAGAAGGTAGTTTGTGATTATTACAATCAACATTGCTAGGCCTTGCGACAATTAATTTCCTGTAGCACACCATCATTGTCCATGTGTGGAAGATTTGGCAAGCCAAGCATTTTGTAATTAACGAGGACATCTTCTTTGTATTAACTATGGTTTATTACTACCCACGTCATGTACATGTAGGTCATAAAAGTAATGGGGCCAATATGAAAAGTAATTAAGCTGCCAGATTATCACTCTATTATTATTTAATGGAATAAATATGCACACATATTGGAGAAGTTGTTCCATATTGAATCTGAACCAATCCCTCTTGGGAGGTGTAAGTAGGTTTTTTTATATTTATTTGTCATACAGTCAGGGCAATTTGTATTGTATAGCTTTATATTCATTTCAGGCATTGAGTATACTTTAATATTTAGATTCATTGCCATATGTTTTGGAGGCTGAAAAGTTCACAGTTTTTTAAAATTCAAAATAGGTGTTGACTAACTTTTTTGCAAGCTAATGATTTGAAGGCCTTGTAGGAAGTGAGAAATAAGAAACAAACTGACCTAGTAATCTGAGCATCTCAAATTGAGCTGTCCAGTTGGGGCTCACTCTCGTAATTCAAGCCGTAGGCCTATATGGGCTTCCGCTTGCATGCTGTATTGATGAAATATGATGAAGTCATTGAAAAGTGAGATCCTAAATAGGGATGTTTGTCAGACATGAAAAGTATAAGAATTGTGACCTGGATAAAAATGTCAATTATGGACATATTTTAATGCATATAAACTTTTTGTTAAATTTAACAGGGCCCTTTGATCAATTCATGATGAATTCCAAACACTTCAAAAAGCTTTAAATAACTGTAATAAAAAGTAACCTTAATCTAGTCATCAGGTAATAATTAGGGGACAAAGTAGGAACTTCAGGTCAACCATTTAATATTTCTCTAGGAAAATGAAGCTAAAATTGATATTATATAAGCAGAAAGTGACTAAATTGTTAATAAAAGCCAATATTACCAGAAGAGACTTTTGCAAATTGCAAAGAGTCTGGGATGTGATTCATCTTCATCTATAGTGTACAGATGTATAGAAAATATTTACAGCATAAATCTCTTGCAAAATCTTTTAATTTTACAAGTCAAAGCATCTGATTTTTTCCTTCATCTTTTTAAGGGACTCTTTCAGTCTATGATGATATCATCTTCCCTCTGTCTGTCTGTCTGTCTGTCTATCTGTCTGTCTTAGCTGCATTACAACGCAGATGAATTGCAGCCATGAGCCCAATAATGCATGGCTTTAGAGGATCAGAGACTTTGTTTCCAAGGAATTATTGGAGATATCTCTTGCATCCTTGGCTTTCAGGATGACATGAAATAGCAAAAATGAAATAAATGCTGACTGTAAATTCAATATAATCTCAAATGATTTTAGTAACAATGAAGATTTTCATATCAAAACAAAATCATAAATTTTTTATTTTCTTAAGTTTATTTCACCTTAATGGGAAAAAAATGCAAGATGTGTAGGCTTCAATTTTTGGGAATCACCAATTATTATGAATTATGTTATCTAGTATTTGAAGGATCATGTTCAAATGTTTCATACATTTCAATTGTTTTCTTTCTTGCACAGGACTCACAACAGCAGGTATCTACCGTCTGTCTGGGGTGAAATCCAAGGTGGAGGCTTTGAAGGCACAATACAACAACAACAACGAGAAGGTCAATCTACAGGATTGTGATCCCACCATCATTACCAGCCTCTTTAAACTGTACCTCAGAGAACTGCCGGAGACAATCTTGACCTCCAGACTTACTCCAGTATTTGAACACGCTGCAGGTAGGTAGGAAGTGATGGGGGAAGAAATTGGATATTATGGAGATTAGAAGTGTCTGGATAAAGTGGATTGTCATCATTACTCTCTAAAGTTGTTGATTTCCAACTTTTCATTAAGTGTATAGTACATGTACCTTTTCATACATTGTAAATTATATTTTAGACAAATCATGTATATTATATACTGCAATAATGCATATAAAGAGTCCAGACCTCTGATTGGTCAAAAATGCAGACATGAAATTCGCTACTGACTTCTGGGCAGTATATGAAACAAATATTGACTGCTTATTTTTCGGATCACGCTTAGTAAATATTTGTATAATATGCAGCATACAACTTTACATGTCTAGATGCAAGAATTTTGAGAGATCGGGAAGATTCGAAATTTTAAAAAATATAAAAGAAAATATAAGAATATATCACGATTGAAGAAGGGGAAAAAAAAACTATTTAAGTAGGGTAATCCGTAGATTTGTGGTTATTTCCTTAGGGTCAGTGTGTATTTTGGTTGAAGGGCTGGTTGATTTTTAGGTGGAGATCTGGTTATAGTCAGGATAGAATGGATTAGTTGCACCCAAATTCCCAGTTTGAATTTCAATCCAAGTTTTCCCCTTCTGTAAGCTTGAATTAGACAAAGTAGTTAAAGAGTAAGTCACCCTGATATTAAGTTGGTTTTAATAGCAGCAGAAAAGTGAGAGGAACAGGTAAGTGAAAGTTTGAGCAAAAATAAGAAAGCAAATTGGAGAGGAGCTAGCAAGATAGGTCACTGTGTCGCCAATTTATGCTTCACTGATGACAACTTTTTTTTTTTTTTTTTCAAGTATTTTTTGACTGATGACAACTTTGAATATTAATTACCTCCCTCTTTTATTAGGATATTGGTCAAACTTTCACTATTTTGCTTCTCTCATTTTTCTTCTCTCATATTTCTGTTTTTGTAAAAAAAAACAACTTAAAGATAGAGTTGAGTTCTGGTCATGCGATTGCATTGGGAAAGAAAAGGTGTAGAAGGGATCAGAAAAAGTTGATCATGTAGCAAGTATTGGTGTGTACTACAAGGTTCTGGAGTCATCAAAGTCAGAATAAATTTGGCCCAGTCATGGTAAAGTGACATGCACTGTACACAGAAAGATGTATATGGGACTACACAAAAGGTGTCAGGGTTACTTACCTTGATAACCTCATATTTCTATGCTCATTACTCAGCCAGTATACTTTTTCTACCAAAATTGTTTGACAAATGACATTTACTTGTAATCTTGAACATTCAGTGTAAGTTTCGTTTGATTCTGTGATAATTAATTTCTTTTTTTTACCAGAACTCAAGTTTATCTTTAATGACAGGGTGGACTTCCCCTTTAATTTGAAAAATATCTGATTGTCTGTTTTTGTTTGTTTATTAGTTTTATAACACAATCTTTTTATTTATTATCAAGGTCTGACCACATTGGAGGAGAGACTAGATGCATTCAAGAAGCTCCTAGGTCAGCTACCAAAGTGTAACTACACCCTTCTTTCATGGACAGTCGTCCACTTAGCTCATGTATTAGAAAAGGTAAGAAAATAGATCTACAATTCAAATTTTTGTTCTTATATGCATAATTGATTTTCTGTTACAAAACCATTTTCTAACTTTTGTTTTGAGTTTGAGTATCATTTACAGATCATTTTTATTTTAAGAAATTCACAGTTTACAAGACATTGCATTTTTGTTTAAATACTTCAAGCTGTTTTAACCTCACTCATCTTAATTTCAGTTGTTACATATTTCGGTCTGTGGTGTATTAGATACAGACTTGCATTGCATTTGTATATCCTATCAAAGATTCTACTTAAAGCCACACTTTGCTACTTATGGGTACTTGCCCCCTCTATACAGCAGTCAATGCCTAATCGGTGACCATAGGTCCTCCATGATCCCTTCTTTCTTTTGTTAATTGAGAGCTGATTTGATGAGATAATCCCCTGTCAGTGACCATGCAGAGAGGTCTAATTCCTCCTAGCCAACTAGTGCGGAGGGGCTTTAAAGCAGGATTGTATATTTGTGCTTATTGGCAAGGGTACAAAACATTCCAATAGTTTGCCAAAATATTTCATACCATTGTGTCATCTGATATGTTTAAAAAGTAGCTTTTGCTTTATACTATTCCATTCTGTTTTACATCATCAACACTTTCCCCTTTAAATGTATCATTGTCCTATATTTGTTGCCAATTTAACAGAAAGAGGAAACAAAGATGACGATACAGAACCTGTCCATTGTGATGTGTCCGACCATGAGGATTAGCCATCGTACTATGAACATTCTATTCACATATTGGAAGGAGTTTTTCAGTGATGTCAAACTCAAGAGGTATGTACATGTGGTTTCATCACTTGACTGGGGAAGCAAAGGTTATGGGTTCAATCCCCAGTACAGAAATCATGTCCTTAAACAAGGCACTTTATCTACATTGCTCCTCTCCACCCAGGTGTTAATGGATGTGAAGGTCAATGTGATTGGATTAGCAGGAGTGTGTATTTAAAAAGGGCGACTGGCTGGAATGCTCCAAAGGGAGTGGAGAGTGTGAATACATATAAAAGTGCGGAACCATGTTTAGAATCCAGTCATTGGGATAATAATACTTTTAGCATAATGGTCAGTTACATGGTAACTGGTAAATTGCTTTACATGAAAGAGTTAGTATCATTATTTATCATTATTCTTTTGGTTCCTTTTTATCATTAAATATTGTGAAAGGTATAGTGATGCTCTTATTCTAGAAAGCTAAAAAGAAAACAAGTGGGGAAGGGAGAATGGTTTATAGTCATTGAAATATTAATAAAGGAACCTGAAAGATGTTAGGAGGGAGGGGATGTTATAAGGAAACTTATTGAAATGTGAAAATAATTACAACCTTTTTAATACTTTCCTCACAGGAGGGGATTAGGTATGTCTGAAATGTCACCTAATTTTCTCTTGACTTTTCAAGAAAAGAAAAAAAAATTGATTTTATCTTCCAACTAAAAGATATTTTGAATGTTGCCAACTCAGTGTATAAGTACATGTATACTTTACTTCATAAAGAGGTACAATGACCAAGATAAGTCAGTAACATCATATCAATCTATCTACTCCTATCTAGGTGCCCCAAACCTCTTGAATGGATACCAGGGACTACATTTGAAATTCCAGAAACCACAACGTAAGTTTTATTAATTATAATTTTATGCAGTAAATTGTACAAAAGAAACCATGATGCGACATTAAACTGCTCAATTTATGAGTTCTTTTGGGGCAAGATATTTCTATATTACTTCTCTTTTCAGAAATTCCAGATATCACAGTGTAAGTTATACAAATTATAATTTTATGCAGTAAATAGAATAAAAGATACCACGATGCCACATTAAATTGCTCAAAAAAGCAGCTCAATTGAGAAGTTCTTTTTGGGCAAGATATTTCTATATTACTTCTCTTTTCAGGAATTTTGTTCTGATGATTGTACACATTACTTTTCTTCATGCATGTGCATGTACATCAATTGTCAGAAAGCTGATATCCCAGGATTGTTGTTGCACGTCAAACTGTTCATGCTCGTGAATTATTATTCAAACAAATATTATTTCTGTTTGACATACCTTCCAGTCATATCTCTCCTTGTCAAGCACTCGGCCGAAGTGAAATTAAATTAGCACGCTAAGTGACCCAGAGGAAACCGATGGAATACTAAATCAATTAAAGTCAATCATTTCATTTCCCTCCCCTGGCACTTTCATAGATTACATCTCTTCAGAGCAAAAAGGGTTTTAACTCTTACACTTCAACAGAGTTAATGCCCTTTTGGCTCTGAACGGATGAAATTCAAGCTCTCAATAATAATATTTCATAGCGAGTAGAGAGAAGATAATGAAAGCAAGAGCTAGACCTGTGTATGAAGGCTGTGTTCATACTGGCCCCCATGGTCAAGGAGGCTGAGAGTAGCCACATTGATCTTAGTTTACTATCCATATGGAATGATAGTTGATTATAAACAACATTGTATCTACAGTGTCATCCACAACATGTTGTTTAAAACAAAAATGGAAAACAAAAACACAAATTAACAACAAATTTTTTCCAAAGCTATTCATATGGTAGCAGATAATTAATTTGAACAATTGAATTAGTTAAAACTGAAATGAAAGCCATTTAACACTTTTTAATTCAGTATAAAGGATTAAAAGATAACCATTAAGAATAATTTCACACCAATCCCAAATTATTTTATGTAATCATGATTCCCCCCCCCCCCCATTGATTGACCTTGTGAAGATTAAGTTCAGTTTATAATATTAATGTACCCCAAATGACCCCCCTTTAAGCTTGTGTTTCTGGCCCAAGGTCAAATATTTTGTAGAGGAGGGGCCACTAAGCTCTGCTGACTCTACAAAGTTGATAACGAATGAAAGAGATTAAAACAACAAATATTTGTTACTACATGACCCCATATATTCTGTGCCCTATTTCTTCTCACAGCTGTTGAGTTGAGTTAAAAAAGGGCATGTATTTGTTGAGATTAGTTGAGAATGCTACAATGAGTAAATGTTGTTTTCTTAGGATTTGGTTTGATTTGATTTGATGCAAACGAGTGGGATTGTATCAGAAAGATATAATCCTGTACTACTAAAATGAAAATTCAAGAATAATAATGAAGTGAGATGCAGGCACACCATCATGCACTAGGACTTCAGGCCATATGCAGTAGGTTTCACAATGATGAGGACAAAAAAAGTGTGATACCTTTTTTTGGGGGGGGGGGGGGATGTAGGTAAATTCTAAAAAAGCATATTATATGAAATGTATACTTAAAGCACCAAAGATTATATTATTTTTATCACTGAGTTTTAGGAAAATAATTGAGTAAAGATGTATGCTTCTGATACTGTATTGGCAGCCAACTGTGCGATTTGCATATGCCCCTCATGTAGATTAGGCAGCCATTGACATGCTTTGTTTTGTGATGAGGGGCATGCAGATTTTGAGATACTCCAAATATACCATGCTGTGGGAGGCAGTTTTACAAAGTTCAGTTCTTAAAATAGAAGGGAGAATTTACTGGTGAATGAAGCATTTCATAAGTTGCCTTTCCATTTTCCTACATAGAATCTTGCTTCATCATTATTTGTAAGTCTCATCCTTCCTTACTCTTAAACCTGTCCTTGTCTATCTCATTGTACTCCTTCTCATCTATTTTCCCCTCCCTTTATCTCTATGTATGTATGAACTTAACTATGATTGCATATCTTTAAATCACACTACCTGTAAAAAAAATTCTTGTATTGATGTAGTAGTAAGTATTTTTGATTATCATGTAACAATATATTTATAGATATAGTTATTAATTTCAGTGAATATATACCTTTTTCCATTCTTGTAGGGAGCTTGAAGAGGAGCTACTCCGACATGAATTGATTCTTGCCAAAATGCATGAGGAGCTTAATAGAGGGGTTGCTCACAAGGTAACATGATGACTAAATTATATTATAATCAACCTGAATACACTTATTAAGTAATATACATGTACCTTGTAAAAATAGGTGCATGGTATGCAAGCAGTCATCATTACAGTCAAAATAATGTAATCATTAAAAAATGGAGGGAAAAAAAAGCACAGTACAATTTTAGAGTATAATAATTAAAGATCCATATTTAAACTTATGTTTAGCATCAGGAAATTAGATGTATCTCAACCCTAAACCTCAGAAGTAGAGTCAAAATGCATGTAAGGTTGATTGAGAGTGAAAACTTGTTGAAAAGCATTACAAATCTCAGTTAGAATGATCAGAATTCTTTATGTGGACGTGTATTGTAAGTTTGGCACAAGGAAACAAAGTATCACAGCCTTACCTTAACAAAAAAAAGTAAAAGCAAGAAAAATGTAATGAATAAGAAATAGAGCCTTGCAAATGCTGAATATCATAAACGGAATTATATTTGTGAGCTTGTAATAAGTGTAAGATATCCCAACCCTAACTTACCAACAAAATCAAAAATAGTTGAAAAGCATTACTAATCCAAAGTAAAATAGTGTTTAGTAAAAGGAAAGGAGAGATAATGTGACTCTACATGCATGGATTAGTACAGTAATATGATCTGGAAGATTGTGATCAATGCTTTCTGGGTATATTTATGTCTCTCTGCTCTCATATCATATTCATGTTTGACTGATTATTGCTATTAATATGACCATGAACCCAGACCATATAATTGACATGTCTGCAAATGATATTGTAAGATAATACATTTTAAAGAAGGATAATCTGATGATCCAATGCTATTGATTTTCATCTGTGTAACCACAAGGCCTTGAAAGGGGTGCCTGTTGGGAGGTAATAAAAAAGAAAGAGACATATGATATAACATCCCTAGCAACATTCTGTCATGTACAGCTGAATGATTTCCTCTGATTGTTTTTCTTCTGTATTTCATTCTCATTTTCCAGAGCACAGAAGATAATCTATGGGAGGTGCAGAGAGTAGTCACACAACTAAAGAGAAAGGTAGGAATATTGCGCTTGTGATTTGATACATATACATTTACAAAGTCAAAAGGACTTAGAGTTTGGTTTCTATCCAATTATGGGTACTTTGATAATTGTAAGCACTTGCTATTCATGAATGCAATGAAATAAAAACTAGCCGCGATGACCAGTTGGTTATATTTAGTAAACAAGTAGTCAGATCCAGATTTAGATTGAGATGGATGATCGCGTGGCATGATCTGCAAAAGATTACAATATATGTAACAGGATTGTGTACTTCCTATATGTGTATCAGTATTATATATATATTATATATATATTGGTCATGGCTTTATTTAGCAATGACTTTATTTAGCAATCAGATTCTGTTGGGAGATAGGATTTTGGCTACTGTGAGAAGTTTGTTTTCCTTCATTAGCAGAATTGGAGATGAACTTCAGAGTTTATTCTAACTTTTATAATTGTATTAATGATATGATAGCAATTACATAGCATCTTTTCAAATGGATACACGGTGCTTTGAGATGTCATCCCTAGGACAGTGTTAGAGTTCCAATATATGGTCTCTTTGAAGCCAGAAGAGTGTTAACTCTTATGCTTTACCACTGAGTTAATGACCTTCTGGCTCTGAACAGACGGCATACACGTTACCTAGCAGTTACAGTGTGAGTTCAATGAATGGATATATAAATATGTAATATGTTTAAGAAATAATTGAACATGTAAATTTTATCATTCTTTTTTCCAGTTACGAGTGAGCAGAAGAGTCTCTGAGACTAGACTAGCAGCGAAGGAAAAGGAGATGGAACACAAGGATACCAAGACGTCATCAACATCATCATCTAAAGAACGTTCTCCTGTAAAGACAATGTCTCCAACACCGGCAGCATTGAAAGAGGATGTCAAAGAGACACCCACTGGTATGTTACATGAAGTATTTTATTATGCAATATACCAATTTAATCCTTGTATTCATCCCTGTAAGTATAGTAATCAGGAAGGGTAACATAAAGAGTAACAAGTACATGCATTATCCCCTGGCAGAGTACTTTTGCTAAAATGATCATGGAAATTTTAACTTTTCCGGGTACAAATATTAATTATTTACTTTTCATATGTTTGGATCAGAGTTAGTGAATGATAAATGCTTAAAGTGAACATAGAATAAAAACATTGTTTGAAAGCTTTGCTGTTTCTTTTGATTTTTAAAAGTTGAAAAGCCAGCTGATGCTCCAGCTCCCGAGGACAAGGCAGAAGAACCTGTAAGTGGAGATGATGAGGTTGATGTTTTCCAGGAGAAAACAGAAGAAGACGAAGAACAAGTCAAGGAGGAGACGAAGGAGGAGATGAAGGAGGAGGCGAAGGAGGAAAGTAAAGAAGAATCAAGAGCTGAGAGTGAGGAAGAGGTAGAGAAAGAAGATGAACCAGAGAAAGAAGCTGAGCCAGACCTAGGTAATTACCTCAATAGCCCAATTTCATTTTTGCTCAAGTGAAAGATGTTTGTATTTCTTAGTTTTCTATCTTTTATCTATTAATTGTGTCAAACTACTACTTATAGTTCATCAATAATGATATGTAGACAAAAATATATCCTATTAATCACCTATTAATGGTAGTCTGTGTTGTTGTCTTTTCTGAACTGCATACATTTTGTGTCAATCTTGTCACATGTACATGTACTATTTACCATCTGAAGTGAATTAAACACTTAAAAGGTTCTGTTTTTTTATGCCTCCGCTACCGAAGGTGGTGCCGGAGGCATCATGTTTTCGGGTTGTCCGTCCGTACGTCCGTACGTCCGTACGTCCGTCCCGTTTGACCGTTATCACAATATCTCAAGAACCATTTAAGATTTAAACTTAAGACTCAGGAATAGTATTTATCACCATAGGAAGACGATCTGATTAGATTTTGGAGTACGTAGGTCAAAGGTCACAGGTCACAGAGGTCAACTTATGAAATTCCTTGTATTGAGTTTGTTAGCGCAATATCTCAAGAACCATTTGAGATTTAAACTTCAAACTTAAGGATAGTATGTATCACCATAGGAAGACGATCTGATTAGATTTTGGAGCACGTATGTCAAAGGTCAAGGGTCACAGAGGTCAACTTATGAAATTCCATACATTGAGATTGTTATCATGATATCTCAAGAACCACTGGAGATTTAAACTTCAAACTTAGTGATAGTGTGTATCACTATAGGAAAACAATCTGATTACATTTTGGAGCACGTAGGTCAAAGGTCAAGGGTCATAGAGGTCAACTTATGAAATTCCATACATTGAGATTGTTATCATGATATCTCAAGAACCACTGGAAATGTAAAAACTTCAAACTTAAGGATAGTATGTATCACCATAGGAAGACGATCTGATTAGATTTTGGAGCACGTAGGTCAAAGGTCAAGGGTCACAGAGGTCAACTTATGAAATTCCATACATTGAGATTGTTATCATAATATCTCAAGAACCACTGGAGATTTAAACTTCAAACTTAATGATAGTGTGTATCACCATAGGAAGACAATCTGATTAGATTTTGGAGCACGTAGGTCAAAGGTCAAAGGTCACAGAGGTCAACTTATGAAATTCCATACATTGAGATCGTTATCGCGATATCTCAAGAACCACTGGAGAATTTTCACTTCAAACTTAATGATAGTATGTATCACCATATCATAATATCTCAAGAACCACTGGAGATTTAAACTTCAAACTTAATGATAGTGTGTATCACCATAGGAAGACAATCTGATTAGATTTTGGAGCACGTAGGTCAAAGGTCAAGGGTCACAGAGGTCAACTTATGAAATTCCATACATTGAGATTGTTATCATGATATCTCAAGAACCACTGGAGATTTAAACTCCAAACTTGTTTAAATTGCTCTATGGCGGAGGCATCATTTTCGACTGCGCGCAGTCAAAATTCCATCTAGTTTTAAAATGAATACTGTTAGTCCAGAAATTGTTGGCAATTGTTTGAGTGGTCCAGAATTGCGATGTTTATTGCTGCAAAAACATTGAATGATATGTGATGATGATGATAACATGCGCAGAAACACCCGTCATTAGCATTTAGCAAAACTTTCACGGATTTAAAATTTCTGGCTTTTAATACATTACTGTAAGATTATGCATTTACACATGCATAAAGATCTTCATTTTGCAATTGATGCATAAAGATTATCAATATTGACCCCTTCCTTTCCTGATTCATCCTTCACCAGAAATGATGAAACTCCTGCTCCTGTCACAAGCCGAGGTGGTTGCAGAGCACGATGAGTTGATGAACATCCGCAACGAGCTCCAGAAGCGCATCGAGGCTGAGCGACAGGAGATCGCCAAGCTACAGTCTGTCATCTCTGAAGCTAAGCAATCAGCCAGGAGGAGAGGGGCGTCGGTGGATAGCCTCGACAGCTCTGTCGCATCAGAGAGTAGCAGTGAAAGTGTATCTTTTTAAATATTAGCAAAGATTTAGCAGTCGAACCTGCATGAATGCCAGCCTGTATAGAAAGACCACCTGTCTTGAAAGACCACATTCGAAAGAGTTACCATTGAAACATGTAAAGGGGGACTGTTAAGATCACCTGCCGGTATAAAAAAAACTCTGTGTGTCTTCCTAGGACTGTCTTTCAATACAATTTTGACCGTATAAATGATATTCAATGTTTATTATAGTGGGGAAAACTTATTTTGTATGAGGTGAAAGATATAGCTGTTTCATTCAACAAGATGGTATCGTAATGGAATGTGATGCTATGTCTTTTTGTTTTGTGCATTCAGGACTTTGTGCGCAACTGGGTTTTTTTTCTTCAGTTGTACATGTAGAATAAGAAATGGAATTGAATTATCACATCTGGAGAATGTATATAGAGCTATTCATGTGAAATGTTGTTACTTCATTTTTGTATTTAGATGAAACTCAAAAGGTGTGTCCGCCTGTTAACTGAATGGATTCACATCAAAGAAAGTCTAACAAAGCCTCCTCTCATCTCTTAAGTAGGAATAATATTGTGAGTTCTATACACATTGTCACAGTGCTGTATAAATCACTTTTTGTGCGAGTCGTATATTTTCCTTGACACAAACTATCTATAGGAGGATGAAGAAGAGTTACAGAGGATACTAGAAGGACTGATCAGGGAGAATGAGGAATTGAGAGTAAGTAGGATTCCAAGTAATTCCACTCCATCCATTGCATTTCCATTGCAAATGACAGCAGAGAAGTTAAGAATGAAATATGAACATTAAATTGAGTGTAGAACACAAAAACATTCTTCCAGAAAGAGAAATACATAGTTACCACTGTGATGAAGTGAATATCCATGTACCGGTAAGATATTTTATTCCTAATTTATTAGTGAAATAAAGCATTTAAATCAATATTTCACCACGGAAAGTGAATTTCCAAAGACATGTTGGACCAGAAGGGTCTAAAAAAATTGGGATATCATGATGATGCATTTCTCATTCAAAACATTTCAACGTGGGCTTGACTGAAGTCAGGGACAATTCACAATTATTGATTAAATGTAACATTACCTTCTGAAAACAAGCTTGTTTGTTATGTTTTTTCTTTCAAGCAGCGGAAAAACATGCAGTTGAGTCATAACATCCACAACGAACGCGAGGCCTGTGCAGAACTACGTGTCCAGATCAAACTACAGGAACAGATGCCTCAGATGCTGGAAGCACTGGCCAAAGCTGGTATCAAGGACACTTCATCCAGACAAAGATCTGGACCTAAAGATCCCTCAGGCAAACCCAAGAAAGTTGTTGCAATAGTAGCTGAACCTATCATAGAGTCATCAGCAGAGAAGGACATACCTACGAATAAGAGCAGAGAGGACAAGAATGAAAATATCAATTCCAACAATAGTCCAGAAGTTCTGGAGGAGAAGAATGTTGATGATGCAGGGAAGGCATCATCTGGTGTTGTGGTGGAGAAAGAGACTACTCAGGATAGACATCCAGAGGAGACTGCCCTGTGAGACAAGCGTGAAATGAAATATGACTTATTTCTTTCTGTATCATGTCGCTTGATGTAACCTGCAAAGGGAATCTTCCCGCATTGGAACATCCTAGAAGATCTTTGCCCAAGTTAATTTTTGTTGTAAGCCTCAAAGGTTTTTTTTCCTTTTCTGTGGTACAAACATCATGGTGAATATAATCATATTTTGATTGGATGAAAAGAAATATTACAGGTGATAATATTTGCCATCATGGTAGTTGCTTTCTTTGTCAAACTTTTATCGTGAAGCAGATATAAAGAATCAAAAAGAAAAGAAGTTAGATGTCTCACAAAACATTGCAGCACTTCCCTTTTTATAGGGATCTTACATAACCCTAAACAGATCTCCAAATAATAAAGTGTAACTTTGTAGAGTTGAGAAGAAGATTTGCAGGAATATTACATGCAACTTACTCAAGAGAAAGTATAATTTTTTCTTCAATAAAACAAGATCATGAACCTGGAATATTTTCTTTAGATTACACTCTATAAAGGAACATTCACTATCAGCATTAAATGCATGTACCTTGATCTGAGCCGTTTCATATTCAGGTAGGGAAAAAAGCTCAGATTCTAAATGCTGAGACTATTCATGGTCTGAGATTTAGTTGTTGGCAATAATCATTAGTTATTATACGATTCCACCAATGTTTTCTTGCCATATTCTTTTTTTCAGTAAGAACGATCTGTAATATACTGATTCTAACTGTACCTGGTCATCAAAAACAACGATTATCAATAGTATTGTTTATCAATGCCCTTTTTTTGTACATGTAAATACAACCCAACTTTAGAATTTCTATCGTAAAATTTCGCAAATATCATCAACATTTTTTGCTGAGTTGTAATTCATGATCTCAGAGAATTACTCATTATATGATAGAACACTCTTTCTATGTAAACCCCTTCTTTGTCTGAAATCAATTTTCAAGTGTTTCATTGTTCCATCATTTGGCATAGATATACATTATTCCTTGCACTTTAAACAAATGAATAGTACCTTGAGGACCCTTGTCTATTTTGTGCATGTCTGCATGGTGCTTCCTGCTCTATTTTGTTGTCGGCCCCCAACTATGCCTCAACCTATGTTCCTTAACAGTTGTTCATCTAAACTAGAGATTCAATTAAGGTGAGCAGCTATTGAGAAATTTCTAAATCTATTTCAAGCCATGACAATTAAGGAAGTGTTGTTTCATAACTATTGTTCACCATGGGGCTTATTTTCTGTTATATTAAAGACAATGTTAAGTTCTGGACCTTGTTTCATAAAAAAACAAGTTACAATAGCTGTTTTAAGCTACTGAAATTGTGGCATTTGATTGGCTTAGAGGATATTTGTCATGAATTATGCATTTGCTATTGATATCAAGTCTTATGAAACAGGGCCCTGGGCATGCAAATAGATTGTGAAAGAACTGTCTGGAAGCTAGTTTTAAAGGTTGATTTGTATGACAAAAATAAACTTTCTGTTAATTATGTGATGTTCATACTTCTTTAATTCTTAAATGTTTTCATTTAAGATTCTCTTGGCTAATTTACTCAGGGAGTTGATCCCTGCAAATACATGTATACTGTTTATCCCTTTCTTTTCACTCCTTCTGCAACCCTGAACCCACCCACATATTTTATACTCCTTCTCAGTATATGCCAAATAGCATTCTTATTTTTTCGTCATCAATAAGGCACACATTTTTGCAGGGCTTTTATTCTTGTCTTTTTATCTCAAAGTATAGGAGTGTTTAGAAACCAAACTTATTTCATGAATTCTACATCTGTTAAGAGCCTGTGATGTATACAAGTATTACAAAGGGTTTGTGGAATGGGGCAATTGATATAAAAAAAAACTTTCATGATTCTTCACATTCAGGCAGATATTGACACATATATCAGTTAGAGATATAGTTGAGTACTGGTCATGCAGTATAACTTTTTTTGAGCAAAAAATTTCCTAGAAGTTCTTGGGAAGTAAATTGAAATTGATGTATACTGTGAGGTATTGGAATTATAAAAATGACTCAATCATGCTGAAAATCACTTGCATTGCTCACAGAAATAGGTATATATAGAACTATACTACACACATGGCATGTATGTTTGGTCCAGCTGTTTTTCGTCATATTTGAAATATAATGCATTTGAAGAGCAATCCTTGTCAAGGGATATTTCTACTATGATATCTTTACAAACTGACCTTAAAAGAGTATATTATACTCTTCCCTTAGGACTTTGGTAGTGATCTGTAGTCTGCTATGTGTAATTATAATCATTTGTATTCAAGTGAACCAAAATGTGTAGAGGCTGTATTGCTATAATATGATACTACTTCCATTATTCCATATCTATTGTGTATTTATCTATTATGAATTTTAGTGTATTTAAATCACTTTAATGTTCTAATCCATTCTCATTCAGTAGATCTACTTGACACTGTCACATCATAAATATAATTTACCAAGTACTCTGTGACATACATATATCTTGTTAGGTCCCCCATACCCCCCCCCCCCCAACATTAAAAGCTCAAGTGTTATTTCCATAATTCTGCCTACCCTACTAAATTTGTTTATTCTTTGATATCATTATGGAAATGATTCAATACTTCTTAATACTTTGAAAGTCACAGAGTTTTACCTCAACAATGCATTATCAAAAATAGACTTGATCTCAATACTAGAGCAGGACTCTAGTTTTCATACGATCTATTCAAATGAAAAGTACTGCTATGTGTAGTTGACACTGCTTCTTACCTTTGTAGGGGCAAAGATTTTCACATGCTTCACAAAGAATGGCGATAAAGTGCTATTTGCGTATTCTGCTAAAGTGTGTAAAATTTCTTTGACTTTGAATGTAGTCATTCATTCATTCGTCATGATATATCATTTCTTTAAGTTTTCAAGATCAAATGCAGCCAAAAAGTCAAACTGTAGTTTATCACTTAAGACTTGTTGAGATATGTAGTGGTAAACCGTAGCCTTTTTTTTAAAGCAAGTAAATGAATGGCAACTGGATGCTACATTGAGTTTTGTGTAATTAGATAAAGAAACGTGAAGCGTATTGTACTTTGGGTCAATATTTGAAGAAAAAAGAATATAGTTTACTGCTTCATATCTGAACAAGTCTTAATCATAGCATGACATTTTAGAAGTAGACAAGTTTTGCAAAATCTTATAATTCATACCTGTATGCATTAGATTGTTGATCAGTCTCCGTTTCATTTATCTACTTACCTTCATGTGTAGTGCTGTAGTGTAAATACAATGATATGTACATGTTCACCGAAACAAGAAATAAATATTCATTGAAATTAATCAAGTATAATGTATTGTGTTTGGTGATGTGATAATATCATTGTGCAAGCATTGAATGGGTCAGAAATTATCCACTTACTTGCACAACTGAAGGTGAGAGCAAGACAATTTTTTCCCCCTTCTTTTGGGGGGGAGGTAGTTTTCAAATTGGTGCTTCAAATTTTCATTTTGGTTGTTGAATGTTTGTTATGAGTAATGTGGATGGTGATACAAAGTGGTGAAGAATGATAATAGTCAAGTTAGTGTAATGTAGATGGCAAATGAAGATAAATTTCCTTTGCCCTGTTGTAGCTAACATGATCAATATGGAATTCTCATTAAAGGGCAATCTAACCCTTGGAATAAGTTTATTTGTATGAAAGCAGGAAAATAAGATACACAGAATAGTGAAAGGTTTAAATAAATCGGACCAACAATAAGAAAATTATGAATGTTTGTTATATGAGATCACCAAGTCTATGCCAATTTCAAATGGACAGTTTGGTCAGAGGAATGTGAAGAAGTTGCAGATAACTCTCCCGTTTGTCGTGTACAAAAATATTGTTTGTTTTTTTCTCCTAATAAAGTACCTTTTGGACACTACTCAAATTTGATTTTGGAGAGAATATCATTATAGATCCTCTAATGGGAATAGACCCTCCCAGAGTCATATTTTTTTTAAATTTGAAATTTCAGTCATTTTGTGTGTTTGAACAAACAGAGAAAGTCGTCCCCAAATACATCATACCTTCATACCTTGGAAGTAGGCATAAAGTTATACAAAACTTATTTGCCCCTCGATGTCCGCTAGTGGGTTACTCTTGTATTTGGCGTTGCGCAGTTACAGATATACATGGACATTACTGATTCAGCCAATTTGAAGAGCCCATATATTACAACTTTTTTTTTTTAAATGAACTTTTTCAGATTTTCTGCTTTCATCTAGAGTAGTTTGCTATCAAGGTTAGATTTCTGTTAAAGTAAAATAGCACTGTAAATCATAATTACTATATCCTATTTTCAAAAAAATAATTAAAAAGTTATTTTTAAACCATGGAGCCTACATGAAAACATTATTTGTTAAGCGAATAGCCTTAGACAATATGTTGATATAAAATATACATTCCAATGAAATAAATTTAGTGACCTTTAATGAACATGTTTCCTCATCTCAATATCAACTTGTAAGCATACACCAATCATACAGACTGATAGAGTATAGGCATATACATTTTATTTTGATCTTTATTTACACATTGATATAATTCATATAACTTAATATAGAAATCTTTGTACAATTGAATATAGAAATCAAGGTGGTTGTCTTTGGACGGATATTCAGAATTCATCATTTTGAACACAGAACCAGTCAAATGTCTTGCCATTCACAGTCAATGAAAGAAAAGCACTACATTCCATGAATTCTAACATAATAACATATAACCTGATATATGTTAATTACTAAATCGGTTTCCCTAGTGTCTTTTAAAATGTGCATCATTAGAAAAAAGTTGAAAGATTAAGCCACTTGTGAAGGTCTCTATAGGTAACAACTTGAAACAACATTTTGGACGGAATGTATTATACTTTGAACATGAAATATGGGAAAGACGATACTGTAGCTCGTATCAACTCGAGACATACATGTATGTGTAGGTCTGCCATTCATACTAAATTGAAATTGAAGCTTAATTCTTGCTTTGAAAAATATAATTTTCTTTGCTTTATTGCATTTTCAAGGATGCTAAAAATGCTTAATACTTCAAAACACACCAGACGGCACAAAATTAAAGCAGCACCATCTTGTAGCCTGCAGAGCATATAAAGTGGCTTGACATTGTGTCACCATATAGATCAGTCAGATCTCATCAGCAATGTATAGGCAATACTACATTGGATTCTCGGGGAGTCATACATTTTAAAATTGCAAGGATTCATGTAAGGTTAGATATTAATGAGATTCTATTTGTGTTGGCAAAGAGTGGAGGAACTTGTTTCCCTAATTTCTGCCTTCTTATTTTTGACACTGATTGTGTAGTAGCTCTAAGAAGTTTGTTCCCTTTCCTCCAACCGTCGTTAAAATGATACTGGTGTAATGCTATGGAACTTGCTTGCCTTTTTTCTAAAGTGACCAGTGCAATCTCACTCAGCTTTAACTCTGATCGATGCCAAATCTCTTTTTCTCACACCATTACCTGGCTATTCCTGATGTTGCATCTCATCTGCATGCAACATGGTATTGAAGTACATTGTAAAGAAAGATGTTGACATTGTTCCCTTCAGCCTCACACTGGCAGTACTGTGGTGGTGCCCAAGACCTTGCGGCTGTCTCTATGTTACACCACTTCGACTCGTTTCCATCAGTGTTGTTGTACTGGCAAAGATGTTTGCAATATTCTTATATATATCACTACACTACTAGTGTTGTGGTATCAAGGAACGTGCTGGCTATTCTCAATGTTAAATCTGTTGAAATTGTCTCATTTGATAATGTAGTACTATCAAAGGAAGATGTTGGTGGTGTTGCAGTACTACAGAATCTGCTGAACCCTCTCTGTCTTTACCTCTTTGTCTCTTTTACACTGATGCTGTGGTACAGAGAGAACATTTACAAAATTCTCATCCATCATTCCACTGGTGGTGTTGTAAAACCAAGGAACTTGCTGGCCTTTCTCCTTTAATTGTTAAATCTCTTTGACTTATTCACAACAATGGCATGGTACTGAGGATGACGTGTGCAATGTTCTCATCCATATCTAAACTCGTGGTGCTGTGGAGCCAAGAAACTTGCTGGACTTGATTTCAGCCACTTCTCTCTGCCTTATCTCCAAATTAGCTTGTTGTTCTTTCAAGTACTCCCTCTTCTCCTTCTCATCGTCTTCCAACTGATCTTGTAGCTCCTTCCTCCACTGAAAATGATGATAAGCAAAATAAGCAAATGATCAATGAATTAATGGTCAATGTAAATCCAATGTAAATATATGTATTTGGTTTGGTTAGATGGTCTGCTCTACCACTTTATAGCCATCGTGTCTCCTTCAATATCTTTGCACAGCACTTCAAATTGCTTTTCACATTACCACATCGTACATCTGCATATAAATTTGAATTCACCACTAATATTCACAAGATCAGTAGACAACACTTATCACCAATTCAACACTTTGGTCTAGGTCCCTTTTAGAGGAGTTGGTTAATAAATTAAAAGGCATTATTACCTGGTCTTCAACGATCCTCTTGAGGTCCATGTTGGTCCTAGAATAAAGCCCAACTTGAGGATCTTGGTCCTGAAAGGCTGTTGCCACCTGAAGCTCTTGTCTGAATAAAAATTAAAGATAAATATCACTACAAATATCAGGAGAGCTGTCAATGAATAGATACTGAAGTTTGTATGATGAGAGATGTTCTAGAGTTATAAAGGACCACAGATGAATGATATTACTGCTATTATAATCAGTTTAAAAAACAGGAAGATTTCAACTACAGAGACATTAATCATAAGTCAATTATCCAGGCATGTAATAAATTGATTGATTGACTACTTTAGAAAGATACAAAGCTGGTGAGCTGGATGTGAATGTTACATGTATTTTATGTAAATTCAACCCAAGATATGACAAGGTCCTGACTTATATAGAGTTGCAATTGATCTAGATACATCGCAAGTCCTCCAATCAATCAAAATTATCTCTTTAGGACAGAGCAGCATTGAAATGATTTTGCTATCAAATTGAAGCAATCATAACTGCTTATAATGAATACAGGGCCCTGGTCTCTAAAACAAATGTCTCCTAGAGCGTACTTGCAAGTGCATATTTGCTTTCTTAATTAGCAGTTCAAGATCAACACTCAATCCTGTAACATATAAATTGTACTATATGGAGAAAAGAAAAGCAAACACAATCATATAACTGCATCCATAGATTACCTGAGTGAGAGCCTATTTGGTCCTTTCCTGATGGGTTCCATTGGTTTAGGCAGCTCTACTTTGTTATGTTGTGGTTTCCTGGGTCTTTGAGCTACAGGAGCCAGGGGTGGTAGATAGGTCGAGGCTAGGCCAGCAGCTAGGCGAGAATTCAAGCTATGTTTGGAGGGGCATTTTTGCATTTCTTTCTCAAGGTGGGCATCAACCTACATCGATCAAAAATCATATCCTCATGAATAATATTAAAAGTACAATATTAACATTTGGATGCTCAATATATAATGCTCATATTCATCAAACAATAGCATTCAGGATGTTCCTATATATTTTTTCTTTGACTTCCGCTAGCCTACCATCACAAATCTTTTACAATTCAAGAAATTCATTGCTACAAGATACTAAAAAAAAAAATTAGCTATACACAAATAGTGGTACGAGTATCCAAAAACAAAGCACATTTGCACAAGTTGATATGAGCAGTGAAAATCTTAACCTGAATATACTTGGGCAGGGACTGGGCAAAACGCCAAATTAAAAAAAATAATTAAAACCATCAACAGCCACAGTTCTGTTGGGTCCACAGCCCTCTAACAATAACAGTTTGGCTCATATTCATAAAAAAGGACAAACTAAAATCTAGTTCAACATGGTCACAAAAAAAATCCATAGTGCCTAGTGTTATGCTCTACATTCTCTACAAATCAATGTGATGCTATATCAACATAAGTGAAAAAGTGAAAAAGTTAAATTATTTTTGTTGCTGTTCATTTAGTTTAAAAAATAAAGTAGTAATATTTGCAGGATGATGAAGTTTACACTTGGTGCTCCATAAATCAACAGACTTAATCTACCCACTTAAACAGGACTAAATAATACCAGTAGTACTACATGTATCATGAACAGGGATACCACTTAGTTTCACTCAATGAGCCTGAAAGGAGCTAGACTCATGTTGGAGATCCGTGCTGTACAATATAAAGTCTGAACAGGGAGGTGTCAGGACCCTATGGCTATAGTCTGAAAACGAGCACCCCTGGATAAACACGTGTCTCTAGCTCTAAGTTATCTGTAAAGGTTTTCACACCAGTTCCTACCTGTCCCACTCTGAATGCTTCCATGACCCTGTCATCCCTCTCCTTGCTGTGTCTTATCATCAAGAAGTTCCAGGCTGTTGTGCGCAGCCCCTCTTTGGTTGTATCCCCTTCCAGACATCGACTGAGTTTCACCAGAGCTAGAATTGCTGCATAGCGAACCCTCCATGACCAGTCTACGGTGAGACCTTTATATGGGAAGAAGAAGACAATATTTTGCAATCAATAACTGACCTCCTTTCCAATCATTTTCATTGGAGCACCTTTTTTTCCTCATCATAAAACCTTCGCAACTTGTAAATAACAGCCATTTTTGTGGCAAAAAAACTTTTGTGATTCACCTGAATTCAGTGTTGGGTCCGTAGTGATTCAAGTATTGCGTGGCATAAAACTTTCAAGAGTCTGAATCGATCGCAAAATTCACAAATGTTTAATGCAGAAAAACATTTCAGATTTTACAGTAACACAGGATAGAATATTTGATATAGAAAGATAAAAGATGAACAAATGAAAAAGCTCCTCACCTAAGTCATCGTCAGGAAGATTCTCATACTCAGCCATGTCCAGTAGGCCTGCGCTCTCCAGCCCACTGAGTTTCATAGAGGTCATGGTAGGGGCACTCCGGTAGTCTGGCTTACGATCTCCAACCAATGCTCTTTTCTGAATGTTTGATGTGTTGCCATGGAGACATAAATGACCCATGAGGTCAGTGTAGGCAAAGGCCACCTCCCAGGGCCAGCCGTTGATGCCATCAAGATCGGATACCTATCAAGAAAATAACGAACATTTCTAATAAATTAATTTGCTTTTAGTTCATACGCAAGTTCATAAGCAAGTGGACTTGGTCGCTTAATGGAACACATGCTGGCCTGCCACAGTTGACTACTGTCACACATACAGTATAAATGAGCATATACATGTAACATCACACTTTTTATAATGTGCCTGTTCAGATTTCGAGTTTATGCCTCAGTGCCATTCTACTGTCAAACAGCACAAACTTACTCTAGGTGTACTCTCTGTTACGAAAATGACAATTTAACTGAGATTTTGGGGTTATATGAAGTCAGAATTAAAAACAAACATATCAAAATTCAACCAAATGAATAATCTGAACAGCAATCCTTCAAAAGAGTTTCAGCTATTGCTCTGCATAACCAATTATGCATTTTTTGTCACTCTGTGGACAAGACTTGACAGAGAAAGGAAGAGGGTGATAGGGGACAAATGTTTCCTTTAGACCAAGCTGTGTGATGGCATACATTACTTTCCCTCTTTTAGATTATACATCTTAATAGGGAAGTGTCTAAGTTTACTAGTCGACTGCACATTCAAGATCACATTAGGATGTTTGGAAAGATGATCAACTCAATTTACCATATTAGCTTTAAGCCTTCTTAATAGTGGAGTCAGCTTTCCTTCAGGTTTCTCTCCTGCTTGCTTGGACACCTTATTTGCTCCAACACCAACAGCCTTCTCACTGTGTATGTGCTGCTGTTGAAGTGCCTTCTTCTGAGCCGGTATCCGCTTCTCTATCAGCTCCTCTCCAACGATGTCGATATCAAAACTAACCTCTCTCCTGATCCTCAGGCCTCCGGAGACCTCATCCTGCAGGATAGTGGCTTCATCATCAAAGGGCTTGGTGACATCCACCCGTCTCATCTCGACCTCGCTCTCATCACCAGGCATGAGATCACTGTCTGCATCCTCATCTTCCTCCATCACTGGGGACTGGGAGTACACATGGTTACCTATGTGTTCAATTAATTTGTAGCAAAAGGAAAAGAAAAAAACTGTTAATAATCATTAAAAATCTTTCTTTTCATGTCATCATATTTTTAATAGTAGGCCTACATGTATAAAATATACAGTTTATGTCAGGTTGTATATATTTCTATAACACTGCAATCTCTGTCAATTCAGTCATAGGACTGTGATTGTGAAATTTTGTCCAAAAAAAGACTTAAATAACAACAGCAACGACAAAAAAACAAAAACAACACATGGCTACAATATCAAATAACTAAATAATTACTTTCAGACCAATTACGACTCTAGATTACAAAAAAATGAACATTCCTAAACATTGAATGAATTAGTTTTACACAATGAAGAAATTGATAGTACTTGTATTATTTTTGTTAACTACCACCACCACCACTAGTACTTCTACCACCACCACTACTATTACTACTCCCACCACTATTACAACTATCACTACCACTACCGCTACCACAAATCACTGCCACTACCACTACTCCTATTACTACTAGATGTACTACTACTTCTATTAACAATAATAATGATTGCAATACCTAGCAGGGCTCCGGCAGAATCCAGTTGGCTTTCACGGCTGCTGACATCAGGGACGCTCTGTACACTGCTCCCGGATCCTTTCAGGGCTGTGCTCCGGTCACTAAGAGAGGCTGCTCTCTTGTCCTAGTGGGTAATTTTGATGGAAAGAAGGTTCTTAATTTGCTTAAAAATATATCTCCAAGAATACAAAATGATCAACTTCTCACAATACATGCATACTATCCATTTTCATTTGTCCTATTTGCTCCAGGAGGATCTCACTGCATGAAACTATTAAAGGACGGTAACCATTGGCATAACAGCATCTCAAAACACACATGTACACCCATACTTTAAAAATTATCATCATTTTTAACATTATCTGTATGAAGTTTCTTCCAAATAATAGGATGCCACAGTTGTGAAATGTTTATGAAGATATTCTGAGGAACGAAGGACAAGCACTGCACTTCAGCTTTTCTTTCAAGTATGCCATGGTCTAGATCTTGGGTTATGTAATGTTTACATCACCTCTCATGATCCCCCAACAAATAATAACAAATATAAGAAGGAGGAAGACAATGTCGCTCTCATCTGCTTGAATGTTTATACTAGTTCTTACTTGTGGACTGTCAATGTTAACAGCTACAGAAGTATTTCTGAGGCTCGTTGACTTGAGAAGTGAGTTGCTACTGAGATTACTGGGTTGCTTCAGTCCCAAAGACATGTCAGAATCTAGACTAAATTTCTTAGACTTTGAATCACTGCGTAGCTCCATCTTTGAGTCCAGCATCTCGGTGAGTCTGATCTCAACTGATTGATTGTCACTCAAACTTCCTAAAAAAGAAAAAGAAAATCAAAATGTAAAACTGGCTGATGATATTGAACATTTCTACAGCCTTCGCTAATACACAGAAAATACAACTAATTTTGTACTTTTATTTTGGAGTCGTTTTCATCTACACTCTATTAAACCGGTTATAGATTATTTAATTTTCATTCCAATATGGTAAGTGCCAATCTGAATTACCTCCGGCTTGTTAATCAACGGAGTAAACAAATCAGTACATTCTATGAATTTGTATTCAAATTTCTTGACTGAATAGCAAACCACCATCTCTCACAGTTTGGTTTCAGGTCGGTTAGGAGTATTTTAAAAGTAGTTTCATAGTAAATTTTGAACATACATGGAAATTATGATCTTATCATCTATAGGTCTATCAGTCCTTAATTCCTTATCAAAACACTGATTATTTAATAAGTGCAAGAATTTGCTTATGCTTTTTACAGTTTATTTGAATGGGAATCGATGAAAATACTGAATGTGTCCGCTCTGAACAACATCACCACAAAAGAGCAGAAAGAGCAGAAATTCACACAAACTTTTTAATTTTTCCATCACTTATCAATTCTGAATTGAAATCGAAAAAACTAACTACCAGTATACCTTTTGAGCTAATATGACTTCCCTCTTCTGACCCCTCTGAATCGCTGAAACCATCCAGGTCAACCTCTTCCCCAAGATTCTCAAAGCGATGAGCCTGACTGGCTCTACTGCCTGGTGTTGTGTGTCGTGTAGGATCTCCTGGAGCGGAGGTTTCAGGGACCATACCCTTGGCTAGGTTTTGAAGTGTTTTCATCACTTTCATATTGCCCTTTGCAGCTTCTGAAATGATGAAGAGGGCACACACTGCATCCACCCTGGGAGGGGAAAGATGAGCAAAAAATAGGGGGAAATGTATTGTAACAATGATCTGCATAGGTTTCCTATTATACAGGTATTTGATAGTCACATGCTGATCAAAGCATGACAGATTCAAGAATCCTAGGTTGAGAATACAAAAGTTGATACATTTCTAAGATGTTAATGAATTGATTTTGTGTGTAATAGAGAAGTGATTTCATAACTGAAAGGTATATAGGGTTAGAATCTGAGTAAATGCACTGGTAAGATATAGCCTAATCCCTCGAACATGACTTCAAGCCATAGGGCTGCTGGTTGTTTTGTATTTGCTTTTTTAGAAGTTGGGGTTAATGATCATCAATACAAAATCGGTGTGTGCTTCAAATAAAACCATTATGATATGAATTATAGCTTTTTCAGGCTCATGACTTTATGAGCCTATGAAGTGAAGGGAATGTTCCTCTTGTTATCAGACAAGCCATCACTTTTAGTGAGTATTTTTAAAATTCTATTTCGAATCAACTCAGCCTTTCAGCAATTAATCACCACAAATCCAAACTCACCAATGTTCTGAGCCTAGTGTAGTCCCACATAGTGATAAAGCTTTGACTGCTTCAGGGAAACCAGCACTGAGATGAACCGTACAGCGCCACACATCTAGAGCATGCCAGAGACTTGGGCTCAGGTCATGGATACTACTGGTATACGTATCTGGTCGACGAGGAGCTTGCTGCATGGGCGCTGGGGTGGGCTGGGTGTTCGGTCGGGATCGCTGGTGGGTGTTTGGGCGAGAGGTGGGTTGGCTGATGGGTTGGGGGAGGGGTGGGATCTTGGAAGGGTCCCTAACTGGGGTGCTCCTGGGGACATCCGGGTGGGCTATAGAGTTGGGTGGGCTTGATGTGGCATATGTGTGTTTGATTTCTGCTTCTGGAAGATACTGAAATTGCAATGTGAATATTAAATCTAATTAGCACAATTATTGAATGAAATCTATTTATCACTGGCTTCTGTTATCAAGGTGCATCAATGAATCAAAAAGCATGTACTGCTGACAAGTATAAATATTATATTTTTAATACACTTTCCAAACTTATATTTTCATTTTCTCCTTGTGAGGTAACTAGAGTCATCTAAACATCCATGTAAACTATGAAATTAAACAATAACAAGAAAAAGAAACATCATTATGTCACCACTAGCCTAGGTCATCATCATGTCACTCACCTCAAATATGATTCTTACTCTAAATGTCATGGTCTGTCTTTTCAAATGTAATTTGGTAATGCAAACAAAAAAATTATTTTCATGGTTTTAATCTCAGAATTGAAGTTAACCTTTTGAATTTTGAATTTTCTATTTTCCCAATGATTAGTAAAAAAAACAGTTACTTGCAATGGGTTAAACATCAGCTCAAGCAAACCACTTACATCCTTGGGGTGTTCTTGGACATCAGAAAGATCTCTTCTAAGTTCTTCAGGATGTTTCTTGAGTTCATCCATCATCACCTCACCTAGGATCATCTTGCCGATGGAAGCTATCAATCTCAGACACAGATGTGCACCAGGGTAGGGACTATAGGCCTCTTCATTTTCTGCAAACCCTGATTCATGTGAAGAAAATTTAAAAAATATATGAATTATTAGACATTCTAAAAAAAAGACATGGGGATCGAAGCATCGTGGCTCAGTGGTAAAGCAGTAGCCTCATAACTTGGAGATCCTGAGCTTGAAAAGAATTTGATTTGCTATAGTTCTCATTGGTAAGACCTTAACCCCTTATTATCAAGACCCTCAGATAGGACTTCCAAGTCTAGGTCCCCTTGGTTGCTTACCGACAAACATATACTTTCTCTCTTGATGTCAGGTAAACATTTCATCAGTCAGATCATTAGAAAGACCTACTTTGAGTAATTGTATTGTAATATAATAAGCAGCAAATGGGATTTAGCACCATGTAACAAAGGTGATTTATGCTGTTTTTGTGTGCATATTGTGGTTCAAATATTATTTCCTGCTTCATGAGAAAGGCTTCAAAATTCCAAAAAAAAATACAAAAGAGTTTAAACTGTAGTACAGTCTGTATATTAGAATGTAATAATAGGGTTATAGTCAGTATTAGCTGTATTAGTCACAAATAAGTGTTATGCCTTTAATCAAAAAGATAAAGTTCAAACAATTGTTTAATAATTATTATACTTAGAAGGAAAGAGGGTAAGTCAAACCATACCAATAAATGTACATACATCTACAATATAAAGTCATTAGAATAGGTCTGTTAGTGTTCTATATTAGAAAGTTTGACTGCAGACCAGTTTAGAATGATTAATAGATTTCAAATATAGGGTTATGAACACTTCCGCAAAGTTAAGTACCGTTATATTAAAGTGTTAGAAGGATTGATATTGAATTATATGTTTCAACAAGTAACATCATGCTTGGAATATATAGCCAATGCTATAGTGATACTATCGTGGACCTTTCTTCAACTGCAAAAAAACCCATTAAATTCTTTATTTTTTCTATTTTTTTCACTTCATTGTTATATCAAGACAAGCAGCAATATAAATCGTTTGCTAAATGCTTAGCAATGCTCCACACTAACGTAGCCGAGAGGTTTCACTCCAGCGGGGGAAACAATTTTTGTTTCTTGAATACATACAAGCTTTATCGTCATCTTTATGACTTGGTTGTCTAAATAACTTACCCTGTGTGATAGCTGAGATATTCCATGGATTTTAAGAAGTGTGACATAGATAAAAATATGCAATGTTATGGAAGTCTTGAAGATTAAGGTTAAGACTGAATGTTATCTAGAAGTATACATATTCACATGTCGCCGCTTATCAATGATTATTAGCTTTGTTTGTAGTAATTAAGTAAATACATTGAAGAGCTTAGAAATAAATGGCAGAAAAGAATACAGTTAAGAATGTTGTGATATCTACAAATGTGTTTACATAAAAATATTGATAGTGAACTCGGATTTGGCAATGATGCCTCATCGATTAAATAAGCAATCATCATATATTCTTACACTAAATAGCAACCCCCACCACCAGATGATGAATGTATTGGATAACAGAACGCTTTATATCACTTCTAATGAAATATGAGGCTAAATTTAAAAAGCATCTATCATATTCACAAATTCAATTTATTTTCTTATATATCTTCTAACCCAGTTTTGCAGGTGATCTCTCAAAATATACATACCTAATTTAAAGTTTCCTTCGCAAATAAAATATGGAACCTACATGAAATACAGACAAGATTCTCACTCAATTCCAGTAACAAATGAAAAATGAGTTTTGAGTTTAAGTTGTTCTACCCCCCCCCCCCTTTCAAAAAATTCAAAAAAAATAATGAAATAAACAAATACTAAATAAAAATATAAAATAATCTTACCTGATAAGTATGTGAGGAGTCTGGTCTTGAATTTCGACCTTCCCTGCAGGTGGCCTGCCATATGATGGTAAAACAACCTCAAGAACACTGCCTGACCCATCTGTTTATTGAAAAAATAGAAAAATAGAAAGTAATTATAGACTATAATATACTTTAATAAATCTGTTATTATGAAACAAGTGTACCTCATAAAGCAGTAGAGGTAGTACACTCTAAGGAGTCTGAAATATGCTTACAGATATAGATTTACACAAAATATATAATCAAACAAAGCAAATAAATTGATAGGTCAAGGTGTTCCATTTAAATACAAACAATTCTTTTCTTTCTGCTATAAAGGATATAGCTCTCAAAATCTTGATAGGACACCAGCATAGCCATCCCTCAGAGAGAGTACAATGGTGAGAGATCAAAGGGCATAAAGGGATAAAATGATTTTATATTAAGGCCCATGTAAAAGGTGCCTCTGAGTTAAATTTCATACACACATTTCACAGACTGTAAATTGTTTTCAGAGTGCAGTTTTGGTTACTAATTTCTTGACAGAGATATATGAAGCTGATAATTTAAATATAAATCATGGTTCTCTGATAACAGAAAGTAGATTTTATTGATGTTGATTGTCCAATCTAATTGCTGTTTGATCTGTACTCTTATTTTGGCATACCTTGAGTAGTTTGATTTCTCCAATCCTGAGGAATGGCTGATCCATAGCATCTGTTCTCAGCCAGTAAAGGGTGGTCTCGGCTAAATAAAAGAGACTGGGTATGTGATCTAGTGAAAACTCTGCTTGTCTCAGAGAAACGATCAGTGCATCCAGGCATTCTGAAAGACAAAGGAATAGGATCATTTATTGGGAAGGAATAGACACTTGTTTAATAGAACAAGATCCCCAGGTAGGGAAGCCCTGTTTCAGTCTCAGGTGTAAGAAGATGGCCCATGGTTAAGCATTTAAATGAGCTTATGCTTTGAACTGCACTTCATTGCACTGATGCCATCTTTAAATGCTTGCATTATTTCAGTGAACTAAAATTAAATCTCTTAAAAAGGAAGACACTAATTATAATTAAAATATGATTGCTACATTGGAAATTTCATATTCACTAAACTTCTCATTTTCAGAATTTTGAAAATATTTAAGCAGTTACAGTACTTAATATTCATATTCAATATACATCTATAGTAGTGAACTTTGTAGCCCTACAAATATTACCCCAACCAATGAATTTTCTGTCTCACTAGGAATGTGAGTGTAAGAGTGATAGAAAACTGATGAGATATTTTGTGTGTTTTTGTGTTCTACAAGTGTTCTCACAACCTCATACTTCATATTGCATCTCAAAGAATGAAGAGGGGGAAACAAAGAAACGAATTATCTTACCTTCCTGTACCTTCCCTCGACACTGTGCCAACATGGACAACTCTGACCATGCCCTCGGGATGTCTACATGGCTACCTCTCCCACCATCTTTGAGACCTGCTCTTCTCTGATAATAAAAGACCAAAACAAATGCTGACTTTTCACTTGACTGTATACACCTTTTCCTAATAAACAGGTAGCTGACTATACAATTACTTACACCCAATGACAATGTTAAATGAGTTATAGAGTAAATCAGGGCTCGACACTGACAGGGGTGCAGTGAATATAGTCCCCCAAGGTTCATCTCACAACCAAAACTACTCTGCAATTTAAACTGGGGGCATATGCATACAGTATTAACATTTGAGCTGGATCCCTTGTGAAAAAACAGTGCTGTGTTGAGCCCTGGAGTAAACACGTGACTTATTGTCCCTTACATACATTTTTGGATTTTGTTGCCTTTAAAGAGATATTTGATTTTTGGTACATTAAAATAGCTTCAATTGATTAATAATGAAAACGGCACAAAAAAATCCTTCTTCTAAGCTTGTACTAAAAATCTTTTATGTTTTAATAACATTGCTCTTCTAAACAAAAAATGCTTTGTTGAATTTTATACGCAAATTACCTTGATTCTAGTGAGTAGTTTTAATGCCAGGTCTTCATTCTTGTCTTTTTCGTCAAGGTTTGATGGGTTGTTAAACTGCTGGATGAAAGATTCTGTGAGCTCTAATGGATTTCTGGATAAAAACCAAACAATACAAAGAAAATTTCAAATCATTAGTACGATAAGAACATTAACTTTACGAGTATCAACAATCTCTTAAAAGATCTATTAAAAATTGTGTTGAATAGGGGTACCAAAATAAATGATCTTTTGATATATTTTCCTAGTAATAATGAATTAAATCTTTTTTATTGCATAATTTTGGGAGATAATATTTTTAAATCCAAAATGGTCTTCCCATATTTGATGCTCTTCACAACTGTATTCCTAATTCACCCCTTTTTGATAATAATAATAATAATATTCTGCTTTTATATAGCACCAAAAACATTGATACAACGAAATGCCTAAGCGCTTTACAGATATATTATTACCCTGGTCATCAAATTCAGGCTTACCCGCACACAATGTATGCACATTTTACATCCCCTGGGGAGCATTCCAACCAGTCGCCATTTTACAAGCGCACACTTGCTCATCCAACCGCATGAACCTACGCATCCTACCAGGTACCCATTTTACACCTGAGTGAAGAGTAGCAAGTGCAGGCCTTACCTAGCCAAAGGATAATAGTGCTGTGTCGGGATTAACTAGGACTTTTCTTCTAGGAACAAATTCAAGACAATGTTCTTCCCTAATAGTAACTTAAACAGTGTATCAGCCTTACCATGCACAATATTTTGCTATGATTTACCTTGTTGTCTGAGGAATGTGTGAAGTTTTTGAGACCTGGTAGACACTCTGTTGTAGCAATCGTCCTTGCAGTTCATCTCTTTGACTCTGGGAGATGATGCCAAACTTGTGCACTATGGGAATCTTTGTGATAGGCATCTTGGATTATCCTCTGAACTATAAGAAGAAAAGAATGAGAGATTCATACATTTTATACATAAGAAGCTAAATCAGGGTACCAAGCATTCCATGAAAACAAATTTTATGATTGTTATGATGTTTTTTCCCCGGATAGATTTCCAAAATGACAGGATCATTTGTTCAACCTACTTCCAGTTTGAAACTTATCACTAACCAGTAGGTGCAGGACTGGTTATAACTAGCATGCAAGTATAATTTAAAAGCAATCATCCACTGGAGCTGGAGAAGCTGTTCAGACATGTCGACACAAAATAAGATTTAATTCCCGGACTGGAAAAGCCGGATTTTCCAGGTTTCTCCCGATTTCCTGGATAGCTGGGATAGGGGGAAAGAAGAAGAAGAAGGAGGAGAAAAAGAAGGAGAAAAAGAAGGAGGAGAAAAAGAAGGAGAAAAAGAAGGGGCAGAAGAAAGAGAAGGAGAAAGAAAAGAAGAAGGAGGAGAAGAAGGAGAAAGAGAAGAAGGAGGATAAGAAGAAGAAAGACAAGGAGAAGGAGGACTCAGCCTCAGGTCAGGAGAAGGGGGGAGGGAGGCCGAGGGGGAGGGGGAGAAGGAGGAGAAGAAGAAGAAATAAAACTAAAAGAAGAACTATAACTATTTAAGAAGTCAGAAGGAGGAGAAGGAGGAGGAAGAAAAGGAGAAGAAAAACAAAATTAAGTATTCAGAGTCAGAGTGGCAGATGGAATTGATTCAATCTGTTAAACTGTTTAATACACTACACAAAATTGAGCACACGGGACCGTACATGTTTTTTCCTGGCATAGCAAATCCAACATAGCGAGCATTAAAACTAGCTTTACATTCAAATAACAAGTATTTATAGTGGCATACATACCTAATCAGTTGAAGGCATCAACTTATTTCCTCTATATCTATAGATATATACATTCATGTTTTATTTGATTTGATTTCAATTCTTCCTTTCACTGCGATGTATTTTTGCGATACCAATGTTCGATAGCGTGGATCGATCTCACAATCACTATGGAAACTTAGTCTGCAAGCACAGACTCTATATTTACAATTTTAAAATGTCAATATAATATTCTAAAAAGCCGCTAATACTTCTGTTAGTTTGTGGCTGTATCAAAAATAGCTAGACATGAAGTAGACCCTACAGTCAATAAAATCTTAAAGTTCATGCGCTATGTTACGCATACGACTGCAAGAATTTGTGACTATAAACCAATGGAACTCAAGCCCCCTCCCCCAACCCATCCTGAATGGGTTATAAGCACGTTCTCATAACGGAAGACTGAAATGACCCTCCAGAAGTATTTACAAATGCAAGCGATCGAGCTTAGGGAAAATTGCTCTTAGTCGCCTTAAATTAGGGGCACGTTTAATGATAAGAGGAAACGGAGACACTTATCAAGATGAAAAACAGCACTTATCGATATCGAATGAGCATTTGTCGGGTGGGAGGGCACCCATCAGATTTTGATAGGGGCATTTATCAGAGGTGAAAAGGGGCATTTACGAAAAGGGGATAGATCCCTTATAAGCAAGCAAAAGGGGCATTGTTTAAAGGGGCAAGTATCATTGTTGAAAAGGAAATTATTATGTGAAAAAGGGCACTTGTCGCCCTGAAAAGGGGTACAGGTCAAATATTAAAAGGGGCACTTATGAGAATAAAAAGGGGCACTTATAATAAAGGGAAATGTGCATTTGTCGAAAGAAACGGGGCACCGATCAGATTTTAATAGGGGCATTTATCAAAGGTGAAATGGGGCTTTTATGAGAAGGGAATTGGCTCTTATTAATATTATGAAAAGGGGGTAATTATGAAAAAGGGAAGGGGCCTTCATCATAGATGAAAAGAGCAATTTTCAGGAGGGGAAGGGGCACTTGTCAAAGTATAATGAATATCTCTCAGATTTGAATAGGGGTTATCATCGGAGGGAGTGAAGAGGGCACTTATCCGAAATGAAAAGTATTTTCCTTCCTCCCCCCCTCTCTCTCTCTCTCTCTCTCTCTCTCTCTATCTATCTCCGCTGTGTATGTATTCTCTCCCTCTTGTTGTTGTACATGCAACCGTATACAATGCAATTTATACATCACAATGGGGTCGAATTCACAAGATCTTTAAATAGATCTTTAATCTGATCCCCACTCAATTTCTTGTGCAGTCAACTACAGATTTTACTATGTCCATCTTTTTTATTTTGTCATACAGTCATGACTGTATGCGTTCATACGCAAGTGTATGTATCTGTTTTTATATATTGAGTGAATAAATGAATTGAATTGAATCGAACTTCTCTACTACCTGAAAAAGGGCACTTACTACAGATTAAAAAGGACACTGAGAATGGAAAATGGACACTTATTGCAAGGGAAAATGGGAACTTGTCGAAGGAAAAGGGGCACGTTTTAAAATGTTCAGAGGTGAAAAGGGGAAGTGGCACTTTTTCTATGTAAAAAGGGTCACTTCTTACAATGTAAAAGGGGCACTTTTCTATGTAAAAAGGGGCACTTTGGGGTACTTGAAAAAGTGGGGGCCATTGTGCCCCCTTACCACCAGGAGCGCCGCCTCTGTATACAGGGCCACCTCTTATTTAAAAAAAAACTTGCTATTGATCCGGATTGATCGCAAGTCCTTCGATCCCATCCCTTAATGTCCCTATCTCACTTGGCTGCTACTAGCATGTTTGTGACAAAATGCGAAATATCAATTTTCTCGCGTGAGTCGTTTGGAAATTCATGCAACAATTCGTCGCTGTTTTCACGAAGTGACGGTAGTGAACAAAAATTGCATTCACTTTGCGTTACGATTTTGCTCTCTACCGTCACTTCGTGAAAACAAGGACGAATTTTTCTCTCAAAATAATCACAGATTTGTCGCAGTGTCAAACCTTTCTCGATTTAGTTTCCGTGAGTCAGAAACTTAGTAAGGGGTTGGCGGCCGATGATCCTTAATTGTGATTGATTGGAGACAAAAAAAATGAGAATCTGACATTCAAGGCGCGATCTGCCCTGGGAGCGCGACAAACACAATTGTGATACTTTGTGACTGATTGCGACGAAAAAATGAACGATATTTTTGTGAGCTCCAGGCTACTTTTGGCCAAAATTTTACTTGGAGCTCACAAATGTGTCGTTAATAACAATTCAGTGTGATTCCAAGTGAAAATTGTTGCCATTCCGCGTACTTTCTCGCAATATCGTGTCTCCATTATTAGTCGTGAGCTGTCGCAGCGACGCAGCCAAATGATTATACTAGCGTTATAGTCGCGCCTGCTATCATGTTGCGATCGATTTGATCTGTGTAGTTCTCTTTAAATTCTATATTACAGGATTTTACACATTTTAACGTTTAATGTGTTTATGTAAACATTGCAACATAATGCTTGTAATTGCAGCATAAAAGGATAGGATGCGCTGGCATGGCTAAATACTATCGACATAAACTTGAAAATATGCTTAAAAATCCATTGGAGAAACTGAAAAGTAGAAAAATGAAAATACTACAAAGACGACAACAATAAGAAAATGAAGAACAGCCCCTCCTCGAGCAAAAATAGGAAAACACATTCAACAATAGATTGTTTCGTGGGCAGGGGAAAGGGAATACGAAATTATTCATTATTGATTAGCGCGATGTTTCTACTAAGTTAGTCCAGCCCTCGAAGGATGGAACTCGTTTAGTGGTCTCAGAAGGAGGGTTTTCTTTTATGCTTGACTTAAAGAATAGAAACATAATCAATACGGAGGGGAGAGGACCTCTTAAAATCCAAGATGGTGGAGATAAGATGGCACCGTTTCGTTTGTTTACTCTTGTTAGCTCTTCTATTTGACAGATCATGTCAACAGGTAATGTTCACACTCTTCACTTTTATTCCTTAGGTTAAGCTTTACTTCATTAGAATAAATAAATTGAGTGTTTTGTATGAATATGATTCTTGCTTAGTTACTCTTTCTCAAGAAAGTTTATGTAAACTGTCTTCGTTGTTGCATTTTTGCACATGTTAATGTGCGATTACGTTTAAAATTTACTTTTAGATTTCCATCTAATTTATGGGAGGGATATTTGATACTGGTAGGTTTTTTTTTAGTTCACGGTATACGGAGTACGGTGTTAATACAAAATGTTGACATATATGTTAAAGTCAGAGTGATAATATCGGGATATTCATCACGGTGAATTTGTTCATGATACAAAAACTAGTATGATGTAAACAATTTTTACTTTGTTTTATGAATACGCATGCACGTTGTAAAACTATCTGTATAGTCAATTCAGCACAAAACTAGCTTTTCTTGTCATTTTGTAACTCCCGTCATAATATTTACACTCTGAATTTTACGTAAAGATGCATTGGAAGCTATTTATATCTATAATAAACAGGGTTATGATTTGCTTTCACGCTTCCCATTTCGATATCGTGCGATGGGGACGTGCAACGAATGATTATGTTTCTCGTTTAGTGAAAAAGAGTGAAAATTAGACCACTGACTTTTTATTCTGGTATCACTATATATCATGATCACAGATTACTGTTTTATCAGTTATTATGTATAGTCCCATACGATATACAGTCAAACCTGCCAATAAAAGGCCTTTTGGAATGGTTCTATACAGCAGACTGGATTGGAGACAGTTTAGGTAACTACTATAATATGTAGAGGTGGTCACTAAGCCGGGCTCTCTGGGATAGCAGGTCCAGAAATGGACTTGAAATGAGACCACCCTGTTGAAATAAAACTATTTAAAAAAAATAAATAATAAGCCAGGTATAAATGAAAACTGTTAGTTCTGTCAAGCGGGAGAATAGATATAATGACCACTATACATGCAACACCTCACACCTGAATAGAGGTGCCAAATATAAAGACAGCTAGGTTTTCTTTCCACTCTTATGGCATTGCTGACAATTTAAATCGTTCTTTTTTCATTGGGATTTGCTCTATACCTTTCTTCCGATTCCCCCTCTATCTCTCTCTCTCTCTCTCTCTCTCTCCCCTCTCTCTCTCTCTCTCTCTCTGTCTCTTTCTATCTATCTCTCTATCTCTCTCTATATTATCTCTCTCTCGTGTTCTCCATGTCACCTTACCCGTCAGTGTGTTGGTCCAGAAGGGCCAAATGGCCCTCCTGGATCCGAGGGCAGCCAGGGAACAGGGACAGGTGATAGCTGGTACGATGTCATGGGATCCAACAGAAACTGGAGACAGTGCACATTCAATTGGGCAGACGGTCGAGACAGTGGTACTGTTTATGTAAGTGATTGAAAACTGCCTGTGTTTAATTCAGGAGCGATTTATATTTAGGAGCTGTTATTGTAGTTAATCCGTGTTAATCAATAATATTTACAATTAATTCAAATGCAATGCAGCATCTGTTATAGGTGAAATGAAAGTCAGCATTTTTACATTAACAGCTCATTGATTTCTTCAATAGAAACAAATAGCAATACTGACGACAAAGTATGTTCCTAATACAAATGTTACTTTAATCTTTTGGTGAAATGAGTAAGGCCTAGAAATAGGATTGCATAATAGGCAATATTTTGCTGACTTTGGACTACGTCAGCAATCCGCGCGGTCCTTGAGATCTAGAGTGATTGCCTTTATCGGAACACGGACAATTAATTTTTGTTCTTGATTGACGCAGGCAAAAACTCAATCAAAATAGTGCCTCGTGTAAGTCATGTGCAACTTAGACACAATTTCAATTTCATCTTCAATTTGTACATTTCATAATGTTGATTATGTTTATCAGCATTTACTATAATATTTGACCCTAGTGTCCATTGAATCTACTCTTTACAGTGCATGTATCGAAATAAACTTACAAATAATTAGTTCACAAGAATGTTTCGTTTTTTTTATATTCCTGCTTCCTCAGACGTGTTCATTCACGAAGCAGTCAGCAGCGTCATCCCTGTATGCTGCCTTCAGTGGTACGACACGACTTCATAATTGTCATGGTTGCTGTTGTAGATGGTACTTGACGTTCAACGGCGCTGAATGTAATGCACCCCAGGTCATTGACGGAACCGTCTACATGGCACATTACACCGGTGCTGATCTTCACCGACACCGCACGATATCAGGTGAGAGAGGGTGATAGTGCGTCAAGATCGACCACTATTTTGGCGCAAGTAATCAGGAATTCATCGCTTGTCACTATGCCATATGCCCTCTGATTGCGTCGTTACCTGCGCTGATCAAGCTAGCGAAGGCAAATAGCCCAGACACGCTACGAATGAATTATGTTTGCATCGATCATTTTGCAATCACTTTGTGTACAATAACATGGTGCTTCAAAGCAGTCCTTTGTCATATCATGTCGCCTCGGGTGCAACTTGCTTTATGTAGGCTACACGAAGAGCCATTATTATACCTAACGTAGGACAGCGTCATAAAATGGTGCGGACTTTCACGCATGACTTTAGGATATCATTTAAAACATGAATGCAAAATACAAAATTGGGAAAATCCTTACTTAACTCGATTATGGGCTAATTTCCTTCGCAGGCTCGACTGCGGTTGCGTCAATAGGCTACCCACGCTGAGCATGGTAATTGCATATCCCATTTTAGAAATTAATTTTAGAACTATTCAAATGGCAAACACAATGTGAAAGATGTCCAAAATCTCACGCGTCAAGGACGCAGTTCTACGTCATTGAAAATGACGCCTCGTGTGCAAAGGCAGAGTTTATGTCCATTGCACAATTGCAATTGCAATTGCTTAAGAGGCGACATTACCTAACGTAGGCGTGTGTCAGTGACTTGCGCCGGCCTTGGCACACCATGAGAGTGACAGTGTACACAAAGTGAATACAAATTGATAAAAGCAAACATATAGTTTTGGATTGCTGGAGTATCGGCTAATTGTCTTAACAGGCTTGATTAGTGCAGGTAACAATGCAATTGCAATGAAATCGTTACGAAACATTACGTAGAATTAATTTTTTTTTAGATTAAATTTTGTCTTTCTTAGAAATGCAGGAAGATTGTTCCAGAGGCACAGTAAAATATCTCATCGTGTCTTGTTTTCTTTTTCATAGGAATATGCACCAATATCGCTGCCGGTAGTGTCACAGTTGCACTGGTAGTGGGAGCATGCAGCGGGTATGGATACTTCGACTGCTATACAGGCTGGAATGCAATTTCTCGGATCATCATCGAAGAATTACCCGCATCTCCATATAGCTGAACAGTAGTTGTGATGTCCTTTAATTTGACATTCTTCTTTTCTGTCTAAGGATTGTAATTTTAGGTATTCTAAAGGACACACGTCCTTCTTCTAACCGTTATAATTCATATGCATTCACGAATGTGAACCAGGGTTGTTTGATTTAAATCATGTCGATTTAAATCATGATTTAAATCGCGATTTAAATCACTTGATTTTTTTCAAAAAAATCACTGATTTAAATCAACTTTTATGAAAAAAATTAGTTTTCTCTATTTTCTCTTCTTCTTAACAGATACTTTCAATGTAATCATTTTCATTTCTGTTCCACATGCTTTAGAGATACTTTAAAAGAATGATACACCCTCATGGAGTCTGATTTAACACCACTGTTTTATTTTCAAATTGTAAAACAAGCAAAACTGATGAAAACAACAAGTTTCTAACGAAGTAATGATAAATAACTCTCTGTATGTACACCAAACTGTTAAATCTTCAATAAAATAATATATAAAATCTACAAAGGTGCTCAAAGTCCACAACTTGGATACTTTTACAAAACAGCTGAACTACTTGTATGTACCTCCTTCTTGTTACTATTAATACCCATTCTTTCAATTACTTAAGTTGAAGGCATATGTGTACATTTGATAAGAATTACATGTATATTTGCATGCTTGTGTATTTTCTTATCAATACCCATACATTCAATTACACAATTTCAAAGTACACATGTATACTTAATAAGTAAGAATTTAAAAATGGGAAAGTTGCTGGGCAAGTGTTACTGTATGCAGCAATACAACTGCTGTGCTTGCTTGTTCATGTAATAGTTTGAAAAAACAGCACATCAATGATGTGGTGGACAGTGGTGCTTATCCTGCATCTTGCAACGAAATTTATTGAAGTTTTATTTGGAACTGAGGTTACACTGTAATGAAAACATAAAATGTGTATTTTGTTACAAGCATATCAGGAAGTGCCTATTGCAAATCTGGTTAAATATTACATTCAAATTAGATGTTAACGTACAGACTGATATAAAAATTTCAAGAGTTTAAATGTATACGTAATACATAACATTACTTGGGCTTCCATAAAATGTCCCTCTCTATAATGCAAATAAATAAAAAAAAAAAAAAAAAAAAAATTACCTGTATATAAGTGGATTATTGTGTCAAATAGTACAATACACAATTTTCAAAAGACTACTTGACCACTATTATTGGTGTAAAACAGTTTAAATATAGTCTAAAACTTGTTAAGTGTGACCATTATTTTTTGTTGGAAAAAAAATCAAAAAAATCTGATTTAAATCATAAAAATCCGATTTAAATCAAAACAAAATTTTTGATTTTTTTAAAAAAATCAAAAAAAATCAACAACCCTGATGTGAACTATTAACCCTAATAAGGCCGGGCTATTTGAGGTCTTAGTATGGCCGGGGGGGGGGGCATTATGGCCCCCCTTAAGATCTCGGCCGCGAAGCGGCCGATCGCCGCGAAAATTTGCACGCATGTCAAGTGAAGTGTATAGAATAATATGATAATTTCAATTTTTGGAAAAATTCACTCATTTGCATATTTATGGTAATTTTTGCAAATAAAGTCATAAAACTCACATTTTTACCCATAAATCATATATTATTCATAATTAGGCATTCTTTTTCACTACATATATTCATTAGACCATTCTGAATAATAATACAACAAAAAAATTTGGAAGAGCCAGCTTATTCCTTATGTTATCCCTTGTTTTGATAATTTCTTATATATTTCATTGTTTTTTTAACTTATGTATTTCATTGTTTTTGTTGTTTTATTTCATTTTTTACTACAATTCAACTATTTTGACACCCAAAACAACCACCTAAACTTTAAACAAGACCAAATAACCCATGTTTGATCTGTTTTTAGGAAAAATGACTTTGCCATATGTTTTGTACACAAATCACGAAAATGAGCGATTTTCGGGCTGACATGCAAAGACAAAAGGTCACGTGACCATGTAACCGTAGGTCCGATTTTCAAAAAAATTCTTTTAAAAGTCGCGCAAGACTCGAAAGAAAAAAGTCAGCGAGTGGCGGGGCGCCATCCATATGCGTTTTTGAGCAATCAGAAAAATCGTGGAGGGGGGGCAACAAAACTTTGTGGCAATTTACTGCCCAACTTGGATAAGATTTTGCCGACAACAATTACACTTTTTCAAAAGTGGAAAGATTTTTTTTTTTTGGGGGGGGGAGGGGGCTGTCATACAGCCACCCTTAACTTCTAGTTACGCATCTTTTAGTTAAAATAATGATAATAATTACATTTATAGGGCGCTTTATACAGACGTTTCTTATCGTGACAACAAACTTTGACAAAATTACAACAGAAGTTAGATTCTTTGTAATTGCATTAGGCTTCTTCGCGTTCACCTAATCGACTGCTTCTATCTGAAATTGACTTTAACAAACACGCAATAGCATTCTTTAAAACTCTCTGTTTCCACATTTGGTAGCTTTTCGTTCTTTATATATTTTGTCGTGCTTATAATTATCTTCTCTGTCTAGGTAGTGATATTTATATTGTAAAATTTGTTAAAACATTACACCAAAACATGACATATAATGGCCTAATAACCTATAAATCGCATTATCTATTATTTTCATACGTTTAGTACTGCTATTCTGTTTCTGTGCTATGTTCTTTTAACTTTGAGATAATTATTTAATTGCAACGCCTTTGTAAATACTTTTGTATATATATGGTCTTTATCTGCCAAATAAAATTAATCCAAATATACTAATCATTGTTTCGGTTTCCTTATTTTGTTCTTTCTTTCTTTCTGCGGATCATGTCTGTTGCCGAAGTAATATACACATTATTGACTGCTAGTGGTGTCGAAGAGGAGGGGCAGAAAGAGGGAACAGCCACCCACAAATAAGGAAAGGGGAAGGAAGTAAAGAGAAAGTTGAAAGGAAATGTAAAAGTGAGAATATATGACCCCTTTTAGACCCTGCATTCCTAACCCACATGCCCATGACACCAGTGCCCCCTTCGATGGCTCGACCCACGCTACGCTAATGTTATTAATGACATGCAAAATAAGAGAGTCGCTGCACATCATAAGCTGGCGTATATATTGCGATTTACACCTCCCCGAAGCCCCTTTGTAAGTCCAATCGATCGAGGCTTTTTGAAGAGGTGGTCGTGGAAGGCATTTAGTTTTCAACCAAAATGCAAATAAACGGAAAGAAAAGAATATAAAAATCAATCGTTGAAATTTGAAGACGTGTTTAGAGAGAAGGTCTTATAATATTTTCACATTCGTGCTTCTTCAAAATGGCGACAACAACGATATGGTATCTACTTGGAATACTCTTCTTTGTTTTGTTCAAGAGATCATCTCAACAGGTAGGTTTTATGATATTTTTGGAATTTGTATTTGTTTTATATTTGTTATTATTTATGTGTATTCAAAAGTTTATCTACCCAAACTTCTTGTGTCGACAGGTTGTCATCACCGATCTGAACTTTCATTCTGTATCTGCATCAGGTAGTTGTTATCAGCAGGCGCGGATCCAGGGGGGGGCCGAGCGGGCCTTGCCCCCCCCCCCCCGCAAAAAAAAAAAAAAAAAAAAAAAGAGAAGAAGGAAAAGAAGGGAGAAAGGGAAAAGGAGAAAAAGGGAAAGAAAGAAGAGGAAGAAGAAAAGTAAAGGGGGAAGAAGGAGATCGGGGGGCCGAAAGGGCCTTGCCTCCCAGGCTGTTAACCCCCCCCCCCCCCCAATCAAAAAAAAATAAGAGAGAAGGAAGGAAAGGGAAAGGAAAAAAAGGAAAAGAGGAGATACTGGCGTACTGATAGAGGGGGGGGGAGGGGGGGGGGGCTTGGGGGAAATCAAATTCAAACGTGGTTTATTTCTGATTCCACAACGGTGTATTACAAATAATGCTGAAATGACATAATTTCCAAAATTTTTCCTCACTTTTTAGTAAATTAAACGTTTGTATGTGTTTGTTGGAAAATAAAAAAAAATCCTAAATTTACAACCAGGCAAAAAATATGATTCTTGAGATTCCTACATGTCAGGGCCCGAGGTACGGCGAGGATCGAGAGCCTCGAGGCATCAAAATATGCTCATCTGCCGTGATTAAATGCCTAAAACCCCTAAGCTTCCGGGGGCTTTTCCCACTGGATTCCATCTAGGGCCCTACGGCGGGCCCTTAGATGATCATCTGACGGTAATTTAATGCCTAAAACCCCTGATTTTTTGGGGCTCCGCCCCCTGGACCCCACGCCAAATAGTGACTTGCCAGTGTCACAAAATAATAAGGTATACACAAAAATATTCTCATCTGACCTTAATTAAACGCCTAAAACCCCTGAGCTTCCGGGGCCGGCTCTGCCGCCTCGACCACACCAGGGGCCCTAAGGCGGGCCCCTGAATGCTTATCTGACCGTAATTTATTGCCTTAAACCCCTGAGCTTGCGGGGTCGGACAAGGTATCAAGATGTGTTTATCTGACCGCAGGCGCGTAGCCAGGGGGGGGGGGGGCGGCGGTCCCCCCCCCCCAATCGGAAGAGGACGTAGGAAGAAAAAGAAGCAGACAAAGAACATCTTTGAAATTCAGACAAGGATTAAGAGTTTAGAGAACGGTACAACGCATCGTTTTCTTTCTCTAATAATAAAACGTCAAAGCCTCGCGCAGGAGGGGAGGAGGGGGGGGGGGGGGGGGGGGGGACTGAATTGAGACGAGGATTCAGAGGCGAGAACGGTAATACGAATCTTTAATTATTTAATGGAACGTAAAAGCTTATGCGCTTCGCGCAGGATGGAGGGGGAACTAAATTCCGATAAGGATTATTTTCGAGAACGGTACAATGAATCGTCTTCTTCTCTAATGATTAAATGAAGATTAAAAGCTTCCGCGCTTTGCGCGGGAGGGGGAACCTGAATTGAGACGAGGATTAGGAGTCGAGAACTGTACAACGAATCGTCTTCTTTCTCTAATGATTTAATGAAACATAGAAGCTTCCGCGCTACGCGCAGGAGGGGGAGGGGAGGGGGAGGAACTTAATTTAGACAAGGATTAAGAGTCGAGAACTGTACAACGAATCGTCTTCTTCTCTAATGATTAAATGAAGATTAAAAGCTTCCGCGCCTCGCGCGGAATGGGGGAACCTGAATTCAGACGAGGATTAAGAGTCGCTAACTGTAAAACGAATCGTCTTCTTTCTTTAATAGTTTAAAAAAAACGTCAAAGCTTCCGCGCTTCGCGCAGGAGGGGGAGGAAATGAATTTAGACAAGGATTAAGAGTCGAGTACTGTACAACGAATCGTTTTTCTTTCTCTAATGATTTAATGAAATGTAAAAGCTTCAGCGCTTCGCGCGGGAGGGGGGGGGGAACTGAAATCAGACGAGGATAAAGGGTCGAGAACGGTACAACGAATCGTCTTCTTCTCTAATGATTAAATGAAGATTAAAAGCTTCCGCGCCTCGCGCGGAATGGGGGAACCTGAATTCAGACGAGGATTAAGAGTCGCTAACTGTAAAACGAATCGTCTTCTTTCTTTAATAGTTTAATAAAACGGCAAAGCTTCCGCGCTTCGCGCAGGAGGGGGGGGGGACTGAATTTAGACAAGGATTAAGAGTCGAGAACTGTACAACGAATCGTCTTCTTTCTCTAATAATTTAATAAATTGTAAAATTTTCCGCGATTCGCGATGGAGGGGAAAAACTAAATTCAGACGAGAATTATTTTCGAGAACGGTACAACGAATCGTCTACTTTCTTTAATAGTTTAATAAAACGTCAAAGCTTCCGCGCTTCGCGCAGGAGGGGGAGGGGGGACTGAATTTAGACAAGGATTAAGAGTCGAGAACTGTCCAACGAATCGTCTTCTTTCTCTAATAATCTAATAAATCGTAAAATTTTCCGCGCTTCGCACGGGAGGAGAAAGCTAAATTCAGACGAGAATTATTTTCGAGAACGGTACAACGAATCGTCTTCTTTCTCTAATAATATAATGAAACGTCAAAGCCTGGGAGGGGAAACTCGCCCCCCCCCCCGCATTACGTCAATGTTGGTTACCATAACGTACCAATATTTGGCTCGCATAATTTCAAATTTGGCCCCCCCCCCCCCCTAAGAAATCCTGGATCCGCGCCTGGTCATCAGTCTGACGAGTCAGCGGCGCAAATATGGGTATTTTGGTTTGGGAGAAGAAATGAAAAAAAGAAAGAAAAAAAGAAAGAGGGGAAGAAGAATTAAAAGGAGATGATACAACCACTTCCGAAGCCTCCCATAATTGGTGGGCTTGTTATTTGCTTTTCATCCACCTTGTTAGACCAGCGGCCTCCCCCATGAGAACAGTGCCGCCTCTATTTGTACGCCACTGATTGTGACCGTTTTGGGCTAATGTTCATAATCAGAATGTACATTTAACAAACAGTATATTTCCCTTTCCATTACCCAACTAACATCTCACAATTTCGGCTTTAATTGTTTCGACCTCTCTGTCAATGTTTCCACATAATTATATACCGCCTCCCACACGTTTGATTTGATAGGTAAGACCTAGGACTGAATTTTTGAAGCTTGGTCGAACCATAATTCTAGACGTGAATTTCAACCAAAATAACATCCTTCAAAATTGACTTAGTCCTCACGTTTAATTTGTTACTCCACTGTGAATTTTTACCAATGTACCATCTCCCGAAACTTGATTTAGTGCGTAGGACCTGAGGGTCTCCCAGGACCAGAGGGGGATGAAGGCTCTCAGGGATCGGGGACCGATGGTACCTGGTATGACGTCATGAATGCCAACAGGAACTGGAGACAGTGCACATTCACCTCGGCCAGCGGAAGTGACAGTGGAACCATCTATGTAAGTAGTCAGAGACAAAAATTAATTGCGTATATACTGAAAGAGTAAAAGATATTCTGTTTTTAGTAATATTGAAATGCCGTCATCATCTTGAAATGAAAATGGAAACGGAGTGTTGTGGATGTTCAGATACTAAAATATAGAATGATGATGGAAACTATCTCAATAGTTTTCTCATATCTTTATCGAATTGGGTTTAATTACATCAGGGGCACAGTTGAACCATGTCCCATTACAAAAAACCAATGCCATAAGTGTTATGATATACATGTATGTATCCTACGGGATTGAATGACTTAATAAAGTCCACGCATGCGCGTGTCTTATATATCTGAACTACGTCTCAATACATGGTGGCAGCGGCGGAGCCTTAGAATTTGACATTTTCACAGGATAGCTTAAATCCTACGAGAAAAAGGACAGTGCTAAATTAATAGCGCAAGTTTCAAGCTGAGGTGAATATATGTGTGAACAAATTTTGAGGTCTTGAATAAGTGAATCCAGCCGTCAGAAAATATGCCTACAACAGGCGAACATGAGACAGCCGCTCAGCAGCAGCCCGATGGCAATGTCGAGCAGAACGGGACGGCTGACCAGTCGCCTACGCAGCTAGCGACGGGTCGCACTCAGCAGAGAGTGTCAGCACCGCCTCCCGTGAGCGGGATACGACCACCACCCCAATTGACTATAAATCGCGGAGTGATTGAGGGGTGGAAAACATGGCGTCAGATGTGGACGAACTACAGCGTGGTAGCACATCTGGATCGCCAAGCATCAGTGTACCAGACGGCATTGTTTTTGCATACAATCGGCCCGTTGGGACTAGAAATATACAACAGTTTTGTTTTCGCTAATGCCAATGGGGAAACTAGCAACCTGGATGAGATAATAGAGGCATTTGAACGGTACGCTGTCGGTGAGAAGAATGAAACCTACGAGAGATACCTCTTCAATAAACGGCAACAAGAACCAGGTGAGAGTTTTGAGTCATTTCTTGCCAATCTCAGATCTCTCGCCAAATCATGTAATTTCTGTAAATGCATGACAGACAGCCTCCTCCGGGACAAGATAGTGCTGGGCACCAATGATGCGCAGACGAGGAAGCAACTACTACAAGAAAGGAAACTGACACTCGGTGGCTGCATCGACATCTGTAAGAGCGCAGAGACAGCTGAATCGCACCTCAAAGCTTTCAGTGAGGCCGGTAGCAGCAGATCAGCGGCTCATATCCATAAGATCCGGCCAAGCTTTAAGAAAGGAAAGCAGAGCGGTGGACCAAAAAGAGATAACAGCAAGCGCAGCACTGGCAAAGCAGCAAAATCTCAATGCAAGTACTGTGGCAGGGAGCACCCGAGGGACAAAAACAAATGTCCAGCCTACGGACAAACCTGCAAGGCATGTGGAAAGCAAAACCACTTCGCCAATGTGTGCATGCTGAGCAAACGAATGCACCAAGTAAATGATCCAGCCGACAGTGACTCGAGCACCGAGTATATAGACAATGTCACAATCACCATCAACACCGTTAAACCGAGAGATGAGGTGTATGCCAGAATGATGATCAATGAGAAAGCAGTAGACTTCCAGGTGGATAGCGGGGCGAGTGCCAACATCCTGCCATTGAGACACCTGGAAGGGGCTGACTACGTCCTGAAACCTAGCAAGAAAAAGCTCATGATGTGGAACGAAATCACAATGGCCATCGAAGGCGTCAGCAGGGTCAAGATGCTAAACCCCAAGACGAAGCAGAAATATTCGGTGGAATTCATAGTGGTGGACAAGGACTTCACACCGTTGTTGGGAAGCACAGTCAGCCAGCATTTGAAGCTCATCACGGTCAATAATGAGAACTTCATAAGAGTTCACGCAGCTTCCAGCCAGAAAGACAAGGCATGCAAGCCTGAAGAACGCTATGCAGAAGTCTTTGATGGAGAGCTGGGAGAGATGCCTGGAGAGGTCAACCTGCAAGTGGATAAAGAGGTGCAGCCCACCATCTTACCTCCAAGAAGACTACCCCATGCAATCAAACAAAAAGTGAAAGCAGAGTTGGATCGCATGGTTGACCGTGAAGTGATCGCGAAGGTGACAAAACCGACGAGTTGGGTCAGCCAACTAGTGGTGGCTGAGAAAAAGAATGGTGACCTTAGGATATGCATTGATCCACGGCCACTGAACAAGGCACTCAAACGCGAGCACTACCCTCTACCTATAGTTGAGGATATCTTGCCAGATCTCAACCAAGCAAAGATCTTCAGCAAGCTTGATATGAGTTCTGCATTCTGGCAAGTGAAACTTGATGAGCCCTCAAGCCACCTGACGACATTCAACACGCCCTTTGGCCGCTACCGATGGCGCCGTTTACCATTCGGTACAAGTGCCTCATCAGAAATCTTCCAGCAAAGATTGCATCAAGCACTTGAAGGACTGCCAGGGGTGATTTGCGTAGCAGACGATATCCTTGTGTATGGGAAAGGGACAACGATGGAAGAAGCAATCATCGACCACGACTCGAAGCTTGAGCAATTGTTCCAGCGATGTGTTGAACAACACATCAAGCTCAACAAGGAGAAGTCCGTGTTCAGAGCAACTGAGATTCCTTTCCTAGGACATGTCGTCACAAGTGCAGGACTACAGCCTGATCCAAAGAAGGTTGCTGATGTCCTCAAAATGCCAAATCCCTCTGACGTACAAGGCGTGCAGAGGTTAGTGGGATTTGTGAACTACCTAAGCAGATTCTTGCCCAGTCTGTCCGATACGCTAGAACCCATCAGACAGCTGACACGCCCAGACATAGCATGGGAATGGTCTACAGAGCAAGCCAACGCAATGTCAAACATCAAAAGAATGGTTTCAGAAGCACCACTCTTGGCCTACTACAACCCTAAGGAAGAGCTAACCATCCAATGCGACGCAAGCAACAAGGGTTTGGGAGCAGCACTTCTGCAGAATGGACGCCCCATAGCGTATGCCAGTAGATCCTTGACCGACACAGAATCGCGGTACGCCTCAATTGAGAAGGAAATGCTAGCTGTAGTGTTTTCAATGGAGCGTTTTCATCAATACACGTTTGGTCGATTTACTAGCGTTGTGAGCGACCACAAGCCGCTTGAAATGATCATAAAGAAGCCGCTGGTGAAGGCTCCGAAACGCCTTCAGGGGATGCTCCTCCGTCTTCAAAAATATCATTTTGATATCAGCTATCAACAAGGAAAGCTCATGTATCTCGCAGATACCTTGTCGCGGGCAGTTGGTGGTGATCCAAGCGAAGTGAATTTCTTTGAAGAAGTGAATATGGTAGCACATTTACCTATCCGAGATGAGCGCCTTCAGCAAATTCGTGAGCAGACCGCTGCAGATCAAATACTTCAGAAGCTCAAGAGCGTCATCGTCAGCGGGTGGCCGAATGACCGGCACACTCTGCCTGAGGAGCTAACACCATATTTCGGTTACAGAGATGAACTAGCAGTTCATGATGGTCTAATCTTCAAAGGAGAGCGTGTGATAATTCCAATAAGCCTTCGCAGGGAGATGAAGGAAAAGATCCACTCATCCCATCTGGGCATGGAAGGGTGTCTTCGACGTGCTCGCGAATCAATCTTTTGGCCTGGTATGGCTAGTGAAATCAAGCAGTTTATCGCGACATGTGATGTATGCCGATCATACGAAGTCAAGCAACAAAAGGAGCCTCTGATGGCTCATGATCTGCCTCAAAGGCCATGGGAAAAAATAGGCACAGATCTTTTCTCATTGAAGGGAAAAGATTACATGGTAACCGTCGATTACTACAGCAACTTCTTTGAAGTTGACCGATTGGATAACACAAGTAGCCAATTGGTGATTCGAAAGCTCAAAGCACACTTCGCGAGATATGGAAGCCCTACGCAAGTCGTTAGCGACAACGGGCCCCAGTATACATCAGCCGTGTTTCGGCAGTTCGCAAGTGAATGGGATTTCGAGCATCTCTGCAGTAGTCCCGGTAACAGCAGAGCCAATGGAAAGGCAGAATCCGCAGTCAAAACAGCAAAACGCATCATCATGAAGAGTGATAAGTCGCGGTCCGATACTTACCTTGCATTGTTGGATCACCGCAATACACCTTCGCAAGGTCTGGATACAAGTCCGGCCCAACGACTTATGAATCGCCGTACACGCACGCTCTTGCCTACTTCAGCCAGTCTACTCGAGCCAAGGGTAATACGTGAACGTGAGAAGATGCAATTACGTATCGCAAAGCAAGCGTACAACTACAACAAATCTGCAAAAGATTTGACCCCACTGCAGGAAGGTGATACCGTGCGAATGCAACCTCTTGTCCAGGGGCAAAAGAACTGGGAAAGAGCAATCGTGAAGCGACGCTTGGATGAGCGTTCCTACGTTGTCGAAACGCCCTCCGGCATCTACCGTCGCAATCGCGTACACTTGCGTCAAACACCTGAAAATCCTCCTGATGAAACAACCACGAGCAGCAACGAAACCGCGGAAATTCAACACGCAAATGACCACAATGCAACACCTGATGAAACTGAAGCGCGGCCTGCCCCTCAGGCAAGCCAATCAAATGACATTGAACTAGCGCCGAAAACTCGTTCAGGGCGTACGGTCAAACGTCCAAACTATCTGAAGGACTATGTTACTCGTTAATTTGCATGCCCGTGGATAAATATTCATGCTCCTATAACTGACATATTCGATTATCACGTTTATTTGAACGTTATACAGGAAGTGATATTTTCTTGATCTTTGAGTAAAATGTTGATCTATTATTGCCATGTGGATCTCAATTCACTAGTAAGAAGTTTACTACATTTTATAGATATGTTCAACTGCAAAGCACAGGACCTACACTAAGTCGTGTACAGTATATGCTTTTTTCCATACAGGATGAGATGGGAACAAACTTGTAAATATCATAGAGTTAGTTATTAGAGTTAGAAAGTACAAAGTAAGACATTACATTGATTCATGTTCCAGAGCTGTACTCATCATTTATTATGGTAAAATACAAGTTCATAGTAATCATAGCAGATGAAAGTGAAATGACATTGATTCGTAATTAAGCAGAATACGAGTAACGAGGCGACAATTTGTTAATTGTCTGTTACATATTTAGACATTGAAATAAATCAATAAGTTCAAATTACCGTAACATTTGTCAGAGACACGTAACAAGTGTTTTATACAAACAATGTGGAAATTGATTATTATTGCTTAGGAAAACAGTAGTAACTGATTATACTTGAGTGTAATTTTGAGTTGAATAAGTGCACGTATTTACTCAAAGTTGTATCAGACAGTACAAATAATTGGATAACAATATTATACAAGATCAGCAAATGATCAACCTGACCTCACATTCCAAAATCGTATGAAATTAATAAGTTTTACAACAATAACAAATATTTGAGTTTTATTTAAAGAAAATCATTTAAGAGTTTTTCTAAGATTTTCATATTAGAAAGGAAAGTTTTTATCTAGCAAAAGGCTATAAGTGTACATTCAATAGTTAACATTTTAATTTGAAAAAAAAGGGGATGTTATGATATACATGTATGTATCCTACGGGATTGAATGACTTAATAAAGTCCACGCATGCGCGTGTCTTATATATCTGAACTACGTCTCAATACAATAAGTAACGCATGGCTGGAATGCTCCCCAGGGAGGGGTAATTGTGCACACAGTGTGTGAGGACAAGTATTGAATCCAATGACTGGAATAGTATATCTGTAAAGCTCTTAGAGACATTTGTATTAAGCGCTATATAAAAGCGGAATATTATTATTCTATCAAGTACACCAAGAAAAAAATAGGCCCTTATTTAATTTTTGTTCACCATGTCAAATATTTTAGACCCCAGAGGCACCCGAACAAGCTGTACAATTTCTTCTTTTTCTTGTCAGATTTTTTTTTGCGCCTGATGTCATATTCTCATTAATGAAACATAAAAAATTAATCAAACACACAAAATATGCCTTTGATTTATATTGATATTGATCTTAATGTCTCTCTTTATTTTGAAGACGTGTAGTTTCACCAAGAACTCAGCCACCTCTTCTCTGTATGCTGCCTTCAGTGGTACGACACGACTTCATAATTGTCACGGTTGCTGTTGTAGATGGTACTTGACGTTCAACGGCGCTGAATGCAGTTCACCTCAAGTCATTGACGGAACCGTCTACATGGCGTATTACAACGCTGCTGATCTTCACCGACATCGTACGATATCGGGTAGGAGTGATTTAAGAAAAAGGCAATGCATAGAAAATTCCCGGTATAGCCTGTTGGCTAAAGAGACCAGCAGCTATTTCACCCTCGTGAAAAGTGATCTGAGAGTTCATGACACGGATACCCTTGGTCTCCTGTACTGTCGGACCACTAGCCACTGATTGCCACTGATTGCTTCCCAAAATCAACATGATAATTATGAAGAAATCGTAATCTTTGGTACTCCTGGGTATCCAGTTGTGGCAGAATCCTTAATTTTAGTATAAAACAGATCTTACTGTTGATCCAACAGCTCTTATCGCACAATATTCAACAGAAGGCCATGTTGTTGCTAAAAGTTTTACATTTTAAAATTCTTAACAATTATCAACAACCCCTATTGGTAAAACCGTTTTGTTAGATCTCATAGACCTTATTACTGTGCGCGGTTATTTAAAAGCTACCGGTATAGCGTTCAGCCATTAAGAGGACGTCAGGGGAGGGGGCACCAGTCGTATGCTCTGATTGGAAAATGAATTAGTAATGCTATCGACTATGGGGTGCCGTGTCCTCTCATTTGCCTTCTTCTCTTCTCTTTTTTGAAATAAAAATCTCTTGTTATACCCTTCCTAGTTTCTAAGATCGCCATTCAATTGGGAGGGGGGGGGGGGTGTTGGGCACATACACCCGCGACTTTCTTAGCTACGCCTTTGATAATATATTATGATCATCAAGACAGTATGATTCATCGTCTGCTATAAACAAAATTACTCGCAATTCACTCGTTCTTTCTCTCATTTTCTTACAGGAGTCTGTGACAACATTGCAGCTGGTTCAGTGACGGTCGCCCTCAATGTTGGCGCTTGCAGTGGGTATGGAACCTACGACTGCTACACGGGATGGAACGCTGTTTCGAGGATTATAGTGGAGGAACTACCAGCTTCACCATATTCCTAAAAAAAAAGCAATCTGGACCAAAACGCTCAGAGCCTTACGCCAGTTGCACACGATGCGTTCTTTACTGACGTAAAACTGCGTCAGAGACTGACGCGATCTTTGACGCGCCTTGAAAGAAGGATATCATACAAAGGGTGAATGCAACAGTGCATACCATTTTTGGAATTACTGGCGCATATACATACTTTAATTTGCAAATTATAATAGCGCAGGAAATAACTCAATAAAATTGATGCGTCGTGTGTAAAGGGCATTAGAAACTTAAGATATGTATTTAATACTTCGACTGTTACTTTTTTTTTTTTTTTTTTAATTTTTTTAAATAAATAATTTACTTGTCTAGCTTTCTCTCTTGTATAAATATCGTAACTATTTCTCTCATGTTTCTTGTTTTACTTGAATTTGTAATTATTATTGTAAGTTCTTATTTTGCTGTAAGTTTTCCTTACTTTTGTAATAACTATTTTCATGTTTTCTATTTCTATAGGGACCCCCCTGTAAACCAGCATTGTTATGCTAACAACGCTGAGTAGGGCCATCCCTCCGTCTTTCTTTTTTTATAAGTGTGTCTTTATGATTGTATATATATATATATATATATATATATATATAATTATGTTCATGTTTTTTTTAAATGACGGAAAATAAATACAATACAATACAATACAGTTACACGGAATGGAACGGTGGTGCGATAATTAGAGTGGAGGAATTACCAGTTTCACCTTATTCCTTTAAACAAAAAAAACATGTATCTGGACTAAAGCTCCTACGACTGAACTTCAGAGACTTAACGTATAGACGCCACCAGACAACTTCATTTGTATACGAGATGGCATAAGGCTGCAGCTACATGAGAATTTTGAAATTTCCAAAGTTCAGGCAATCGTCACCTCACATACAGGCAGCGAGGTGGTTTTTTGTAAATTGTATACCTTGTTTGTCATATTTTATGATAATAATAAGTTTCCATTAGTTTGATTCTCTTGCTCACAAAATTTACATCCTGATGAACAGAACCGAGACCTTGGCTTCAAAGTAGAATTTGACATGAAATAGTTGTGAAAACAGAATTGTAACGATATTTTTGTTAATGGAGAAAAAAATAAATATGTTTAAGTTAGATAAATACTTTGTCATGTACATATGGATATAATATTTTATTAAGTGATAAAATAGAAAATGTATAAAGAGATCGGATCATTTGATTACATTGCCCTTATACCGTCGGAACTTTCATTATATTTGTTGTTAAGGGAAAGAAAACAGCAGCTTGGGGCAGAGAGAGAGAGAGAGAGAGAGGGGGAGGGAAAGAAGAAGAGAGAAAGAGAGAGGGAGAGAGAGAACGAAGTAAAAAGGGAGGGAGGGGGGGGGGGAGAGAGAGAGGCCATAATATGGAGTGGATGAGGCGGTGGTGGGAGGGGGAGAGGGTAGAAGAGGAAGCGGAAAGGGACGATAAACTGAAGGAGGGGGCTTGCTTGCATCATGAGAGACTATACACGGGAGAATTGGGATAGAAGATAGGAAAAGGAAACAAACGAGAGATGGTGGAAAGTGGGTAGAGAGAGGGACAGCTTGAGACTGGATGGAGTGAGAGGAGAGTAAAAATATTAAAAAGAAATGTTGAATCAATCTACGCAAATTATGAATCGCGTTAAATAAGCATCCTTTGACCTAGCTTCATATTTGAAATATGTGCTCGTTTTGAGTTTATCAATTCCACATGATAATTCGTTTTTGATTCGATGGAACATGTCTGAACATCCTGAAGAAATATAATCAAATCATTATAATCGAATAACAAAAATATGGTCCCGAGCCATGAGAAACAATAATATCGATTTATGGATACATTTATTCCAGCTTCAACTCGATTAACTAATTCTCCATCTAAATCCCTCTATCTCTTCGCCTGTGAAGTGTCTTGTAGGACTTCTAACCCTTCCCATAATCCTCTAGTCCCATATGAACCAATCGATACGATTAGCTATTTTGAGCGGATCGATGGGGCAAACACACTCTCTCTGTTGTCTTCGAGAGGATGTTCCAGGGGGTGTTGGGTGGTACCAAAAGAGGGCTGACACGGAGTGGAAGAAGTCCCAACATCGGGGGTGTCACTCCTATTCAAATCTGTGAATCCCAAATCATCAATCCTTCAACCTGAGAATTAAGAAAGCGGGCAGGGAATACAAATTTTCTGGCGGATCTTTTAAAGATCATATTCACGAAGGGGGTGGGGGGGGGGGCGGGGATCCTAGAAATCATGTCAGGAAAAAATACATGGCATTGAATTACCCCCGATAATAATTGTCCCCTTTTAACAACATTTTCTTTTATTATTCTCCTCTTTCCAATTATTGTCGTCAAAACCGAAAAATAAATATAGTAACACACTGCATTTTGACAAATAAAACGTGATCGGGAAGCCATACAAATGAGCATCGAACATGATAATAATCTTTTAACACACAAGGGCGCTCAAATGAGATTAATTTCTTTATCTCCAAATAAATATAAAATTATAGACAAAGCCGCATTATTAATCAATTCATCAATCAAATGACACATTGATGATGATCGGTTTACAATTTGCGGCGTTCTTCTGAAGCTTTGCAACAAAGAGAAATCGATAATTAGGATCTATTGTACAAGAGATATATCAATCATTGTACGTGTATACATCTAGGAGGAAATTGTGCCATATCGTGTTTTCTGATTAAAGTATTCGCTTTACTGCTCAATTTAAAATAACAACATCCCCCATCCCCAACCCCCACAAAAAATAAAAAATGAACAAACCATGTGCATAAATTTGTTGTTGTGTGCCGCCCTTCCCGGTATATCTTTATTTCAATTAGGTTTTTGTATTTTTTTTCCTGAACACGCTCTTGAAATAATGATGACCACCTTGTTTTTATTTTTTGTCTGAGAGAAAAAAAAGACGCTCCTGAAAAAGAAAAAAAAATTGTGTAAAGTGCTGTAGGTAAGCATAATAAATGTTATTATAGGAAACACGTCACACGCATTTCGTCAGATGTGAGAGAGAAATAGTAAAATAAAGAGAGAGATGAGGAAGAGAATAAGACAGGGAGAGGAAGAGAAAGGGGTGCAGAGAGAGAGGGAGAGAGTGGAAGTGAGGGAGGAAGAGGAAGAGCGGGAGAGAGAGAGAGAGAGAGTGAGAGAGAGAGAGAGAGGGGGAGGGGGAGGGGGAGATAGAGAGAGAGAGAGAGGGAGAGAGAAGGGACAGAAGCAAATTGTGGGGGGTGAAGGGGTTGAATACAATGACAGGAGGGTTCTTAGAATCGTGTCCCGGCTGTTTTTGTGCCTATTTTTCAAACGCGAGAAAGGTCTATCGATATTCTTTTACTTCTCAATAATAAAAGCGGACCCCCCTCATCATAATAATCAATAAAGCTTTGGCTCTTAACTTAAGGATGAGGGAGTGCATTGGAACTCATCCACCCTCTTCAAGGATGGGTTATTAGACACTTGTCCGTCCGTCAAACCCATCTCCATTTTAATTTTCATCTTCTGGAAACTAAAACTTGAGTCTTTCATTTAATCTTCATCATCGTAAGCCATTTTTCGGAATATCGTCATCTATATTGGAATATTACATGGAATAAAAGCAATGGCCTTAACAGGAAGGATGTTGATTGCTTTGTCTTTGGTTTCTTTGCTTCTTCTTCTCTCGATGGCAGAAGTTAATGCTTGGGGAGCGGTGAGTTTCACTGAAGGTTAATGGATTACAATCAGTTTGTGGTCAAATTGAATTTTTTTTTTCTTCGATTCTCTTAAAATTCCGTCATTTTTCCCCATAAAATAAATGTGTTTGACGAAAATATGATGTCAAATATTATCATCAATATCCAACATACTTTTCCACTCCTGATCGTTGAAGTTAATGGCAATTGGCAATGTAAAAAAGAAGAAAATATTTCATTGTGTCAACCATGACCTACCTCAACATTTGACGTACTACATAAACTCGATAATTCGTTTCTCTTGATGTCTTTATTTATCTCTTGATAAATCTGTGTTTTCATTCAATCTATGTTTGACCCTGACATGAGCCACTGCGCCCCACCTCGTCATCTTTATGTGAAATTGTTATTTTGTATGCAAATCTCAGCGGAAACTATGTACGATTTTTAATTTCATACAAGCTTTGCCTTATTAGTAGATTTCCCCCTCTTTACATTGTTTAAAGTGCGTTCATTACATTTTTCGTGTATAAATGTTTGCTATAACTACGTAAAGAGGACTGACTCTTCCATAATATCTTATATCAAATGATTTGTTAGATAAGCATACAAACATTGAAGAAAGAAAAAAAAAGAAACTTTAAACATAACGGCATTAATGTCCCTTGGGGATACATTAATCTGCATTTACCACTCTCCACCCAGGTATAGTGAATGGTTACCCGGTAGGAAGAATATAACTTGAATGTGGCAATCCAACTAAATTAACGTTCATTTTACCGAGTACCCATTTTACACTTGGTGGAAAAAAGCGATGTAAACAAATGCTCAAGGACAATAAGTGCCGCACCGGAGATGGAACCCACGACCTTCACATCTCAGGTCAAGCGTTAAACCACTGGACGATGACTTGTCTTATTGGGTTATAAAAAAGACCGCATAGGCTATCTTAAAATAATTTAACTGTCTTTTGTTATCGTCTTCTTCCACAGTCTTGTTCCGCGGGCAAACCAGGGCCACCGGGACCTCCCGGACCCACTGGGCCCTCAGGTAGTCCAGGAGATGGTGAACTCCTTGAATATAACAACTGGAAACAATGTGCCTGGTACTCGGCTAACGGCAATGACTATGACACTATCTATGTGAGTACATATCTGTTCTGTCATATTCTAAATGCAATATGTTCAATCAATCAATCACAATTTGTTTCATTATATTTTTTTTAAGGTTTCAGAAAACAAAATACATGTAGGCCTACATCTCTTTTGAACATCACAAGAATAGGCGATCACTATCACTATAATAAGACAAGAAATTACGTTTGCGGACCCTTTGGCAATATGTATACTATCTTATCCAACACTCTAAACTATTCCAAGGATTTTGCATGTAAAATAACGACTTGTATTGCACCAACGAGACCGGCACCAGACCGACAATAGATGGATTAAGTATTACATTACCCCTGACTTGTCAAGGCGGTCGGTTGATTTTACGTTAGTTTGAAGTTTGTTTGACGATGTGAATGGGTTGTTATGCATGATAGTTCTATTTAGAAGTCTGATTCGTACTTTTATAATATAAGGCAATTTTATTCCATCTTCTCCACTTCTTGCAAACGATCAGACGTGCACATTCACAAAGCGGGTGAGTGACTCCGCTCTTTGGGTCTACTATGGCGGCAATATTCGTCTCTATGGATGCAGTGGATGCTGTAAGAGATGGTATTTTACTTTCAATGACAATGAATGTTCTCCTACACCTATCGATGGCGTGGTATATCAAGCCAACACTAACAACATGAACCTGCACAGACACAGGAGTATTTCAGGTAAAGATAACAGATTCACTTTTAAACGCAGGGTATTCTTTTGACATCTTCACCGAAAGATGGCGGATTTGAAAATATAGCAGTAGTAGCGATGACGGTAAAATACCCTAATTATACTTCAAATTATTCAGGACAAGGTTGGTGGTTTCAGCAGAGGGGGGGGGGGGGGGTAGGGGAGAGGGGTGGGGAAGGGGTGCAGCAGTGCTAATGATTGCTGATATCGTATACTTCAGATCATTGCATTTGCAACATCCCCCCTCCTTTCCCCCTCCTCCCCATCCTGGATCGACGCCCGTAAGTCTAGGCAAGGGTCACTCCCATTATGGCTTCATATTTTCGGAGATCATTCTTTTTTTTCTGAAATCACTTCATCAGAGCTATTGATGATGTCACAAGTCGTTCTTCTCTCTAACCCTTGCCGAATCCCTACATTTTTAAATATTTTTTTTCTTCATTGGTTGCCAAATTCGTTGTGCTCAACCGTGTGAAATGTTGCGTATAAGTCACTTAAAACTTACCAGTTTAGCCGGCACCATTACCATGATTAAATTGACTAAACAGAACCGCAGATTTAGCCCCTCACTTCCAAAAAACAAACAAGCAAAGGAAAAGAAAAGAAAAGAAAAAAGCAACGTATAACCAATCAAAGTATCCTGCGAATTAATAACGAGAACCATTCCGGGATTTAGTGGGCCGTAGACCATTGTCAGTATATTTCAGAAAGATGAAATGCAAAAAATAATGAAAATTACCTTTACTTTGTGATGAACAAAAGTAACTAACCCATTTATCATTTTCTCAGGGTACTGCCACACAATCGGAGCTGGATCAATTAATGTGAAATTCCTGGTCGGGGACTGCTCCGGGTATGGAAACTACGATGCATACACGGGATGGAATAGTGCTTCTCGTATCATCATTAAAGAGGTCCCTAAATCATCGTATGGTTACTAACTTGATCAAGACACTGCTTCCAGAATATTGACAAATTTAAATTATTTACACAGTAATCCAGAAGACCTAACCAAGTTTAAGGACCTTCCATTTGTGGCATGATTTTCCCGGGACTTTGGATAATACTCCACCGCTACCATTCGACTGGTGACTGAGTGGTGTGCATTCGAAGAACGCGATACGGCCATTTTGATTGTAGACAATGGAATAATGCAACACCAGGGAAACTTTCAATGTGAAGCTCAAAACAGACACAATATTATCTTCTTGCTGTTGTCTTTTCGAACCCCTGAAGAATAAAGACATGACGCTGAATTCTGGAATTCTAAATTTCAAAACTTCTTCATTCTTTTTACGACGGTCTGGACGAATACCATAGAGGAAATATCCTCTGAAAAGGATCGTTCTCACAAATATGACTATAAATAGCTGGAAAATTAGCACCAGACTTTCTTATCATGATCATGTGTGTGTATATGTGTGAAGTCCAAAATACATTTCTGCATGGAGTGCATGTGGCTTTCAGCAAGACGGGGTTTATTATCTATCATGTTGATGATTCAAAACCTCACAGTGGACACATCTTTAAATTGTGTTCACCAATCATTGTGTACTTCTTAATTAACCTGTCTAAATAACTTCCAGTTAGTTTCTTCCACAATATAATCTTATGAGCAGAACTGTGATGTTCTTTACAGGCCAGGGGTGTTTTTTAAAGTTTTTTTCCCCAGATATTATTTACTTTAAAGTATACAAAATGTCCATATATCGTTATTATCACCATTATAAAAAATATGCACTATCTTTGATTTAGACAATGAAAGCAAAATAATAGAAAATATATAAAATATATAGATCCTGAGTTTATGACCTTTCCTACCCGATTTGAAATAGACCAAACGAAGTACTCTTTTCTGTTTTAATTGAATGTTAAAAATCACCAAGGGAAAAGTTCTGTACAAATTTTCATTTGTAGATATGCATTATTTCATTATATTTATATATGGTAAGTGTACATTACTGTCTTGTTGCTAGTTGTTATTCTTAGAATCACAAATTAGGGCTTTTTATTTTAAATGGACACCTCTCGAATCTAGTATTTGTCACACCTCCACTGTTTTCGACATATATCACGTCAAAGTCAGCTGGATGACACTGCATTTAATACTCCTTAAATTGGGAATAATGAATTACGGAGAACATTTTGTTGCAGATCTATCATGAATTTTTTCCTCATTATGTGATAGTTGCTCGAATATAAGAAATATAAAAACCC